GTATAAATGTGCTGATATTTCAAATATCTTGCCAAAAGTATACAAGCGCTTCTTCTTTTTTTTTTCTTTTTTTACAAAACCCAAATTCTTGAAATCAAGTAGAAATGATTATAAAGTTCAAGTTAACTTCTTTTACAATTCATTTCAATTTTCAAATTCAAATATCTAAAATATCTAAATATTAAAGTACCAATGTACCAATGTATTAAAAGCAAAACAAAAAGAGCAAGCTTAAATAGAAAGAGATATATTGATACCAAGTAATGTTTTTCTCCTTTAAAAGTAATACCATCATTTTATAGTATTATTTCTTTGTAAATTATATTTTTTGCTGGAGTAACTACCTTATTTATATGTAGGTAAAATTATCAATACAACCTTGACTGTATATCTCAATGAAGCACTAGGACTTTATTGTGGTAAAATCAGTATTGCTTTTGTCAATTACTCAATCTTGCTCGCAACCAAATTGACATTAATTTTGACTAATCTGAAGGTGTAGTTAGAAACTTTTCCAGTCAAATTCTTAGCAGAAGCTCTGGGATCTTATCTTTTTTTTTCCTATTGAAGATGTCAGCTATATATATACTTTCTGCTTTCTTTTTTTACATCGACGTTATTACTTAATGTTGCTTTGAAATATATGTGGGTTTATTTTCTAGCAACTGTTGGGTTCTTTTTGTGTCTTTTTATACAAGCGAAATAAATAAAAGCTTTTTCTTGCGTTCTCGCACAAGAAGCGCACAGACCACTTTAGAGTAACCTACATATCGCTGTTATAGAAACGTGTACTCCACTTTGAAAGTTATTGCTACACCGATCAAAACCGAACCTTTCCTTACTTCTTTGCTTTTTTGCTTTACTTTGCTTTACTTTGAAAAAGCCATCTTCTCTAGTAATCTAATTCAATATTATTAGCTGTCTACTCTACCTTAGAACAGTTACACAAACCCAATAAAAAGAATATATAGCCATATCACGTTTGCTCTGACGTGAACATCTAAGACTGACAAAAAGCGCAGTCGTAAACTTTAATCGCAGATGAAAAATTTTCTGTTACATAGTATAGACCCCCTCCAACGCGCGTCGCTTGTTTTCTCCTTGAGCAACAACAGTCCCGGTTTCATAGTGAGGCGTCTCTTGCGACCGTTGCAGGGAGATTCTTCCATGCTACAAGCATCGGAAAGTGAAAGTTGTTACTCGCCAGCTCAGTTAATTCTGAGAAGTCGTGGGGCATGGTCTCTTTTCATTTTTGGAAGGACTACTGTGTACATCGCATTGCCAATGTGGAATCATGATGCTGGGGGGAGGGAGGTCTAACCTGTGGTGAGATGTGCTGGCTCTTCACTGCTAACCTGACTGAACTCTTTAACGGCTGACGGTGAAGCTACTGGTAGTCGAATGAGCTGGACCTTATCACCTAGTGGTAAGTTCTCTGGCGAGTTCGCACCCACATTACTCGGTGACGAGATGTGGGGCTGGATGAACGGGTGCTTTCCGTTGGTTTGCCACCATTCCAGCACCTCCTTCGCTACCAAGTCAGGTTTACGTCCTGAAGGAGATTGAGCCGCGTAATGCGGGGACAAAGAACTTGGTGTCATGCTTTTTATTCTTTTACTCATGTAAAAGAACATTAAGTGAAATTAAATCAAATAGAATAGTTTCTTTATATATATCTTTAAATAAATAAATAAATAAATAAATAAAGTATTTCTTAGCTATTGTCAACTTTAATAAAAAAAGACGCTTTTAAACATTTTTTTTTTGCTTGATTGATGTCAATGTTGTAATTAGGTGGACTCATTTATAAGAAGAAATTAATCTAATCGAGTAAACATAAAAAGAAATAAAATACTATTCGTATATTCTAAAGTGGTATTGATATCCGTGTTTAACTGTACAGGTTGTTGTTGTCTATAAATTATATTAGGATTAAAATAAGGCTAGTTTTTGAGAACACCAATGCTGTGAATTATATATTATTAAATTTGGCTAATCCAGATGGACATTGTAATGATGCATTGGGATGAGAGGAAGAGAAAGAGAGAAAGAGAAGAATGCGAAAATGCGAAAATGCGAAAGGCGAAAGGCGAAAGGCGAAAGGTTAAGTAAAAAATGAAGAAAAATAAGAGACAAGAAGGAATAAAGAAATATGTGTTTGAAACAAAGACAGAAAAGGCTTGATGTAGATTGAATATACAAGTAATGTCCTCATTGTATTTTGAATATCAATTAATACTTGGTACCCTCTATTCGTTATTTCATACACATATGTGCAATTGTATTCACAGTACAAAATATAATTCAAATACAAATAAGAAGAGTAAACAAGCATTGATACATTACAGAATACATCTTTTAATGTTCTATAAAGATAATTCGCCAAATATGTACTGGCAGCTTTTATATTACGGCCTTTAAAGGTAAGTTGACAGACATATCATATACTGTTCTTATTTATTTATTTATTTATTTATTTATGTCAGTAGACATTAAATACCATCTTGCTTTCTCTCGGCTTCTTCTTTTTCTATTTGGATTATGGTATTGAAACAACCCCAAAACAACTGATAACTTTAGTTTAGTCACACTTCATTTTATTCAAATATTCATGTACACACAATTATACTTCGTATTAAACTTTGTTTTCTTCTTCTTCTTTGTTGTTGTTGCTGTTGTTGTTATTGTTTAACCTCTTCATTTTAAATCATCACAATAATTAAATACATCCTCGGCATTGTCGGTATAGATATATGTATATATTATTTTTCGAATATTGATTTGAAACTAAACATTTATCGGACATGACCGTTTTTGTACATATAGAACACCAGACCAAGAGTGACACTTTTTTTTTAGTCTTGTGCAACTTGATCCTTACAGTTGGTGATTTCGATTTGTTTTTTTTATACGTTAAAATTAAAGAAATTCCCTATTCTGAATGTTATTAAAGACAAACTCGTTTATATATTATTTATTTAGTAATTATTAATATATGTATATGTATATATACATTTGCTCCGGTATATTGTATGTACTTTTCTTTGCCTGCAACAATGACAACAAAGACAGCAACATTAAAATAAAAAGGTCTCTATTATCTTCCTTCTATTGACATCTAGAATACTACTATATTCTCTCGTTATTTTCAATTGACATGAACTGAAATCAAATAAATTGACTTGAAGTATATAAAGTTTCAAATGGCCAAACTACTCCAAATACATATAGAATTATACTTTTTTTTTCTTTGGCAAGAGGTTTAGGTAAGAAAAGAAACCAATAGCTGTTATAATAATAATAGAAAAAAAAACATAATAAACAAGTCGGCTGGTTTTGGGCATTGTGCATTGTGTATTGTGATTCCTTTATTTGTATGCGTATGTGTTGCAAGAAATCCAAGCCATTACACACACACAGATATATATATATAAAATCGTACTAGGCATGACAACCATTTGATTTATGTGGTGCTTCTCTTTTTTTTTATATACATATATTTCTATACTTTATTTTGCGGGGTAAAAAAAAACTACGGATTTGTTTTTTGTTATAATAATTTACCACCAATAGTAGTATAATTTGTTTTACCGTAATTTGAGCTTAAGAAAAAAAAAACAAAAAAAAAGGAGAAAGATTTAAATGTATACAAGAAGTATATAGATTACAATGTTTGGCAAGAGTTCACAGAAAATGTCATTTCTATCTACACTACCTTCTTTGTCGCAACCCTTTGCTTCTGAATATTCAATCAATTAACCAACGTGTCAAGAAGATGATTTATTAAAGAAGAAGAAAAATATTTTCGATGTAAGCCGTCGTTTCACAAAGATAATATGAGCTCTTAGACCGGTGTCGTGTAACAAAAGAAGAATTTTTTTTAAAAATATATATATATAAAATAAAATAAAAAGGCATTAACGGAACGGAGTGCAAGTTTGATTCTATTGGATTGGATTCCAGCAGGAAGCTGGAATGATTGATATAGATTGGTGGATTGGTGGATTGGTAGATTGCTGAATTTCTGAACTAATTGATATCGTTATACACATATACATGTATTGTTTGTAAAGCGAAAAAAAAAGACAAATAATCAAAAAGGGCTCTAAGTGACATTTAGTGTATGGAACTAGATGCTGAGAATCGTATGATTCAAGCACAAAACACCTAATGACATTAGATCAGTAGTGACATATTACATATCAATATCTTAGTCTGTATTGAACGTACATGTATGTTTATAGCTTGGATTTTGGTCTGATTATTGTACTAGTCTCCTGAGTTGCGTTTAATAAGAAAGAGTATTTTGGACAAACAGGCGATTTTAAATAGTCTGTCACTAAAAGCACGTACAGAGAGAGAGAGAGAGATAGTCGCATTTCCATGACAACTTTTCTTTTTTTTCCCCTTCTTTTGTAATACAACATTACCGATCTACCTGTTAGTCTTTGAATGCAACAAAAAAAACGTTGCCATGGAAATGCTGTTTTCACACCACGCCATCTAAGAATAAACATATATATATATATATTATTGTTACTATGGTATTTAGGTGGCTGTTGATATTAAAGGTTTAGCCGTTTATTACAAGCTCCAGTATTCCAGAGTATCACACACATACACAACAATACATACATTAATATATAAATACATAGTGATATATAAATATAAAACAAATTGAAGAATTTTTTTAAAGGTTAATAAAGAGGTTGATTTGAACAGGTAATTTTGGATATAAAGAAGCTTCTCTCTTTTGCTGCTGTTGTCCAATGATTTATTTTTAATTGGTAATGGTGTATAAAGAAGAGATGAAGAGTAAACAGAGAAAGAGAGAGGAAGAGAGAGGAAGAGAGAGCGAGAGAGAGGGGGGGTGAGAAAGAATGTTCAAATGATGGTTCCCTTTCTTGGGGTCAGCCCATGTTTGCGGAACAAGGCAAATAAATAGGAATTTTAAGGGGAGAGCGTGTGTAATTTTTTTTTATATGTAAAATAAATTTGGCTCGGAATTTGCAGGAACACTTTTTTTTTCTTTTTCTTTTGCGGGAGTTGGATAGTAGGTTTGCTTATAAAGTGAACAAAATTTTCACTTGATTATTTATTTTTTTTGATTTCTTGTTATTTATTTTAATTATCATTATTTTTTGATCCACCAAGCCATATTACTCTATTTCTCTTCTTATTTGTTCTAGCTACATATTTTTATCTATTGATTGATTAATAAAGGAATAAAGAAATAAAGAAATAAATACATTTTTATATTCCTTATGCCACTTCACCTTCAACCAGAGCCTGCGCACGTCTTTAGAGTGCCTGCACCTTCTCAGGACTACTATTATCCTCATTTGTACACCGGCTCTTGTCCATATTGCTCCTCCAGTACGACTGATTACACCTACACCTATGGCGAAGATGGCTGTCCTGCGTCGTGTGGACAACGGCTGGATTCTATAGCTCTGTCACGATTCGACGATGACTATAGCTACAGTGTTTCCTCAATGCCCATCGCCACCCAACGGCCGTTCCAGTACAACTACCTCCTTAACCTCTTCACTGCTCCTGACATGAAGGCCTACCTAGCCCAAACTTCCTTTACCGAAGATGTCTATGGCCTGCCTCTTCACCTCCAACGTCTGATCAGCGAGGCCAAAGAAGAAGTCGTCTTGGTCCAAACAACAGAACAAACCAGTCTAGCCTTGAACCGATTAGAACTTGTCCGCAAATATATCTGGATGCAGTCAGACGGCGACGTTGCCTCGCTCATCATGGCACTTGTTCAACTGGTGAGCGACGAAGATGATCTTGGCCACATGCTTGACCAATAAGTATCCCAAAAAAAAAAGATACATATATATATATATGTATATATGTATAATATACTATACATACATATACAACTTCTTTGTTTTATTCCCACACGCACCCCTTGTTTTCTCTTTCATATATATTCTTTATAACCTTCCAAAGAAAACAAGCAAAACCACCCCAACCAAGCCAAACCAATTGTACACATCAAATTACATACATCGCATTATTTCATATCCCCATATTCAACATTATTTTTTCTCTTTGTTTCTTAAAAGGAACCCACATTAATAAATATACATACATATAACATATAACATATAAAAGTATATGTAATGTGGGGAAATTCGTTCAAAGTCTAGGTGTATTTTATTTTTGAAAAAAAGAATATTATTTCCAACAATACATGTACAAATGTACGTCTGTTTATCATAATGTGCACATGTACATAATACACAAGTCACCACTTCCCTTAAAACAGCAATTTAAAGCTTGCTTCTGTCGCTCAAAAGTATCCTCTTGAAATGAATTGATGACCTTTGTAAGACAGACTAGTTAGCCCCGGAGATGTGTGCAAAACAAGATTGGGCAGCTGATGAAGGACAAAGAGTGTTCAAACTGTCGGTATTTTTTTGATTATTATTTTACACAAGATATATTCTTCTTATTCTTATTCTTATCCTTAGTATTATCTATAGAATCAATCAATAAAAAATAATAATAAAAAAGATGTATAAATGGTACAAATTCAAAACTGGTTCAGCCATTCAAAAGGTTACACGCATACTGTCAAAGCCATGGGAAGCGGCCATTCCGAATATTTCCAGGCAAAAATATCCATCTTTTTTGCTTTGAATCAAACTTTCTTCTTTTCTCAAAATGGACCAACTTTGGCACGTGTGGATATAAAGAAGACTCGCACACACACACACACACACACATATATATATATATATATTCATTCGCATGTATACTTTACATATTAAATACTTACTCAAATATTCAGTACGTTTATTATTTATTTTATTTTTTTTTATTTTTTTTAAAAAAAAAGAGTCTATGAATCATTCTTAAAATATATGTATATACAGAATATAAAGAATCTTTGTTATTTTCATATAGGGATAATAAAAGTAAAAAGAAAAGAAAAGAAAATAAAGCAGCTCAAAATGGTACTACTGTTTCTTTACAGGCTTGGTAGTAGCAGAAAAGTATGAATTGAATAGACGGGTCGCATCATTTGATAATTGTGACCAGGTAATTTGAGTAGACATAGTCGTTGTTTTTCCAGTGACAGGGTCAAGTATAGGTTCTGGATTATTCAACCAGTCCTCTAGTGCCTCTGCATTCCATAGGTTTGCCTTGTAAAACATGTCCAAAAAGCTACCGGCCACTGGGATCATACCGAGCATAAAATCTATACAAGAAAAATTGTCAGCAAAATTGGTTATCGTCTTACTATTAACCAGATTCCATTGTATTGTATTGTATTGAATTGCATTTGATTTAGTTATTTACCAATAAACACATTGAGAAGCATTCGTAATAAGAGCCATAGTGGGATACCAAATTGAGTGGACAGGTAGACTTTGATGATAATGATGTAATTTAATATCAATTGAATTGAATTAGATTGAATTAGATTTGAATTAATGACCACACTATTTTATTTTATATCATTTTTCTTCTTGTATCCTTATCACCATCGCCATTATAATTCTCCTTATCCTTATCGTAGCCAGGTTTGCTTTCATAGGATGATATTGACTGAACTTACTTTGATACATTGCAAACAAAGAACCCAAGAAACCTCCAATGAATGGAATTAGGCTCTGTAGCCAAAAAAAAAATAACACAAGAAAATTAGTTTGAACTCAAAAGTTTGTCTTTTTTTTTTAAAAAAAAAAACATACTAAGAAAGGGTCCAGGCCTAGTGGAATTGGTGACCCAGGAACTGCACTATCAAGCCAGTGTGCAATCTGCTTGATATTTCCAAGCTTCTTTGTCTTTTGTTCAGTGCTCAGTGGTTTGTGTGGTGTGGTGTAGTGCAGATATGGATAGCGGATTTCAATAGACGTGATCTTTGCAGTTCCCTTTAGTCGTATCTGTTCCATCTTTTCGTTGACTCCCATGTAACTATAGGCCAGATTTTTCATCATCTTTGAAGAATTGAATACAAATAAATAAAAATAGATAGATAGATAGTCGAGAAAAGTTGTTGATGCTATAGGTGTATATTATATGGATTGCTCAAAAATCAAAGCAAGAGTTATGTTTGATAACAGAAGGAAGAGAGGTGCAATAATCAAGAAATAACTTTTTTTTTAAAAAAAATATCCTTTTTCCTTATATACTTATTTTTTTTAAAAAGAAAAAATCTAGCAATTATGTCAGTTGATCCATAAATGAAGTCAAGTCGGGCACATATATATTATTTTTCATTAACCCTGTTTATGTGGGTTTAATGATAACCATATAAAAAAAAATTGTATGACATATGTATAAAGGAGACTATAGTTTTCCTTTCGTTATTTTTTAACAAAACTATACAAAGACATATTGTTGATTATAAGCTGTCTGCTATAGAAACATGTCTATTTGCACTTCATAATTGTTCTCTCATACTACAATACATCCCAACCAGGGATCCAATATATCAGTTTTACTCTGATGATGAGAAAACTAGATTTCTATTTATGTTGAAAAAAATTAATAATATTAAACGCCCGAGTTCTTCAGCTGCTGTGAGACAATTTAGGTATTCACATTCGTGGGAACCCAGAGATAGGGGAGGGGGGTTAAGGGTAAGGGTAAGGGAAATCAATATCATTATTATAAAGGTCTGGAAAGCATCTTTGAAATAAAGAGCAATTTAACTTTGATAAGAATCCTACTTTTGACTTGTATCTTTAACTCAAATTTTATAGCAATATTTACATACAAAATATTTAAAAGTCTCAACTTTTTTTTTTAAAAAAAAAAAAAAAAAAAAAACAATAATAATAATAATAGTATTCTTCTTTTGCGAAAAGCTTGCAAAAATTCTAGAGGTTTCATAGGTAAAAATAAAATAAAATAAAATAAAATAAAAGTGACACCTCTTACTGCGATTAATTTTATCCCATTCACTTTACCCATCCGCCCTACCAGCCAAATTGTGTTTCCTTTTGGTTTCTTTTGTGATCTTGCTCTTGTACAACATCATGCTAATAAATCAGTTCTGTGGGAACTAGTATTATTATTATCATTATTATTATTTTCTGCTTATGAACTATTAAACTGTAAACTCGTTCCGAGAGAAAATAAGAGGGATCTTAAAAGTGGTACGGCGTAGATACAAAGACAGAAAGAAAAATGTCCTTTAGAATTTAATTGATATTGATAGGATTTCTTTAATGTGCTATATACTGTTGGGGGTGTATTCTTATTACCACTAGACACTTAACTGTCAAGAGTTTCTTGGTATTTTGATCTACTAATATTCTTTTATGAAATATATATATATACTCAATTTTTCGAGATTTTTAAGATTACAATCTTGTTGTTGTTGCGAACTCTGACTATCAAAAGCTATAAAGACTCTAAAGACACACCATTTCCTCTTTTCCGAGGGAACATAAGAAAAAACCCACTACTCTCTTTGAGCCTGAAAGACTCTCTACAAAATAAAAGTCATGCATTACCGGAACAAGTACCTGATCAATTCAAATCAAATTAAATTTTGTTCCTTCTTGGGAGCAATTATAGAGACAAAATCGTCAAGCATTTTTTTTTGAAAAAGAAAAAAATAATAGAAAAAAGACAGGAGATTGGAAAGCGTCGTAAAGATAAAATGTTCTTTTTTTTTAAAAGAAAAAAAATCAACTGAGGGTTTACTTATTAGCATAGCCAACATCCCATTTTTTTTTAAAAAAAAAAAACACTGTGACCTCTACAGAATAATAATAATTATAAGAGGATATATATATAACAATAATATTCACCTCTTGGGCTTTCTAACGTGCTTATTACTGCGTGTGTGTGGTTATTGAAACACTACCAAATCATTCCAATTGACATATTCTGCATGTGTTTGTTCAGCTATCAGTAGAGTATATTTATCCATCAAAATAATATTACTATTGCTATAGGTAAAAGTGATAGCTCACTACCGGTACATAGAATACCACAGCATGTATTCATTTTCTTTTATTGTGGTCAAGCTGTATCAAAAAGCTCATTAATTACTAATGTAATGTATATAGTTATACAAGTGAGAGCATGAGAGATAAAGCTTGGACCAAATGGTGTGTGACTCTGGTTCGGGGACATATGGAAATAAAGCCAGAAGATCGACTGTGGATCAGGTACGGTCTGTGGGTTATATCTAATTAGTTTTTCTTTAACTGGTCCTCAGAATTTATATTATATTATTTAAATAATACTAATATTAATACTTTGAGTTATTAGCCCTTAATGTATTGTACTGTATTTAAAGAGTATTTTCTGACTACAGATCTATATTTATATATTTTCGTCTTGCTGAAATAAAAGAAGGGCGGGGGGAGAGGGTCCAATAAGAACTGACTCTAAAGAAGACGGATAGACTCCCGACCATCAAATCTGGGCTTAATTGTTAATTATTTTAAATATCTTTTTTGTTGTTACTATTACACTACTGCTATTGTATTCCGGTTTTATTAGACAATCAATAAATAAAAATAAAAATAAAAATATCCTAATAAACTGGGTCGGTATACAGATATACGGATATACTTATAGTCAATATTAAATTTAGTAGATAATTCTATCCTTGCATTTTATTTTTATTTGCGAATAAATAAATAAATAAATAAACTTTTCTTTAGAATAGAATAATAGTAGTAAAAGTATTAGCATTAGCATTAGCATTATTATTATTATTATTATTATTATTATTATTATTATTAGTAGTAGTAGTAGTAGTAGTAGTAGTAGTAGTAGTAGTAGTAGTAGTAGTAGAAGAAGAAGAAGAAGAAGAAGAAGAAGAATTAGTATTAGTAGAATTAAATGTAGAGAGATGAAGAAGAGGAATATAGGCTGGAAGAACGATAATCACTAGCATTAAATGGTTAAAACGAAGGAGGGAGGGGAATTGTTTTTTTTTGAAGAAAAAAATATATAAAGAAGAAGGGTATGGAAGAGAAGAAAGAAAGAGAAAAGGTAGTATTAGTGTTAGGATCAGAGTTGGTGGCAGACGGTAGCTATTATTCATGTTGCTGTTAATGATGTCGATGTCGTGAATATTACGCCATACTATAGACTGTGGTGGCTATAGAGTCGGCCGAGGTAGATGAACGACCATCGTCCAAAAAGCTGTGAGTATCTGGAGGTAGACCAACCGACGCTTTACCAACCGATGAAGAATCCAATCCAATTTCTTGCAAAGTAGGTGCCAAAGAACCCATTCTGATGAGATGAATGAGAATTATTTGTAAGCAAATAATATACATTGATATACATACATATAATGCATATTTGTTTTTGCTTTTGGGCGTTAATTCTAACCCTGTGTTTATATCATTTGAAACATTTACCTTGCTAGAAACATCTGCAGCTTTAATCGCATGCATTCTTCATATATGGCTTCCACAGGTCTTTGTCTGTAAGAACCCATGCGGATCGCTCGGATAAACAAAAAGAACTCAATCACAGACATCAACCTGTCGCGGCAATAGCGATCGATACAGGTCCATGGGTCGAAATAAGAGATTCGAAAGCGATACTTCAACACCGCCTCACGCTCGTCTTTAGGTACATGCCGCCCACACGCTCCGCATCCAGAAAAGCTCGGCGTTGCTGTGTTACTCGACGAGAATCGACTCCACAGTCGGGTTGTGGTAGACATTGAAGAAACCGGCTGTGGTCGCGTGCCATAGGAACCACCGTTTGTAGCTTCCATGCTGGCTTGGGAATTGGCAAATCCCTTTGGACAAACTTCGACAAAGCATGTCTTGACCTGAATGGCTTCAATGATCTTCTTACTCGTCACACGAGGCTGATTTCCAAAGCGCAGACAGGGCTCAATGTCTTCCCGCAGACAGTGCTTCATAAATGGGTCGGCGTAGAGTCGGCGGAGCGAAATTGTGCCAAGTACACCCATAAAACGGCCAAATTCGTCTACCAGACTAGTGTCCTTAAAGTCCTGCATCTCCGTGTAGAGTTCTAGGTTGTGAAGCTCGGCTAGGTCGTGATGAGCCCGGGCCATTGAAGATAATGCAAATGCGGATGTGTCGTGTGTGTAGACTCGCAGATTCTCGGTGTTGCTGGCTACCTGATCGCCCACCAACGTCATCGCCTGACGTACGGTCTCGAGTTCATCCGTCACTAGCTCCAGAGCATTCTGGGTTTCTTTGAGCTGGTCTTCCAGTGCATCGTGTGAAACCTGGAGAAGTTTTTTTTCTGCTTGTTCGATTTGCATCATGTTGTGGACTTCCTCAAACAGGCGCTCGGTCAGGTCTTCCATCTCGAGCTGGACGCCTTTGGTAGCCTGTTTGATGGTCTCGATTTTTGATACCTCTGCCTGGTATTTCTGCTCGACTACCTTGAGGTCGTGGCGAAGGGAGTGCATCTGGTCTATGCAGCTCACCAGGGCGTCTTGTTTTGTTTCGTGACATTCTCTGAGATTTGTCAGCTCGGTTTCTAGACTGTCTTTTCTGGTGTTGAGAATGAGCAACTGAGATTTGCAATCCTCGATTGCAAGTTTGTGTGCTTGACGTTCCTGACGTGCCTGATTGATGCATGACGGCAAGGGTTGGTCACATAGACCACAATGGTCCGAGTCTTCCGAGACAATCAATTGCTGGCATGCGCATATGATGATTTCGGGGTGCTTGGGTGTAATGGGACTATCTGAGCTGCAGAGACTGTAAGGGTCAGAGGAGGTGGAGGACCTTGTGTCAGAGGGTTGTAGTGGGTGAGGAGTGATGCGACCAGGTTTGTTGCGTGTTGTTCTCTGTGCTTGGTCAATAGCTGTCTGAAGTTGACTATAGAGCTGAGCAATATTGCGATGGTGTTTATTTTCGTCCTGGTTACCAGGCAAATAAGTTGAAAGCTCATCTTGACTGGTCATGTATAAAAAAATAAATGAAATAAAAAAAGATTTTTAGATAGAAATTTTGATAAAGATATTGATAATGATAATGATAATGCTATATATATATATATATATAAAAGAAAATAAATATATATAAAAGAAAGAAAGAAACAGAGAGAGAGAGAGAGAGAAAGAGAGAAAAATAAAAAAAAAATAAAAAAATAAAAAAAATAAGAGGAAAAGGACTAAAATGTATAGGTGCGTATATATATATATATAGCATATACTTAAATAGATATTCAAACGTACAAATCTTACTATCTATTATAAATATACACACATCTAGATTTCTCTTTCTTTCTCTCTCTCTCTCTCTTTGTGTGTGTACTTGGCGGGCGATTATTCTTAGTATTCCTTGTGTTCACAAACATTTGGCCGGCTTATTTTTCGCAAAAGGAATTTCAACGGGCGCCACTTCATGGGCTTAATGCACCCGAACGGATAAAGAAGCCTTGTGTAAAAGACTTTATGGTTCTTACTGGTAGGGAGTACTTGGGAAACATTACACTACTCATCACGTGCACTGGCATAGGTAAGAAATAAGCCAGCCAACCAACCAACCAGCCAAGGTAAGCAAAAAGGGAAAGAAGTAAAGAAAGTAAGAAATAATAATAATAATAATCATAATAAAAAGGGGGGGAATATATCTCTTTATCTTGTTTTTTTTTTAAAAATATATATATATATATATATATTTCTTTAATTGGCTTGCTCTTCTTCTTGTATGATATATGTACACACCCTTTATATTAAATTATTTTATATATACATCTTGTTCTTTGAAATGTTATTAGATAAAAGAAAGAAAGAAAACTAGATTCTTTTTGGTTTTTGGTTTTTTTTTGTTGTTGTTGTTTTGTTTTGGTCAAGACGTTTGAGTTAAGGTTGATGTGTTTGAGTTTTTTTGTGTTTGGAAACAAGATTGGGTGATTGGATGGTAAATTTGGGTGAAAAAAAAAATAAGGAAAAATAAAAAGGAAAATTTGGTTGGTTGCTAAAAGGGTTTGTGCTAAAATATAAAGTAAAAAATAAAAGGGGGAGGAGGAGGAGAAGAGGTAGGTAGGTAGATAGGTAGGTAGGTAGGAGTGAAAATCCGTTTTGTTGTTGTTGTTGTTGTTGCGTTTCTTTTAAGCGAGTTAGTGGGTTAGCTGAGGGACCAAAGAAAGAAAGGGAAAAAAAAAGGCAATAATTTTTTGTTTTGTTTTGTTTTTTTTTTGTTTTCAAGATTTCACTTCTTCATTGTTGTTACTCTGGGTGGTTTTGGCTCTGGTTTTGGTGATAGTTGTTGCGATTATTGACTCTCTTCTTGGTTAGTCTCTGCGGAAAGACGACTGGTTTTGGATAACCTTTTCTTGAATTCTATGTGCCTCTTGTAATTTTGTCTGAAGTTCAGACGAAGCTTTATCGATCCATTGGAGCGAAGACAATTGAGAGTTGAGGATCTTGGCCACCTTTCCAATGCCATCCTCCTTATCGTCGTCAGCACTCTCGGGTTTGCTCGAAACTCCCATCTCGTTAATCTCGTCAATCATCACATTAAGGTTGCGGTTCACATCGTCTAACTGGCTGTTGATGCTTTCTGCAACACCATACGCATTCTCGCGGGTCTGGTCAGCGGGCAGAAGAGACTGCTGAATAAAGCCAGATTCCATTGCGTTCTGGAGTTGTTTTTCATAGTCGTCCAATACACGGCTCAATTCATCCTGGTGGCGGTCAACCAAGTGCATAGTATTGTTGATCTCGGAAAGCGATACCTCTACCTGATTAACACTTCCGTACAATTCGTTGATCTGTTTGTATTTGATTGTTTGTTTATATATACAAACATACAATCATTGTATAAGTATTTATTGAGGCTCAATTAGCTTTCGTTACACTTGATTAACATTCTTCGGGATTTTTTTTGTTCTTGTTAAAACTTACCGCAGAACCGTTCACAATCAATTGACGATCCCATTCAGACACCTGAGCTGCCTTCTTATGGAATTCATTGGTCTGTTTGGTAAGCTCACTGGTCCACATATTCAGCAGCTCCTCCATTGTCATATTCTTTAGCGATGAAGGTGTCTGGACAGTCACTTGGGTAGCAGGTGTGGTTGTTGATGTGGTAGAAACAGCGGGCTGTGTTGTCAGTGTAGGAGCAGGAGCGCCGATAGTTGTGGGAGCTATGTATTATATATATATATGGGTGAATAAATTTCTTTATGCATTTAATTAAAACAAAGAGCTTACGAGCAGTAGATGCGGCTGGCTTAGCACCGAATGAGAAACCACCAGCAGATGGAGCGGCAGAAGCAGCCGACGAGGCAGCGGCAGCGGCAGCAGTGGCGCTAAAACCAGTGGCGGGTGCAGCGGCTCCACCAAACGAGAATCCTCCAGTTGAAGTGGCTGGGGCTGGGGCAGCAGAGGCTCCACCAAATGATAAACCGGTTGCGGGTGCGCTAACAGCAGGAGCTGCTGCACTTGAAGCACCACCAAATGAAAATCCTCCAGGTGCGGCTCCAAATAGACTGCTAGAAGGTGCGCTGGTAGCGGGTGCACTTGTAGCAGCGGGCGCAGCACCAAATCCACCAAATCCACCAGCGACGGGAGCAGAAGTAAGTGTTGTGGCAGGGGCAGCAGAGGCACCTCCTCCTAGCCCACCAAACCCTCCAACAGCGGGTTTGGCAGCTGCGGCAGTTGCTCCAAATCCTCCAAATCCTCCAGCAGCGGGTGCGGGTGTGGAAGTTGCACCGAATCCTCCGGCAGCAGGTGTAGAAACAGCAGTGGCACCGAATCCACCGAATCCTCCAGCAGCAGGTGTGGCAGCGGGTGCAGCAGCGGCACCGCCGAATCCACCGAATCCTCCAGCGGCAGGTGTGGCAGCAGGTGCGGCAGAAGCTCCACCGAAGCCTCCGAATCCTCCAGCAGCAGGTGCAGCAGTAGAAGCACCACCGAACCCACCAAATCCTCCAGCGGCAGGTGCAGGTGTAGCAGCAGCAGCACCTCCAAATCCTCCAAATCCACCGGCAGCAGGTGCGGGTGTAGCAGCAGCAGCACCTCCAAATCCTCCAAATCCACCGGCAGCAGGTGCGGGTGTTGCAGCAGCAGCACCTCCAAATCCTCCAAATCCTCCAGCGGCAGGTGCGGGTGTAGCAGAAGCACCGCCACCAAATCCTCCAAATCCTCCAGCAGCAGGTGCGGGTGCGGGTGCAGCAGCAGCACCGCCACCGAATCCTCCAAATCCTCCAGCAGCAGGTGCGGCAGCAGATGCGTTACCGAACGAGAAACCTCCAGCTGCGGGTGCGGCAGCGGCTGGGGCAGCATTGTTGCCAAATGAAAATCCACCGCCTTGGGGTTGACCGAATCCTCCAGCTGCAGCGGGTGCACCACCGGTATCTAATTCAAGAAACCAAATAAAAAAAAATAGTAAGGTGAATAAATATATATAGTGTTACATGCGCATACAATTTGCATAAAAAGAGAGAAATGAAATGATTGATTTTTATATTTCTAGTTAATTAAAATACTAATGAAGTTGCTCGATTGATGAGCGGATTCTCGTTGATTAACAAATAATTTCGGTTTTGGTAGATTATCCTGTTGCTAAAATGAAAGTAATTAGACGTACTTTGAGCGCCAAATCCACCAAATCCACCAGCTGCTGGTTTATTTGCGTTGTTTCCGAATGAGAATGCTGCGGATGGGTTCAAATGAAGAGATATGGATGATAAAGTCGTATATAAATATAAGTTTATATATATACATATAAAAGAGAGAAAGAGAGAGAGATGTATAACGTTTTGTTTTTGTGTTTTGCTTTAGTCAATGTTTTGCTTTGTAGTAAATAATTGTAGGTTCAACAGAAATGAATTGACAGGTACAGGTTAATGTCTACAAAGGGGAGTTTTTTTTTGACCTTCTTTTTGTGGTTTTTTTTTGTGGTTTTTGGTTTGTTCTTTTTTTTTAAGATGAAAAATAGAAATAGGCTTGATGAACTAGGTGGCAATTATTACCCATGTGCTTTCAGGATGCCTTGTGTACGTGAGTGTGTAGTACGTTCAATGAAGGAAGAAAAAAACAAGTCGTGTTTTTCCCTTGACACCAAGTGCACACGCGCGCCATCGCAAAACAGCCAAGCTACGTGACGTTGAATTCATGTGACTTTGATCAAATAAGCGGACAATGAACAGCATAAAACTATAATGGAGAAAGCACAAAAAGAATGGAAAAAGAATAAACTAGAGGAAGAAAGAAAAAGAGAAATTGAAACAAGATTTGTTGAAATAAAAATAAAAGGGATCTTTCGCTTCAAGCCAAAATGTCTACAAGAGCTATACAATTAAATAATTAATTGGCTAATCGATTCTTACATAATGTACATAATATATCTGTATTCTTATTCTACTCCAATTTATTTTTCATAGTTTTACTTTAGAAAAAGCAGGTACTCCTATGATATGTGTGTATGTGTTTTTTTTTTGGTAACCAGGTTTTGTAGCCATGGCAACCTTTGTTTTTCTTTTAGATTATTATTTTCTACATTTTATAAAATATTGAGGCGTAAGAATATGGATATAACCTTGGCTTAAAATGCGAATTTTTTGTTCTCAAATGCCTTTTACTAATAATACACATATATCTATCTATATATCCATAAAAAGCTGGTCTTACAATATGTGTATGTAGGTGTTAATTATAGATATTCAATTAGGCTTATCTTTTAAAGAAGTATTTGTCTTTCTCTATTTATCTTTTTTCTTTAAAAGTGACATTGTATATAATATGAAAGGTGGCTCATGCATGCAACATGTGTAATTCTTGTCCTCTACAAATATCTTTTTAATAATATTATTATTATTATTAATTTTTGTTTTTGGCTATTAACAAAGTTTTCTATTTGGCTTGTTTATTTAATATAATAGTATTTAATTATTACTTTTAATTATTAGTGCTTTATATGGAACACTGAATAAAGAAGAGATATACATAAAGAGAGAGAGAGAATATTGGCCCAAAAAGAAAAAAGTATGTATGCCTTTCAAATATCACTACTATTTTAGATTCGCTTGTACTTCAACTTCAACTCCAACTTGCAATCAAAAAGTTCTCGTTTTCACATAGAAATAAACATCCCCCGCCCCTCTCTCTCTCTCTCTCTCTCTCTCCTTACAAAGTACATCCTTTCTGATCTTTTTGTTTTGTTTTTTGCAAATCAATTTTATTTTTTATTTCGATTTCTTTTCTTTTCTTTTCTTTGTAGATCTTCATGGAGTGCATATAAATTACGTTTTAACCGAGGATCTTGTTGGTATTATTGTTACTATCAGCCATACAATTATTATTATTATTTTGTGTCGCATGGTTGTGAATGGGCTTGGTTTACTTTGATACCATAAAGTGAGATGTAAGGAAACTCAGAGATTGAGAGTTAATTGTGTCCCTGAATAAGCAGATCCACAAAAATGAAAATTCACATCTTAATGCACATCTATTCCACTCTACTCTACTTTACTTTGCTTCGCTTTGCTTCACTTTTCCCCTCCAGCCACTTCACCGCCTTTAAAGAATCTTTATATATTTTCATAACCCAATAAGAAGGACATACTCTTTCTTTTTAAGAAAAAAAGGAGTACTTGCCGAACGCACAACGGTTATCATACATACATACATACATACATACATATATAAGGATATTGTCAGCCGTTGTTAATAAATACCCTGAATATTACGTATTTTGAGTGTATTCATTTTATTGTAATTTCCTATAGAACTTTCAACCCCTTCATCTTCCTCTTCCTCCTTCTCTTTTTCTTCTTCTTCTTCTTATTTTTTTTTTGTTACGCATTATCTTTGAGGCGTTTCTTAATTTATAGTTTACTTTTTGTTTTCTTGCTTTTCTTTTTTATTATTATTGGTACTGATATTAATTAAAAGAAGAATAAACCTGTAAATTTAGCTTTTATCTTAATTCACAGAAAAGTATTCACAAATATGTCTATCTGTTGCAAATAAAATTGAACTGTGAGCCTGGGGTGGGAAGAGAGATTTTTGCCTGAGAAAAAAAATGGATATAAACTGGTAGTACAATTATTGATTATTGATTATTATTATATATATTTGGTTTTTTATTTTTTTTGTTTGAGAATGAGGTATTAAAAAAAAAGATACACGGACAAGGCTGTCCAATAATTTTCCATGGATTTATCCAGAACGATGGCGTAGGGGTCAGTGTCCTCATGTAGAACCGTGACACAATCCAGGTAATAGTATGTGAAGGGCTCTCAATTGTACTCCGAGAAAAAGAATAAGAATAAGAATAAGAATATATATATATATATATATAAAAGTGCTATTAGTACGATATTTCCTTTATACTTGCAAGCACATCTATGTATGTGTGTGTGTGTGTGTGTGTGGCTAACAATAGCAATGCTAGTGTTAATAATTATGGCGATAACTATGACGGTAATGTTAATCATAAAGGAAGCCATTTGCCATTAGACAATATGTCCTCCCAAAGAATGGACTGTTCAATCAATGTGTAATATGTAAAACAAGAAGGAAAGTGAAAAAAAAACAGAAACCAATACAGCCGATCTTGTCCGACTACAGAACTTAAATTGAAGTCTCTAACTGCTTCATATTTATGTATATAGATCATTATTAAAATAATAATTTAGCTTTGGAAATTACTGACATTACGTTAGGACACGTGTAGTACATACACTCTAGTCAATAAATTACTACGGCATACTTTGTTTTCTTTCTTTTACAGGTTCAAAGAATAATGTTTTGCTATATCAATTCCAACAAGACCTTGATGTATAGGTTCGTTAGTCTTGTCTACTTATCCGATGTTGTGAGCCGATCCGACAGAATCTTGAGGGATATTTGAAATAGAACAGAAACTAATAGATATTTATGTCCATCTATCTGTCTATTTATCTATCTATTTGAGGCTTATATAAACAAAAAGCATACATACACACATTTACTTATTGATTTGAAGAATAATCTTTCTTCTTCTTTGTACTGTTTTACTATCCCGAAATACTTGCTTACACTAGCTATAATTGCCATTTGACTGGGGTGACAAGTTTGATAGTACGATATTCAAAGGGTTGTTTGATATGTCAGCATTGAATGTAATATATATATATATGTTATTTATTCCTTATTTTAGGTGCACTCATCAAAATACACTTGGTGGCCATGGTAACTGATGTGCGTTAATATTGTTTGTGAAACAGTGGATCTGTTTCCTATTCTCAAAATTGAGTGTGCTATATAAATATAAAGCTGGATTTTTAAATAAATAAATAAATGATTTTTGCTATTACAACTGACAGAATACTTTGGTAGTATAAATTAGTAAGCTTGTCTTTTGCGTGGAGTGTGTGTGTGTAGTGTATATGTGCGAAAAGGAGGAATAAGTAAATAAGTAAATAAGAAAAATAATTCCAGTTGATTTGTCAATTCAATATATACATATAATGTGAATATTTAGGATTAAATGAACATCGATCTCAATTATCCTCATCGAATTGCCAGTGTACAACCAAGAGAAAAAGACAAGATATACAAAAATGTTTCGTATCATTTATACGCGTTTTTTAAAAGCACAAAAAGAAAGAAAGGGAAGAAAGAACTGTATATATCCAAGCAAATCATTCAAGAGGTATAGTATTTTAACTATAGGTAAATAATAAAAATAAGAATAGGCAGCAGCAAATGTATATATATATATATATATATGTATATAAGTGTATGTGTGTTTGTATTGGTGAATGTGTATATATGTATATGTATATGTATATGTATATTTCTCTTCTTTTTTTTTACATTAAAAGGGTTGCAATGGCCATTTTCTGCCTTGCTGTCAACGGCTTTAAGGTCTTCGATGATGGCTTTGGTTGTTTGCGGTCCAGAGGAAGATATTCGGATGAATTGCAATAAAGACCTGGTTCTACAGAGGTTTTTTTATGGCACGCGCACTTTTGGTGGATACTCTTCTTCTGCCTTTGTTCTCTGCATTTTTCGCATTGGCTTGCTGGTCTGCCTTTCCGTCGGATTGGAAGTAGATGTCGGTCGGTGTGACAGCACTGGGAGGAGCGATGACCCTGTAGTATATAAATGTGTATGTATGTATGTATGTATGTATGTATGTGTGTGTGTGTGTATAGAATGTGTAAAAAGTAGACATATATAAATATATAAATATATATATATATATATATATATATGTTTATATACATGTGCGTGTGTATGTGCGTAAAAAGAGACAGACAGACACAGACAGACAGACATATAAAGATATATAAATATATAGATATATTTTAGTATGCATGATATCAGACCCAGAAGTACAATCGATTCACTTTATTTGACATGTATGGACCTTGATGCAGGCTGTTATTAGTTATTAGTGTTATTAATATTAATATTAATATAAATTATAAATATATATATATATAAAAATTAGGCATTTCTACTGACATTAACACTAATCATACTATTATTTTTTTATTCTATCATAAAAAATGAATAAAAGCATTCTAACTTATCGAACTCACTGGCACAGGCATATTTGACATTCTCAATCAGAATCATAATGGACTATAGAATTTGATAGCCAAGACTTCTTCTTCTTATTTCTTCTCTATTTTGGGAAGTCACAAAAGCAAAGTCAAAATATAGATAAAAGGAAAGCGAAAGAAGAGGAAGGAAAAGGAAGAACGAGAAAATAAGTAGAAGAAAGAAGAAAGAAGGGATCCCTTGATTACGATGATTATGATTATGATTATGATTATTATGATTATCTGAGAAATAAATAAATAAATAAATAAAAAAGGGGCGTTTTTTTTTTAAATAAATAAAATAAAATAAAATAATACCTTTATAAGTTCAATTCTCTCTTTTTCTCTTTTTCTCTCTTTCTCTCTTTCTCTCTATACCACTAACCCTGTTCCTCTTTCCGTTTCTCTTTGCTATACCATAAATAGTCATAAGATCTTTAGACTTCTAATAGAGCATAACGAATGGATAAAATCGCGCATTTAAGCTTAATACACACACAACATTAAGGATTTACACATTTGAGGGATTTTCTTGATGAGATTTTTTTTTTGTTTTGTTTTCAGGAATGGGGGTTCAACTAGAGGAAGTTAAGGTGAATAATATAAAGTTGGTGTATCAATGAGCTGATTTATTGAGGGTGTTTGCAGCAATCAGATTCTTACAAGAAAAATGTAAAAGCCCAAGATTTGGGAGCAATTATACAATAAGTTCAAGTAGACACTATACAGAATATACACCTATACAAAATGAAAAGAAAAAGGGGAGGTGGGAAATGAGAATCAAAATTTTCGAAATTTAGTGAGATAATATATTTTATTTATGTATACATATAAAAAGTTTGTACTGACTGTAGTGATGTCAATGATAAACCTAATACAAAAATTACCCTCTGATTAAGTTGATATTGTTGCCTTGTATTGGTGCATTGCTATATGGGTGTGTATATTAGATCTATAATTCATTTATCTGGGTATTTAATTAATCACACGGCTGTGCCTTCTTTAAGACAACACAAAACCAAAAGCAAGGGTCGGAGGTGAGGAGGTGATAGGAGAATTGAGTCAAGAGAGGAAGAGAGGGAGGAAAGGAGAGATACTTTGGAACAGTTACCGCGCCCACGCACATACATATACATACATGCAAAATGGAAATTATGACTATATATCATTATTATTTCTATTTATTGGATAACATAATACTATTATTTTGAAAATATTTTTAGAGGGTTACATTTTGAAGAGCACAGTGTTACACGTTTAAAGGATTGTGTGAGTACAGAAATCTGCACATGTAAGCACAATCTCCAGCCCAAAGAAATTGATCAGATTGAGAAAAGAATACTAGTTTTGAATATGAATTTGAGTAAGAATAAGAAGAAGTGTATTATATATATAAATTTATTAAGTTAATAAATAATGACAGAATATACATAAAGATATATATATATATATATTTATTAGAATATAGATATAATTTTTATGTAGGTATATATGTAGGTGTTTTATATATTTAGAAAAATAGATATACTCTATTGTGACAATCTTGGGTAAGAACAATGGACAGGGGAAGAAGTGGGGTCATTGTGATGAGTTTTGATCTTTCTTTTTTTAGGTTACAAAATTTATAAGAGAAAATAAAAACAAGCAAGCAAGCAAGCATATACATAAATTTGATATTTGTTATATACATAAAAAAGAACATGGTGGTCGGATTAATAAGTTTCATAAAGAGAGCTTCATCGTTTGGTTGGTATAAATAGATATAAGGTTTTGTACCTCTGGTATAATCGTGTGGCGCGTATGTGAAACATGGGCGTCTATTTAAATTGGACAGCCTATGGGATTATAATTTTAGCCTATTTAATTCATATATTTTTCTATTATATTTTATTTTGTAACCAAATCTGAGTGGCTGTGAATCCCCTCCAAATAAGGACCGCCTTTAATGTCCTTTATCTTTATAGTTTTGGGAAGGTTGATGTGTGCGTGCCTGTGCCTGTCTGTCTTTATGTCTTTATGTCTGAGCCAAGGTGTTCAATAATTTATTTATTTTTGAACAAAGCCTTGTTGATATTTATAAAATAGAATTACTGTTCTTAAAAAAAATTATTCAAATAAATATAAATTGTCAGTCGACAATTATCAAACACTCTCATTCTTCTACAGCTTAGATCAACTAAAGAACAGAATTCAATTCAATTCAACTCAACCTACTTCTTTACAAACACCACACCACACCACACCACACCACACCACACCACACCACACTACCTCACCCCACTTCATCTTACTTAACATCACCATCTAACCTTACCTCACCCTATCTTACCTCTATCCCTATCCCTATCCCAAACATCTCATAACCTCACAATCAAACCATTCTAACAATGTCAATCAATCCGAGTATCAGGGTCCACTCTCACGTGTCGCCGCCACTGCATTCAAGTCACTTTAATGATATCCATGATTTCCCAAAAATGGCGGAAACCTCTCATACACCAGTGCCTCATCCAATCTCTCCAGAGAATCACTCTGTCTATGGTGTCAACTGTACCACAGCATCCCCTTTTCAATTCCAGCCATTCCAAAGTACCTACCAGTCTACAACAGACTATCCCACACCTGTACCTATTTCTGCACCAGTTGTCTCCCAAGACGCGTTTCTCTTCCAACCACAGCAATGGGCATTCTCCAATCAAGACCCAATCCCCAAGCAAGATCATGTAAGTAATATGTGCATCCCTAAAAAAAAATCAGCTTGTCTAACTCTATTTCTCTAGTCTGTCACAACTCATTCAGTCACACCCATCCATCAAGATGACTGGTTTTCTCCCTTGATCGAAAGTGTACCATTGAATACAAGCATCACTCAATCACATCAGCAGTCTCAGATTGAAAGTCTCCAACGCCAGCTAGAGGAATCAAAGTATCTAGAGGAGCAGTACAAGATCCGTATGCAGCAATTGATGTCCATTGTAGATCGTCAGACCAAAAGGATTCTTGAATTGAGAGAGGAGGTCACAGTTCTCCGTCAAGGAGGACCCATGTCAATGGCATCTCCTCCCTAATACTTCATTTTACTTTCTCAATCTCAATCTCAATCTCTATACATACACACACACATACATACATACAGCTTTATCTACCTACCTACCTACCTACCTACCTACCTACCTACCTATCAAACGTATATTTACTCTTATTTTATGTCTTTTTCTCTCTTATTTTTTTTATCTATTGTCCTTTGCTTTTTAAATATCTTCTATGCTTATCAGTTCCCTATATCACTATTCATTTCTTATATTTCAGTGCATGCTTTTTCTTATTCTCTTTGGCCAACTTATGTAAACAACATTCTATTTATTCATTCTTTCTATTGACTTTACAACAAACACGACTCACTTGCTTACCATATTATCTATATATTCATTCTTTCTTTCATTTAGCTTTCTATTCATTCTTATTATCATCCTTATCCTTATCCTTATTCTTATATTTATCCCAATTATTATTATTATCATTTTTTTAAAAAAAAATAAAATAAATAAAAAATAAATATTCTTGAATTCAGTAAAGTTTTCCTAGACAAATTTTCTACAACATTTCCCAAAATAAAATAAAATAATAAATCAATGGCTGTACCTAAAATTGTTCATTCATTAATGACATTACGTGTGAGTGTCACCAAAAGAAATTAGATTTGACTGGTACAAATAACCTAAAAAAGCAAAAGTCAAAAAACACACACACGCACAAAGCCCAGAAACTTTGTGTGCAAAAAGATGCTAAAATACCCCGTTATTATCTAGAGGTAAATTATGTATTGATCTTTACGACAATTCGTTATTAATAAATCAAATTGACACAAATGTAACGTTTTGAACCCTTGTAATTCTTTAAATTTTACCTATCTATATATAACCGTTGATCATTACTATCATCATACTTATCATTATCATAATAGTAATAGTAGTAGAATATATATATTTGAAATACGTAGATAATCATCGGTTGATTTCTGGGCTTATAATATTAGTCTTGCTTACAAATGATGGGGTTTACAGCCTTGGGACCTTGAGTGAAACAAGGATATTATAAATATAAATATCAAAATTAAAATAAAAATTAAAGACAATAACAGCAATATATACATTACATGCACTGTAGCTCATTATCAATGCTTACTATCAATCAATACTATTATTAGTATTAAGATTTTGTTATTGTGAGTTTTCTAGATTATATCATACATTACTAGTTTAGCACAACAAAAGGCTGTGATTCAATGGAGTTGAAAACAGCTTTTTCTTTTTAAAATAATAATAATCAAAACAAAAACTGAGAGGGGAATTAAAGCCCTTGTAATTATGGATCAAGAATCCTCAAGAAAAAAAAAGATTTTGTCTCGAGTCTTGAGACTTGTATCTCACAGACCCACCTATATTTACCCCTGTACAAGAAACCGTTTTCTTATTTTTGTATATAGATACAAAATATAAAGAGGAAGAATAAAGAATAAAGTGATGCTGTCACAAGAGTAATACAGGTTCCCAAAATTTGTTTTGCGAGTACAATGAAGAGGTGCGCATTCGATGACTATTGGCTGCCAAAAATAAATCTCACGTACAACAAACCTTATATGCAATTATATAATAGCCATAATACGTTTAACACACAGAGAAAGAGAAAGAAATATCTTACCACTGTGCGGGCTCCCGGAAAGTTAATTGTGGAATTTGGAAAGAAACCAAAAATAAAAATAAACTCATAATGCAATTGCTGCTTTAGTTGTAAAATAAATAAATTATAGTCTTAATTTTTCAAGACTTGTAATGAAGGAAGAGTATCAAGCATATAAAGAAGTATATTTTACATTTAAAAATCTATGTTATCTAGACACAATACCTGGTCAAAGAATAAGCCTTTCAAGTCTTTTTCTCTCTCTTGTAAATCACACATATATATATATATATAATTTTTTTAAAAGAAGAATTCAATTAAGCAACGTAGATACTTGCTGTACACATGATTAATACCGGGAAAAAATATATATAATAAACATAAAAATAAAAAATAAAAAACAAATAAAGAAGAAACTAAATATAGTATTGCGCAAATATTTATATTTATATATAAAATTTGAGTCATGTTGTGAAAATATGTGAATTTCATAACATAACATAACATAAAATAACGTAAATGGTGATATTAAGGTTGTGATTTCTTTACCACTTTCTTATTTTGTTGATTACCTTTCTTATATATATATATTTAACTTGCTAATTTATCCTTCAATCATCTAAAGTTCTTTAACCAACAAACAAGCTACCCTTATAATTATGGCTACAGTTAATGCTGCTGCTGCTACTGCTGTTACCACTTGAAGAGCGTGATATAGGTGCCTTTGTGGCTATTGAGATAATTAAAGAAAGAAAAGGTTGGAAGTAATAGTATTTCATAATGAGTTGGGAAATGAAACAAATAGAGACGACCCGAAGAATTAGTGTTTTTGGTTTCTATGGTTACTTACCATTGTCCTATTTTTAAGCTTAGGCTTACACCTACTGATTGATTTATTGATTTATTGAACGAGAAGATGAAATTATCCACAACCTTATTTGCGCCTAAATAAGGTACAAAAAAAAGAAGAACAAAAAAAACCCCATTTTTGAATTTAGATTTTTTTTTTCGGGCAATAATTTATCTATCGTGAATCAGATACAAGGTAGTCACACTTGGTGTGTTCATTGTGAGCAAATGAGTGAGTGTTACAGAGGTACATATTTATTTATTTATATGTATGTATTTTTTTTTGGTATTCCCAATTTTGGGGGTGAATTCTTGTGCGCCTGTTTGTTTGCTTACTTGGTTACTTGCTTGATTGCTAGTTTGCTTATTTGTTTGTTTGTTTGACTACCTGGCTGCCTGCCTACCTGCCTGACTAATTGACTAATTGACTAATTGACTAATTGACTAATTGTTTGTTTGTTTGTTTGATTCATTCATTCATTCATTCATTCATTTATTAAGCAGATAGCTGGATTTAGGTAATCAAGTTACAAAACAAAAATAGATCAAGGTAAAAATATTTATTCAAATTTGTACTTTTACATACAAGCATACACGTAAGTTAAAGGAGAGTTATTTCTGTTAAGGTTTACGTGCGCTTTTTATTATTTCTATATAAAATACTTATAATACGACTATTTTTTTTTTCTTTCTTTCTGCTTTTGATTTTGGAATTGAAAATCTTGTGCTTAATATTTAAATATAGAATATAGACGATACTGTATATATATATATATTGTATATTGTATATTGGATGTATATATAACATATATTCAAATGTGTAAAAGAGATATAAAAGTATATATGCCGCTACGTCACTATTCATGTTCATTTTCTGCCTTTCTCTCTCAAAAGGGCATTAAGTGATAGGATTACAAAAGGCAAAGCATCTTATTAATTCTCTCGTCTGATTTCATCCCCTCCTCCACCTCTTTACCTTTTTACTCCACCACTATAACCAATACTACCCTTGTTTTAATTCTCTCGCCATTAAATACACACATATAAATTTATACTTCTTTAACAAACAACCAGCCAACCAACCAATAAATCAAGTAAGCGACCAAGCAACTAAGCAAAGCATATATTTTGATCTTGTTTATTTATTTTATTTTATTTTTTATATTGTACACAAAGAAGAAGAAATAAGAACAAGGAACAGCCTACAGCCTACAGCACACATACACACACACATACACATACATACATAAATATATACATATTGATATATTCTTATATTTATATATATTTATATATTTATATACATTTTCTCTCTCTCTAAATTTCACATATATACATACATACATACATACATACATACATACATATATATATATATATATATATATATATATATATATTAATATCACTCTTGTATTCTTATGCCTTCACCACTGGATCTTCCTTGTGTCAACTCTGACCTTTGTGTGGCCTCTTCCCCAACTAGTGTAATGGACGTCCTCTCGGCCGCCTTTCAGACCCAAGCAGCAGTCGAAGGTGTTTCTCATCCAAGACCAGTCATGGCCAGATCGCCTCGTTCAAGTCGTATCTCGCGCACTTCTCCTATCCTAACCTCCCGTCCCTCCTCTCTTCGAAGAAGATCATCCAACAATTTAGGTCGATATCGCTCGCACGATGGCTTTGAAAAGTCATCAACCTCTCGCAGGCGTGATTCAAATGGCATCCTTCTTTCCCATCTCGTCTCAGCCGCATCAAACTCTGAAAGCCAGTTGCGCTCTTTTGAATCCTCGCCTATAGTGGCAGAACCTACTCATCACAGCCCTTACCATCATCACAACACCAGTCTGCCTGTCGTCTTGCCATCAATGACCGATCTGCACATCCCTTTTAACACCACAAACAGCACCGAAAACATCACTCCAACTACCGCTACTACAGCCACTACTACCACAGCTCCAGACCATTCCCCACCTTCCCCGATTGTTCACTGCAACCGTCTCACCACCGCAAGTTCTTTACACAACTCTCGGCACAATCACTCGCCAATCTCTCCAGGATCTCCTCGCAAGATGATGGCCCTGATCGGTACAAACTCCTCGCTCTCGATCAACCGGCCGTCTGGTAAAGTCAACAAGCGAATTCCTGGTTTATTGGTCCCAACCCCTTACAGCCCTCACCACCTCTCGTCCGCAAACACAGGCGCAAACACAGGCATAAACACAGGCACAAGCACAGGTGCATTAACGACCGAGAAACCAGTCCACCAAGCCATGCCTATCACACCTGCCGGTCTGGCTGCGCTTAATGGTAGTAGTAGTGGTGATAATGGTGATAATGGTAGTGGACTTGGCTCTCCTGCCGAACACCGCTTGCAACCCCTCTTTATTGATATGCGCAGTCTACCCGAGTACGAAAAGTCCCACATCAACCAGGCAATCAATGTAAACCTGCCGACTCTTCTTATCAAACGATACCGCAGAGGCGCAGTGTCTAATTTTAGCCTCGAAAATTTTATCAGCACACCAGAAGGCAAGGAGTACTTTTGCAGGTGGAAACAACAATGGCTCAGCAACAAGAGTAACAACGAAGCCTCAATCGTGGTATATGATGAATACATGCACGAAGCAGACAAGTCGTCGTTTGCATGGACTCTTGTAGGAGTATTGGAAAAATGTTTCTTTGAATCCCCCAATACAAAACCAACGGCCTATCCACTCGGCATATCTAATCTAAAGACAATCATTGGGGGCAATGGTGCAAGTGATAATAATAACAGCAGTAATAATAATGGTAGTGGTAGTGGTAGTGGTATTGGTAGTGTTAATGTTAGTGGTAATAGTAACGGCAATGTTAACGGTAGCGGTAGCAGTAGCGGAAGCGGAAGCTGTAGCGGTAATGATATTGGTAGCAAGGGTAGTGAAGGTGTTAATAGTAGTGCCAGTGGCTCAGCAAAGGGGCAGATTTATTGGCTTGAAGGAGGCTATGCGGCATTTAGACAGTGGAGTGAAACAGTCTCCCCAAGTCGAGCAGAAACACCTCCCCTGCCGCTTCCACAAAATTCGTTTCTCCAGACAGATCCGTCTCCCAAACGGTCCTTGAGTCGTACGCTTCTACCAACCCAGTCCCGCAGCGCGACCACACTTTCAAATCCACCCGTCAGCACTACGAATGTGCAGCGAAGAGCATCTCTCTTTAGCCTCGATACTTCAAATGTTCGTCCAAAGGCTACTGTCGCTACCAATCGGCGTGCTCACGGTCACGGTCACAGCCATGGGCATGGCCATACTCATACCAATACCCACGCTCCCAAACCAACCACACTCTCAACATCAACTTCAGCCTCATCACAATTGTTAGGATCAAAAACAGAATCGCAAAAGCCTGCACCACAAGCATTGCCCCCCTTGCCAACCGCATCCTCGTCCTCGTCCTCGTCGTCTTCATTAGCGTCAAACCTCTTGAAGAAAACGGCAGGGATTGGCCTGGCAAGACAATCTTCCAAGAATGGTACCTGGCCATCTTCTTCAACAGACCATCTTTCGAGTATCGCCGAGAATAATTCACTCAGAAACAGACCAATGGCAAATTGTGTTGGTTCAAGCAGAGGAGGAATAGGCAAAAATGTAGGTAATAGTGAAAATTATGATGCCCGGAAACAACAGAAACAACAAGAAGATGACGAAGAGCAAGAGCTAGAAGAAGAAGAAGAAGAAGATGATGATGATAACGAGGAAGAAGAAACACCTACAGAGATGTACATGACTGCAATGTCAGGGGAAGCGACTCCGGAAAGTGAGTACTCCTTTGTCGTGTCAGAGATTGTACCAGGATTCCTTTATCTTGGGCCTGAAATTACCACACCTGATCAAATGGCTCGCCTGGCTGGGCGGTCGATTCGCCGTATCCTCAACATGGCTGAAGAGTGTGATGATGATGTGCCAGGTCTCAAAGAGAGATTTGTGTACACAAAAATTGCAGCACGCGATACGGTCGAGATGCGAAATGTAGACTCCACCCTCAGAATGGCCGTACATGTTATTGGTAAACATTATAAGAAGATATTTATTATAATTAGTATTAGTTTTACTCTTATTACAATGATTATAGCTATTATTGCCGCCGTCACTACTCCTACTCCTACTACTACTACTACTACTACTACTACTACTTCTATAATTATCATTATCATTACTACCATCATTGATATTAATACTGGAGCAGCAGCAGCAGCAGCAGCTATCGTTGCTGTTGTTGCTGCTATTGTCGCTGCTACTGTTGCTACTGCTGATATTATTACTATTATTATAATAAAAGAAGATGAGAGTGATGATTCAATTGAATCATTATTTCTTAATCTTTTCATATCCAAAATATTCATCTTTATATTTTACTATTTTTTTATTTACTTTTATTGGTGATCTATCTTTGTGAACTTGCTTATTCATTCATAATTCTCTCTCTCTCTCTCTCTTTTCTTTGTGTTTGTGTTTGTGTTTGTGTGGGATTGTGCGTGTGGGGGTACGTATATATATATATATATATATATATATGTATGGGTGTGGGATTATGTATGTGCTTGTGTATGTGTGTTTATATGTTTGTGTGGCTGGGTCTTTAGATAGTGCAAAGGACCATCATGAACCAATCTACGTACACTGCAAGGCTGGCAAATCAAGATCTGCGGCGGCTATTTTGGCATACCTGGTGTTGTCTGAACAATGGACACTCAAACGGGCTTACCGGCATCTTATCAAATCTCGTCCAACCGTGTCACCAAATATTGGATTCGTAGCCGAACTGATGAAACTTGAAGAAAGTGTACATGGTCAAGTCAGTAACTTTGCCGGTACGGACTGGCATCTCATCGACACCACACATCCACCAAGTCCAGATTCTCAACGAGAAATTGGCAAGCTCCAAAAAGCCTGGAGAGAGCAATCTAATCGATCAAAGTAAAAAGTAAAAAAAAAAAGCATAAAAAAAAGTAAATGCAAAATGCAGTAAATTTCTTTCTTTCTTTTTTATTTAACTATTTTTTTTTAATTATCATTATCATTATTAAAAAGAAAGAAGGCAAGAAAGAGAGTCTTGATACAAAATACACCCATACACTATATATCTTCTAAATGTATATCACAATCTTTTAGTATTGTTGCTGTTGAGTCTCTATTCTTCTTTATTGATCTTAGAACGCGTATTAGTAATATTGGTGTCAATAGTATTCATATACTTGGTTCAAGTAATGGCTAAAACGGTTAATTAGCATTTTAGCTAAAAGTATAAATATCTCAATATTTTAGTAGCCATGGAAACAAGAATTAACACCAAAAGCAAATATAAAGATTTTCTTTTTGTTTTTATATAAAAAAAATCTTTATTCCAAAAACAGTAATAAAAGAATACAAGTTTGGCTCTTTTCTTTCTCTTTTCTTACTGTTTACCCGATCACTGCTTAAACGTTATTCCGATGGTGTGCGAAACGATTTTCTGGGTACTATCTTTTTGTTTGTTTGTTTGCCTGTTGATTTTATTTGATTTTATTTTGAATATAAAAGAAAATATTGCTAGCAAATCATGGCATGAATAGCAGAAGAATACTGATAATCATAGCCCTTTGTTATCAAATATATCTATAATCCAACGCGAAATACAAACACACATACACAAAGTAAAAGGTTGCGGAACAAACTGACTTGTTATTTATAAATGGTTATTTAGGTTTTAAGTAACATATGTACATGTGTATATATTTCTATACTTTATATTTAAATATGGCAAAAAAACGCTACTACGGTAACTTGGATATGTGAATATAATGGTAGTAACCAATTCAAGGATTATTGCAAACCATTACATTCACAATTATAGAGAGGGTTGTATACATCTATATTTTCTTATATGTATCTTGAAATTATATACTCTTATGTATATGTTAAAGAAATAAAGACAATAGTACTAATAGGCGATAGTAAAATCTTGAAAAAGAAAGATAGGATAGAAAATTGAATGGAAAGCATATGTGAATACAGATATAAATACACAGACACACAGAATATATAACCATGGGGAACCCATCCCCGGGACTCGAAATTTTTAGATGACCTATTAAGACTCTATTTATTGTACCATACACTCATTTGTCTCTCTCTCTCTTTTTCTCTTTACTTTTTCACTCTTAATTTCCTCTATATCACTATCACTACTACTACTACTACTACTACCGCTATCACTATCACTATCACTATCGCTATCACTATCACTATCACTATCACTATCACTATCGCTAGATTCATCTCTGTCTCTCTGTATCTTTCGTAGTTTTTCACTGTTTTATGTTTCTGCTCGACTCAGTTTCGGCCAAGTATCATGACGAACCTTCAAGAGACCAACCAAGTTCGAGCCTAGAACCCCAAAAAGTCTTGACTGCAACTGAAGCAAGAGCTGCCGCAAAGGAACAGAAAATGCAGCAGGATGAGCTCGAAGCCTTACAGATAACCTTTTATGAAATCGAGTCCTGGATTGAAAAAACAACACCTGTTCTAGGACGTATGACTCGCGAACTAGATAAAGCTTCAGAACAATTTGACCGGCGACGTCTCAACGCAGCAAATACGGCCAGAACAGCCAACACAGCCAACACAGCCAACACAGCCAACACAACCAGTACCCAACAGAATGCGACCGAGACTCTCTTTCCTGCTCTTCCGATCTCTTTGGCTGACACTCTAACAAACGCTCACATAAATGACCAGCCCTTGATGCCCTGGATCCTCTCTTTCCAGCCGGGGAATTCACTTCGTCTGGACACAAACATCACTTCTGTAGACCAGTTAGTTGACGCCGTTCAAAAGATTGCCCTACTTACCGGGACTCCCCCTTCCAATTTTTCATCGGCGAACGGGACCGGAGAAGACGCCGAAATGTTGAGCGCTAATAACAATAGCAATATTACTAACGCACCTCTCCAGATCGAACTTGCGACCGAATTCTGGGCAGCTGCTCTCTCTCGTCACCCAAACTCTTGCCTAGAGAAATACGAGGATCGCGACATTAATATCGACGCCTTCACCCAAAATGTGCCTTCTTCAATAGTAGATTACATGTGTCGCGTCTATTGGGAGTGTCTTCACCCCAAATTTGCAGATGACATGGCCTCGTTTTATTATCGCTCAACCGACCCCAGACGTAATCAAGTTTGCATCGACTCTCAGATGGCCATGGTGCTTATACACGTTGTTCGACACGACAAGGATGTCTGTAAAGATGCCTACGAAGTTGCTTACTTTTACTATGAGCGTGCACGCCAGGCGATCGTGGATTCTTTTGATACACCGGACACATCGACTCTTGAGACCCTAATGAATCTGGCCATGTTTTGCGTATTGTGCAAACGCCAGTCTCAAGCCCGGATTTATATCAGTTTAGCCTACCGAATGCTGTTCGACATGGAGATTCACCCCACCTCTGGCCGTCTTCCCACCGATCCAAGGCTTCGACGAACTCACCTGAGGCTGTTTATGGTATTTTTTTATACAGACATGACCAGTGCCACGTATTCGGGTGAACCAGACCAGATCAAGTCGTTTGACACGATTGACTTTTATGAGCTCATCCAGCTGACCGAATTGCTTACCCAACGAGGACAGATCCAGATTGACACAAAGGCGCGCTGCAAGGAAACCTACGCGGTGCATTTTTTAGAGCTGGCCAAGATTGGGAAAAAGATTCAAAATCTTGCTGCGCAGTACCACCAGTACCAGGGACACCAACAGAAAGACTATCATAGTAACAGCAGCGGGAAATTGCCGCCCGCTTGGGCCAATCGTGTCAGGACATTAGAGATTTCTTTAGCAACCTGGTTTAGTCGCCTGCCTGCTCATTATCGCCAAAGCTCAACATATACGCCGACCAATACAAGTGGATATGTGAAAGGCCAGGAGATGGATGTTTCTGCACTCGATCAGCATGCTCGATTGCTGCTTCAGCTTGGGTACCAAAACCAATGGCTTTTGCTCCACAAGATCTTCTTGTCACCCAAAACCGGGGTCGCGTTTAATAGCCCCATGCCATTTTCTTCACTTCATTATTCTCAAACCTCTTATGGTATAATGGATCAGAATGTATCGGCAGCTACGGCAGTGAACATTGGTGTCATGCCGGCCTCGCCAGCTTCGGCGACTTCTCCGCCACCTTCTACACCACCGTCACACCAACAATATAATCAGCATCAACATCAGCATCAACATCAGCATCAACATCAGCATCAGCATCAATATCAATATCAATTCCAATATCAGCAACAACCCCAGCAAGAGCAGTTTTCAGATACATCTTTTACACAATGCGTTGAACGATCACACAAGATTTGTACCGATGCTGCCAACCGGATTGTCGGATTGTCGGAACTGATTTCAGAAAAGTTTGGGTGGTGCGTGTGCCAGCAATTTATCAACTGTATTTATCAGGCATCGACCGTGTTTTGTCGAAATAGCCTGGGACCAGACGAATACCATCGATTCCCTGCTCAGGTGATGCTAAAACGTATCCTGAGTATCTTGACATCCAGACAGGTGAATTACAACGGACTCCCGAACGATATCGCCACATGTCTTAATGAGTTTCTGTCTGAGCATGGGATGGCTACGACGAATAATGAACCCCACACACCTCAAGAAGAGGTCCAGGAGTTTGATACAACCACGACCACAATAACGACAACGACGACGACAGCCGAGAGTTATTTTATGGGTGTTGATTTTGATGATTCGCTTTTTAATTCACCTTTGATGTATCAGACTTGTAAAGACCAGCAAACACAAACACAAGCACAGTCTTTTATGACTAGTAGTAGCAGTGAAGTTACTTGATCCTGTTTATTTTACTTAATGCCCTGATCTTTTTTTTTGTTCATTTTTTGATACATGGTATATTTATTATAATTGAAAGCAAACAAAAAACCAACACATTCCCTCCACCTCCACCTCCACCTCCACTGTCACCTTCACCTTCAATCCTACCTCCTCACAAGCACAGTATCCTCCTTGTCTTTGCCTTTCTCACAAAACAATCTAAATGTCTATTGATTGACTTACTATTTAGTTATTATTCCATTGCGTTACTTACATTACTATTTCCTAGGAGACCTTGACGAACAAGGCAAAAGGCACAAACATCTATGTGTGTGTATATGTGGAAAAAAATGAAAAGAAATATATTGAGAAAAGAGAATGGAAGAAAGATATCTATACCATCAATTTTCTTTTTTACTTGTTTTTTTTTTTTTTACTTTTACTTTTACTTACTTTCTCTGTTAATATTCTCAATACTTAATTATACCTTATTCCTTCTTGTCAATCGGTCCCTCTGTTCTAATGGCATTTATCACTTACATTCCTACAAACCTTACACCCTACCTCTTTACCTAATAAACTCCTATACGTATATATGTGCATATCAGTACTAATGTTTCCTTATTAAAAATAGAAAGAGAATGTATCGGTGTTTGTTTTCTTTTATTGTATAAATTTAATTTACACTAAATGTGAAATGAATTTATATTATATAATATATATATAGAGAGAGAGAGAGATCTGATTTTCATATGTTTATTATTATTATTATATTTCTTCTTTTTGCTTCATTTATTTAATAATAATATAATAATAATAGTAATAGTTTGATAGTCTAGTGATACACACATACATTCTTTCTTTCTTTCTTACATTAGCATTTATAAGCACCCCCTTCCCCATACTTATCTTCAGCGTCATCTTCAGCGTCATCGCCATCGTCATGGAACCCGATACAAATCCACCCAATGCCATGCAGCGCTTGTACGCCAATTGTCAGAATGTAGTTGAAGAGGCAACAGTTGCTGTTCTAAGCAAAGGAAGCATCCCTCGTCACATTGGATTCATTCTTGATGGCAATCGACGATTTGCACACAAGGCTGGTGCAAATTCTACAAAGTTTGGACATTATGAAGGATTCAAACAACTTGAAAAGGTAAAACTATAGATCTACTTTATCAAAGTAATTATAATCACAATCAATATAGACAATTATTTAACAAAGATATATTTTATGATATTCGTCTAATTGATATTGATATCGATATCGATATTAATTTTAATTTTAATTTTACTTTTAATTTTTAAAATAAAATTAGGTTTTGGAAATTTGTATGAAATTAGGTGTTGAGGCTGTAACTGTGTATGCGTTCAGTATTGAGAATTTCAAAAGATCAAAGACAGAAATCGATTACCTGATGGAGTTGTTTCGTAAAGCATTTGAAACCTTTTGTGATAAAAAGTAAGTAAAGATGTATACATACGTTAATATTAATATTTATTTATTTATTTATTGCTAGTGCACTGGTGGCTGAATATGATATAGGTGTAAGATTCTTGGGAAATCTAGATTATTTACCAAAAGACGTTGCCGAAGTAGCACGTCGAGCAATGGAAAATACAAAGAACAACAAAAAGTAGGTCTCTTTAAACATTACATTTGGGGTTTATAAAAGCAAATTATTATTTATTTAATTATTTAATTATCATCTTTTATATAGACGCATCTTTAATATCTGTTGTCCTTATACTTCCCGTGATGAAATGACAACAGCTATCAAAGAAACCGTTCAATTGGTACAAGACAACAAGATAAATTTAGAGTAAGTTATTTATTTATTGTCTATATTCAAAAGACTATCATAATCATCATTCTTTTTACTTTATCTTAATAGAGATATCAACGAGGATTTAATCAGAGATCACCTATTTACATCCAAATGTCCACCTCTTGATGTGTTGGTGAGAACATCTGGTGAGATCAGACTAAGCGACTTTTTGCTGTGGCAATCCAACAATGGCTGTCAGATCCAGTTTGTAGATTGCTATTGGCCAGAGTTCTCATTGTGGAAGTTCCTACCGATCTTACTTGAATACCAGATCTATCACAACCAGGCAAGTACTTTTCTTCTTCTTTATTTCTTTATCTTCTTCTTTGTTCGTTCATTATGTATTCTTCTTCTTCTTTTATATATAAATATACTATAATTTGCTTATTTTGTAATTTTGCAATTGATGAGTCTTTCTTTCTCTCCCTCTCTCATTATCCTTTGTATACATTTGTGTGTGTATGTTTCTATTTGATCACAGTTTTCCAATTCATCATGAACAATCAATTTATATCCTATCATCAAACATCAAGAAAGTCAAATAGTAACCAAAATATAAAAAAAAAGAGAATAAATCAATTATATATCATCATCATCTTCTTCATCATCATCATCATCTTCATAATAGACAATTGATGAATGTGTCAGCTCTAGGGCAAGACTGGGATGACTGCTGCTGACCGAGTGTGATTGTGAAAGTGATGGAAAGTAATCTGGATCCAAAGCCTGGTTTCCACAACCGGGAGTCATACAAAACTGCGACGAGGTACCGGTTTGGTAGGGGTAGATGCTTTTTGGTAAGGTCATGACGGTTTCGGCCGAAAGACGAGGAACGACATGTGTCCAGGCAACATCTGAACCAAAAGTATGGTGAGAACATTGGCTCTCACGCTTAGCCAATGGTCTACTCCATCTTGAGAAGCAAGTCGGAACATGGGCGGGTATTAAACACATGGAATTCTGTGTGGAAATTGTCGTGCCAGCACCACCATTACCACCAGAACCACCAGGACCACCAGAACCAGAGCCAGAACTAGTAGTACCATTGCCAACATGATCGTGATCACCAGCACGATCACAAGTATTAGTACCAGTACCAGTACCAGTACCAATGCCAGCACCAGTACGATATTTAGTTCGAGTTCTAGTTCTAGTTCGAGTCTCAGTCCTAGTCCTAGTCCTAGTCCCAGTCCCAGTCCCAGTATCTGTGTCAGTGTCAGTGTCAGCCGAGTGTTCCGAATTATTTAGCCGGGTGTCATCTTCAGCTGGAGAAATCTTGTGGTGATTGTAGTAATTATGGCTGCAGTGGTTTGGGGGCGGGTGGAGTGGAATGGATTTGATAAAAGTGTATCCACGAGGAAGTAGATCTTCAATTGGTTTTTGTTGCAGATAATCGTAATTATTGAGATTGGTATTGATATTGTCGGGATTCTGAGGGAAACTTTGTGTATATGGGTGCGTAGGTGTGCAATTGTAATTGTAATTATAATTGTGATCAATAATTGTGGGGGCATTGGTGAAAGTGGCACTTTGGAGACTGATGTGATCGGTTTCTTGTGGTTGGGTGGGCGATTTTTGTATGAGAAACAATAGCAGTATTGTTGTTACTACTACCAACAGGCCGATAACAAGACCGAATAGGATGGTTTCTAGGCCAGGATCTGCGTCTGCACATGGCCATATCTGGGATTGACATGCATTTTTGATTTGTTGGTGGTAGTGGTTGTAGGAGACTCCAAATCCACTTGCTATCCAGACAAGTGCGAGTAAGGTCAATGAAAGGCAGACTGAGGGATGTAGTATGGGCAGGTGATAAGAAATGACGGCAAGGAACAAGGAAATATTGGACAAAAATACAAGAACGATCTTGGCTATCTGACCAGCAGTAGTTGCTACAAGACGGTTGTCTTTATATATATATATATATAAAGAAGAGAGAGAATAGTAAAAGATTGATGTTAGTTACGGTTGTTGTGGTCGAGTATTTGCGAATAGTAATAGTAATAATAAAAAAAGTCCAATTGAATAGCCTATATATATATATATATTTGTGATTCTAACCTGGGGTGTAAGAAAGGGAGGTTGGTGTGCATGAGCAGTGAGAGTCGTATATGGCACACTGTCCCCAGAGGCCAAAGGAGAGTGTGTGAGGTGTATCGGGTGTCGATCGGGCCAAACGAAGGCGTTGGATAGACATTGTGCTACGAAAAGAGCAGTTTTGGGTATTTGATGTCTCGAGCCAGCTTGTGAGCATAAGGATTAAGGCTGTCACTAGAACAAGTATGCCCACAGCTCGTTTAAGTGACAAGATCCCTAACATTATATACACACTATATAATATATATAATATATATATATATATTATTGCTTTTAATTAAAAGGAATTTTCTTATTTATTTTTTATTTGGTTGCTCTTTTATAAAGCAGAATATATATATATATATATATTTTAAATAATAATAATTACTGACAGCTGAATGACGACGTTTTTTTTTTTTTTTTTTTCTTTTTCTTTTTCTTTTTCTTTTTGGTTTGATTTGATTTGATTTTTAATCTCATATATTTTTAACACCACAGACAGACACAGCCAATCTTTTGTCTCTTTACAATGTCCGATATTAATCGTTTGATTTTCTCTCTGTATTAAAAGCCAATCAATTTAAAACCAACTTCTTTAAAGACAATTGATAAATTAAAGAAGTATAATATATAATTGGATAATTGGATAATTTATATTAATAATGATAAGAATGATAATGATAAGAATGATAATGATAAGTATATTATGTATATGTATATTTACAAGACAAATAAATAAATAATGTACAACAAGAAAGTGTAATTTCTAAAGGGGTGGTAAAAGATGCTTAAATTCTTCAAAATCAATAAATCCGTCCTTGTTTGTGTCTGCCTCATCCATCATGTCCTTGATTTCCTGGGGACTCATACGCTCTCCTAAATCAGCCATAACCTGTTCTAATTCCTGGCGACTGATCAGACCATCCTTATTCTTATCAAATTGTTGGAAGCAGAGCACAAGATCGTCCTGATCGTGGAAGACAGATTTTCTGATTGCCCGATGATTTGAAGCTCTAAAATATCCTCCTCTTTCTCTTTCTTCTTCATCGTCGTCTTCTTCGTTTTCAGACTCCAGAGGTGGGGTTGGGGGAATGTGTTCTGCCATGGCCTGGACGAATTCGTCAAAGTCGATGAGATTGTCGCCATTAGCGTCTGCTGCTCTGATGATTGCCTGGATCTGGACAGGATCGGTTGCGATTCCGAGAGCTTTGAGGACCTGAGCGAAACGGTCGAGAGGAATACCTCCGAGGCCTTTTGGATCATATAATTGAAAGGCTAATTTTATTGATTTAATTGATTAATTAATTAGTTGGCTGGTTATTTTTTTTTTTTTATTTTTTTTGGGATAATTGTCCGTAATGTTATCAGTACCTTGTTTAAGAGTTGCCATTTCTTCCATAGTGACACCAAGTAGGGCAGCGGTTTGGTTCATCATATTGAAATAGAGTTGGTATGTAATTGTGAATAAGGTAGAGGACCAAAGGGGTCAAGGTTTATTAGGGAAATCCAAAGGTAAAAGAGAAGGGGAGGTGATGTGTATAAGAAAGAAAAGAAAGAGGTTATATTTATACAAATTATTGAACGGATGGTTTCTTGGGGGGAGGAGTCAGATATACATTGGAAAGAACATAAGAAAGAATAAAAAGAAGTCGGGGAATACCTATACATATAATATAATATAATATAATAAGCATTGAAACAATTTAGGTGTATATATAATAAAAAAAAAAGGTGGGTACTTCTTCTACATAGAACAATTTTAAAGATAATAGAAAATATTCTGCGCTGAGCTTTCTTTTTTAGATTACAATTAAATGAAGTTCTTTTGATTCTTTCTTTTTTGGGGGGAGATATGTATATATAAAAAAGAAAAGAGGTGAATATTATTTTGGACCAATGAAAAACAAAGATTAAGAAAGGAAATTTGATTAATGTTTATGCGATCGAAATAGGTGCCTGAATGAGAACCGATGATGATTGTTATGATTTTGGTTATCTTCGGGTGGTATAGGCGATTTTAGCTGGACACCCATCATGACAGCAAACTCTTCAAAGTTGACCTGTCTGTCTCCGTTCTTATCCACGTCCTTGATCATTTGAATAGCATCTTGCTCCGACACCTTGTCTCCCAACTGGTGCATCATCTTGATAAGCTCTGATGTCGATATATTGCCATCTTTGTCGAGATCAAATGCATCAAATGCCTCACGGAGCTCTTTCTCTTTAGAAGACTGGCGATGAGGCTGTGAAAGAGTAGGCCGCATAACCTTGACAAACGCTTCAAATGTCATCCTTTGGTCTTTACTGCCAATCATCATCTCATCGACCTATCATCAAACAAATTACAAATATTTTATATCAACATTAACATTAACATTACGCATTATTTGCAGCATTAAATCCAGATAGATTTGTTTCTTCTTTGTGTGTGTGTTGACTGTGGCGTGATAGTCTAAATTATCCGCCCTTTTTATTCGATCTTTCTCTTTCTTACCATTGACGGAATATCCTCTGGTTTGAAGCCAGAAGAAGTTAACATGTTTTGGACTTCTGTGCGTGACAGCATATTGTCCTTGTCGACATCAAAAGATTGGAACATTTCCTCGAGTTCGAGGCGTTTTTCGGTACTAAGGAGGTGAATACCGAGGCTTGAGCGCTTATTTGTCATTTTAATAAGATATTATTTTTATTATTATTAATATTTTTATAGTGGCAGCAGTAGTTGTAATATTTGCAGTGGTTGCAGTGATGATTGGTATTAGTATTAGTAGCAGCAGTAGTAGCAGCAGCAGCAGTAGTAGTAGTAGTAGTAGTAGTAGTAGTGGTGGTGGTAAATATATATTTATGAAAAATGGTGCACCCCCTTTCTTTTCTTTCTTTCCAATGGAAAACACTAAAAAAGAACAAACAGGCGAAATTTGAATTATTATTTTTTATATAGAAGAAAATCATGAGCCAAAAATATACAGTTTTGTAAAAAATTACCTTCTCAAATTTCTATTGGAGAACAAGAGAGCATTCTATTGAGAAATAAATACAAAAATATATACTATTATTATTATTTTATATAAGCAAAATCTATACAATACTAACCATTAATCTACTTGCTAGTCCTAATAGTCAAGAATTCTTTACTGTCTGTATACTTTCAACGCCACGCTCAGTGTGCTCTGGTTTCCTTTTATGGATATTGCAGTATGGCTTATATCTTTTATTCTTTTAAAGAAATATGGCACACACTACTCATACGTGTCTTTTATATACATTATACAACCAAAAAACAAAAAAGAAACACAGCAAAGCTTACTCTGCACTACTTGAAAAAAAAAAAAGAAAGACCTCCTTACGTCCTCCCTTTTACCACAACCACTACTCTTTTTTTTTTTTTTTTTTGGTTTTCTTCTTTTTGCCAAGAGAATCATAAAATACAATAGCCGTCCCTCAGTAACAGGAACAACGATGCAACGATGCAACGTTTTATTAAAGACAACACACATACACACACTCTTTATTAAACCACAAAAAAAAATCTGTAAAACATCTTAATCATCCAAAGCTGTTCAAGATGCCTTTGTGTGTGTATATATATATTCAATGGCATTAAGACTAATGTATTGATTGCATTATTTTTAAGAATTAACATAAAGAGAAAGACCGACCCTAGGGCATCAGAAAGCTCTTTATATTTGTACTATATTAAAGGATCTTGTCGTTCTTCCCATTACTTGCTTGCAAAAGCTAAAGATTGTATTTCAGTTGAACAAGCCCAAGTAGCTGGTCCAAAGATAAAATAAAAATAAAAATAAAAATAAAGTAAAGCAAAGGTAGTGTAGTACAGTGATCCTCAAAGGAATTGAGTATACACGCGCAACAGATATGCTCAACTAAAGAGCTATTATTTGATAACCAAGCAGAGTTGGATTATTATATATAACTGATATATTATTTAAGTATTTTTTTTTAAAAAAAAGTCTCTCATTCACTCGCTACCTCATACAGAGAGAGAGAGAGAGAGAGAGAGATAAAAAGGGGGAACAACGGCATAATATTAATGATTAGAACCCTGCAAAGTCTATTGCAATTATCATGATTATATTGGATCTAGACTAAATTGTTTAGGCTTTACACCTTAGATGGTAGAAAAACAATAAATAAGACCAGTGAGCCCTGGCAAAAACAAGAGTACCAGATATAGCACTTGGAATTTATTGTAGATATATTTTTTTTATCTATTTTGTATCGTAACCATGCCTACATTTTGATGGTAGATGACGTGAGTTACTCTCATTACATGTTATGACGCGACAGAAGGTAAATAAATAAGGGGGACTTTAATGAGAGCATGGAAATCTAACAGTGAAGCTTTCTGCACTTTGAAAATGCCAAGATACGAATATTCGGCAATAGAAAAAAATGTGGGGGGGGGGGAGGAGAAAAAGCTCGTGTATGTATGTATGTATACATGTGTGTACAATTTTGTTTTTATATGTAAAGAGGATTAAAGTAGACCACCAGCTTGAGTCTGACCCGTTAGTGAGATCCGAGTTTAATTGATTGTTGAAAAGCAATCCTGAAAAAGCTACCTTTGATGTGAACAAAAGGGAGGATTGTGGCTTGCATATTTGATCAAATTATATCCATTGGATCAAAAGAATAATATCAATAAAAAGAACCTGTGTTTTTCTCTCCTTTTCTTTCTTTCTTTCTTTCTTTGACGATAGAACACATCTTTAGAGTATATCTTGTTGTACAGACAGCAATAGAATTCATGGTGAATTATATGTAAAATAGACATTTTCTGTTTTGTGTTGATCGACTTGACAGCATCAAATCTTAGATATGTAGGTACTTTTCCAATAACAAGAGCCGATAAATATAAATTGCCTAGATTTTAACTGTTGCTTAAATAACATATCCAAGACAACGAAGACGCAGATCCATCTTTATTTCCGAGCTTAACATTTGAAATAAAGAAGAAGAAGAAGAAGAAGAAGAATAAAACAAAAATATCTGTATGCAGTCTAACCAAAGGCCGTTCATCCTTTGCCTGACTTTGGTACAAGGAAAACCAATGAATAAAAGTATAATCATTATTCATTACCAGATAATGCAAACCGTGGTAATCTAGATTGAAACACAATACTTTAATGTGTGTGGTTATACTCATTTGCTTGGCACACATTTCAATTTCATTTATTGTTTTGTATTATATATATCTCTCTCTCTTGATTGTATATACAGATGAGCTTGTGACCAAGACAAAGTGTGTGAATATAATACAGAGCGGCATGAAATTAGTCTATTTTCATTTTCATTTGCTACAAGTAAGATAAACAGCTACAATTATATCTGTCTATCTTTTTATATATACTGTCTTTTCTCTTTTACTTTGAACTTAACATTTCATTCGCTTATTCTCTTCTTTACAAAATAACAATAAGAACAATCATTACACTCAATGAACTCTTCTTCAAACACTCCAGATAGTCTAAACATTCGCATAAAGACTTTTGATCCCAATAAGGCTCAAAGTACCAGCCACAGTCAGAATTCTGATGGTCGTGATTGGGGTATTTCCCCTACATATCACACTCCTGATGGAGACATCATTACCACTTGCAAACATCAGCAGCAGCAGAAACAACAGAAACAACAGAAGCAGAGTCATGAAAATCAGTCTGGCTCAGAACAACAATCATCAGTTGACTCAAATGTCAATTCACGTCTCTTTTGCACTCATAAATCTACCTGCGAATGTAAGGTCCAAGTCTTGACAAAACCTTATAATTATTTAGAACACAATTCATTTTTTGTTCATTATTTATTATGCTTATTATTGTATACTTATGCATGTATGTATAACACATTAGGTCTTGGTTCAGGAGTTGGATGTCAATGCTCAAACACTTGTTCATGTTAAAATGCACTAGTCATTTAAACAACCCCCCCCCAGACACACACACATACTGTCTCAATAATTTAATATCATTGTGAATCAAACCAAAACATATTAAATAAATAAATAAATTAATCAATTAATCAATCAATATAAATAATCCTTTTCTTTGATTTTAAAATAAATCATACTTCTTTATCAAGTTGTGATTTTTCTTTAACAGCATAAAAATCCAAATGAAATGAAATGAAATAAAATATTATAGTTTTTCTTTTTATACACGAAAGAGTTTCCAAGAGTTTATTTATTAAAAAAAAAAGTTTTTTTTTGAATTTTTTCTTTTACTTTCTCTGCTTCTGGGACAAGAAGTCAGTGAATTCCTGGTAAGGAACCTTGGAGAACTCGGTCTCCTCCCAGAGATCGGGAGTCAAGAAACCGTAGGTGTTACCAATGGCGGCAAAGGTAGCCTTGACAAAGTTACCAAGGGTACGGGTAGAACCGCGGGAGGTGGTGTAGCAATCGGTGATACCAGCCAACTGGAGGACCTTCTTGGGGGTAGGGGCAGCGACGATACCGGTACCACGGGGAGCAGGTACGAGACGGCACAAGGCGGAACCGCACTTACCGGTAACCTTGCAGGGAACGGTGTGGGGCTCACCGAGAGCAGATCCCCAGTAACCACGACGAACGGGGATAATGGAGAGCTTGGCGAGGATGATGGCACCGCGGATGGAGGTAGCAACTTCCTTGGAGCACTTGACACCGAGACCAACGTGGCCATCGTGGTCACCGATGACAACAAAGGCCTTGAAGCGGGTACGCTGACCAGCACGGGTCTGCTTCTGGACGGGCATGATCTTCATAACCTCATCCTTCAAGTTGCTCAGGAAGAAATCGACGATCTGGTACTCCTTGATGGGGAGAGAGAAAAGGTAGATCTCCTCAATAGACTTGATCTTGCCAGCCTTTACGAGACGGCCAAGCTTGGTAACGGGAACCCTATTAATAATTAACAAACGAGAATTAATATCATTATATATAAAGAAGTATAATTGATTAAGTTAATTAAAAATTAATGCACTTTATACATATATATATATATGCATAGCTATTGTTATGTTGTTTTTTTTTAAAAAAAAGATATATATACGCACCACTCGGTCTTTTCATCGCCACGACGTCCACCACGTCCACGGGCACCGCCACGTCCACGGCCACCACGGGCACCACCACGTCCAAATCCACCACGCTCTAATGATTGCAAAAAAAAACATATTTAATGATCTGGTTCATACGGTCTGTATTCTGACTTTAATTAAAACTTACTATCGGCCGGTGCAGAGTCAGCCATTGGCTATAATAGTAAAATGATAATGAAGATGATGAGTATAAAGATGCAATGTGAATTGTGTCCTGTGCATTAAGATGAAGGAATGTATAAATTCTTAATGGCTTAAATGTGAATTCGTGTACTTCTTTCTTGAAAATAAGTTATATTAAGCATATTATACATATACTCATCACATGTATATGCATGTAAAATATATTGTACGCATGTATGCATGTATATGTATGCATGTACGTGCATACATAGTATACATAGTATACATATAATATGCTTAATATAAAATATATCGACTTTTATATATATATATATATATATATATATAATTTTTATTTTTTATTTTTTTTTATTTTTGTTGAATCCACATCCATCCATCTATCCATCTGTTCGTCTGTGTCGATATGTTGTTTTCTATATATTTATATATAGGATTGTTCTGTAGACATTCGTTTGCTTTACTCACATAAAACTAATTTGAATGGTAATTCAAAGAGGAAGTTTATCCATGTGCCCCCCTCTGACTGCAAGAAAATACCCACTCTCCCAGGTTCGGAGAGCGAGATCGAGCGAGCGAGAGAGTCCGATCCAACACAGACCCCGAATCCGACGTCACTTTTGGGATCTTTCCAAGAGATTTGAATTAATGAAATATTAATGATATATATATATATACGATATATATATATCTATCTATCTATGCAATAATTCTTGATTGTATTAATTATACGTGTAGATATATGTATAGTAATAAACACAGATATATATATATATATATATGTGCGTGTCATTTGATTGCTGTTGTTCAAACGTGCGAGTTTATACATGATGTAAAATGTACAAGGTGGAATAATAATAGTAAAGAAGAAGAAGAAGAAGAAGAAGAAGAAGAGGGATATGTATATTGAATATAGACACTTGTAATTTTCTTGGCTATTTTCTCTTATATATATTTGTATATATATATATAAAAGAGAAAAAAAGTACCTTGGAAATCCAAAGAAGGTATATATATATATAAGAAGAGGAAGAGTGCTTGAAATAACTTTTAAAGAAAGCAAAAACATACATGCGTTAGTAATATATACTTATCACTAAAAGAAAAATATTGTTCAACTTACCAAGTTAGTTTTTGTGGTGTTGATGTTGTTAGTTTCTGAAGTATATAAATCAAAGCAAATTGACATTAGAAATATATGTAAAAAGGTTGTAAAGAGGTGTGTGCGTAATAGTGTAGTGTAGTGTGGTGGGAGTGCTTGTGCTTGTGCTTGTGCTTGTGCTTGTGCTTGTGCTTGTGCGTGAGGGTGAGGGTGAGGGTGAGGGTGAGAGTGTGCGTCAGTGTATATGTGTGTGTCAGTATGTGCGTGAGTATAAGAGTTGTACATGGAACATATATATATATATATATATATGACCGATCGACTGATGGGATAAATACAAGCTTGATATCTGAAGCATGTTTAACATTGAAGCATATCCGTGTCTTCAAAAAAGTATGGGTGTACTTTAGCCTACAAAAAAAGAGAGAGAGAAAGAAACAACGGTAAATATGTATTGCTAGTGATATTATTAGCCCACTGGACAACAGCCAACTCACCCTTCTTGCAGACATACGCATCGAGGGATCGTATATCAATAGTGACTATAATAGAATATATAAGGTAAGATACGAATTTGATTTGATAGGAGTAGGCTTATTACTCTTAATAGATGGATACCAAGGTTTCCAATATCCAAAGGGTATTTACTAGAAGTTTGAAGATGTGTAGAAATATCAACAGGGCACCATGCTATATAAAAATATATTAGTACAAATTAGTAAAATAATAATAATAATAACTATATATGTATATATATATATATATATATATATATATGTGTGTGTGTGTATGTGTGTTGGGTCTGTTGTAATATACTTGCGAGGAAATACAGGATTGTAATCTGGCAAAGAAGTAATGCCTGGCCAATCTTTTTCAGTGGGTGTACCGCATACTCTAATTACTTGTAGGTATTATTAAAATAAAGTTCCCTCTTTATAATATAAATGTTTTAAAGCAAAATATCATATTGTACTTGCTTGAATATCTGAAATAACTGTCCAATTTGTGAATCACCTGTAGAAATGTATCGTTTTTAAGTAAAATGTTTTTATTTTAATGACCATATACTTCCTCACCATTCTCTCCCTTTAATTACCTGGAAATAACGGGCAAAGGGTGATCATTTCTGCAAACACACATCCAACTCCCCACATATCTACTGCCGTTGAATAGAATCCTTCACCCAACAAGATCTCTGGTGCTCTATACCACAATGTAATAACCTATTGTTGTACGAAAGTTGTTGTATTTATCAGCATCGAAACTCTTCTTATATAAAATATATTTGCGAAATATCTATCATTCCTTACCGAACTTGTATATGGTCTCATTGGTACACTGAATGTTCGTGAGAGACCAAGATCGGCAATAATCAATCGGCCAGTCTTGTCAATTAATAAGTTTTGCGGTTTGAGGTCTCGATGAAGAATGCGATGAGAATGACAATAGTCGATGCCTTGTAATAATTGTTGCATAAAACTCTATTGAATTGTTATAATAAGAATTATTATTATTTGTAGCAGTAGTAGCAGTAGTAGCAGTAGTAGCAGTATTTTTGGGTTTACAAAAAGAAGAATAAAAAAAAGGATATTATAAAGCAAAAATGGGTATAAATATGTAGAACATAAAATGTCATTTACTCTGATATGACCGTGTGTTAGTCCTTCTCGCTTTGTTGCATTCATGTAGACCCTTAGATCCTGTAAAGAAGAAAGATAGAATGACAGTAATAGTGACAATAAAGAAGTATATAAGTACATGCAAAATATTCCAATATTAACATACCAATATTAATTGTTGATATTTACCGTGTCAAGATAATCAAATACCATGTAAAGAAGTGTATCTTTTTGGACCAGATCAAGTAATCTTATAAAGATGGTAATAATAATAGGAATTTTTTTTAAAAAAAATAACAATAGTCATAATAATCATAATCATAATACATATATAAAGTTAGTCCGATATTCATTCTCTCGTATAATTATAATTATATTATCTTTTGTACTTGTGTATACGGTGTTTACTTTATAACATTGTCGTGACACACTTCTTTAAGAATCGCTACTTCTCTCAATGCTGTTGTTGGAACTCCATGACTCGTCTGTAATCTTATCTTCTTTAGGGCAACCAATTTGTTTGTCGATTTCTCACGAGCTTTAAATACTACACCGTATGTGCCTTCGCCAATCTTTCCAATCTTTTGATAATTACACAATCCCTCTCCTTCCCATTCTAATGCTTCTTCATCTTCGTAGGTTAATCGTCGTTTCATTAACACGGGGTTTAATTGGTGTTCGTCTTGGCGTGCATGGGGCATTCGTTCTCGTGCGTGAGGCATTCGTTCTCGTTCGTAGGCAAGATCAGCTTCTCTATCAGCTTGCATCATTGAACGGCGCGTGTGTGGTTGTCCAAACATTATGTATGTATGTATGTGTGTGTGTCTGTATCTTTCCGTCTGTATGCCTGTCAGTCTGTCAGTATGTATATCTGTATGCTTGTTTGTTTGCGTCTATGTGTGCGTCTGTGTGTGTGCCTGTGTGCCGATGTGAGCGTCTGTGTGAGTGTAATGAGCGTAGATACGAATATAATATAATAGTAGTAATTAAATAATTAAATAATAATAATAAAAAAAATTATAATAGAAGAATAATTTAAATTGGTTGAATTAAATCAAAGTCCTTGGGGTAATTTATATATCTTTACTCTAATAATTATCATTTAGTCTGCTTTTCTACTTCTTCTACTTGTCTTCTTTTTATAAGTACAAATGAATAGCATTTATAAAATAATAAAGGCACAAACAATGATCTTTGTTTTTGCTGTTATTTTCTTTCATTCAAGTGTGCACCTTTATCTACATTAACTCTTTGTACGTTTGACAAAGTTGACAATGTGTATATGCATGTGTTTGTATTTGTGTATTGTTTTTTTTGTATATTTAATGCGCACCCCCTGAGTCAACTGTGTATTAAGAAATTGTTTCAAAACCTGATTTTCTTCAAAAACTCAAGTAGTGCGCACATTAAGGAGTACCATATATATATGTATGATCAACTACAACTTGTGTGCCTGTATGCTTGTATGTAGCGTGTGATTGTATGTAGCGTATGCTTGTATGTAGTATATGCTTGTGTATAGCGTGTGCGTGTGTATAGCGTGTGCCTGAGTGTATACTTGTATATGCTAAATACGACACTTATGAATAATGAATTTGACACTTGGATCCACAAACGGTGTTTTTTTCTTGTAGAACACAGGAAGTTTAATGACTAAACAACAATTACACCGTGGAAATATTGTTCACAGGTGTACGAATATCTCCATATTCTCTCTTTCTCTCTTTTGTATTTCTTTTTGGAATATTAATGAAGATAAATATGCTATAAAAAGAAATATATATATCAAAAAATAAAAAAATAAAGATTAAGCTGACAAAGGCGATTTCCATTCGGCCTCTTAAAAAAATATTAAAATATTAATTAAAATCCTATAAAAATGGACTTGCCTGTAAGAGTGAGAGAGGGAGTATAAATCAAGAAAAAGATAGAAAAGACAAACTACATCATTCACCATTACACCATTCACAATCATGTCAAGGTATAGGGAAAACTTCCTCATCTCCACCCTACTATACTATACTATACTATACTATACTATACTCTATTAAAATAAGCTGTCGACTAATTTCCAAGCAAGCCAACCTACAACTTTCCGTAAACTAGAGGCCTTTGCTATCGGCAACGACTTTTCCAAGGTTACTCGTATGGTTTCAGTGGAGTACGAATCCCTCTTGAAGAACCTTCGTCCCCACCAAGTGGTCGTAAAGAACCTTTATCTCGGTATCAATGCCTCAGATATCAATTACACCAATGGAAAATATGTTGCAAACATGAAGCCGTAAGACATTTTTTTTCTATTTTTTTTTCTTTTTGTTTTGCTTATTAATATTCATTTATTCAATTGATAAAGTCCATTTGATGTTGGATTTGAAGCTCTTGGTCAGATCGTAGCAGTTGGATCAAATATTCCTAAAGAAAAGATTGGTACCTACCTTACCTATAGGTAAGTTCTAACAATAATAATATTGAGCTTGATTCAACTCTAAATCAATCAATTTCTTTGTACGTACACTAACACACTCATACACACTCAGCCAATATGGTGCATTTGGAGAGTACGTTATTACACCTTACAAAAGAGCCATTCCAGTAAAGGTAACAGGAATTGGTAGCAATTATCATTAAGAAAACTTTTATATTAACATTTGTGCTGTGTGTACCAAAAAAAAACACATAGAGCCCTCGACCAGAATTGCTTGGTTTGTTGACTTCTGGTTTGACTGCATCTATTGCTTTGACAGTAAATGGCCAGATGACAAAGGGAGAGACTGTATTGGTGACTGCAGGTAAAAAGAAAATAAAAGAGGGGGTTTATTAAATACGTACATGCATGCATGTATGCATATATACATATAAACATATATTTATATAATAGCTGCCGGTGGCGCTGGTCAAATTGCTGTTCAATTGGCCAAGTTGGCTGGTAACCACGTAATTGGTACCTGCTCCAGGTAAGCAATGCATGGATAATTTTCCCGGTTATCCAAATTACTAATGAGTTTCAATTCCACTTGATTGGGTCCAATTCTTTGATTCAATTATTATTACTAGTGATGATAAGGTGGCCATGTTAAAGGTTAGTAAAACATTATATATATATATTATCGAAGTATAATATAAATAATAGTAATGATTATTTAAATCCATCTAATTTTCTCTTTATTTTTTATTTATTATATAAACATCTAAAGTCTATGGGATGTGATCGTGTCATCAACTACAAAAAGGAAGACTTTGAAGCTGTCTTGAAGAAAGAATATCCTAAAGGTCTAGATATTGTGTTTGAGAGTGTTGGTGGAAAATTCTTTGATGTCAGCTTAAAGAGGCAAGTCACACAGCATGATCGTATACCACAAAAATTTGAAGCATTCCCATGCATGGTTAAATAGAAGTAGAAGAAGAATCAAATTAATAAACTCAATTACTTTAGGCTTGCTGTCAAAGGACGTCTCATTGTAATTGGTAAAGTATTGTACAAAATAATAATATTCAATATATATATATGTGTACTTACAAAATTTATTGTAGGATCCATGTCTTCCTATGCTACCGCTGATGGAATGAAGGGTGACAAGATCGATACTCTTCAACTGCTGGGAAAATCTCGTACAGTTACAGGCTTCTTTATGCCTGCCTATGAAAACCTATTCGCTGAGCACATGGCTGGTCTAGTCCAGTTGCTCGATGCTGGTAAATTGACTGTACAGCTTGATACTGCCGGTCTTTCCGGTATTGACAGTGTTGTTGAGGCTGTTGAATACCTTCACTCTGGCAAGAACAAGGGTAAGGTTGTACTTCCCTTGACAGCCAAGCCCCAGTCCAAGCTTTAATATATATATATATACTATTTTAATGTTCAGTTGAAACCTTTGAACATAAAATCAAGTCCGAACCTCACCTGTTTTTTTTTATATATATAAAAGAGATAAATTTCAATTCAAATTGTATACCAATTAATAACAGCACAAATTCAACCTCTTTTTCTTTTTCTTTTTTAAATTCTTTAGAGAATCTTTAAATCTTCTTCCTTTGTTCTATATATAAATATAAGAAGTATTTAAATCAATTTAAACAATTTGACTTGTCGATATTATGGTCACTGAAATGGCTAAATCAAGCCTACCTAAAAAACAGCGGTCCGATGACAGCTACAAAAATTACAAAGAAACAAAGGGAACGCGAACTGATCGCAAGATTCACAGAGTAAAGATCAAAGCACGTTCAGGTAAGAAAAGGATAAATAATTATAATAATGAGAAAAAAATCACTCTTCTTTTTATTTTATTTTTTGTACAGCTTTATATTTGAATAAGAAGGCATATTCTTTATTAACCAAAAGAAAATCAATCGATCGATCGATGGAATAGAACTAGATTTGTTTGGATGGAGGAAATGGAATTTCTGTGAAAGAGATTACTGGATCAATGCCTTTGTTGATGTTGTTCCACGCATTGACTATCGCCAAGTATCAAAAGCTGAATTCGTTCAAAATTATGAGGCCAAGAACATTCCTGTAGTAATTACTCATGCCACTGACCACTGGAGAGCCCACACAACCTGGACAGAATCCGTAAGCATTTTTTTCTTTAATTTTTTTCTTATGCTATAAACACATATACATATGAATATATAAAGAGTATGATATAATGCACTTTAATATAAAAGTAAAAATAATCATAGCAATAATAATAATAATACTATAATTTAATAATTTAATAAAATGCACACAAAAACACACACATCCATACACACAAAAGGCATTATTGGAGAATTACGGATCTCATCTATTCAAAGTGGGCGAAGACGATGACGAAAACAATGTGTACCTAAAGATGAAACACTTCCTACACTACAACAAACATGAAGGCAGAAAAGACGATTCACCGCTCTACATTTTCGACAGTGGATTTTACAAAGACAGACGCAAGAAATCAAAATCAAAAAGCAATCGGCAATCCTCAGACGACGACGAAGACGACGCTCAACATGAAGGAAAGCGACGACGCAAAGCTGATCCTCTGTCCCCGATGTTATTGTTGGGAGACTACCAGGTCCCAAGTTACTTTTCAGATGATTTGTTTCGATTGGCTCGAGAAAGAAGACGACCTCCTTACAGATGGCTTGTTATGGGAGGAGCAAGAAGTGGAACTGGGTAAAATATATTCCTAATATTTATCTTGTTATCATATGTACATAAGAAGAAGAATATGTATATATAAAGATATATACAGCGATTAACCATTGCCATTGTCATTATTCTTTTTTCAAAAAAAAAAAACTTTAGAATTCATATTGATCCTCTTGGTACTTCTGCCTGGAACGCTCTACTTAAAGGACACAAGCGTTGGTGTCTTTTCCCACCTGGGACACCAAAGAAAATTATCGATCCTCCCATGAAACCCTATGATCATGAAGGTGTTTCGTGGTTCAGTACCGTATTCCCAAAATTTAAAGTACGGGATGGTCCTGAAGATGACAATAGAACACTGGGTGAACGCTTAGGGATGGTCGAAGTTCTTCAACGTCCAGGAGAAACCATATTTGTTCCAGGTGGTTGGCCTCATGTTGTGATGAATTTAGGTAAGAAAGCCTTTAAAAGGGATATAAGATATATTTTTTATTCTTCTCCAAATTAACCATGGAACACGCACTCACACATCATTTTGTTTCAATTCGATAGATACCACAATTGCTGTTACTCAGAACTTCTGCTCCCCAACCAATCTCGACTACGTTTACCTTTGTACTCGACACAGTCGCCCTAAACTTGGCCAACGCCTTTATCAAAAGATCAAACAACTCGGCAAGACAGATCCAGAATTTGCAAAAATGTCAGTTCAGCTCGACATGGTCCTGTCAGTTCCTCGATTACCTCCTAGTAGCTCAGATTCTAGTAGCAGTAGCAGTAGCAGCACTACGCTTTCATCTTCTGGAGCCTCAGACAATAACAGTAGTCCAAGCGCTAGAATAGATGTTAGTTCAACCGATTCTGAGACAGACTGGTCAGATGGAACTTGTATGTGCCATAAATGTAAACGACAAAGAAAACGAGCCAATAGAGAAAAGGCTCTCAAAAAGCCTTTGTAAAATAATAAGAAATAAATGAGAAAAAAAAAGAGGAAAAAGGCAAAGAACAACATTTATAATATTCCTAGCTGCTATTCTCGCTCTTGCTCTTGCTCTTTCTCTCGCTCTTCCTAATTCTGCTTCTGCTCTTTCTGTTGGTTTCTTCATGAACGATTTTCTTTGGCATCAATACTAATATGCTTTATTTCTTCATTCATTCTTTATTTGCTTTTATTTTTGCTCACAACATTTTCTAATAACAAATAGATTATTATTCGCATCTTCTATGTCTAACTAAAATATTCTGCTATATATATATTTTCGCTAAATCTATTTCCATTTGATTACTTTTAAACAAAAACAGTAAAGGTAACAAGAAAAGCAAAGAATAAGAAGCAGAAAGATTTGAACAAAGTCTTGTTAGATAACACATAACTCTGTTATTACCTTGTATCTAATTAATTTTTATAGTATTAATTATGAGAATTATAATAAAACTTCCTATTTAACAAATTCTTACTAACTTGGTTATTGTTATTATCATGTGTCAAGACGAAATTCAAAAACAATTCAGTTGTGAACCATTAGAACCCTCTTTATTTTCCAAATTGTGTGATGCCCATTGTCATGCTCATGATGCCATTGACAAACTTGATTTGATTCCTGCACTAAAAACTGGTCACATTACCCTGATGGGAGTGCGTCAAGACGATTGGGATCGTGTTTCCAGTGTAGCAAATGCATGCAATCAAGTATCACCTCAAAAATGCGTTCCCTGCTATGGTGAGGAGTTTTCTCCATTTTTTTTTGTAGAACAATAATAATAAAAGAGAAAATACGATCACAATTCTTAATCTAATCCAAAAAAAAAACTTAAGGTATTCACCCATGGTTCAGCTATCGTGTCATTGGGAATCAAAGCACAGAAAATGACCACTATGAATCCGTGTTGGAATGTTCTGACTCGGCCGAGAAACAAGAACTTATATCTCAATTAGAGCCTCCTTTTTCATTTGACGTCTGGCACACCAATCTTTATAATCGACTGGTGGCTGATCCATCGGCTCTAGTGGGCGAGGTTGGTTTAGATCGAGCAGCCCGTTTGATGCCAGGGGGATCGATTGTCTGGCAGGGCATACGCCCAACTAGTGTAAAGGTTACTATGGAACATCAATTGACCATCCTAGGAGCCCAACTTGAATTGGCTCGCCAATTGAACCGTGGTGCGAGTATCCATTGTGTCCAAAGCCAAGGTCATTTGATGACACTTCTTCATCAAACGTCTAAGAAGATAAAGAAAGGTGACAAGTCGCTTGTGAGACTGTGTCTACACTCCTTTGGTGGTTCTCCTGGGACGATACCACAGTTTCTAAGTGTGCGTGGATACAAAATTTATATATCATTCTCAGTGGCAATCAATTCTAGACTTGTGCGGTCAAAATTGGATCAATTAATCAAAGCTGTCCCTGACGACAGACTGCTGCTTGAATCAGATATCGACAGGCCAGAGCCACTGGATGAATGTTTGGTGGCAATTGCCCATATAGTAGCAGGTGCCAAAGGATGGCCGATTGAAAAAGTTGTTCAACAAACGCATTCTAATTGGATCGATTTTATCACCAATCCCTGTGCTCCTCCAAAATAAAAATGGAGAACCTCAAAATGATTCCTAGTACACTTTTATTGATAATTTGAAGGTGAAACTTGCTTTATAGTCTATTCTATTATATTCTATTACGTTCTATTACGTTTTATCATATAATATTGTATATAGAGCGTCGTTAAAGGTGCACCAATGCAATAGTCTTAAGCATTTTTCTCCCAGTATAAACTATTAGACATTTTTAGAATTTTATAATAAAATATACATAGTTTTGCTAAATTAGTGTCCGAATAATTTTGGAGCATGTTTTTCAAGATAAGAAATATTGTTAGAGTCTTGTGCACCTTTAATGATATCGTCATTGAATTACCATTATATCAATAGTTAATTCTGATATAGAGGAGCTGGGGACTTGATCTTAATACCAGTCTGCTTCTGGAAGCACTTTTGTATGCCTTTAGTGGACCTGGCTATACAAACCCACGCCTTTTCTTTCTATCTAACAACATTTTATCATGGAATTTACTGCTTGTGCTCGATATATTCGACAGAGTTTGTATTCCCTCCAATAGTTTCTTACCCCTCGGACTATATCACCCCATTATCATCACCTTTAGCTTAGATTAATTGTTTTTACCACCCGAGAATAAAGAAAAAAAAAACGCCATTTTCATTTAAAACGTTAAAATAATGAAGTTAAATTTAGTGTAGCTAAATAGTGTTATATTTGACATATTTTAACTGCTAGTGACAGTAATATCTTTTTCCTAATATATTATTATTCATAAATTATCTCTTATCGCAATTACCAGATACAATAAGGTTAGAGGTTGATCTAATATAGCAACTATGACATTGGTGGAGAAACTTATATTGGCGTAAAGAAGAATATATACATATATGAAAATTTACGCCTTTCCCCGGAAATATCGATAATGTTCAACCCCTAAGCGATTATTTCCCTATTTTTTTTACCACGTCCCCGAAAACTCTCGGAAATGAGGGAGAACATGGTTGTCAAGGTAAAGTAAGTTATTTTGTTCAGCAACCGCAACAATATCTAACTAGTTCTAGCTTTACTAGATAACCAATTATAAGTAAAAGCGCAAGTGTAAACGTTGGTAATACAACTTATGCTTTTAAACTTTATTCTCGGACTAGAAACCTTTTTTCTCTCTCTCTTGTTTTTTTTTTGTGAGTTTATAAAGATTTTTGAAACAAAGTACTATGTCTATATTTGAAAGATATACCGATTTGTTTTGGATGCACATAGACCTTAAATACCCCTTTTCCCGATTGGGATTTCTTTCTGATAACAAAAACAAAGACGTAATGGTAATGAATCATAGTAGTCCCCCACGAAAATCTCGTTTATAATTATATAGATCTAGACAGCCTTTTGGAAGGCTTATTGAGCAAATAATAATAAAAACAATAGAATGGTTTATATAAAGACTATGTATTTTTAGCATATCGAAAATCAAATAATGAAATTGAATAGAGAAGTAAAGATGTAAAAAAAAAAAGAATATAAAAAGTGTATCTTGGGTATGATGCATACACAGACTATAAAGGAGTAATTTCAAGCCAAATCTAGACGAAAAGAAAAAGTAACTTTCCTTTAACTATGATAGGTTAAGAGGAAAAATTATGGTTTTTAGCTAGAAAGTTTGAGAAACTGAGAGTTTTTATTTTTATTTTTATTTTTAGAAGAGTATATTGATGAGTATTGGTATTGGTATTATGATCACTTAAAGGTGGTGATATTTGTGCTTGTTTGTAGTGGTGTTGGAATTTTCGATGTTATTAACTCCAAACTCCTTAAACGAATCGTGGCTATTGTGGAGATACAGATCATATTGTTAGTCAGTATTTATTTATATTTAATAAAGTACATATATACGTATATATATATATCTTAACATACCTCTTAAGGCGCTCGGTAATATCCTCAAGATTCAGGTCTAATTGTTCAACAATGAAATCTCCAATGTCGGTGTTCTCATGGTTACCTCTGAGCTTCTCGCTCTGATGACCATAAGCATACAGATTAACGTCTACGGCAGTATGACCATGAGTAGACCACTATAAGCAATACAAGCAATAGTACTTAGTTAAGAATTCGGTCCTACTTATTTACAGCATGCCTTTCAAAAAAAAATTGCAAGCTATTCTATCTAACCACTTACTCCAAGTAATGCACGTCGGCTAACCATATCAGTGAGGTCATAGGCCAGCTCTTCTGTCCACTTGTTGCTACCCTTCCAGCTCATAAGGCGCTCAAGCTCTTCGTCGGTGGGGTTATCAATACCAAGTCCATCACGCAAAATCACGGTAACCAAAAATTCCTTGACCTTGGCAGAATAATCCTCGTCACTGGCATCAATTTCCTTACGCCATATACCAGCCAAATATTGGGATGAATGCTGTACACGCTTAATAACCTCAGGATTCCTAAAACAAGCATTTCATTGTTAGATATCCTTGTATGCGTGTGTTTAAATCAACAAATTACTCACCACTTGTACTCTGGGTAGTCTTTGCCGATTTGACGACCAATCGTGAATCCACCTGTTTCATGGTCACTGGTAGAAATGACAACAGTGTTGGGGTTTGCATCAACAAATTCCTTGACAGCGAGAATAGCCTGGTTGTATTCGTAGATTTCATGGACATGGGCAGCTGGGTCGTTTCTGTAATATTTTTTGATTTATAATAAAAGAGCCAGTTATTTACTTGAATTCTCTCTATCCTAAAAAAAAAAAAGAAGAAGAATCCCAGCCCAGACTTACGTATGAGCAGCCATGTCAATTCGGCTACCTTCAATCATCATGAAAAAGCCAGTGCCCTGCTTCTTGGATGCAACGTTGAGAATCTCAAGTGCCTTTTTGGCCATTTCTTTAAGAGAAGGCTGCTTTGAGGAGTCTCTGTCGATTTCATAGGACATGTGCTAATAAAAATCTGTGTTGGTTATATCATCCAAAACAAAACAAAAAAATCCCCTAACCTAACCCAATTCTATCCAACCCAACCAAGCCAAATATCTTACATCAGGTGCGAACAAACCCATCAAGGGTAATTCGGCATCAGAAGGCTCAATTTCATCAAAGTCTTCACGAGTGCGCTTAACGGTCCAGCCAAAGGACTCCTTAGCTTCTTCAAACAGATCACGAGTATCAAGTCGGCAACTGTGTTCAGTTAGGTTGGATGTAAATTCACACGCTCCACCACCAAACATCAAGTCAACAGTACGACCAAGGGGGTTGAAACCGATTTGTTGAGAAGCAATATCATTCTCTGAATCGCGACCAAGTACGTGGGCAGAGAAAGAGGCAGGGGTGGCGTGGGTTATGCGAGAAGTCACCACAAGACCTGTCAGCATGTTTCGGTGGAGTTTGGCTGATTCAAGCACAGTACCGCAAGGCACACCCTTTGAGTCCACTATATTGTGTGCATAGGTGTGCATGAGTGGTTCAAGTTCGATGATTTTAAAACAATTAACACCCCCACCCTCTCTCTCTCTTTTGTTCTCCCTCTCTTGCCCTTGGGACTTAAAAAAAAGTTGTTTTCACATTACCGCCAATAGCTCCGTTGTACGACTTTTGTGCACAGGCAAATGCAGTTGCACCAGCTGCGCTGTCGGTGATCATGCTAGACGAACTCTGGGTTCGACTTGAACCTACAAGAATAGTATCCAAGGGGAGCATTGCCTTGTAGCCAAGTCCTTGGTCCCAGCTGTGGTATTGACGAGCATAGGCCTCTGAAGCAGGACCAAATCCATCACTGATCATCATAATCACATTTTGAGGGGCTATATATATATATATTGTGATAGATAAGAGAAGAGATTTAAATAGATAGATATAGAATACATACCAGGTTCATTCTTTGCCACCAGCATAATAGTAGTTCCTGCAATAACAGATCCAGCTAAAACCAGCAGAACAGCACCCACTATACGATGCAAGCGAGGTCTCTATTTTTTTTTGAAATGATAGAAAGTATTATGTTAATACGTCATGCTTTAAACTGACATGCTATAATAGATAACTACTAGTAGAAAGAAGAAGGATTCATACGGTGGGTGAGTTGATAGGCTGAACCTCTGGATCAGAGGGCAGGGTGTTGTAGTTTCTGTTTGACATGAAAGTATTTGGGTTGCTTTAAACAAGAAAAAAACGAACAAGATATTTGGGTCCTTTCGAATGAGATATATAACAATTTCAGAATTTTTTTTATTTTATTTTATAAACTTGAGATTGAGACGAAGTTGAATCTAAATTATAATTCATTTAGACCAATAAAATGCTACCTCTAGACTTTCTCGACTTCTTCTTTTGGAGATTTAGTGAGGTGACGTCGAATCCAGTGCGTCCTTATCTCCGTCACCTTTTCAGGAACAAATTGTCAGAAAACAGAAGCAAGGTTTACTTTTTTTTGGGGGAAAAAAGCTTTGGTTGAATATAGGTTACGAATGATATTGTAGATATGAAGTACGTGTGTGCGTACATTTAACACAGACTCAATTTGAGACATTTTATAAAAAAAAACAACCCTCACATATCCCCCGCAATGTACTCCCTTCATTACAACCCTGCAGATAAACTTACTTTATGACAACAGCTTCTGAAGAGATGGATTTGCAAAACTTTAGTCGATTGGAATGTCAGATTTCGAATGTTCATTAGATTCGCTACTATTTTTCTGTTCTTACAATTCAGTTCACATTAACATAAACCAGGCCTGTCATTCCGAAACTTATTAAAGTAATTGTGGCTTGCCCATTCTCTGAGATTTATGAAAGCTATAATGGACATTATTTGCTTATGGATAATATCTTTAAAATATACTCACAGAGACTAGAGGATATTTGGGACACATGTCTTCTATCATACCAACTAAGCTAAGCCCAATCTTATATACCACCTTTAATTGTCTACCAAGAGCAGGACTTCTAGCTTTATCATATATTATACCGCACATATAATAAAAAAAGAGGAAGAAAAGAGAGAAGGGATATGTACAGTAGTTTATGTCAGAAGATATGAACACTAGATAAATAACCAATAATCAAAATTAGCTTTGAATATCAAGTACATGAGCACCATATAACACATCATACACTTTAGATTTTTCTTTACAGCTGGCAGCTTTGTTCTGCTTCGTTCCTACTTCATTTAACACCCTGTGTAACAACAGGCGCCATATATAAAATAAAAATTGCAAGGGGCTTACAGGAGTCTGAATTATTTTATACAGTGATCGAAATTCCCCGTAACTGTGCACTTTTATCTTTTTTTGAAAATCAAGAGAGAAAGAAAGTTACGGTTAAAATTCCATCAGAGTTACAGCCATAATAAATACAAATTACACAGAATTACAAAGGAAGATTCCAAATTTGCAGAAATTTAAAAAATAAATAAATTCTAGAAGGATATCGAATTAGATAGTGTCGTTAAATGTTCTGAACTCGCCAGAAAAATGGAGACATTTATAAGTTGCTATATTTGACAATCGACATCTGAAGCAGGCTCAAAACTGCCTTTTTCAGAACCAGGATTTTCTCAAAATTTGGAAAATTTGTCCAAATTTCAATTTGCAAGAGTTATGCTATTTTTTCATATTAAATAAGACAAAGCTTATAGGGAATACATGTATGTATGTCTTATCTATATCGTGCATAGTTTATAACTACTGTAAATATATTTTCATGGAGATACAGCTTATTTATTCAATGTATCATGGAGGAAATATGAACAGAATATGCCAGGAAAACTATGTGAGACATGATTTGTCCTTATTTCTTTTTTTGGGAGCAGTGGTTCAGAACATTTAACGACACTATCTATTATAGCCAAATGACGACTTTTGATTGAGATAATCAAGGGACAGTAGGACAATATTCTTTAGATGAAGGTACAACATGCATCAAGGCACCCGGCTTTCTTCTTCTGCTTCTTATTCTTCATTGGAACATATCTGTACACATTTACCAATGGTATCTAAGATGCAGGTATCAGAGGTGGCGTGAATGGCGCAATCAACCAAACTGCCAATGAATGAAGAGAGCGATTCGCCATCTCCGCCAAAAAACTTGCTTTAACTGCCAATGTCAAAGTGGCTTTCTTATTCTTATTCTTTTCTCTCTTTCTCGAAACTAACAAAACTCCTCCTCCCCTCCCTTCCACCTTTATTCTTTTTTAAAAAAATCAATAATGGCTACCAACATTACATGGCACAAGGGCGCTGTCTCTCTTACTGAACGTCAAGAACTTCTCGGCCAAAAGGTAATGATCTTTAACGTGGAAAAGAGAACCAAAGCCTATTTATTTATTTAGCCAATCTGACAATTGATTTTCTTTTTCAGGGCTGCACCATCTGGTTCACTGGTTTGTCTGCTTCTGGAAAGTCTACTCTTGCTGCTGCTCTTGAACAGACCTTGTTGCACGCTGGTATCTCTGGTTACCGTCTGGACGGTGACAACATTCGTTTTGGTTTGAACAAGAACCTCGGCTTTGGTCCTGAGGCCCGTACCGAAAACATTCGTCGTATTGCAGAGGTAAAAGAAAAAGACTCGATATGATGATGGATTTAATGCGTATAGTGACTTGACTAACGCCGATCTTTAATTCAAATAATTCAAATAAAAGGTTTCCAAGCTCTTCTCTGATGCTACTGTCATTGCCATTACCGCTTTTATCAGCCCTTACAAGGCCGATCGTGATGCTGCTAGAGCTCTTCACGAAGCTGCTGGTATTCCTTTCATCGAGGTGAGTTGATTTGATAGTAAACAAAAAGAAGAGGAGAATATGGACTTATGGTGTTTGTACGTTTAAAGGTCTATGCCGATGCTCCTTTGTCTGTGGTCGAGGAGCGTGACCCCAAGGGTCTTTACAAGAAGGCCAAGGCTGGAGAGATCAAGGAATTCACCGGTATCTCTGCTCCTTATGAAGCCCCCACTTCCCCCGAAATTCACATCAAGACCCACGAAGTATCTATTAACGAGGGTGTTCAGACCATTTTGAACTATCTTATCGAGAAGAAGTTGATCCAAGGTGACAAGCTGGTCAAGCACTAGAGGGTCGTTTCTTTTAATATTTAGAAAATATCTACACAACTCCAAAAATTCCCCTCATACAAAACTATATATATTTTTTCCCTAAACACATATAGATATATATATATGTATTTATACATTTACACAAAAACATATACATACAAACACCCACACCTATATATAAACCTTTCTTTTATATATATATAAAATGAAAATGACAAAAAGAAAGGATCTATGAACAAACGATGCGAAAGCCAAAATGTGAAAAAATCAACAACAACAAGAGTGAAAGAATATATATATATATATGTGTGTGTGTATATATATATATAATAAATAGATGTACAAGAAGAAAAAGAAGAAGAAGAAAAACTACATTATAACTTATAAGCAATACCTTTGCTCGATTTTCTTCAGTAACCATACATGCCTTTGTAAAATGGCTCTAGACGACTTCTGTCAACAGTCGCAATATAATAAGTTCCTCCATTGTTGGTCCAACTGACAGCATCCGAAAAATACTCGAATTCTTCGACTCTGAGGATAGATTCTGGTAAATGAAAGGTCCGTTGGTTGAGTTTGTGGTTCTTGGGTACAAACGACTTGAGAGAAATGATCTTAGTGCCCTCTTTAAGGTCCAAGAACAATTGGGCCAACGAATGGTTTGTCTCCCAATCGAATGCATAGTTATTGACCAACAACACGTCTGCTCGCTTCAATGTCGGATGAACATCATTTCCACTTTCCAAGAAATCGCCATGTCGGAAACGAATCTTTCCTGTAGGTAAACCCCATGCTCTAAAAAAAACAAAAAAAAAACAACAACAACAAATAAATAAATGGAATTAGAAAGCAAAGTATCAATAAGAGAGTGAAAGAGAAGAAGAAGAGTATATATATATATATGTTACCTCATCCTGGAAGCATATTCTTTGAGTTGTCTCTTGGCGTACTTGCAAGGTGTCTCCATAATCTCAATTCCAAATGCTTCACATCCTGTCTGTGCTGCAACCTGAAGGACAACATTACCAATACCACAACCAAGATCCATAAACACACTCGACGAAGTAATATGCGTTTTTGCAATGAATTCCTTGACTAGAATCGAGTTGATCTCTCCATATACATTGTTTGAAAACGCTATGTAAAAATAAAAGCCAAAGATTTATTATTGTTATTATTTTTAAAAAAAGAAAGGAATCCTTGTAATTACAATTCATTCTCTCACACTCTATCACTCTCTTTATCGATTTACTGAAACCTTTGTATGTTTATAAGAATGTAACTTACCAGCATAATTATTCAAAGCTTCTGCTTGATGGGCTACCGTTCGACTGTAGATCTGGTACAAAATATGACAGGTGAGGTCATAATTAGGGTGTCGCATGGCTTTTGCGTTCTTTCGTAATTCTCCCGAGGAACGCAACTCGCGAATTACTCTATTGAACTCTTCTACTGCCTCAACAAATCCAGGGCCATTACGGCGATTGCGATGCTTGGTCAGATTACGCATCACACCTTGTTGGTCATCGCCCAGAAGTTTTTGTTGAGAAGGGGTCAGGAAACATTCGTAAATAAGATCAGCGGTTCGTATGAGATCTGTAATCGGATTGTATTCGTCTGTATCTTCGGCTCCATCGTCGTCGGCTGTGTTTTTTAATACAGGCTTAAGAAGCAAGAAGCTAATGACCATGGCATGGAATCATTAGTGCGTTTGTTGAAAGAGGCTGAACAGCTGTGGGGTTTAGTGAGGTGAGCTAGTTGGTTGGAATGAACCAAACATTCTCTTTTCTCATTGTTTTATTATTATTATTATTATTATTATTATTATTATTATTATTATTTTGCACCCCACTAATGAAAATTCCCAATATCTACCTTTCGGTTTCATTAGACGGGTACTCTAAGCTCACTCGGAGTGATTCTTCAGGTCCATTTCGAGGAGAATTAGAATCTCCTTCATGAACTGTCAAGAAATCTTTGAAAACAATATATATATTTATAAGAGTTAAAATGAGATAAATTATTAACTATAAAATTTGCTAATGCAGCAATGCAATAATTAAAGAGGTTATTGATTGAGTGTTTGGGGACCTACATGGTCTGTATCTGTCTTTTCTTAAGCGAACGATGCGTTCGGAATGTATCATTGACTGTCGTACTGACTCGCGTGGTCTTTTGTCTTTACTGTCGCCGGACTTGGACAGTCGTCTTTTGGCCCCCACGGCAGGTTCCACAGCCAAGGGTTCAGCGTCAGTCTCTTGAGGGGGAGAAAGAAGCTTTTGAGGGGATTGTATGACCGAGGACATTAACGGAGTATGACAAGAGTAAAAAAAAATGAAAAAAAATAAAAATAAAAATAAAAATCAAGGAGAATATAAAAAAAATAATAAATAATAAATAAAAAATAAAAAAAATAATAATAATTCGTAGTTACAGACTACGCAACTCTTGTTTTCACAATTGTGTGATATGTTATGCTGTGTATGTATTTTATTTTTATTTATTTTTTATTTTATTTTGGTGTTGCGCTTTTTCAAAAAATAAAATAAAAAATATACGTTTCTATTTCATATTTTGCGCCCTTTTAATGAGCAGACCTTTGTAACCCATTATGCACATCTGAGAAGAATGGAAGAATTGATGGCAAAAAAGATAAGCCATGGACTCTACATATTGAACTATTTTGTGTTCGGTAGAGATCCATTGTAATTGATTAGCGCATGTATCCAATTACTATTGGTACTATTAATATTAATAACGGACAACTACTTTAACTAGCTATATACACAGTATATTGATGAAATCATAATATCAGCCTGGTCAATAGACTAGCAGATATTATCATAATGATAAATTGAAAGGTAATTGGTCAATTATCTAGAGAGAAGGGCTTGCTCTCTTTATTTAATTCTAAAATGCTACCTGTGCACCCTGTTGAAAAAAAAAAAAAGATCCGAATGAGTACTAGAAGTAAAACCCTAATTGACAATTGATATGGCATGGCACGGTTTATAGGCAATTTATTTTTAGAACTAGTGACTAAAGTATAAGTTCAGTAATTACTGAGAAGAGGCTTCCCGTTTATACAACCAAGAATACAAATGCTCTTCCCGAGTAAACATGTATATGAACATGAACATGAACATGAATATGAATATGAATATATACATATGGGTATATATGTGTATTTATATATTAATACTGGTATTAATATATCAATGTGAATATAAATAGTAATTGATTATGTAAAAGACTACACAGACACTTTAAATCTTGCCATAAAGAGTCAAAGTAAAATAGGCACCAAATACCGAGGGTACAAAAATAATATAAATATGTTCTCAGTGTAAGTTAAAGATCTCATATAAATACTTTAACAATTATCATCATTATTCACATAGTGTTTTTATTATTATTATTATTATTTCATTTTACAGAAAAAGCAGCAAGCCATTTCTATTATTGTATTGTGTATTGTGTATTGTGTGTACTTTATATTTATTTATTTATTTATTTGTTTGTTTGTTTCTTATTTTTATGATACAATAATATAGGGAGTGGCAAAAATAGCATTTTACTTAAAGAAGGATAGATCGGAACCACATATATCTCACAGTCATAGTTTACTCAAGTATCGTTAAGTTCAATTATTTTACCTTGTGTATAGTAAAAACAAACTAAGATTTCTAAATATAAAGGTTTATGTATTAATATGGATAGAACAGCAAAGAACATATATATGCTTTGAGATGGCTGAAGACATTATACTATAGACAAGATCACAAAAATAATGAAAAAGAAAAAGAGGACTATATATACAAACCCATTTCCAAGATTTCTTATCTGATAATAACCCTTGTACCCGTATACAAAGGCGTATATAAATAATAGTAATAGTAGTAGCAAATACATTAGCGAACAAACCAAGAACAAAATATATATATATTCAGCTTCGTAAGTGTTACTAGTAAATTAGCCGGTAATCGAGAAATCTAACTTCATATTTTGGTTTGGTCCTGACGTCTTTCACTATTGAGCTCCAATTAGAGCAAATCGAAAATCAAGCCTGTTGGTTTAATTATCACAATTGCTAGATATCCCTGCCTTAAACAGTATATAAAAAGGGTTTAAAAGTTTTTTATGTCAGTGTAGAGTGTCTTTTTAGGAATAAAGAGGCAGATTTGGTTTATCTCGGAATGTTTAATCGTGCGTTAAAGTTTACAAGAGTATATTAAAAATATCAGGGAAGCTATATTAAGAAGGGTACACTGGAGGAGTAGCAATTATATTCAAGCCACCCTCGGGTCAGTAGGAACATCATATGCAATGTGTGTGCATACATGCGTATATTTATATACTTCTGTATGAGCCCAGAACATTGTGCTTCTATATCTATCTTTAATAGAGTGTATTCGATAAATAGGTTTTGAGATGTTTCGATATATGGGTTAATGGCTGTCCCACACCGGAATATATTTAGCCATAAATTTCTGGAATACAAGACAATCAAATGTAAGAATATAATAATAATATATATATTTATATATATTTATTCAGCCGCACGTCCCCTTTTGTGGATCACAAAGTCCAATACTAATTTGTTCTTTCTTTCGAATATTTAAGCTCGGTCATCCAGGATATCTCATTCTTGACTACTCTTCTATTCTTACTAAACCTATCAACAAATACAAAAAAATGGAAAACTCTTTGGTCGACTATATCTCAAAGAACAATTATGTCAAGACGGCAGCAAAAGCAGCTGCAGTATCCTTGACTGCATCCTTAGTTTATTATGCCATAAAAGAACCCAAAGAAGACAATTGGAACCGTAAAGACTTCAAGAAGATTCCTGGCCCGAGTGGATATCCATTCGTTGGTACGTTACAGACAAATATCAAATATCAAATATATCAAGTTTCTGTTATTCATGTCATTTGTTTCTGTATATTTACATACATAAAGGACACATGCTTTCAATGGGATTCACACCTAGTTTCCAAATTGAAAAATGGCATGAACAATATGGTAAGAATAAAATATATCATCAATACTTTAGAACGGACTCTATATATGTATAAAGCTTGCGAAAGAAAAAAACTCAACTTTATCTGCACTTAGGACCAATTGTTCATATCAACATGGGCGCTCAACAATGGGTTATTTTTAATGATCCTGTCCTTGCTCACGATCTATTTGTCCGCAATGCAACCAAGGCTTCAGATAGACGCAGACACAAATTCACTAATGGAATGTACAGCAAAGGTGGAAGGTAAGATAATTTATTAAACACAAAATACATACATATACATACATATATATATATATATATTTATTTTTGGATTATAGAGGTATTGCATTCAGCCAGCCTGGAAAGAAACTGAAACACACCCGAGCAATCGGTATGTATTGGTAGATACGCGCATTAATATACATATGCTTTATCTAATACATTCTTTCTTATGTATTTAAAGCACTCTCAATCTTGTCTCCAAAGTATGTTGACCGTTACCTTGGAGTTCTTGAAAACATTGCCAGCTGCACCGTCGAATTGATGAAACAAGAAACCGACAGAGACGGATCAGTATTCCCCATGCCGTTTATACAGATGGCTACATTTAGTGCTATGATCAAATCAATTTTTGCAAGACCGCTGCACCTGGACAATGATCCTGTTGTCAAGGAGATTATCTATATTATGGAAAACGAATTGAAGTTTGCTGGACCTGCTGGTGATCTGGGATCATTCTTTCCCAACTTTGCTTGGGCAAACTCGCTCTTCCAGAAGAAGAAGAAGATGGAAGCTTTGGTTGCTCGCCGAGATGAGCTCTACAAGATGCTCATTAAAGATGCGCTTAACAGTGAAGAGGATTGTCTGGTCAAACAAGCTTATCAGATGAAAGAAGAATATGGGTTAGATGACAATGATCTGATTGTCATGATGAGTAAGCATCCTTCTTTTTATTTTTATTTAGCAAGATAATTTTCCCTGTGTTAAAAGTAAAAAAGAAAAAAACTTTAACCTTTTAACAACCTTATAATTAGGTGACATGACAAGTGCCGGTGGAGACACTACAGCCATATCACTTTCATGGCTCTTTGCCGTCCTGCCCCACCATCCAGCAGTCCAAAAGAAGATCTGTGATGAGATTGACAGATTTTTTGCCAAATTTAACCGCCTCCCAACATTCTCTGACCGAGACGAATTTCCTTATATGTGCGCTGTTCTCCGAGAGAATATTCGTTTCAGAAGTGTTACAACTTTTGGTATTCCCCACTTCACCTCTGAAGATAGTAAGGATTTTCATTTTCTTTCTTTCTTTCAATATCCTTGAACTATATTACTAAATACCCCGTTCATTCGCAAACAGTTGAGCTACAAGGTTACTTTATCCCAAAGGGTACAGTAGTTGCATGCAGTATGTATGCGATGCACATGAACCCAGATGTCTACCATGACCCAAAGCAGTTTATTCCTGAGCGTTTCATGGGACACACAAAGACTTGGTCTGCTTCTGCCAACGGTCCAATTGATGAACGCGACATGTATTCCTTTGGCTGGGGAAGGTAATGCTCGAATATTTCCAAGCTTACTTACATAAAAATGGCGCAACAACTAATATATCTATATTACACTTTGTTTCTCATAAAAATAATTAATAATAGACGTATCTGCCCTGGTATTTACTTTGTAAGTAATAACTTTTACATATATATGTAAAATTTAGATGTCACTGACTTGATAAAATACTAGGCTGAGGTAGAGGAATTCAATCTTTGCATTCATACTCTCTCCCGTTATACTGTTGAGCCAGCATTGGATTCGGATGGTTATCCCGTATATCCTGATCTGAAGCACGCCTCATCAACAAGTGTTGTATTTGCACCTGCCAAATACAATGTAAGATTAGTGGAAAGAGAAGACAGTCCTCTTAAGAAACAGACATAAGCTATATACTGCATACATCTCCATTTTCATCCAAATCCTCATCTTTATCTGCATCAGTTACCCAAGCTAAATACCCATGGCTATATATATATATATTTATTTATATGAGCAACCGAGAAGATAGCAATACTCTCTCCGTATTAGATCCACCATGTACCATTTTCTTTTTGTACCCTCATCCAAATCAGACCTTTTATTTATTTATTTATTCTACTTTATTTTTATGAAAGAAAGGCTAGTTTTTCTTCCCATTTCTATTAGCATTTTTCATAGCTTTGCTTGTTATGCATACCAATCAATAAAATATATTTATTGCAAAATAATTACTGTTTCTTTTTGGAGCCTCATTTGTATTCAATAATTAGATTGCTTTGTCTTGAATAAGAGTCTGTAATTCATTTGAATAATCTAAAATACGTTGGGGATTGAAAGGCCAAATATAATTAAATAACTATATCATCTTTTGGAAAGGGACTTTTTCCTAATCACTCTCTATTTACCAGTTGGTTATCTCTGTTCTTCTAAAATAATCATTTTTCTTCTGTTTTTTTTTAAAAAAAACACATCTTGATCTTTACATTGTAACTAATGAACACTAAAAACCCCACCAAAATTATTCTTGATTATTAATATGTATAACGATTTACATTAACTAGCAAACGAAATCCCTATCGTAAGATTTATATAATTATATATATAATTGTTAGACAGTTGGATTTGGAGTAGCTATTTACCCAAATGGACTAGCTCTTACCCTAGATTTATTCCGCTGCTTTTTACTATTACTTTTTTTTTGGTCTATAGCTTTGTACATCTCAAAATATTATAACAGCTCATTTCTATAATTAAGGTGTAATAGGACAAGCACAGTAAAAATAAAAATAAAAATAAAAATAAAAAATTAAGCTTTTATTATTGTTAACAAGAATTGTGTAGTGTACAGCCATTCAAAGTACTATTTTCTTTTTAGAAATTTATTAATTTTACAGCGGTAAATAACAAATAGTATAATCATGAAACAGGTATAAAACCAATAATACTTTGTAGGTACAGAAAAAAGAAATGCAATTATCAATATTGCTGGTACTAGCGTGGGTAATACTGGTTTTCTACCAGCTATAGGAAGCTTGCTCTTTCTGATACTAATATAAGTACTTATTTTTTATTCTTATATATACACTATGGAAAATGAGGGATAATATATATATATATATATATATATATATAATAATGATTATGTTACATTTTTGTGCAAGTATAAAAGTAACATGAACGTGTAAAACAATCTACAGTCGTACATTTATATATACACATATACTTCATTCTAATATATCCATTATATATGGCTGTGCATGAAAGAGTTAATCAGTCCTTGCACGTCTTGCTCTTATAAGCAAGAATCTACCGCAGCAAATAACAAATATAAAGATAAGTAACCAAGTACTAATGATAATAAAATAAGCATCGGAAAAATAATAATAACCGAGATAAATAAAGTTTGTCAAATATTGGCTGTAAAAAGAAACTTTTTAAACTATTATCCGTGTTGCTCCTTGCCGTTTATTTCAATATCATGGACACATACCAAAGCTCAGCCAAGAAGGGTAACCTAATATCCCAGGCTTATAAAGAGCCGTACGTTACCAAACTGCGGGAAAAAACTGTGGTAACCTTCCAAAAAATTAATTCCTCAGTACTTGCTAGAAATTCAACCATTATACGTTTATTTGATGCTTATAAGATAATAAATAAATGAAAGTTTCTTTACTATATATAATATTCTCCTTGACTTGAATAGTAGTTATAAATAGTAGAAAAATCCTAAAAGTCATCTTGCTTTGTTGCAAAATCGGACGATGTACCTACCCATTAAAACATAAATAAACAAAAAAGATTTACCCGCAAGTTCCTCAAGTCGTGTGGATGACACTAAAGTCATGCATATATTACTTAATACGGCCCAAAAATTTATGGCGCACAGCAATATTTTCTGTACGGCTTCTAGTGTACTCGCCAGCTGTGTGCTCTGTGTTTTTTCTATTCAAAACCATAAACCCTAAAACATACAATGGGCAATACACAATATACGTTAATATACTTTACATGTCAAGTAAACAATTAACAGAGGTTGTAACTTTTAAAAGTGTATCTTTACACAAGAGCGTAGCTATGGTAGCAAGCTATTCTTTTGTTTTTGTTTACCTAGTTTTATTTCACTTTGAGCATATGTAAAGAGCAACACTTGATAGAAAATGGAGCAATTGAGAAAATAATAATAGTAATATTTAAATACGATCAAAAAAATCAAATAAAGAAGTTCAATGGCACTATCAAGGTATTCTTGTTGTACAGTACTAGAGCACACCTATGCCCAGCCAGTATGAAGTCTCATTCTATGCTTTGAGGTTGCATCAAAACCTCATCTACAGTGAAACAATATGTACACATAAATCCCCACATCTTTATTTTATTTTTTAAAAAAAATCTACAAAATATCGTCGGCATCTAAGGACAGTCAGATTGTCTTTTTTGCTCAAACTTAAAATTATTTCAAAAAAAAAATTATAGACGAGTGTGGTACCTAACACACACTTGTTTTCGGAAAGAACGTCAATTGTCACTTCAATTACTTTAACTGAATTGTGTTTCACGACTTCCTTTTCACTAAAGAAGGTTACAGTGAACGAAGAGACTTCCATCTACTTTAACTAATCCCGGCTTGTTTGTAGATATATTTGATGTTCTGGCAAAATGTATATTCGTTCTACAGTGAATTCTGGCATATAATTGAGGTAAGCAGTTTTGGTTACACTAGTAATGTGGGCTATAAAAGAAAAAAAAAGTCAATAAATATGCTAACAAAATCTATAACTCACATATAGGAAGATACTGAGCTGGGAAAGAATTTTGTTCAAATGTATATTAAAATATCGAGTGATGTTGAATAATGCAAGAGATATTAGGTAAGTTAATCTATATAATGCATTGTCTTTACTGTGGTTTATCTACACAAAATATTCCAAGTCATGAATACGCAATAACAGTATAGGTTTATTAATATCAGTATCAATTGATTTTTTTTAAATAGAAGGTGATCATAGATACTTCTCCTGCTTCTCCATTAGCCTACTCCACAGTTAATTCTTGATCAAAGCATATGATACTTATAATTACATATTATGATAATAAAGATATCATTTGGCTCAAGTATCCCCCTCCTAAAACTATTTTACTCGGTAATATTACTACAAGTTCCGTAAAGAAGCCTTACAAAAATGACCACACTGCTTCCTACCCAATAAAACAGACTAAACATTATCATTTCTGTTAAAGTTGGATATGATATATATAATTAGCTTATCCCAAGCCTTTACCTTAAGCCTAGTGCTTTTTTTTTTTTTTACTTCCGTCTCTGCATTGCCGTGACTCGCCATTTCTATAAACTTATTTTTCTAGCTGTGGCCAAGAACTTTGGATTTAACAAATCTCCTTTTTGGGTCAAGCGCGTTCAGGCACGTCTTTCTCTTGATCGATTGTCAATCTTACATTATGAATCCAAAAGATACCAATATGGATATTGACATTTCTGTCTCTGGATCCCCTTTTGGCCCGGGATCGTCTGCAAAGAGAAAGAAGACCGGTGTCAATTCAAGACAGGAGATGCGTACTCCGTCTTCATTTGAAGAAGAATTAGAGCTATTACACAGTGACAAGAGTCTTGGCCTCAGCAGTACTTATTTATTTTTTTTATTTTCTCATAACAATCACCTTTAATCTACTTTTTATTTTCTAATGCTTGTATAATGCTTTAGCTGAAAACACTTCGGCGATGTGGGGGCGTCCTCCAGCTTCTCCATTAAACCCAAACAGTCAAAGCTTAGGTGTGTGTGTGAGAGTGAGAGAGAGTCAAATGACGTTCGATCTGAAATTTTAAACTCTGTGATTACTATAGTATTCCAACAGATTGAAGCTGATGAGTATATGGATTACAAGACAAAGTCACCTGTAGTTCGTCTCTATGGTATTACTGATGTATGTGTACACACACATATATATATATATGATAGTTGATTATTACAAATATTTTGACAAGCTATTGGTTCACAATCGATAGGCAGGAAACAGTGTTGTTTGCCATATTCGAAACTTCCTTCCTTACTTTTACTTCCCTGCCCCAGCTGGATTGAAGAAATCCCACCTTCCTGAGCTCAAGAAGGCTCTTGCAGTAAGTTCTTTCCAGATATACTGATCTATTGTTTGGATAAAACAAGAGAGAAAAAGAGAGACATCAATAATTTAATTACTTTGGTCGATTGATTGATTTGGTAAATTGATTGATTTGTTTTATTCATACTAGGCTGCTCTTTTTGATCCAGCCATGCTTCATAGTGTGAGCATCGAGGTCAAACAAAGCATTTATGGATATTCTGGGGACGTAAAATCAGACTTTGTCAAAGTTACATTGAAGGATCCAAGAGATATCAGCAAAATAAAAAACAAGATCGAAGAAGGCGTGGAAGTGTCTGGCTTGGATATCATATGTATTGCAGATACTACATACGAAAGCAACTTGGGATATCTGTTAAGATTTATGATTGATTGCGAAGTAAGCATTATATTGTTTAATTCTTTTCTTTTCTTAAATATATGCAAATATTAAACGTACCTTTTTAGATGACAGGCTGTAATTGGATTGAACTTCCTGCTGGAAAATATAGCATCTCCGACAATCATACTTCCCATAGTCAATATGAAGTGGATACAACGTAAGCTTTTATTATATTCTGTAAACCAAGACGGACAAGAGAAATAAGATCTAACAGCAAAATAATAATAATAATAATAATAATAATAATAATAATAATAATAATAATTTTTGTTGTAGATATGACAAGTTTATCAGTCATGCACCCGAAGGAGAATGGTCAAGAGTAGCTCCACTTCGGATTTTGAGTTTTGATATCGAATGTGCTGGTCGCAAGGGTATTTTTCCTGAGCCAGATCACGACCCTGTTATTCAAATTGCAAGTGTTGTTAAAGTACAAGGTAAAAACATCAGCATTTAATCAGCTATAAATGATCTTTCTGTATCTCACACCAATCACAGGCGAAACCAATCCGTTCATCCGAAATGTTTTTACACTGAAGAAGTGCGCACACATTGTTGGTACAGATGTATTGAGTTTTGAGGACGAAGGTGAAATGTTACAGAAATGGCGCGATTTCTTTGTCGAGGTAAAACTGGCTCTTTTTAATTAAAGATGATTGTCGTATTGTATCATCAAACTGTGATTAACTGTATCGGCTGTAGGTGGATCCAGATGTGATTATCGGTTATAACATTATCAACTTTGATTTTCCGTATTTGTTGGATAGAGCAAGGAAGCTGAAAGTAAACAAATTCCCTTATTTTGGAAGAATTTCTGGTAAAGCAGTAATTAAATATTTTTTTAAATGAGCATGTACTCAATTGTCTTTAACCTTAAGGAACCAAGACCGAAGCCAGAGATACCACATTCTCTTCAAAGGCATATGGTACTCGTGAAAGTAAATCTATCAACCTTGATGGACGTCTTCAGCTGGATATGCTACAAGCCATTCAAAGAGATTATAAATTGCGGTCCTATACACTTAACTCTGTGTGTGCTGAATTTCTGGGTACATTCATATTGGCTAGATCTGTGTACTACTCTTTTTTTGTTGTTGTTTTGTTTTGAACTAATAAGTTATCCAATATTTTTAGGCGAGCAAAAAGAAGATGTTCACCATTCTATCATTACCGAGCTCCAAAACGGAACTCCTGAGACAAGACGTCGTCTGGCTGTTTACTGTTTGAAGGATGCCTTTTTGCCTCTGCGTCTTATGGACAAACTTATGCTTCTGGTCAATTACACTGAAATGGCTAGAGTCACAGGTGTACCTTTCAACTATATTCTTACGCGTGGCCAGCAAATCAAGGTCGTTTCGCAGCTGTACAGACGTGCTATTAAACAAGATTTGGTTATTCCTGTCATAAAAACTGAAAGTAAGGCTTTATATACTATTGTTGTTGTTGTTGTTGTTATTTCTGTAGATATCGAAATACTTAATAGTCTGATTTTTGATTTATGTAGCCTCGGATGAACCTTACGAAGGTGCTACTGTTATTGAACCCGAGAAAGGCTATTACGACGTTCCGATTGCTACTTTGGATTTCACCTCTTTGTATCCCTCTATCATGCAAGCTCACAACTTGTGTTACACAACTCTTTTGTCCGTAGCAACCGTTCGCAAGTTTGGACTGGTAAAGGATGTAGATTATATTGTTACACCCAACAATGGTAAATACTTCTTCTTCTTCTTCTTTTAATGCAAGTATATTACGACATGTTACTTATATTCTTTTTTTTTCTTGTAGATTTGTTTGTAAAAGCTTCTCGGCGTTCGGGCCTGCTTCCCGAAATTTTGACTGACCTTTTAGCAGCTCGTAAAAGAGCCAAGACAGACCTTAAAAAGGAAACAGATCCGTTTAAGCGTGCTGTATTAGATGGTCGACAACTTGCTCTCAAGGTAAAATGTCATTTTTAAGTACCATTTTATAAATACTAAACCAATATATGTATGTGTGTGTGTGTGTGTGTGTGTGTGTGTGTGTGTGTGTTGTGTGCTTTTAGATCAGTGCAAATTCTGTATATGGTTTTACAGGTGCAACGGTTGGAAAACTGCCGTGTCTGCAAATTTCATCCAGTGTCACTGCTTATGGTCGTGATATGATTCATAAAACAAAAGAGGTAAAAATTGTTTTTGTTTTTTTTTGTTCTTATGAAAGCGGTATTAAAACTAATATTACTTTTCTTTAGACTGTAGAAGATGTATTTTGTGTGAAAAATGGATATAAACATGATGCTAGGGTCATCTATGGTGATACTGATTCAGTAATGATTAAATTTGGTTGCGATAATCTTAAAGAAGCTATGGATTTGGGTAAATATCGTAGACGTTCAACACACATAAGTTTATATATATATCTTACATGATTTGTTTTTATAGGACAAAAGGCAGCAAAGCTAGTGACAATGGAGTTTGAAAGACCCATTAATCTTGATTTCGAAAAGGTTTATTTCCCATACTTGTTAATCAGTAAAAAACGATATGCTGGTCTTTATTGGACAAACCCTGACAAATACGACAAATTGGATGCCAAGGGTATCGAGGTTGGTATTAGTATTATCATTAATATCGATGTAAAGGTGTATTGGATCGTAAGCTAATCTAATCACGGCTGTAGACTGTCCGTCGTGACAATTGTCGCCTTGTGTCAAGTGTTATTCAAAAAAGTCTTGATAAAATGTTGATTGAAAGAGATGTTCAAGGAGCCCAAGAGTATGTTTCTATCTGAATATATATATATATATATATATATATATCGTTGTAAAATTATCTAACACCTTTTAAACCTTTTTTTTAGGTTTGTCAAGCACACAATTGCTGATCTTTTGCAAAACAGAATTGATTTATCACAACTTGTTATCACAAAGGCATTAAGTAAAACAGATTACGCAAACAAACAAGCACATTCTGAATTGGCAAAACGAATGAAGATTCGTGATCCTGGTTCCGCTCCAGGATTGGGAGATCGTGTTGCATATGTGATGACTAAAGGAACCAAAAAGACACCGGCCTATGAACGTTCTGAGGATCCTCTTTATGTACTAGAGAACAACATTCCGGTCGACACAAAATACTATCTAGAAAACCAGCTTTCAAAACCGTTGATGAGAATCTTTGAGCCTATTTTGGGCGATAAAGCAGAGACTTTATGTAAAGTGATTTTTTTTAACAAATATATATAGATGCTTACTATTACATTTTGTAGTGACTGGAGACCACACAAGAGCAGTAAATGTTGCAACACCAACTACTGGCTTTATGATGAAATTTGTCCAGAAATCAGCTACTTGCATGGGCTGTAAAAAAGTGCTTCCCAAGGATGGTAAATTAGACGATGAACAACCTTTTTTTTATATAATTTCTTTCTTTTTCTTCTAACATTTACTTATTATTATTATTTTAAAAAAATGCTTGTATAGATAAATCAGCAGTTTGCCAGGACTGTAAACCAAAACTGAAAGAACTATATCTTAATCAGGTAATGATAATCTTATGTATTTTTTATAGGCATGTTGCTAAATGAATTGAAACATATTTCTTTTTGTTTTTTTTTGAAACGCTAGTTGGGTCCTTTGAATGATCTTGAAGTCAAATTCTCTCGACTTTGGACACAGTGTCAGCGTTGTCAGGGGTCTTTGTACAGAGAAGTGCTTTGCACAAATAATGATTGTCCTATCTTCTACATGCGTACAAAGGTACAAAAGGACTTGGACAAAGCTTCGGCACAAATCGAGCGCTTCTCTTTTGAATGGTAATATATATATATATATATATAAGAGGCTATAGCCCGTTTAATTCTACCTTTATACATATATACGCATGTGTTATATAATCAAACCAATCATCATTATTGAATGAATATTTGCAATAAAAAAATTATATATCTCTAATTAATTACCTTTCTTAATGACTATTAAATAATAATAATAAAAATAAAAATAACAAAATACTCGTAACCAAGCTTTGTATAGGTGCCTAAGAGTATCCATATTCATTTTCGTATATATTAACAAAATCTACAAGCCTTTGGATCGTAATAAATCATATGTCTATTTATTTATTTATTAATTAAAAGGGAAAGAAAACTGGTGTATATCTATCTATATGATACAAGTAGAATAAACTTTCTTTAAAATGAATATTATGGTATATCTACTTGTACGATGATTTTGTTGGTACTTTAATTCAAGACCAAGTACTAAAAGACGCAATTAAGGTGCCTTGGTTTTACTTCTTTTCTTTTATCATAATAATAGTATGACAGAAGAAGAAGAAGAAAGTTGGTGACAATGGTTATTCTATGTCCGTTGGTGTCGGTTCTCTTTGATATCGGTACAGCTCTTTCTTGAGATAGAATATTCCACGCTTTATACCAGTAATGTGAGCATGATCTACACATGCTTGTTTTCCGGACTTCTTTATCTGGTCTTGATAATATTGTTTGGCAATTCCGATATTCTTTTGTTCTTCTATTGATGTAGACAGGGCATTGTAGAACTTGGTATGTTGTTTTGCCGTGATCCAGAGCTGTCGGTCAGCCGATGTCTTTTGGAAGTTGTGAAGTCGCGCAATCTTAGTCTTCAACATCTTCATTCTAGATTCGCATTGATTTATATTCAATTCCGCTTCCCGGACGACAAGTTGATGGTGCGAAAGACTTTTGTTTCGGGCGGCTAATTGGGCTTGAAGTTCTTTGATTTGGTACTTGATATTCGTCTCTAAATATATAGTCATTCTCTATTTTAAAGAAAAGTAATAGCAGTAAAAGACGAGCGGATAGTCTGACACCCAAAAGACAGGCAAGTGAATTTTGTTTAAATTTGAAAAGCTCTTGAATAAATCATAAAAAGGTTTCCTTTATATATATATATATATATATATATATATATTTCTTTTAGGCATTGTTACTTGGAAGATTTTGAAATTCTTATGGTAAATAGACGCAAAGAATGAGACTTAAACAGCCTTTCATTTTCTGAATGCATTGTTTTAAATATGGGCACCATTGGACAACGATGTTTAAAACCGTACAGCTTGTCAAGAGCATGGTTACAAGTGGTCAATCGTAAGAGTAATATAAATCACGGCCGTATAAACATAATTGTATATATATGCTTGATTCGTTAGCACATAATGGATATCCAAATGCATTAAACAACAAGGGTCATTGTTTTCGCCTCAAAATGACAACGAAGACATTACTACTAATTGAAGAGCATCAATTACTGTGTATGTATGTGTGCTCTCAGATTTGTTTATTGTACAGCTGGATATTAATGTATGTTGTAATATATATATATATAGCCTGACAGATCAATACATTTTCTTTAGCAAGTATAATAAAAAAAATGAAAATGTACAAGAAACTTAATAGAACCACCTTTACTGATACTTTTCTTTTCTCTATAGCCCAAAGTGAGTATTGTCTGGAATTGTCCCTGGTACAATATACGAGCAACATTTTCTTTTACTAAAAGCAAAAATAATCCCCCTCAATTTGTACGTCTACACAGATGTATAGATTGGTTGTTTTTTCTTCTTCTTCCTAAACCAGTAGTTATTATATGTATATATTGTATGTTTTTATGTATGAGCATCAAAGGGCAGTAGACTGCAATTAAGGATACAATATTTATTTGGATAAAATGCTTTAAAAAAAACTTTTATTTTTGTCTATGATTGAATTCGATCAACTATTGACATAAAGCCTTCAAGGTACTACCAAGTATTGCTACTCAAAACAAATGATCGTTTGGCTATATCTCTTCTTCCTTCTACTGTAAGAATAAAAAAAAAAGCTTCAGTCTCAAACATAGTAGGGTCGAGAATAGTTTTTAAACTAAATATGTATATATTTGAATGTGTCAAACACAACTGATATCGAACCATTTCTAAAAAGAGAGGAGTAAGATAAAGAAGAAAAAAGCTTCTTTAACTTTTCTGAATTGATAACTTTGACTTTTAATCATATAAGCTAAAGGCACTGAATTTATTGTATTTTATCCTATCACATATATTACCTTCATATTTTTGGACTTATTTCTAACAAAAAAAAAACATAGGTCAAAAGTCCCTGGATTTTGATCACATATTTTCCTTGAGAGATACCGTCGGAGTTCTGCAATATATGGTCGGTGTTTTTACAAACAGAAGACTTAACCCCAGTGCACGTCGGGTAAAAAAAAAAAAAAAAAAGAGACAACGCGTTTGGCTGTCTTTCTTTAAAGAACATACGTCAACTATGGACTACGGTAGAGAAATAGCCAAGGATATTTCCCGATAGGAACCTTCACTAATTCACCCATTTTAGAAGGAATAAACGGAAGAACCGACGAAGAAAATGAAAAGTTAATCAACGAAGAGTATAAGGTGTGGAAGAAAAACTCGCCCTTTCTCTATGATCTCGTTGTTACCCATGCACTTGAATGGCCAAGTCTGACATGTCAATGGTTTCCAACTATTGAACGGTAATTCATTCTTTTCTTTCTTTCTTTCTTTTTTTAGAATTGTCTCTGACAGCTTCGTTTTTTTTGGTACCAAACAAAAATAATAATAATAATAAAATGTTTAAAATTACTGATGTACTGATTATCATTAAGATCATCCGACAATCTACACAAGACACAACAGTTGCTTCTTGGCACTCACACCAACGATGACGAACCGAATTATGTACAGATAGTTTCTGTCAGACTCCCAAACGATGAGCCAGGTGTCGATTTGCAGAATTACGATGAGAGTATGATCTATAATGGACACCTATAAGTATCAAAGCTAAATCGGAATGCTTAGAAATAGATGGAGATCAGGCCACACACATCACCATCACTCAGAGGATTCTTCATGAAGGAGAAGTGAATCGTGCCCGCTACAAACTAGACGATACCAATATTATTGCTACTAAATCCAGAACCGGCGAAGTGTATATATTTGACCGGAGCAAATACGATCCGACACCAAAACCAAACGAAACATTCAACCCAACCTTGAAGTTAAAGGGTCATGATGGAGAAGGGTGAGGGATAATTTTATTATTATTTGCTATAGGCTATTATATAGTTTTTTTTGGGGGGTATGGAAGGGGGTTGGTACAGAAGTATCTATTTAAAAAGAAGAGGAAAGTTAAAGAGATAAAAAGAATGACTGAAAGAAAGATCCGGGATGTGATAGCTATGGTCTTGAATGGAATCCACACAAGGCCAAATCAAATCATCTTCTTAGTTCTGGTTACGATGCCCGAATTTGTGAATGGTAAGTTTATCTTATATATATATATATATATATACTTTGGATGATAGAGGATATATGGGTAAAGCCATAGATGATATTAAATGGCATTGAACCAAATAAAATACAATGTGATCAAGGGATGTCAATGGAACGACTAAGGAGAATAAGGAATTGGAGCCATTAAGAACATATACTGCACACACCACTGGTGTAGAGGTAAGTCGTCAAAGCACCTTTGGTAGGTTTTTATTTGAATGAGGCCTTGACATCAACCAAATAGGATATCGCATGGCACACACGCTATGACTCAATATTTGCTTCGGCTGGTAACGACGGAAGACTGATGATGTGCGTTTTGAATAGCAGTACAATATGTTATATGCTATTATATTATATGATATTAGTATATTAATATATATATATATATAAGCCTTTGACTAATCCCTTTGGTTGATCATTGTTTTTTTTTATTATCCAGTTGGGATGCACGTTCGACAGCATCTGATAAACCAGTGTATAATATCCGTGCTCATGATGCAGAAGTAAACTGTGTGTCTTTCTGCCCTGGGAGTGAATGGGTTCTTGCTACCGGCTCAGGCGATAAGGTGTGTGTGTGTGTGTGTATTGAATATACATATATGTATTTGCTTCCCCCTCCCCCCTTATTATTGATAAATTTCTTTAATTTTCTGATTGTGGCTTTAAGTTTCTGTACTAATGTATGTATTCTCGAATAGACGGCTGCTTTATGGGACTTGCGCAATCTAAAGACAAAATTGCATACACTTCAAGGTCATCGATCAGAGATCCTTCAACTTGCGTGGTCTCCTCAACACGAATCTGTCTTGGCTACTGCAAGCAATGACAGGCGTATTCTTATCTGGGATCTGTCTCGTATTGATGATGAGCAAACCCCAGAAGATGCTGAAGATGGTCCTCCTGAATTATTGGTATTTATAATATACAGTATATACAATGTCTTGTAAATTAAAAGGCAATGTTATCTCATGCGCTTGTGTTTGTGTTTGTGTTTGTGTTTGTACTTTTATTAGTTTATGCATGGCGGACATACTAACAAAATTTCAGACTTTGGATGGAATCCTGCAGAACCGTGGGTACTTGCTAGTACAGCCGAAGATAACATTGTCCAAGTCTGGCAGATGGTAAGATAAACTAAAAAAGAAAAAAGAAAGCAAAGATCTATATCAGTAATGATAAAAAAAAACCGTTTTATCTTGTTACGATTAGGCAAGCAATATCTACAATAAGGATAAAGAAATCAAAGAGTCTTCTGATACACTCAGTGAAGCACCATCTACTATGGCCACTACAGGCACAACCACAACTACTACCACTGCCACTACCACTACTACCACTGATACTCCTGCTGTTCCTGCTGCTGCCATACCAGCTGCTCCAGCTGTTACACCTACCACTGGCAATACCACTACTTCAGTACCAAATACTGCTATTGATGCTATGGAAGAATAGAAAATGGGTGGGGAATGTGTTGTACACAACGTGCACACCAGTTTTTTTTCTACCTATTATTTGGCTTTCTCCCTCTCTCTCTCCCTCTCTCTCTCTCTTTGGTTTCAATAAATCACACTTTCAAATCGAACTGAAGAAATTTGTGAATCTGATTGGATGATTTCCCTCGTGCCCGACAATCCAAAAATTTCGATTGTCAAAAAATTAACTGCTCTTATATATATATATAAATTATATATAAAATTATATATAAATATACAGCATCAGGAGAGTTAAACTGCAAAAAATAAAACAAAATAAAAAAATAAACCAAAACTCCCCCCACAACTTCAAAGGTCTTCCCCTCTTCTCTATTACTCTAATGTGTGATCTCAACTGGTGTCCCTCTTGCGATAAAGCAATTTCTCCAGACTCGGTACGTCTTTCTTCTTCTTCTTTATTCTTATTATTCAATATACCCGTATACTTAACTCTACCTATAGAAATCTCTGTACTGTTCAATGACATGCTTACAACAAGACGCACTTAACAAGAACCCATTGCTGGGCTATGATTTTTCTGATTTCCGTGATTTTCTTCCTCCCTTGAAGAATTGCCATTATAATAACACATATGTACCTGAATCAGAGCTTGGATCAGACACTGGGGAAGAAGATGAAGACGAGGAAGAAGAAGAAGAGGATAGAGATACATTGCAAACTCCGGATATTTCACCGTCTCATATAGTAGAATTCTCAAGTGCGCCAAACTACAGTAATTCATTCACATCTTATAAAAAATTGCTGGACGAAGAAAATAAAAACAGTCTGTGCCGGATATGGGGCAACCATTAATCAAAACCCGTTTAAGACTTATGTGTGTATATAAATATAAAAGACATTAAAAATTATTAAAGAGATATATATTTAACAGACTTTATAAAAGTTTTCAAGGAGACACACACACACACACATATATATATATATATATATATAGTGTACCTGAGGATTACCGGGGGTGTGAAGCTTGAAAGACATCAGTTCCCCCTCCCCCCTCCCCCCCACGCCAAGATACCGTTGAGTGGCTTTATTTGCTCCGGTGTTTAGTCCGGTCCTATATTATTTAAACAACTCTTACCCATAATTGACTAGAAAATACTCGATGCTGTTTATATAAATTGCTCACTTTTGAATATAATGAGTGGGTATTTTTGGTGGGCCATAGTCTGACTGAGTTTTATTCTCGCTATTTTTGGTGCGATGAGATTGAGCGTAGAGATACCCTTTTTCGAAAAATTAGGTTCATTTCCCGAAAAAAAATCCAAATTTGTTAATAAAAAGAGGACGATTTCGACATTTTTATCATAATGAATGTCTTTATTTTAACATGAATATATGTCGACTAAAAGTTATATAATTCAAGGCTAGCTACTACTACTACTAGAATGGACCTTTCTTGACAGCTTTCCTACCTTATAATGCTCTAATATATATGATTATTGATTGGAATTACTTGTATTTGTAATGATTTATTACTCATACAGTTTTCTGGAAAGCCATAAAATAAAGACATATATTTTGATATAACAGTGAAAGTAGTACATATTTATTGAATATAATAAGAAGTATTTATGTAGAAAAATAATTAAATGAAGATAGTTTTATATCTTTTACGATAATCGAGCTCTATATTTATCTAGAGAAATTCCAAGCTGAACTCGGTCATTCTCCATTCTTTGAGCAGCTTCTTCAGGGGATATATTCTCTAACTCTGCTCTTTCATTAATTGCATCGTACAGCTCTTTTCTTCTACTAAAAAATCTAGACTCTTTACGATCTTTTCTCCATGCAGTTCCGTACTTATTTTCTAAGGATTGAATGGATGGGCTGCCATTAAAGCCGAAAACATATTCTCTCCATACATCAGTAACAGAGAAAATTCTTCGGCTCATTGTATACTGTTCCGGCTGTTCTGGGTGTGTTGGCTGTTGAGATGTTACGGCACTATGTAATGTAGTACTTTGGGGTGGTGGCTGTAGAGGTTGTGATGTAATGATGTTACGCTGTAAAGGTAGGTTCGATGGTGTTGCAATTGTAGAGTTACTGAATTGATTGTATCCGAGAGCAAAAAAATCGGTAAAATTGTTGTTTAATCTATTAATGGAGGCGGCGTGTGAAGAGAGGTGGGCATATATCATGGACTGCATCGAATTCATGGTGGCGTGAACTGTTCCGAAACCAGCTCTGACACTATCTACCATCTCTGGCATAACCATATCCATCCTGTTATTGCTCATGAACACCTCTTCTTCTTGCTGTACTGCGGAGAGAACTTGCTGTTCGAAGCTTTTGTATTCCTCTGAGCTGAAGATAGCACATGTCCAAAGATAATAACCTGGGAATTTCTTTTTCAGAAGAACAGAGTCCTAAAAAAAAGCAGCAAAGAAATATTACTTAGAGAAAATATTACAAACAGTGCTTTAATAACAACATGTACCTGTAGAAATACCACTCGAAGTCGCGAAAGTAAATCCAAAAAATTTGGGCCAGCTATGTCCTCTTGGACATCTCCATTTGCAAATTTCTGTTTCCAAGATTCGATATTTGGGAAAACCATTGTTTGTAGAGAAGCCGAAGGTTGAACCACTGCTCGTGCTAAAAAGAAGTTGCTACTGTTTCCAGAGAACCCTGCTAAAGCCTTCATTGCTTCCACAGGCAATGTTGACATATAACATCCCACCATACGGTCTGTTCCCCACCTTCCAACCATTCGTTGTTGGTCGCCGGAAACGTTCTCTTGTGCAATCATATTGAGAGCACTTTTGCGGTTGGCATGGGTGACCTTTGAAGTATGGATCCCAACTGATTTGAATGCCTCAAGGTATATTTTATGCTGCGTCTTGTATTGTATCGGCTTGAAGCGGTCGTCACCTTTAAAAAGAGCTGTTTCATACCATTTTTCACGGGAAGAAAAGTCGGGAAATGGCTCATTCTCATAATGAAATCTTGAGAATAAACTCATGGCCAATGCACCGACGGAACAGACTTCAAATTGACGATGACGGATTGACGATCCATACTCAATCTTTCCGTGTTGATTGGTTTTTCCAAAGGTCATGGTTGCCACCAGAGCAATGCATTGTGTGGCGCCTTGGTTGTCTAATTCCAAAGAGAAAAGGTCGGCAAATTGCATTCCAAGAACTGTTTGACTTCGGCATAGCATTGCATGACTTATAAGAAAGCAAAGTCGATCTCGACATGCGCGGGTATCGTTTTTTTCCATGAAATATTGACTGATTCTTTCTAATTCTTGCTTGGTGTATCCATCGTTAAGTGTATTCTTTTCACGATCTTCGAAGTTTTTTCTAACAGTCTGTGCGCGTGCCTTATTTGCGGTATCAAGGAAAGCACGGACAAGTGGTCCTCTTGCTACACCATTGGGATTCAATCCAAGAGCTTTCTGCTTGCTACATATATCGGCTACTGCCTTGACATAGGCCGCTATTGATTCTTTGCCTAATGGAATCGGGGAGTTGTTATCATCCCTCTTTAATTTACGTCCTCTATTCATGACATGATCCATCATGAAAAAGCTTAGTTTCTGATCATTCACAAGTTCACCATCTCCGAATTCTTTCTTGAGACACCATTGCTGTTTGAAATGTATAAAAACACTTTTAATATTTTTTTATACAGAAAACTATATTATACATACTCTCCATTCTTCTTGCTTTGCAAGATATGCTTTCGTCGTATTTGTAGGGCGCTGGTCCAGGTTTTGAGCTAATACCAATTGGTTGCTACTGTACATTGCTGATGTGTCGTCCATCATATGCTGAAGACTTGGATCATTGACGGTAGTGTTGTTTCCGTTGTTCATTTGAGGCTGAATAAATAGAAATAAAATAATGTATAATATATCAACAACATTATTCATAAAGTCTTTGAAAATTTGAAGTAATAACGTATTAATTATGGCAAGATATACTTACAGCTCTTTATGAGAATGTTTGGTTTGTTATAAACGTAGTTTCTTTTTCTATTAATTGTAGTACTCTTTATATCCTTTTTTTTTAATGAAAACTATCAGAGTACATCGTACTAAAAATACATTATGAAGAGAACTAATCACATTCAAGTATAATAGTGTATTGGAAGTATAGAAGACATTGTCAGGAACCAATGTCTTTGTTTGTTAAAGGTAAACCAATCCTAGACTTCAAATGCCTTGCAAATAAAGATATCTTTTTATTATTAGATGAACCACTAAGGATTCATACTTCTCTTCCTAATATATTGTAGTGTAACATGTAAAATAAATATAAAAATAAATATTGACTATAATAAGTAACCAAAAGTCAAAAGTCGTTGTTTATTGGATGTATCTGAGCTTGCGTTTCATATGAGTCCGATATGCGATATATCATGGTATTCGTCATGGTATTTTTATGAAAATTATATGGAAACAGATAAATACTTTTCTTTTTTCAAAAAAGTACTGCCAATTTTTAAAAACCCGCCGAAAAATACCTGAGTTTTGTGTGAGTCTCAAGAATCAGATACTGATGTCCTTCAAGATTCACACCCCGTAATTCCCAGGTACGCTATATGTATATATATATGTGTCTCCTTTAACTTGGCTTCTGCAGAAGACGGAAAAACCTTTTTGTTTTCTTTGTTTGATTCTATGGTACTTATTTAGCCGATTTTTTTTAGCTCTAGCTGTGTATACAAAGAGTAAAAGGGCGCATTTTAGCTCGTTATCTTCCTCCCTCTCTTTCTCTTTCTAGTTATTTTGTAATTTATTGATTCACTAGAATAGAATGGAACATAATAGAATGTAAAATAAATTAATAAAGCCATAAAGCAAAAATAAAGGGCTTTTAAATATAATAAAAAAAAAGGGATTCTGATTATGATTTTGATAGCTTTTTATATAAATAAAATAAATATTTAAAAAGAACAAGTGTTATACATGTATCTTGGAAATCTTTGCAATTTTTTCTTCTCTTTTTGCTCTTAAATATCTAAGCGAAACCATGCCCTTTTTTTTATGTTTTAATTTTGACACACAAAATATGTTCACCTTGTACACAAACAAAATATCTTGACAAAAAAAAACAAAAACATACCAAATTGTTATTACTATTTAGGCTTTGGCTGCCGTCTTTAACCGAGAACAAATAAATTGTCAATTAAAGTCAACTGTTACTATTATTATTATTATTATTATTATTATTATTATTATTATTATTATTATTATTATTATTATTATTATTTAATATAAATCGCGTAATACGCACGTACCAGCCAGGTAGTAGGGTAACGGTAATTGTCAAACAGCGATTGCCCTGTGCACCAGTCCGGAAGGTCAGAAGTGAATGGTGCACGGGTGAAATGAACTGTTGATGAGAAAGGAAGGAAGGTGAGCAATGTTACACGATATATTTGTTTCCATGACAACTGTTCCTTTGCGAATAAAAATATAAATAAATAAAAAAAAGATACAAATTATGGGGTAGAGAACGTCACATCTCTGAAATTGATTGGAGGATCTTCCTGAGTTGATGGTTTTCATCTCAACCTTATATCCGCTGTGTGTGTGAGAGAGAGTATATTATGAGATTGTGCTACAGTTTAAATGACGGGTTTCTTGCTTTCTCTTGTTGACTTTTATATATGTATATAATATGTCATCTCATTTAAAATTGTGTTCTGTAAAGTATGGTTTGTTTCAAGGAAGCACATCAATACAAACAAAACAAAATACCATATCTTTTTTAATGACTGAATACTGCATATTCACAAACTCTTATTCAACTAGTCATTAATGTATAGAATAGCTCATGCTCTATACAGCTGGTGACAATCAATTATATATATATATATTCTTATTATTCTTTGTATCTAATGCTTTCTTACTCAACACACTTGGTTCCCAACGGCGGAAGGAATTAACGGTGAGAAGCCGACCAAAATAATAATAATAATATTTGTGTTTTGTATACAGACTTGAATCACAATATTACTAAATTCGATTTACAGATATTCTTACCCCACTCTTGTGCCGAATCCCGGATAACTCTTTCCCCCCCTTTTACCCTTTTACCCTTTTATTCTTTCTTTCTTTTAAGAAAGATTATTTATTGGTAATTTCCTCACCCACTTACTTACTTACTTTGTATCTAAATATCAAATAGGCATCGAGAGACGTCACCATATTGTTTATTTAAAATTATTAAAGCATAAATGTCAAAACTTGATTTCTTTTTTTTTTATATATATATTAAAAATAAAATATCTACCTGGTATCTTTAACCTCTTCTTATTATTTAATTCCCCCCTTTTTTTTCTTGAGCCCTTTGTTTTGGTTTAAAGATCCCAAACCAAGAAAGAAAACTGTCCGTATTTCATTAGTATTATTATTATTTCTAATGGTTGACTAGTTTGTCCTCGAACCACTACGGAGAGAGCATGCCCTATAGATAGTAACAAAACCAAATAGGGTTTATCCAATCAACGTCTATAAAATACATATAAATATCTCTAGGGTTCGGTCTCACTGACCAGATCGACTTCTTTTATCCCTGTCCTTCCGTCTCATTATGTGTACTACATCAGACTTGGACGGGTGGAACGATAAATATGTCATGGTCAACAACACAATCGAACAGATACCACAATTCAGCACTACTTAATCGCCAATACAATCCACATTTTGTCCTGTACAATAAAATACATAGCCAGTAATCCAATACTTGCTTGTACAAATCATAACGAATGATTCAAGATACAAAACATAGAGAAAGGGGAAGTGGGCTTAATTGACGGGCCTCTTTTTGTGACTTTGTGAATAGATAGAAAGTGTAAAGATTAGAGTGAATTAATGAGTGAGAAAAATATATATATATACATATATATACACACAAGAAGAAAAAAAAGGCGCGCTTCTTTTCAACCCCCCCTTCTTTTCTTTATATTTTATATTTTATATTTTCTGTTTTCTATTTCTATTCTTTCTCTTCTTTCTCTTCTTTATTTCTTTCTTTTGTCTACTCTTCTTCAAGAGTTCGATGATCTGAGTATGAGCGACCTCAATTGGTGTACCTACTGTGATAATGCCATCAGTCCGTTCTCTGTAAGTCATCGAAGCGAGACAAAATGCTCATCTAATTTTTAATGCTTTTAACAGGACTCTTTATATTGTGGAGAGAATTGCCTACGAAAAGATGCACTTCGCAATCACCCTTTACTAGGATACACTTATCCAGAATTCACTCACTTTCCACGCCCACATGGTTCCTGTCAAAATACTCCTTTGGCGTCCTTGAGTTCTACAGATGCACCATCCCTTTCCTTGTCCTTCAATTCACCACACTCTTCGTCCCGAACATCTCCTGCACACTCGGTCACCATCCCATCTCCTTATCTTTACAACAAATCTACCCTTCACTTTCTCCAGCAAACCCAATAATCCTTTTGGCTACACCAACAAAATGCGGGGTAAAATATATACATATATATATTAATGTGTGTTTGTATTTGTATTTGTATTTGTCTCAAATACAGCAATATCACACTTCTTTAACCTTTTTTTATTTTTTTACTTACATACATAATACCTATGCAATATTACCAAATAGCCTGTGAGTAGTACTTTATATATCTTCTTTATCTTTCTTTACACATATAGCTTATGTTCTTTGTTACATTTTCACTGCCAATACTATTCCTTTAAATATTTAAATATTTTTTACATACACAACACCCCCATTCTTTCTTATATAAAAAAAATACCATGTCAATTATCTTCATCTACCTTCCTGTAAAAATAATAATAATAAAAAAATCAAGTGTCTATTTAAACGTTAGTTTTTCTTTATTTGTGTGAGTTCATTCATTCATTCATTCGTGCGTGCGTGCGTGCGTGCGTACGTGCGTGCGTGTGTTTGTTTAACTATAGGTGCATTATATAAGTATAAAATATGCGTGTGTGCAATGCTAATAATTATAATGGTCCCCTTCTTTTGTATTGAATTTTGGGTTACAATATGGATCTTCCTTCTATATAAACCCCTCTAATATTTCCTCCTTTTGTCCCTTGGTCTTCCAACTAGAATTCAATGGCCCTCCTCTTCTAACCTCCCTCCCTCTCTATCTATTCAAAAAAAGAAAAGGTGCAAATACACACCTACACAATAGTGCACTTGTTCTCCTTTTCTTTACAAATCCTGTGTTTAGCAGAGCCTAATTATTAGTATTATCTCTGTATAATATTTACCAATACAAATACAAATATAACCATAAATATAAATATAACCATAATTTTTATATATTTATATTGTATTCATTTATTCAATCTCATAGACCTCTTTCTCTCTCTCTCTCTTTCTTTCTTTCTTTCTTTCCTTTGCATTTCCTTTCCTTCCTTTATTCCTTTCCTTTCCTTCCTTCTTTATATAATTCTTTATTCTATTCATGCTTATTAGTCCTGCATTTGGCCACAGCCATACAACCCAAAAACCCAATGGAAAAACACACTCTAGCTACCTTCAATACGACGCATCAAACAACTTCACCTTTGTTGTCACCCATCGCAATGGATCGACATTTGTATCACCTTTTGTAACAGGCAATCTAACAGAACTCAAAGTGGGTGTTCTCTTGCCATTTCATCAAACAGATAATAATTCTACTATGCAAATTACTCTAAGGTAATACAATACACTTGTTTCCATAACCTCTGCTTATCCTTTCTTTCTTTCTTCTTTAAAAAAAAAACAAAAACAAAAAAACAATAAAGTGGTGCATCTGCTATTCGAATGGCCGCCACTGAAATCAATGTACGGCAGCTCATCCCGGGTGCATACATCACCCTAGTCGAAAAGGATTCATACCCCAAAGAAGTCGAAGGCCAGGCGGCCATAACCCAAGCCGTCTTTTCAGCCGTGTCTCTTATCCAAGAAGGTGTCATTGGCTTAATCGGTGATATCTCATCATCCTGGACATCTCTCTCAGCTCTTATGACAAGCACGCTCCAGATACCACAATGCTCATTCTCAGCTGTCGCCAGTACGTATATGCAATATCTTCCTTTTTTATATATATATATATAACAGAAAATATTTATAGTTATTAACCTGATGTTCATGTCTCTATTCCTCTTACTATGTACACATTTACAACAAAAGCGTCCTTGTCTGATAAAACACAATACGGCTATTTTTTCCGAACTATTCCAACCGATTTACTATATGTAGACGCTGCCTTATCATTTATCACTAGCCAAGGATGGCCAATGATTGGTATACTCTATTCAGGCGATGATTTTGGTCAACAATGTAAGATCAAAGTGGATTATAACATCTTAAACCTATTGAATCTCTTTATCTTTCTCTTCTTAGTATCCGAAAACATCATTATGAAGGCTCGGATGCGTGGTATTATTGTGAAAACATACCAGTCATTTTACGAAGATGGGCCAACCAGTAATATACAACAATCAATCAATGCTCTTATGCGATCAGATGCTCGGGTAATCCTTGTCGCAGCCGAGGGAAAAGCCCTCACAGCTGCCTTGACCGTCGCCGCAAATTCAGGATACATTAGCGATTCTAGTGTCTGGTTGATGTTTGGAGAGGCGACTGTTCCTCTGATAGATTCAATCGACCGATTCAACCGAGTGATTGCCCAGCGTATTCGTGCCCCTGATAGTATCCAAACAGTGGTGCGGTATGCAGGTCTGACAGGTCTTAACCAGAAAACGAGTCAAGCAGTAGATCCAGCAGAGTATGCCGCACGTGTCACGACATATATAAGGCCTATCGATTTCAATACAACGTTCTCAGGGGGAGTCTTTATGTTCAGGTCTCGTATGGATCTTACAGGCTATTCTCCCTTTGATGAATTTATGGAAAAATGGTCAAGGCTAGATCCAAAAATGTGAGAAAGAGAGTCAAAATAGTAATACTAATGATGGTGATCAAATTTTCTGGATCAAATTCAAAGCTATAACGAAGTATATAATTATATGCTGCTGCTTAACTCTTAATTTCTTCCTTGTTGAATAGTTATCCGTTTGGTGGTCAAACAGATATTATCAGTAATGAAGGGTAAAGAAAAAAATGTGCAAAATGTGAATATTAGGAAACACAGACTCATCTATCTAAATTATATTATTCTCTTTCTCTCTCTCTTTAGACTAGCCTATTCTTGTATGATGACAATGGCACAGGGGTTCAACCATGCCATTCACAACTCCACCAACTCTACATCAGCCCTTACACAACTAGCACTAGGACAACTGGGCCAGTACTTGACCCCCTCTGCATTTAATGTTAGTTTTCTGGGTCCCCAAGGTCCTGTACTACTAGACCAGAATGGAGATATGTCTGTTGGGTAGGTGCCTTTGATTTGATTATTAGTCTTTAATTTTTGATTTTTGGCTCGTGTTATATAAAAATATAATAAATAAATAAATCAAAATCAAAATCCCAAAAAAAAATGATTGCAGAAATTTTCGTATATATAATCTTCAAAACGGATCAAAAGTCGAGATTGGAAATATATTGGCAGGCAAGCTTAACCTGACATTGGCTCCTATCTACCATGATGGAACTACAAAGGTAATGGTTTTCTTTTTTAAAATAGAAATAATCATTCAAGCCTGTAACAGATACTCACCGTCCTCACTCTCCTTGTTTTGTTTTTTTTACTCTCTTTATTTCTTTATATTATGCTAATATGCACTCATACACACACACACACATATATATATGTATATATTTATATATGTATATATGTATATACCTCTTAACCCACTCTTAGTAGGTACCCACGGGTGTACCTCCACGTACTTATATTAATCCCGGCTATTCCTCCCCAACGTCTATAATCCTCCTTGTGATATCATCCTTTGGCACACTCTTTGCAGTGTGTACGATTTTGCTGGTTCTTCTTTTTCGTAAGCGAGAAGTATTCAAGGCATCAAGGTAAAATGACAAATGATAAATGAGTATTAGAATCTTGTACAAGATATGAATTCAATATGTTATTTTTATTTTATTTTTTTCTTTTCTAGTCCTCTGTTTTGTGTTTTGGAATTAGTTGGCTTCATTCTTGCATATATATCTGTATACTTCTTTTTGGGATATCGTACACGAGTAGACTGTATAGTGATCCCAGTTACATTTCATTTGGGTTACTCTCTTGTTTTAGGGTAAGAGGAGCACAAGTTTAACTATCTATCTTTATAAATATATAATATTATATATATATATATATATATATCCTCTTGACGAATTTCATTTTGGATGATACAGAAACCTTATTGCTAAAAATTACCGTGTTTACCGTATATTTAATAACATCTTCATTACCCGGACAGTCGTAACAGATCTACAGCTACTCAAAGTCTCGGGTGGAATTCTACTAGTAGACGCTGTGAGTAAAATAAAGAATGATAATACACATGAACATGAACATGAACATAAAGTCTGTGGAAATATCTTTATATTTGGTCTTTTTAACCTTTTCTTTCTTTCTAGGTTTTGTTGGTTAGCTGGTTATGCTTTTCAGATATCCAGGCTGTCAAGATTCCTGTGTCTAATAACTCCTATTTTGTTGGATGTTCTTATCATGGAAAGACTCACCCTACCTTTGTATGGATTTTAACATCCTTTGCTGCTGGGCAGCTTATAATTGCTACATTTTTAGCTATCCAGACAAGATCTGTTGGACGCAAGTATTCAAAATATAGTGAATACAAACAAATTGGAATCTCTGTATAGTAAGTCATCTAACATTAATCTATGCTTCGTTTATTACAAAGAATCTTGATTCCTTTTCTTTCAATGTACAGCAATATCTTCTTTTCAGCATTGATTGGATTTATTATCTATTACATGCCAGCTACGGATTATTTCACTCGACACTACTTGACAGCAACAATGATTGTCTGGGCCAGCACCTTTTCACTCTTTGCTCTCTTTATTCCCAAACTTCTCAAATTCTTTTCGCGGGCTAGCGTAAACACTCAGGCCAATGGAAAGGCATCAGACTTGACAGGACGCCAGAGACCGCCACCGTCCCAGGACTGTACGGATTTTACCGATAAGATCGACGGTGAAGGCCAAATGGAGCATTACAATGGAGATCTGCTTACCCTTGATCAGGCTGCTAATGGCGATACACCAATCGATGGAGATCTGTCGCGATCTCAAGGTCGGAAACAGCGACCTGTCTTGCACCGTCAACACGGACCTATTGACGCACTTTTGGGGTCAAAGGGAATCCAACTTGATGCCCACGAGGTAAAAAATAAATAAATTATAATTATATAATCATCTTGTTTTTATTTTATTTTTTGTGCATGACCAAGTGTTTGATCCCTATTTTTTTTTTTAAAAAAAAAAGGCCCGTATGCCAATCCAACATGTCTTTCGATATCTTCCATTCTTGGCGGCATGGGATATGAAAAACATCATTTTATTTCCCAGTCATGGGTATTTTTCATGGATTTCAGTAAGTTTTTATATAAGTATCATTTAGTTTATGATTATCTTTTAATTAACCAATTTATTTGTATCTGTATTTGTATCTGTAGGAGAGATCTAACAAGGGGAGGGTTTTCGGTTACTCTCATGCTTCACCAAACTCACTGTCTCCAGAGGCTTTTATACTCAAGGTGCATGGACTAGGCTTGTGGGACGTATTGATCCAAGTATCTGACAAACAAACACTTGAACAATGGTGCGATTGGTTTAACCAAAAGAATGTTCAGAAGCCGAGATCCAGACGCTGCTCGTTTATCACCAGTCGGACCTATTTTACATCCCAGGCACAGTTAACACTGACTGCGACAGATAGTAGTGTTGGGCGTAACTTCTTAGGAGATGGTAGACGAGAGAGCGAGGCGAGCATGGAACTACCACCCATACCTCACCAGAACCACCAGAACCACCAGAACCACCAGCATCCGCACGATTCAAACAATCTATTCTCAGGCTTGCCAATACTCAAAGAACATACAGATGAACGATTATCACACGATAGTCTGTTTTCGTTCAAACAAGAACCTCCTTTATAAAATCGATACTAATGATAGTAATATAATATAATATATATATAAAGATGTTTCAATATTATATTGATTAAAATACAGATACAAAAAAATACCCTTTACTTTTAAAGAAATATATATATATATTGTAATTTATGTATATATTATAAATATAGAATATAAAAGAAGATGGGAATGAAAAAAAAATGAAAAAAAGGGTAGGGGTTGGATAAGGGAAGGGGGTGGAGTGACCCTGTAGATTTTTACTGTGTGTCCCAAAAAAAATCCAATAAAAATATAGGGGATACAGGCGGGTTCAAAGGGTAAAATATATATAATAAAAGGGGGTTTTTTTTGTTTGGCTTATTCATTAAATTTCCTTTTTATTATTTCAGCTCCCGGGCGTCCAACCGGAGCTCTTGAACACATTGCTTAGCTAAGTGAATTAGCCAATAGAATCACTTTAATTAGTATCAGTTGGACCCTGGCATTAAGTAAGCAGATAATTTTTTGTTCATTCAATCACCGCACTCGTCATTCGAGTTCATACATTTTTCTTTCTTTTTTTTTGGGAATTAATTTTAAGATAAAGCAGTAAAATTTCATCATCATCTTCTTTCTTTCTTTCTTTCTTTCTTCTTCAAATACGTGCAAAATCTTACTTAATATGTCCATCGCTTACTCAACCAGCAAAATCTACAAGATCATCAACGGCCGTCTTTTGATAAATCATGAAATCGTTGAAAACTCATATCTCTGGTACCAAGACGGAAAAATCATTCATCCCCAAAGTCTCTTCTTTGACCATCATCGGGATGCAGACGAAATCATCGACGCAAAGGGTCTTTTGGTTGTGCCTGGTTTCATCGATACTCAAATCAATGGTGCATATGGCATCGACTTTGCCGACTATGAGCACTCTGTGGAAACCATTCAGGAGAACATTGATATTGTAGCCAAAGGTCTCTTACGTTATGGCTGTACTGCCTTTTGCCCAACTGTTGTAAGCTCATCCCCAGAGGTCTATGAAAAGGTAAGAAATGACGTCAATCCAACAACCACTCATTTTTGTTTCTATGCCAACTTTTAAACTAACTATCTTATGTACACACGCCCTCTTTTTTTTTTTAAAAAAAAAATAAAATAAAATAAATTAAAAATATTATATTTATTATCATTATCATTATCATTATTATCGTGCATTTAGGTTCTTCCTCTCTTAAACCATCGCAAGGGATCTGCTACTGGAGGTGCAGAGATTTTAGGTGCACATGTCGAAGGTCCATTTATCTCGGTCGAGAAAAAGGGTGCCCATAAGCAATCAGTATTCAGAGACGCTAAAGAAGGCATTGCGGCGTTTGATAGTGCTTATGGTTCCGAACTACTCAAGGGAAGCAAAGCCGTCGCAATAATGACCGTTGCCCCAGAAATCGAAGGTGTGAGTGATGCAATCCCTGACCTTGTCCAAAGAGGAATCACAGTTGCAATCGGTCACTCGGCATGTCGAATCGCTGAAGCTGAACAGGCCGTGACTAATGGCGCAACAAGCATCACCCATCTCTTCAATGCCATGCAAGCCTTCCACCATCGTGATCCCGGACTGATTGGTGTATTAGGTGCAGCCGACCTTCCTTTACCAACCACCAGTAAAGGACACCCAAAACCATCATTGACTTCTCCCTGCCGTCACAGTCCCGATCCTCGTCCCTTTTTTGGTTTGATTTGTGATGGTGTACACGTTCACCCAAACTCTATTCGAATTGCTTACTACTCTCATCCTAGTGGTGCTGTTCTTGTCACAGTAAGTCACGATACTATTTTTTTTTTTGTTCTTTTTCTTTTTCTTAATATTAAACAAAGGAATGATATGATTCTCAGCAATTACACCGACGTTCTTTGTCGGACCATTTTCATTTATATATATATATACATATTACTAAACGTCATTCTCACATGTTTATTTTAATAGGACGCACTCTCAGCCATGGGATTACCAGAGGGAGAATACACGCTTGGTGGAAGTGAACTTCAGGTGGATAAAAATGGCGCTGCTTACATCAAGGGAACCTCCACTCTTGCCGGCAGCACTGTCACAATCGATGAATGTGTTCGTAACTTCCAAAAGTTCACCAACTGTACTGCGGTAGAAGCAATTGAAGCAGCCACACTTCATCCTGCCCAGTTGCTTGGTATCGAGCATCAAAAGGGTACCCTCAACGTGGGCGGTGATGCAGATTTTGTGTTTTTGGATGATTCTACTGGAGAGTTGCGTGTTGAGAAAGTATTTGTTGCTGGCGATGAGGTTTCCTTTTAAATATTATATTTGTATACTTTCTATTATTTGATACCTTTTGTCCTATACAAACTCAAGGCAATAACTTTTTCTTCTTCTTATGTTTATCTACTACTACTATTACTACTACTACTTCTTCTTTAACCCTACAACAATAACAACAACAACCGCTTTTAATTGTATATAAAAATAAAGCAAAAAAACCCCCCTTCCCAACCATACACCAATATAAATATAAACATAAATTTAATTTGTCGTTTTTTTTAAAGGATAAAAAATTATCGCGTTAATTGTAATCATAAGGAGATTCCATAAAGTTTATTGTATTAAAATGAGACCATCTTTTCACGTTCCTTGGTACGTTTCAATGTACCCTGGAGTCTGTCCGCTTGTTTTTGAAGACCAGCCAAGGCTTTGGCTACTCGGTCAACCTTGGCAACAAATTGTGATTCCATGGGCGTTCCTTTGTTACGTCGAACGGACTCATGGGCCCTGGCAAGGGTCTCTGAAGTTTGTGCAATCTCCGTTTGTAATGCATGCAGCTGCCGCTGGGTTTCCTTGGGATTCAGCGTGATGGCTGCAACCGGCTTTCTTGAGCCCTTGTTTGCCCCTTCTCTGTCTTGTTTCTTGTCCTTGTTCTTGTCATTGGAATTGGCCTCTTCTTCCTCTTCTTCCTCCTCCTTGGGTTTAGAAAGTGTTTTGTTCATAAACGCAAACACAGAGGTATCCACCAGACGTGACTGAGGTCTCTTTGGCTTCTTGGGCGGCTCTGAATTACTGCCTAGACCAGGTCTGTCTTGACCCGGGATAGATCTTTTCTTGACGTTGGGCATAAATGCCTCTACGGGATCAATACGGCCCTGGCCATGGAGTCCCAGACCTTTTCCCTGATGGTTGAATCGATAGGCAGGCCAGTAAAAGCACTCCTTTCCACACTTACAGAAACATATCCCATCTTCTTCATCATCTTGGAAGCAAATCCATTCGTGTGCGCTTGCCAACCACCAAATTCCTCCAGGTCTACACGCTCAAGCTCGTGGTCACTCTCGTGCTCCGACTCGTGTTCAGGGTCGTTCTGACCATCTACATAATGTTCATTGTCATCATTGTCACTAGTAGTAGTATCATTGTCGGTTGTGTCATTTTTTGTGTCATGAATTTTGTAAGGCATAATGGACTCAATCCCAAGGGTGTGGAGCGTCGACATATCAGACGCGCATTGTACACGCCATTGATTGTCTGTAGAGCCATCTTGCCCTACAATACGTCCTACTTGCCACACTGTAGTTGTTTTGTCTACTTTACACCACACACGCTTTGATGGCCTGTAGTTCTCGATGTCTGAAATACCCAAGATGTCATATGGCAAGAGATTTTCGGCTGGGACCAAATAACCGTGAGAGCGCTGGTCAGGGCAGGGTGTCTTACAGGCGTGCTTGACAATATGGTTAGTGCAGGCTACGGTGTCTGCGGTGATTGGTGTGAGAATCAAAACCTTTGCTTCGTTTGATAAAGCAAGACGTTCAAGAACAAGTGCAGGTAGTAGATATTGGCGATCATCCAGGGTAAATGAAATCACACACTGGGTACCACACGGAAAAGCATCTTTTTCTTTCTCTTCTTCTTCTTCTTCTTCTTTTTCTTCTGGTAGTTGTTCTGCCATCGCTTTTTCCAGTACGTCATACAGGTCTGCTAACATTGTCAATAGACTGTCATCAGTTGGCGCAAGGGCAATCAGCTCCTCGACTTGCTGAATCATCGCCTTGGTCTCTTCTAATGATGAGCTCATTGCAATGCTATCGTTTGTGATTTGGTCAAATGAGTTGTTTACGTTAAATTAATAACAACAACAATTTACACTAAGAATTTTATTATTTATGACAAGACAAGATAACTTATATTAATTTTTTTATATTATTGTTATTGCTATTATACGGAGCATTTGGGAAAAGAAAACTGTCGGACCAGTCCGGTAAGTTCAAGAAAAGCTTTTTGTCCGGATCGGATTTCTTCTTTGAACAAAAGTAGTTTGGTATGCACAAAAATTCCAAAAAAAAAGAACAATTTTACTAGGATTTATTACTAGATGAATATACTCAATCATAAAGGGTATTCAATCGAATTCTACATAGAAAAAATGCAACATTTTGTTTATTGGCCAAGCATATATTGTTTTATGGCTAAAGACACACACAAAAAAAAACAATGCAAAAGTATAAATTTCATAGTAAGATTCTTATATCATTAATGCGAAGATTTTCAAGTCGTATACCTATACAACAACATAATAGAAACTAGATCAACCAAAGCGATGTACGTTTCTATATTTGATTTTTTCTACATCTTCTTTAGAATTTTTTTTTCATGTCGTTAAAAGGTTTTCTGTCTAACAAAATTGTTTTTTTTTTATAATTTAAACATTCTAAGTAGAACCTTGATCGAGCGACTCTCACTATAGCAAAGTAACAATAATAGTAATAGTTTGTAAACAACGGGGTTTGTTTTAAAAACAAAAATAAGGCTTTTTATAATGTTCTTTTAGAAGACCGTGAAAGGTTACATTTAGTTTTGGAGAGCAATATTATGAGTAAAAGTTAGATTCTTGCTTAAGTTTTTGAAAATACGGTTGGGAACATAAACAGTATTCGAATGTACCAAATTCATCGATCAGGAAAACATGAATTTAATGTTTGCGAAGTAGCCTTCTAATTCATACACCCTTTATTTATTGGCTGATAATATCAGCTGTGAGGTACAGACCAATCTCTCACTACCAAAACACCAACTGGGCCAAAGTTGAGGCGAATATTATTAGCTAAACGTTCATTAGCTTGGGGGTTGGTTTATATGTGAAGATAGACAAAACGGGCGGAATAAAGGCTGCTGACTGGTCTGATTTGTAGTGTTTGTGTAAAAATAATAATAATAAAGGATTTGAAAATTGAGGAGCTTACTGATTTGACCAAAATGTGAAAGAAAAAAAAATCGGCAAAGTTACTGGTTCGGCTTGATATTTGTGAAATGACCTTTTCGAGAACAAGAACATTTGTTGGCTGGATGGGTATTGATACAATGTTGATCTGGTCATAGTAAAGTCCTCTCCAATGCAGTATAGCATATACCTTCTTCAAGGGTCGCCAAAGGTGTGAAAGACCCCGACTTTGCTCGTGGTGTTTTGGTGAGAAATAATAAAGGTAGTAAATCTCTTCTGAGCCGATGATGACAACTTCTGTATGTGGGTACTTGGGTAATATCGGGAGTCTGCTTCAAGATGGAGATGCCAGCATCATCTGCCTGAATTGTTACTTTGTACTTTGTTACACTGTTCTCTTGATCTCTTGATCTAAAAAAAATAGCTTTTTTTCTTCTAAAATTACCTATGAAATCTACCTCGAAATCGTCGTTCTTGCTGTTGTTGTCGTAGTATTAGATATGAGCGTCTCTACAAGATATCAGATAAATATTTTCTGTAAAACCCAGTCCTCTACCGACTGTATTGTACTTTCTTATTATCACCACTGTTTAGTGAAAATTGTTTATGTCATGGACATCAGTTATTTGTTATGATTGGCTACTAATAAATGTAACGCCACACTTCTGGAATAAGACATTGTTATATATGGTACCATCGCATCATATCTATATTTAGATTTTATTAATTTATTTTTATTATTATTTTGTAGTTGTACTCGCACTCGCACTCGCACTCGCCACACTTTTTTTTAATTGTCCTATTTAGCCACACATAGGATATTGCTAGAAAACACTCGACTATCAGGATAGGTTTTTCTTGAAACAGAAAAAAAAATCAATTGAATTGTATGTCTATAGCTACTATTATTAAGAGACAAAACATAATAGGACCCTTATGGCTGTCTCTAGAACTGTTTGTTTGTATAAGTTCATAATAGCTCGTCAAGGATTATCTTCTTTTCAGTGGTACATTTTTGAGAATCACATGCTATGGAGCTGCTAACTAGTATCATTGCTGTGAGCTTATTTTTTTCCCCATTACTCGATTTCAACATTTGCCCTGGAATATAGTTACTGGTTTATCAAATTTAGAAATAAGATAGCTGTAATATGCCTTTTCTACTACATTTTTTTTTACTCTTTAATTGAATCGACAATATTTATTGCTGTCTAAGAAGAAGAAAGGAAAACAGTAAGGTCTTAGTCAGGGCGTTTGACAACTTATTCACTGAAGAACTCCTTTATTAGTTGATGCCTGCTGAGATACACCGTTTTATTCACAGAGATCAATAAATTGTCACTAGAAAAAAATACACGGGTGTAGATTTAAATGATAGTTTGTTTGTACACACAATCCTCTTGAGGAAACAAGGATACTTTAAAAGGATAAAGTTTTTTTTCTGGTTCAATAAAGTTGTATTATAAACGCCTTTTGCTAATAATTTTTTTGCTCCTAATAGGATAAGTAGATGTTGTTTTTTTCTTCTTCTTCTTTAAAGAAGTATATATATATATATATATAGTGCCTATTTATTCAAAGTCATGTAGTTTCTCTATTTATTCTTTTAGTGTCCTTGCAAAATACTTTTTTTTTGCTTTTAGCTTTAGAAAGCTAGTATAGCTATGTATATCACGATAGCTGATCTGATGAAGAGTGGCAATCATACAAAATCCAAGTGAGTGGTTTAATTTAAGGGACTTCTAGTGAGTTTATGAGGAGATGTCGGACTAACCGGACATCAGAATCGACCAAGTCATCACTTGGCCTGTCCGATGGACTTTTTGTCGTAAGCGCATTTGGCAACTTTTAGTTGATGTCATGATGTACACAATAATAAGCTTGTATTTTTTTATTTTATATTATAATTTGGTAAGGTATGAATAAGGTGTAATTAATAGGATAAGAGGGAATTAACATAAGAAAGGGACAATGATAATACAGAACAAGGTTAAATTAGGTACAATAGATAAATAGATATTTTGGCTTTATGGTTGATGGTTTTATGAATGATGATTTATAGTTTCTCGGTGTCATGTACTCTTCTTCCCGAGCCAGTGCAGCAGCTAATGAGATACCAAAGTGAAGATAGTAAAAGAGCGACTGCAGCACCCAATGTCATCCATACGGTGGGGCCAAAATGCTCGTCTATTGTCACGCTGCTTTCTTTGACCGAATCCATGCGTTTAAGGGCGACGACAGGTACAAGCATGATTGCGAATGATGCCAACATAACCACAAAGGCCAAGAAGCTGCAAATTGAAGCCACAATATCGGGGAATCTTCTGAAGTGACTGCAGAGAGTAATTACCAGAGCAAAGAATGTCAAGCCAAAGCCAATCCAGTAAAGGATAAAGTCCGCAAAGACCAGTTGATCGTAGGTGTTATTTAACAAGGAACCGATTTCCTTGATTTCAGCTAATTATTAATTTATGTTAGATGATGGTCGATTGTAGATGTATACATATATTGCTCAGGCTAATATTAGTACTTACTTATTTTGTAACCAGCAGCCGGATCACTGCACTCTGATACAGTGTCGCCTGAACCGGTACAATATGACCTAGAGGATTAAAATACAATCAAGTTAATATAAAATATCGGTAAGATTTGAAGTCAAATGTATAAAAAAATTACCATAAGCCAAAGGTATAAAAGGCAGTTCCATAGTCTATACGAGCATAGTATAGATCAGTTAAGAACGATCGGTTTGATGTATTGCCGATCAAAGTAAAGATCTGGAGGACGAGGGCAGCAAATGTGAGAAAGGTAGCAAGGTAAGCAAAGATGGCCATAGGTTTAAGATTGATTTATAAAATAAGAAGAAGAAGTAAAGATTAATACATCCTAGCAAGGAATCAGGTCCTCTTTTTATAACCCTGAGTATTTTTGACAAGTTGATGACGGAATATAAAAAATAAGTATATAAATGTATAATTGTATGTTCGTGAGTCTTATTATTCTATAATACAAGACGTGCCAAGAATTCGTTCCATTTTTGGCTCTTCTTTTTCAGAATTCTACTTTGCATCTCAGGCAGTCTATTTTTAAGCTTTTCTTTGTATGGAAAAGGTTTGTGCGCCAAGGGGCACACGAAGCACAACAATAAGAGCAAAAGATCTCTCTCTCTCTCTCTCTCTCTCTCTCTCCACGATATTGGTGTGATTCAATATACGTCATCAGTGGCACCTACAAGAACATACACTTATATACACTCGAGTGTATATATATGTGTGTGTGTGTACTACTTGTAATAAATCAAGAAAGAATTAACACAGGCCTGATTAAATAGATAGTTTCTCATGAATAGATTGAATATACTTAAAGGACATTTTGGGAAGAATTGAACAGTTATACCCGTGTTTTATCTTAAGTAGGTTTCACTACACTTGCAAGCATAATGTACAAGAAATCATAAAACCCTTTCTGATCAGCGCCTCCATATTCTATTCTATCCTATTATATGCTTGCTTGCTTTATTATTAAAATAGAAATAGAAATAGAAATCAATGAAAATAGGACCTGAAATTAGCCCGGAAGCGGATGTTTGTCAAAGGTAAATTTCTAGTTCTATACACATTTATCCCAATCTATTCTTGATATTTAGAGTTTAGTTACAAGGCCAGTAACAACAAAAGAAGCCACAGCTAAGCAGAAATGTGCATGCCAAGGTTCTCGTGTTTCCAGCCGCGGTGGTGTACAATTTGAGATAATTATACTATCCATATATCTAGCTACTTATCTGTCAAATAAAAGGAGTCATAAACTGTATATCTACAGTACCCAGATCTACTACTCGTTTGAAGATCCAGTATTTATTTAACACATAAATGATTATAATATATATATATATAATTTATGTACCTTTTATTTTACTTGTTTCATTTTTCTTTTGGATATTTTCTATAAAAGTAAGACGTTCATTTAGATATGTTTTAACATTTCTATGTGTGTTTCTATATAATGCATCGACTTATAGAGTATACATTGAGTATATACATATATACATATATATATCTATGCATATTCAACTCTTATATTTTGCACAATGGCCAACTTAAGACTTCCTTAAATCGAGTCAAGTAGCTGACGTCACTTTAGAGCTGAAATGTGGAGGAGTAAGAAAAAAAATGAGAGTAAAGCCGGAGAGTAAGAAAAGAGGGAGAGAGAAAGGGAATAGAAAAAAAAATGGTACACGCGTAGAGTTTTTGTTACTTTCACATCCCGTCTTTTCTTTCGGTTACGTATACGTATTTTTTTATCGATCCACAATGGAATCCTCAACACAGCAGCAGCAACAGCAGCAGCACCAACAGCAGGAAAAGGAAGAGAAGGCCAAGAAGAATCTTCCTCAACTGGGCGCTCTCGAAGAAGACGATGAATTTGAAGAATTCGCTGCAGAAGGTAAATAGATTTCAAGCATGACATTAGCTTATACTCTCATTAATAGAATGGGGAGAGGATGAAGAAGATAAGGAAGACGCTCAGTTTTGGGAAGACATCTGGGATGATGATGACATTGAAGATGACTTTTCCAAGCAATTAAGGTGGGTTTTTTTTCTTTTTTTCTTTTTAAAAAAAAGAAGCATGAATATATGTAATACATATATCAAACAGATCTTTGCAGGTAGTGTTCTAATGCAATTTTATTACGTATTTAGGGCCGAGTTGGAGAACGCTTCAAGCCAGCCTCAGCCAATGAAGATGTAGAGAAAGAAAAACAACCAAGAAAACTAAACCAAAAAAAAAAATGAGAGAGACAAGAATGTATTAAACGCCAAAGGATCAATAGTATCAACGCATTTCAATGAGAAAAAACTCTGTGTATAGTTGCCTTTTCTTATACTTCTCCTTTTAATTCATCTTTTATTTTTTGCTTGTCAAACACAACTATATACTTCTTTAACAAACTTTATTCCCCCAGATAATTGGTTGGTTATTATTTTTTTAAAAAAAAAGAAATATATATATATATATATATACATGTTTTCTATCTCTACTAGAGACAAGTTATTATTTATTTGTGTTTTTTGCTGTATAGTCGGAAAGGAATATCATAGTAGAAAAGAAAGGGAAAATGCATCTGTGGATTTTTGGTAGAAGGAAAGCGGTATCATGGAGTGGAGTATAAGGTTTAGAAGGCGTAAAGAGGCTTGAAGGATAAAGAAATATAAAAGTGAAATATGAGTCTGTCTATTATTTGCTTTGCTTTGCTTTTCTTTGCTTTCTTTCGTTTAGTCTTCATAAGTGATGTCTCCATACTCGAACATGCCAATCTATTTTAAATAAGTTTTAATAGACAAAAGTCGTTAGTTTTATAAACGTAACTGCAGTATTTATAATACTTACTCTCTCACGCTTTGCCGCCTCTGAGGCTGCTTGGAGTGATTTGATGATTGGCTGGTAAGCACGGGCATAGCGCACATTGGGAGTCACAAGTGCCTGACCATCCCTAACCATCTCGAGGTTCAGACTGGCTTCAACACTTTGGGAGTTAGAAGGATCGTAAAGGGTGAGGCACAGAACACCAGCTTCTCGAGCATCGACATTTGCAACCAATTGCTTGTTCTATTCAATAATTTAGCTTAGTTTGATTTGACGTGTTCGCCCACACACACATAAACACAAACTTACGCCTGTCAATTCTCTAAATCTCTCATATGCTTCAATGCCATAGTCAGCTTCTCTTTCAGGGCTCTTGACAAAAGAAAGCACTGCCTCCTGGGCCTGTGCCTTCAAGCTCTTGAATCGATCAGGAAGCGATCGAATACGAGAATGGGCCAAGGTCTCGGACTAAAAACAGAACAGTTAAATACCCAGTAAAATGCGATATATATATATATATACTTACATTTCCGTAATCAATGTAAAGTACATCGACACCTGCGGGAGAAACTTTGCGAACCTTGGCTCTGTACCAACCATCATCTTCAGTGAATTTCGCGCTCACAATCTCACCCACTCGAGGTCTAATGGTCTCATTAGGACGACCATTTTGGTATTTTGACAGTTCAGTCATAAGATCCTCCAGCTGTCGAATCTCGGCATTGATAAGCTGTACGTAAAAATGGGATCCAGTAATGATCTCGGAAATAACGATATCAATGTACTCGCGGCGAGGCTCGGGCACTACATCGGATTTGGCATCCAAAGTCTCCTGCTCTTCTTCTGCCTCAGGATCGTAGTTCTTCCACATACCCTTCTTATCAGCTTTTGCGCTACGCTCGGCATTGAAGAACTGGTTGGTATAACGAGATTCGTTTGCAGAGAATTCATGGACTGATGCCAAACCCTCTTCAAGAAGGGATACGGCCAAGTTGTCACCATTGATGTACACATTGCCGATGAATCCACCAGTCTTGTCGATGTTTTCAATCTCAACCTCAACCTATGGTTTTACATTTAATTTATCAGAAGACCTGATAAGACACACACATACACACACACTTATTGTGGTCATCTACTTACATCACGTTGGAGAGCACGTTCAGCTACATAGGCAAGTGCTTCCGGGCCAAATGGCTCAGACTTCTCGTTAGGTGTGCGACCAACACGTGGAGCACGAACACCAGCAAGAGCAAACGTGAGACGGCAGTTTTCTTTGGGAATCCAGAGGAAGAGACGTGAGCCATTGGCAACATGGTCGACTACACCATGTATACGACCACTGCGCTTCAAAAATGTCACAAACTGACGAGCCTTGGCAGCATTCTGTAAATCCCTTAATATTTAGTATATCTTGTTGTATATATTTCTAAAGATAAAAATGGTTAAATACTACCTCTGAGGCATCAACGATGCGCACAATTGGCTGTTCCTTGGTACTGTAAATACCCTTTTGACCTTCTTGTGCTCTAAAGAAGTTTTTGAAATACAAGTTTTAATATATAAATAATCCACACACCCGAAATAATCTGTAGTGAAAAAAGTATGTTGAGTTTACTTACTTATCTTCGGCTAGTAAAAGCTGGTCATAACAATGCGAACGGCTATCATCGTCCTTACGATGACGAATAACCGATGCAAGACCTCTTTCTACCAATTGCTCGGAGATGTTACTATAGTAAACATGGTTTAGTTTTTATTTTTCACCAATTGAAAGTTTTTTGTGTGTGTATGTGGAATGGGGTTATTCCTATAATTAATATGAACTTACTGGTTGCCGTATGTAATTGTGGCACAGTCCTTGGCCTCAAATCCATCCTGAGCTGGCTTATGATAGTCAATCACCACATGAACTTGCTTGCCAATCAACTTCTTTCTCAAAAATTCTCTGGCCTCAAAGTTGTAACCGACTTCCTTGATATCTCTTGACTTGGAACCACTACCGGGAATAGTACTTCCAGCACCACTATACCCGCACACACACGCACACACACACATATATATATATAAGTAAAATACTCCTTTTTTGTCTTTCTTGTCCGCAAAGAACAATATGCAATGTATGTATTACCGAGGAGCCTGTTTCAGACTAGCCAGCTGAACCTTTCGCTCAACACCAGCCTTGTTCTTGACAATAACAGTATCACCAGTAACGATCTTGACTACCTGGGCATCAAACTCGGAATCATTTGTCTTTTCCTTGGCTACAAAGTCGCGCCAGATACGCAATTTCTTTTCCTTGGCGACTCTGAGAATTATTATAACAATTAAAATCAACTCAAACCGGCACACACACACACACATATATATATATATATATATATATAATAGACGATAATTACTTTTCAGCGTTTCTCAAGGCAGTTGGTCCATCAGTGACCATGGTAATACTCCAGTCAACACACTTTGCAAGACCATTAGCCAACAAGAGTTCGGAGATGTTTCCGGCGGGATGCTTGATAGTACCGACAAAGTTTTGTCCGCCACTTTGGGATACTCCTTCGAGAATGACCTTGACTCCGCGTTGCAACAAGCGGCTCTCGACAAAATACTTGGCCTCTTCTCCAAAGGGTTCAGAAACACCTTGATCACCACCAGCAGGTACATTGTCACGCTTGCAAGAAGGTGCCTTAATACCAGACAAAAAGAGAGTGATTATCTGCTGGGAATTGTCGGGCAAGAACAACAAAATACGGTAAGTAGAAGCATCACGGATTTGTTCAATGATAGCTATTAAAGAAAATAATATTTATATATTACAAAATGGTTGGTTAATCGCTTTATACATTTTCTGCGTTTTTAAAGCGTTTCAAATTTACCTTCAAGGGGCTTTCCCTTATAAGTGTTCAAGAATGCACGAGAATCTTGGTCAAAGGTGTGAGAAATCTTACGAATACCCTATATTTATGCAACGTACAAACACACACACACACACATGCACAAATATTATGAGCAAATAAATAATACAAATATTACCACAAAGCACAATATATTACCTTTTCTCTGTCCTGCCACATTCCAACTCTTTCTGCCTGAGCATCTTCCTCTAGCTGTCTCAAAGCATCCAAAGCTTCTTCATGGTCTTCTTCGGACTGACCAGCACGAGCCTTACTCTCGCGAACCTTAAGCCAGCCATTCTGAATACCGAGCTTGGCAACGTCTTCTCCTGTACTCAATAGAATCTTGCCGTACTCTCTGGGAGGGGTAGTAGTTGTGACACTGTACTCGGGTACAAAGGTGACCTCTTTACCAACCAACAATTTACGCAAATACTCACGAGCCTGGAAAGCAAACGGCTGGTAATAAAAAAAGATATTAGAAGAAGAAGAAATTGATAGATATTATTCTGATAGATATGATCGGGGCTTTTATACTACTTCCTATAAATTAATTTAACTTTTTGTATCATCTTACCTCATCGTCTCTATCCTTTGTACCAAGTCGAGGTGCTTGAACGTTGGAAAGAGCCAAAAGACGTTCAGGTGGAGGTCCGTTTGCTCTGGGCTTTCCTCGAAGGATTACGGTATCTCCGGAGAGAACGTTCTTTACGGTAGCCTTGTGTTGTTGTGCCATGGTAGATGAAGATGAGGATGAGTAAAAGATGAGCGAAAACGCGTTCACGTCCTTTCTCACCCCTCCCTTCATCTCTTTTATTTTATTTTATTTTTTTGCTCCGACAAATGGAATAAAGTTGCTTGAATTGGGAAAGTTTGGCGCGGAGAAGAAGATTGAGTTTAGCTTATGGGGCACTTGGTACGACCAAACACATCCCTCAGTGAACCAATGGCAATATGCTACGCAGCTTGCATCTCATTAATATTACAGATGTAAAAAAAATGGAGGTAGACGGTTTGAGTGTGTACAAGAAGATGGGTAGCAGAATGCAATTTGAGTTATTCGTGTATAAGCACCGATAGATTTGCTTCGTTTTCATGCAATAAGATTTTTATTAAAGAGAGAATATATATATTTGTGGGGTGACATTTGGTATCAAAAAATCTCGCACATAAGATGCTATTTTGCTTATCTGATCCTTACATTTAATTCTATACTGTAAGAGAATATCACTAGAAAATACACCTCATGAGTGCATACATAAATACAAAAATGCACTATATGTATATATGTGTGTGCCTGTGCCTGTGCCTGTGTATGTACTTTGATCTTTTACTTTTGTAGATCGTAATGGTTGAATCAGAGAGAAATCTAATCAATTCAAATCCTAACAATAAAAAATTGGCTGCTATACAGTATTACCTTTGAACTTAAGAGTAACAATAATTTATAGCACATCTAAAGGCTTATGTACCTGAATACAACTTTAAGCAAAACTAATATTTCTCAATCAATAAAAGGTATGTGCAAGTATGATATTATCGATCTACGAATAAAGAAAGAAAAATCTTGTATTTCATTATACTCTTCTACTGCTAAAATATCATCTTTACATATTCAACATATAATTTGGTCCATTCTTCTACTCAAAGTTAAATTATATGAATTTATATTTAAGATATTAAGCAAAGGTAAAGCATGGAAGAGTAAAAGAAACACACAATAAATGGTTAAATGATTCACAAGTTTGTGTAATACTTGGAACCTTCTTTTGTCAAGCTTTATGGAATTGGTGTTTCCAATAAAAGGCTTATTAAGTGCAACAACCCAGAAAAGAAATTTTACGCCCTTTTATTATTACTTTCTTCCCCAAAAATAATAATAATTTTATTATCTCTTTTGCACTTTCTCTTTACGTGAATGTCACAGTAAGAAATGCCAACAGAAGCAAAAAAATATGACTATGTAGTCGCTATTGGTAAGAAGCCTACTATATGTATATATGTTATGCCAAGTAAAACACTCATTTAATATATCGTACACCTGCTTTTCTAGACCTTGGGACAACATACTCAGGGCACGCTTGGGTTGATATTCAAGAATACGAGGTTAAGCAAAAACTTATCGAGAAATAGTATTTATTTTGTGGTTATCTACATTAAAATATAAATGAAAGCATCATAACCAAAACTATGAATTAAATAGGCAATTTACACGCACAAAGAAACGAAAGGAGGTAACCTCTGCAGCTTACAAGGAAAAAACAAAGAGGTGTATAAACTGTGATATCTTTCTTGAGCGCAAAGAGAAAGACGTTAGTAAGCACACACAGCCACATCTTCATTGTGATCATGTGGGAAAATTCAAACTGTGGCTGGACAGAACCATGAAGGATCCTACACCTCTTCCAAATGGACTGACACCTATAGAAGGTAGTATACTCGCGCCCAAGAACTATAATCTAATGCCAGTGGGTTTGATGTTTTTGTAGTAATCTCGGACTATCTGAGATACTTGCATATGGCCGCCGTAGACGAAATTGTCGAAAAGGGACTAAAGGATCTTTCAAGGATCAGATATTGTCTCACGGTTCCAATTATATGGTCTGAAGAATCCCGATCGATTATGAGAGACGCTGCCATTATTTCTGGGATTATTAAAAAAGACGACGACCCAGATAGATTAATTATAGTTGACGAACCCGTAGCTGCTGCCATGTATTGTGAAGCTATCTTTCCAGAATTCTGTTTAGACGATGGAAATCGGTATATGATATGCGATGCTGGAGGTGGTACAGTGGATTTGGCTACATTCGAAATCGACAAATCAACAGGAAAGAATGGGCTACGTGAAATAACAATGGGGTCAGGCAGCTTGTGTGGCTCTTCTTTTTTGGATGTACTGTTCGCAAAGCTATTGAAGGAACGTCTCTCTAATCTCACAGAGAATCAAGTAACTACATTTATTTTAACAAATGACTTTTCATACAAAAAGGTAAGGTACACTAAATAAGCACCTATTTGCAAAAAGAAAAAGAAAAACTCTTAACAGACAAATAACTTGTATTATTTAGCTTACATTCGATAACAAACGTGATCTTGATGTACTTGGTTACTACAATGAAGAAGGTCCAGAGTACGGAATTAAAGAGATCACAGTTAGTTTCTCAAGATATCAGATATGTGAAGAGGTTTTTGAGCCAGTGGTTTGTCAAGTGATTGAGCTTATAGAGAACCAACTTGGACAGCTCGGGAGCAGACGATTGGATGTTATGTTTATCACTGGAGGCTTTGGACAGTCTCCTTATTTGAACAATCGTATTCAAGAAACGTTTAAATATCGGGTAGGCCACTTCAAGTTTTTTTTCAGATGGACAATTAGCCGTAATCCGTGGAGCTCTTTTGTATGGTGTCAATCCACAAGAAATCACTCAACGAATTTTACGTCGAACCTATGGCATCAAATTCGACACACCTTCTGGAAGTCAAGTAATGGCAGATGACATTTCTTCATCTAAAAACAAGCAGCTATATGTGTGTGTCAATAAAGGACAACCTATCCATGAAGATGTATGGATCAAAAAGAAAATTTTATGGAGCAAGAATAGTTTACCGGTTATATGTAAGTAGTTTTTTCTTTTAAAAAAAGCAATTATAAAGCATGCACGTTTAGTAAAATATAACACATATTTATATTTATACGCTTATGATAAGGACCTTCCGGTACCCCAAAATCCTAGTCCAGAGGATCTTGATATTGTCGCTATGTTTGACACTAAGTTCCAAATCGACTCCAAACAACTAAAGAAGCAAACAATCATGGTACTGAACTTGCGTTTTGGCTTAGACAAGATTCATATCAAAGTCAATATTGCTGGAAGAGAATTTGATTATATCACTGTACATGATATTACGGGAGAGAAAGAGAAGCTCTCATATACTGAGATTAATCCCCCACCTTCAGGGAAAATTCGAAAATTATTTCTTATGGATGAGATAGTAAAATATCTTCCTTGATTACAATCATTTTCAGCAATGTTTAATATATTTGATTATTATTGTTATCATTTAAAAGAAAAATCTGTTTTTACTGAATATTTTGAATTAAATGTTTTATAAAATTTAATTTATATGTTACCTAGAAATGAAATCATTTGATAACGAACAAAGAAAAAAGTAGTATTACATGTGAATAAAAGAAGTGCAGGTGTGTTTTTAGGAAAGTTTTTATCTTAAAGAATACAATATTTTGTCTTGCAATATCTTATGTACTTTTGGGACAAATTTGCCTGTTGTATAAATACTTAAAAAATGATTATAAGAGTATAACAGCCTCTGCATTGTAAGCAAGTAAAAGCGCCAAGTAAATAATATACGAGAATATAGGTTTTTTTAGGTGCTCACGAAGTGAAGTGTCAATCGACAATTTTGACAATAATATAAAACTTTCATTAACTCCAATTCACAAGAGTATATGCCTACTTTGTATTTTACTCCTCAGCGCATAAGCTAGACCTAACACAAAATCACAATGAAAACAGGCTGCAATAATCTTTGGGCAAGTGAGTATGTTACTATTCTGAAATATTTTTATAGTTAGCTTATGCTCTATTGATTATAATATATACGAAATTGTAACTAGCTTGCTGCTAGTAATACGTCTCTGTGAGATTCGAACTCACGCTCTTCCAACCAAGGTTGGAAAAACACCTGTCAAGCCAACTAAAAAGTCAACTATAGACCGAGACGGGGGGAAGAAATCGAAAGACAAGGGCGAACTTCACTTTTTTAGGCAACAAAGACCGTATAAAGTTTGGAGACCCCGCCTTTTTCGTTTGGGATGAACGAGATTTTACCGTTCTAGAATTGGCATTATCAGGGTGTCTTTGCTTACGACTGCCTAGACAGTAATAAGCGAAAGACAGTATATGGTATCAAGTACAAAATTGTACGGAGAACGAGTAACATTGTTTCCAGCACAGAGTAATGACTTAAAGGCGTTCAGTCAAAAACTCATTGAACAAGCACATCTTCGCGAAAACAGGATCAGAACACCGATCACGAGAGAGTGGAGGCTTGAATAAAGTAATTTATCTTGCGAAAAAAAACTCCATTTGCTGTTACAATATAGGCTAACAGCCAGCAAGAAGTAGACCAGTACATCATGACAGTCAGACCAAACTCTATACTGACTCTCCTACTTGGGCTCAATAAGCGTCCCAACTTGTTAAATCAGTCATACCCCAGACATATGGATGCCTATCGCACGGGTTGAGTTGGTTTTATTATAGGTCAACTGCGTCGCTAGAACGTTCGGCTGTCAACCCATAAAAAACCAGTCTATCTGATCGTCTTTGAACCTCAACATCTGACATCAACGGGGAGGAGAATATCAGGACTCATCCTCAGTCCGTTTGGCTTGTCATAGAGAGTGGTGGTATTTCATTGGCGCCCGGTGGCTCCCACCTATGCTACACCTCTCTATGACGGATTGACCACGTTGTACCAAATGTCAAAATAGAGGAGACCAGAGTAGACCGGTGTTTCTTGCTAGCCGTTCCCAGAGCCATTAACTGGGCGTGGTTTGGTTGGCCGCTTTGGTTTTCACCGCAACGACGTCACTAGAGGCTTTCTTGACAAGCTGATGTCAAGGCTGACCCTTTCGGGCCAGACTTTTTCTTTACTATTAACTACGCAATGTTAGCAAGAGTCTCAATGAAATAAGGGTATATATTTTTTATTTTGTGATTACTTACATTCACTTCTTGAGAAAATACATTTAGGTAAATGTCAAAAGCAACATTACTACAAATTACATTAATAAATTCATCATAATTAGCACAACATGTGTGAAATGTACTTTCTTTAACGATTTTGTTACTTACATGGACATTTCTCTGTGTTGTGTTTATGAGAAAGGCGGTTTTTCTTGCCCTCACACTGAAGACCCATTTTTCTATACGCGTATGAGTGAATACGCAAGATATGACGTAAACACTAATTGTCCAATAGAATAATTCCACATATTTGCGTATGATATCTATGTGGCTTATTATTTATATTTAGACATTCTATGTTCCAATCCTTTGAAAATCAGGCTTTGTGCATGAAGAAGAACAATAATGTAGTGAAGCTTTCTGTCAGTAAAGAAGAACCCAAAAGGGAAATTTAAAGGTAGTACTCAGGTACCAGCAAGTTTAAAGGCCTATTAAAGACGAGCTTAAAACGTATAAAAAGAGATTCTGTGGCCTTGTACTTCTATTGTGTAGCCAATACCGTCTTCTCATTTTACGTAACTGCAACAATGAAAGAGCTATCAGCAAAATAAAGGACTAGAATAACGTACCAGTATATATTTTAGAGCTGTAAAATATAATTTTAATGATTTCCAAGTAGAATATTTTATCGAGAGCTAGCTGTACCTCTTTATCTCATATTTAAGTGCCGGGTCGTGAAATTAATCTGTAATACAAAAAAGAGCGATCCAGTTTGCTTTTTACAGGGTCCAAACTCTTGAAATGAAGTAAAGATGCTTTTAGTTATTTGGAAAATTTATTTATTATTTTTTATTATTCTGTAGTCATAGACTCAGATCTATAGAATTAAGCTTTGAAGCCTTTACCAAGATATATATAAGCAAGTGAGGATACTCTTCTTTTAGCCCAAGTGTTTTTCTCAATTTGTTTCATTAATAGGATCCCAAGGGAAATAATACTTTGTTATTTATTACTATATATAAATATCTATAAAACGATGCCAAATCAATTCAATTAATCTGCTCTGATAAGGCTAGAATAATATATCTTTATATATATATATTAACTAATGTTCTCTTACAAGGATATGTAAACGCTAAATAATAGAGTATCTTGCTATTCCCATAACTATGTAAATGTAATAAATGGAGCGCATTTTTACCTGTTGATTACACCCTCGATATTGTATACAAGTTATATGTTGCTTCTTCTTCTACTGCTACCTGAAGTTGATTTTTACTCTTGTAAAATGATATCTAAGCCAATCATTATTATTTTGTAAAACTAATGTTCAATAAAAACAAGTGTAATAGGGATTAGTTTACCATTAAGCAAATTAGCCTTATAGGGTTCCAATATCCAGTCTGACAGATCACTGCTATGCTTTTATATAAATACCATATTGTATCAAGTATTCAGGTGTGTCTTTACTAGATATTCTCTTAGTATTATTGTACCAACTACAAAAGTCTATGATCCTCTCAACGTGGTATAAAAACGCTTCTATCAACAGGTTTCTCTGACCTATAGATCTTGCGAAAAAGAATGTTTGCTCCAAGATATGTATCAATGACTTGGAAAATACTTTATTATTGAAGTACTTTTGACTCTTTTTATAGGTTGATATTTTCTACTTGAAAAAAATAGACACTGTTAAGATCCAATTATTTTCCTGGATTTAAAGAAAATACATTGTAAAGTTGCTTGGAATTCAGGAACTGTGTTTTCTTTGCGTAGTCTATAATGACAGAAATGACAGAAACATTAATATTCCCAATTGTTGGCAAATTTACACTATATGCATATTTTTTTTAAAATATATTTTCATATATTTAATTTGTTTTACTTGGTTTACTTTTAATAAAAGCATTGATAATAGGGAGCCCCTTGTTTGACTTCAGTGAAATGTTTTCTTATCTAGTAACTTATTAGTGATATTATATGGATCATTTTGATTTATGATAGACTGAAACAATAAAAGCTAGAGTCTCAGTCGCGCCTAAGAAACACCAGATTATATTATATGTCCAATGGATATCAAACAATGACATGCAGAAAATTGAGATCAATAATTAGAAGAAGTATAACTAAAATACAAAGATTATTTACTACAAACTTTATTTTTATTTAAAAAAAAAACACATCCTCTCTCTTCCAAAGTTTGTCTGTTTCTATATTATTGACATAATCCAAAAGAATAATACTTTCTTCAATGATAAAATCATGTTAAAAAAGAAATATAAAATAAAATACACACATATTAGTAATATTGCATTCTCGTTTTTATTACACCAAGAATGAAGGAAGTTTTAAGTCGATTATGGTGGGACGCTTAACCATGTCTGTGTTAAATGCGATGCTTATATTTGTTATTCTTATTGCTGTTGTTGTTGTTGTTGTTGATTTTTTTTGGATGCTTTTTGTTGTTTTTCTTTGTTTTTTGTTGTTGATATTGTTGTTTGTTTGTTTTTAAAAAAAGGGTTCATGCAATCAATTAATATGATTGCTGGGGGTTAGGTGTGATGTTGCGTATGTGAACTGGTACATCTTCAACAGGGGTTACACCAAGAATATATCCATTTCGAATAAAGCATGTATTCAATTTGAGTGCCTCATTTGCATTTGCAGGATTTTCATAACGAATACGAAACCAGTCAACGGCTATGCGTTCAAGTTCGGTAGCAGGTCCAATATTTGTGAAGCGCGCAATGGTTTCTTCCATATTTTCCGGAGGGAATCCAAATACATTCAATAGAGTATTGGTTGATTGATTACTAAAGAAATGAATAAGTTGTTATTGTTATTGTTTTTGAGTTTTGCATAAATATTTTGGATGCTTCAAGGTTTGAATTGAATTGCTTTGTGTGACAATCTTACTTGGTTTTTGGAGAGTTGAGAAAGAAATCCTTTTGAGTAACAAAAGGTTGTTGTGGTTTTATAGCCGGTTCAGACTTAGACATGGCTGCACCAGACGTCCACAAAGAGGCATTTGGTATCTTCATTTTTTGGCCATCAGACGATTCTCCTGCATTTTTGACAAAGCCATACCCACTGTGGCCTTTTGCACCAAAAATTCCGGGAAGCTTTTCCGTGTTTTTTGTAGAAGTTTCCTTTCTGCAATTAAATATAAATGAATCAATGGATTCGTTTTAACGTCTAAGAGTGATAATATAAAAAAAAACTTACACGTTTTCGACAATACCCTCACCCACAACTTGTGCGACGCGACGCTAAAGAGATGTTAAAATAAATAAAACGAAATGCGATATCTGCCCGTGTTTACAGTTAACTCACTTGATGGGAATTTGAGGGGGCTGTCAAGAAAGGTGGAAGCATATTTTCCTTTACACTGTACATGGATGAGAGATGTCTAGAAGAATTGTTGTTGTTTTGAGGTCTTTGATCTGCGAGAAGAGCGTCGGCTCTCGAAGACTTTCGGTTAAACATATTGGCTGTCAATTCAGTGCGCATTACACCTTGTGGAGAAACAATAAAGTGTGGCACGTTTACTTCAGGGAATGCATTCTTCAATGAAAGCAGGTTATTGTCTTCCGGTTGTTTTGGAGCAGGTGGGTTTTGAGGCAATACACTTGAAAATAAACCTGTGCTAGGTTTGAAAAGACTTTGTGCTGTGGCAGCAACTTGCTGCTGCTGTTGTTGTTGTTGTTGTTGTTGTTGTTGTTGTTGTTGTTGTTGCTGGGGTTTAATGTTACAAGAGAAAGGACATCCTACAGTGGGCTCAATCTGACCTGACTGGTCGTATGTTGCTGCAGATTGGGATTGAATTGGAGTAAATGGTCTTGAAGGATTATATGCGAACGAAGGATTTCCAGATTCTTTATTGATAGGCGCGACTACTGCAGTGGAAGCTCTTCGTGCTACAGTATCCCAGAAGGCTCTTGGAGCATCGCTGCCCTTTCCATAAAACATCTCTTTGTCTGCTGGGTTTTTTTGCACATTACTTGAGGAGGGGGGGCCTACTATAGGATATTTTGGTTTGGGAACAAATTTCTCTATAGCAACTGGAATGTGTGTAATGTACACAGCATAATGAGTATTTTGTCGCTTAAATATAAAAGGAAAATGAAGATTGCATGTATATGAATATCATTATTACCTGGTTTAATTTGTGTTCCTTTATTAGGCGTGATGACCTGAGATTTCTTAGGTTTTATGGCATACTTCCTTGACAACAAGTATGGCACGCCAAAGAAGACGACAAAAAACAAAAGTTCAAGCATCAATTCGAGAAATAAAGACAAAGTGCTTTGAGGCGCGTACGCAAATTGAGTATTTTATGGGACATGGCCAACCACAATCCAGCCAGTGGCTTAGAGATGATGTTAACCTGCGATTTGAACTTGAAGGATGAAAATGAAATTTGTTTTTTGTTTTTATTTTATTTTATTACCGAATTTTATCGTATTTTTGGAAGGAACTAATACATCTTATGATAAGTAAGATTCTTATGGTTTTTACTCGATAATAATTCGAATAAAAGGAAGAGCCTACTAATTAAGCATCGAGTTTATTGCATGTTTTATGAATAATATTAATAAAAGAATGAAAGAAGTATTAATTTTCAAAGTGATCCTATTAAAATAGAAACAATAGATTGGGTGCTCTAATATATATATATATATGTATGTGTGTAAAAATGAGGAGGGCTGATTTTGGTTTACAGAAATAATGTAAAAAATGTGGAAAATAAAGAATACTCGATTTTTTATCAGATATTTAAGGTGGCTAAAAACAAATACCTCTTGATGCTGATATTTATTGGATTATTCCTGTGCACTGTTAAACAAAGTCTTTGCAAACTGTTTTTTTGTTGCTATTGGGTGATACTGCTGCTGTATGTTTCACCAAACGAACGGACCCAATTTTGATAGCATTGTTTCTCTTTGAAGTATGCATCTAAAAGGTTATCATGCGATACTGAGATAAAGTAATATATTGCTTACTCAGCTTAAGAATAAAATAATAAATAAAACAAAATAAAAGGCTGCTGGTAATTGAAGGTTCAATTCTATCTTGGGCTTATACCAATAAAGACGTGATATCTTGATTACAACCACAAGGTAAAATTATCTCAGCCATCAGTATAAATACATGGAAATACAAGCACATCAGGTGCTTTGAAATAGAAGAAGGTGTACTGATGGGTAGTTGCATGAATACTAGGTGTAGTATATATGTATATCGTTAATTAAGAAAAAGATGTTCTGATTGTAATTCTATTTAATAGGTGAGCGAGCCAAATTAACATAGTTCAAATAACAGAAAGGCAGGATATCAATAAAGAAAAATGGCCGTGAATAACCGTAGTCGTTTAATTTGATGACCATGGCTCTGTTTTACTGTTTGTGGTAAATGATCATGTTGATAAAAGGTCACAAGCACTATCAAACTCACATTGACTGTAGATTGACAGCTTCTTTCTTACTGTCAAAAAACCAAAAAGAAAAAGGCCAAAGTCTAAAGTAATGGTGTTGATCCTACAAGGCTATCTCTTGTAATGTACATATTCATTTATCTGCCTATCTACCTATCTATTTAATAATCGTGTGTCTCTGTGTGTGTTCAACTTTGTATCTTCTTTAATGCTAAATGGGTGCAACAGCCCATTTAATTTACCTGTACCGATCGCACGTTGTCTACACAAAATGGCGGAGTCAAGAGGATTAGCTTCTGGTGATTTTCATACACAAACAGATGAGTGAATACCTAAAAACAATCCAATCAAAAAGAAACAAAGGACCATTTATCCCCTCTTTCCCCCCATATATTATACTATTACTTCTTTTGAACTTTGATATTTAATAAATACTAAAATCATTAACAAAGCTACCTCAAAGCCTTGTTTTCAATATATGAAACTCCAGCCATTGGCTACAAACAATATGATTTGAGATTTCTTTTGGTTTATCTCTTCTATCTACTTCTTTACCTAGTCACCAATAAGACACCCCATTCACCCACACAATATTACAGTTAGATATATTGATTGTATGGCAATTACTTCTATATTATTATTATGGGTATAGTTATATAAAAGAACCAGTCAATTTCTACCCATGATTGAATTATCAGTTAGCTCTCCTTAAAATATAGATAAACAGGATCAGCCAGCGTTTTTATTTGTCACTGTTTGTGCCATGCGGTGGTTTCCATGTGTATAGTCTAAAGTCAATAGGCTGTGATGTTTATAAATCCACACACGAATACAGTTGGTATTTAGATTGATCAAATAAACATGTTTATTCTTCAAGGAGCTTATAAAATAATGTTAATTGCTTGTAATTCATTTTTCAGTGTACATATTATATTATATACATTTAAATAGATTGATACAATAATAATCAGAAATAAACAAAATCACCATAGTAACAAATTACGGTTTTCCTTTCATTCATTTATTCATTCATTAAATTCATTCATTCAATTTTGTTCTTTTCTTTTCTTTTCTTTCTTTCATTTTAGTCTATTTTTTTATATTATTTTTCCTGCACAAAGAACCGAGTAAAAAAAACCAAGAAAAAAAAACTTTTTCTTGGATGCCGGAGTGTGAATGTATTATGTGAGAAATAGCGGAGTTATTGGTTCCTTAGAATGGCTGTCTAAAAATAAATAGTGCTCCCCAAAATGTCCAAGCTCAGCCACTGAGGTTGAACTAAATGAGTGGTGACGTAGGACTAGCATTGCACCGCAATGCTGAACACGGTGCAAATATCACTATCATGAGTATCTAAGAAAAAAAAAAGAAGAAAAAAAAAATGACGCCTGACACGTGCCCAAACTCTTTTCTTCTTTCCAATTTGCCCTTTGCCGTTGTCTCTCCAACCATGAATCTCGTTGGACCTGAAGACATCTCGCCACCAGCTACACCTCCAAGCAACAGTCCTGCTCGCCCCACACAAAGGCATCGCATCTCATACTCTGACTTTTCGATTGGAGAAAATGCAGCTCAATTAGCCGCAATTTTTGATGACCATGAATTAAACCATCTTTTTCAGTTGAAGACATCCTTTCAGCAATTGACCTCTCAACAGCGTCAGTTTTTATTATATGAAATTATCAACTGCTGCGATAATTCCCAACTTGCCTATCTCAGTAATCTTATTGCACCCCGTCTCAAAGTTGATTTCTTAAAGGAGTTACCGATAGAGATCTCTCTCCATATCCTGTCCTTTATAGACGACCCAAAAACACTAGGGCGTATAGCATGTGTATCAACCTTCTGGAACTCACTCCTCAAAGACGAAGCGACATGGAAGGCACTGTGCATGAAGCACCAATATAGACGACGCAACTCGAGCATATGTGGGGGTGAACTGCTTGATCCACCCACACACCGTCTCAACTTCTCTTACCGAGAATATTTTAAGCGTAAATATAACATTGCAGCTGCATGGGCTCACGGCGGTCGAGTCAAGGTCATCGAAGAAGGCTTCTCGGATGGCCTTGTGACCTCACTCCAGTTTGATGAAAAGTACATTGTGGTTGGGTGCGATAACCACCGCATCGAGGTGTTTGACACGAGAACAGGAAAAAAGGTGCGATCTTTAGAAGGCCATGAAGGAGGCGTCTGGGCACTCCAATTCAAGGGGGGTGACAAGAGAGACCCAGAGCGAGTCCTTGTTTCAGGAGGGTGTGATCGGTAAGTCCCCAAGCTACACACAAACACACAAAACAGACGCACACATTACACATAACTTATTACACACGCACACACACAATACTTATTTATTTTCTTTGCTGCATACATTACTAACTCTCTTTAAAAATATAACACACATATATATGTATATATTTTATATCGATTAGTGATGTTCGAGTTTGGGACTTGGATACAGGAAGCCAACGTCATGTATTGCATGGACACACATCTACAGTCCGCTGCCTAAAGATGAAAGATAAGAGAATTGTAGTTACAGGGTCGCGCGATACGACACTCCGAGTCTGGGATATCAAGCGTGGTATTCTGTTACATGCGCTGATTGGCCACCAAGCAAGTGTACGATGCCTGGATATTGCCGGCAATATGATCGTCTCTGGATCATACGATTCGACTGCTCGTGTCTGGGATCTTCAGAGTGGTCGCTGTAGACACACTCTTGCCGGACATTACTCCCAAATATACGCTATTGCCACCGATGGCTACAAGGTAGTGACCGGTTCACTTGATTCCCAGATTCGTGTCTGGTCAGTCGAGACTGGCCAGTGTCTCAATACCCTTCGTGGACATACTTCGCTAGTTGGACAATTACAGCTGTCAGGAATGACTCTGGTTAGTGGAGGATCTGACGGCTGCTTACGGATATGGGACCTCCAAAGCTACGAATGCATTCAACAGATATCTGCCCATGACAATTCAGTAACATGTCTCCAATTCGACGATCGCCGTATGCTCAGTGCTGGAAACGACGGAAAGATCAAATTATGGGATATTCGCCAGGGACGACTCATAAGAACCTTTACACAACCAGCAAAGACGGTGTGGAAGATTCAATTTAACGACACAAAGGCAGTAGTTGTAATGCAGCGACAACGGTCCTCGAATTCAGATGCAGAAGATGGCAAAACAGTGATGGAAATTCATGACTTTGATGTTATGAAAATGCCTCCAGAGACTCAAGATGCGGATGTGCTCATGGGCACACACTTCATGTAGACTTTTCTTTTTCTTTTTCTTTTTGCTTTTGCTTTTGTTTTGTTTTCATTACCCTCCTATATTTCTCCCTCTACTCCTATCTCAAACCCTTAAACACTATCACACTCTCACACTCTCACACTCACATTCACACACTCACTCACTCACTATAACTCACAATACATTCATATCTAACTCACCCGTAAACTCACTCACAAACACACCTCTTTATCCTGATCTCTCTTGATCTCCCTCCTTCCCTATCTATATCATCTTCTCTTGTTCATTCTTTTATGTTATGTTATTTCCTCCTTCTTTATTTTATTCCTATTTTTTTGCCTTTATTCCTTATAAAGCATCACTAGTTCCTTGTCCATGTTTTTCTTTTCCATCCCTTACACATTCATGCATCGTTTCTTTCTTGTTTTATTGTTATTTTTATTACTATTATTTATTGATGTGTCCATCGCGTGAAAAGAGAAGAGCCACCAAAAGCCGAACAGATTTTTATGTATATTATATATATATGTGTTCTGCTTATAAGAAGAAGAAAAAAGATAGCATTGTTCGTGCTTTATTGCTTGTTGTATGCCCTGATGGCTTACACATTCATGCAACACACCTTCTCCTACGCCTGTTGTGATTTGAAGATGAAAAGTCACAAAGGGGTGTTATTCAACCACCGCATCCATCAAAAAAAAAGAAAAGAACAAAAAAGAAAAAAAAAGAAAGCCTTGTCTAGCTCCCTTTTTTTTATATATATTTTATATTTTATTTCCCCACAAACTCAGTTCTCTCTCTTTTTCACTTCCTCATCCCGGTCATGAAGCGTCCTCATTCTCCAGTTTCACATGCCACTCCACCCTCAAAACATGTTCGAACATCCTATGGTTGCACAGCTCATGACTTTCAGGTGGATTCCACTCGTAAGTTTCCTCGACTTGTTAACCGAGATTCCCTTCCAATTGTTTTATCTTATGAACGCTTCCAACTTCATACATTATATATTATATCTGTCAATGAAATGAACAATAGACATGAACCAAGTCTTTGACCAACAGCAGTGGAAATCTGATCCGATCCTTATCCCCACACAGCCAATTAATACATCCTGCCTTGACCTAAGAATGCCACAACCTCTCCGACACCGAGTCCGCATTGACGACATTGACGAGTATTTAGCCCAACATGAATCCTCGGACAGCGATGAAGAAGACAATCGAACAACGTACGTAGGAGATAATATGCGAGGTTCGGTTATCCAGGGAAGCGATGATATACATCTTGTCGATGCTCACGTCAATGGCGCATTTCTTCCTATGCAAAGACGGTCCGGAGAAACAAAATTACGCATACCAGACTTTGTTCTACGAAACAATTCCCCAGAGTAAGCCCAAATTAAATCAATTCAATTCAATTCGATCCAAGCCTTTTAACTTTTAACTTTTTATTTTGATTACCTCTTGGCAATTAATACTAAAATTTCATGTTTATTTGTAGACCACCTACAAAACCCAATGGGCGTGACCTCATATTGTACCAACAACCTCCTTGGAAAGCATTGGTAGAATCCAGCTCCTCTAACCCTACCACAACAGTAAGTTGGACTCATTTATTTATTTATTTTTACCCTTTTTTATACTTTTATTTCGAGGTGTACACAGTAAATTCCCCCTCTCGTCTAATCTCACCCTCCCTTCTGTATAACGCTTTCTTTGGTACCATAGAATTCCCAAAATGAGTATTGTATGGAAGTTGACGATCGACAAAACCAAACATCGTATTCGATCGATGCCATGGAAATCGATTAGAAGAAAATATAGAAAGATAGATAGATAGAGAGAGAGAGATAAACTTTAGTTGATTAACAAAAAATAATAATCAATCATAGCATTGAACTCCCCCTCACTATCATTCACACACATTCACACACATTCCCTCACAAACTCGCTCTCACATAAGAAAACGATAAAGATTAAAACCCCGAAAAAGAAAAAGAGAAAAAAAAAGAAATTGAGGCGAGGGTGTGTTGTAGACCCATCGCCTTTTTGTACCATATTATACATCTTACCTATCGTACCAAACAGGAATAGCAAAGAGGAAAAGAGGTACCTTTCAAAATATTCAATCCCTCAATTTTTTCCTCCACTACCACTATCAATATCAATATCAATATCAATTTCACTGTCACCACTCCCTCTCCCTCTCCCTCTCCCGCTCTACCTCTCTCCCTTTCCTTTGACTTTGCTTTTCCAACCCCTCTTTTTTTTATATACTTGCATATTTAAATAAATTCAATACATACTCATTCGACAATAAACGCTATTATAAGCTACTTTTATATACATATAAAAATATAAATCTAAAGAAGATTTCATCATCAATAAGTGTGTGTAGTATAGATGTAATATGGGTAGTATGGGTAGTATGTGTAGTATGTATATATATATATATTAAGACTATTTTCAAATACGCTATAATGCTCTGTCTTTACTAATATGTAATAAATTACTTTCAATGCATGCCAGAAATATATACATATATATCATCATCATCATTAAAAACTTTAATAATAATAACAATAGAGATAAAGATTTAGTTGACATTCGATCTCTATTGACTTTGACTCATTCCTCTTCTTCCTCTTCCTCTTCCTCTTCCTTTTCTTCGTCTTGAACCTGCCTCTGTTTTTTCTTAATGCTTCACCAAAGTTCAGATGGGCCTCACTCCCCAAAATCACCCCTTAAGAAACCACTCTCTAGGCGCTCTTACTCGCGTACATTAGCCAAGTTATCAATCCTTGCTCTGGTGTCTATTTTCTTGGTAGCCTATGGGCGTGGTCTGATTTGGCTAAAAGCAGATACCCCTGCTTTGGATCCACAAGAAGTCAATATATTGCAATCATTGTGTAATCTTCGTCCAGATAACCCAAGAATCCATGAGGATAATTCAATTGATACATTACAAGGTACCCACCCAAACATACATATACATCTCATACTCGTGCTTAAATATGCTCTTTTATTTCTAATAAAAAAAATCATCTCAATAGAGCTTATCAAACCAATACACCTCTTACCAGAAGTTTCTCCGGACACTACGATACCCGCCGATACGTGGAAGGATTTACCCACAAAGGGTGTGTTGTACATGATTGTCCAGAATAGCAAACTATATAGTGCTAGAGAAGCCATTCGGAGTATCGAAGATCGATTCAATCACAAGTACCATTATCCATGGGTCCTCTTGAACAGCCAACACTTTACCGCCGATTTCAGGAAATATGCCTCCATGGCTACCAAGGCTCCCATATATTTCGGAAAGATTGATCCAGATACCTGGTCTTATCCACCTTTTATTGACGTGGCTCGTGCTGAGAGAAATATGGGTGTTCTTGGAGGGACAAATCTGTACAAAGGCGGTAGTCTGTCCTTTCGCCAGGAAGCTAGGTATCACGCCGGGCTGTTCTTTCATCATACTCTCTTTCAAAATGTTGATTATGTTTGGCGCGTGGAATCTGATTCACAGTATACTTGTGACTTGGTTGACTTTGACCCCTTTAAGGAGATGAAAGAAAACAACAGGACTATTGGTATGCCCAACTAGTCAAATTTGATCATTTCTCTTTACATACATCTACCTTATTTTTTAATGGATATAATAATAACTCATCTTACATATGTATGTATCAACTCACAATGTAGGCTTTGCACTGACATCAAAAGATGTACCCAGAGCTATTCTTGGTCTTTGGAAAGTAACTCGCGCCTTTATTGATGATTACGCACAAACGGTTGTATCTCCTGACGAATCTATTATGCCCTGGATTGTCGATAGACGAGGTGAATACAATACATGCCACATGGTGTCTAGCTTTGAGGTCGTAGACCTGGCTTTCTACAGATCTCCGTCGTACCAAAGATATTTTGAGTACCTTGACCGGTCGGGTGGATTCTTTTACGGAAGGTAAAGACCTGTTCTCCTTTTATTCACGTATGGCTAGTCTCTATCATATATTTCAATTGATTTATTGATAGAACATCATTAACAAGCAAAACAAAACAAAACAAAATGTGTGTCTGTATTTGTTTCTTCTTCTTAGATGGGGAGATGGTCCTGTAAAATCAATTGCAGCGGCAATGTTCTTAAAAAGAGATCAAATCCAGTACTTTAAAAATGTTGGATATTCTCACGGCATGTTTTCCCATTGTCCTTTCCAAGAGAATTACTCAGAACATTGTAGTTGCTCTTTGGATGAGACATTTGGTAAGTCTGAATTAATTAACTAGCATGATTTCTCAATAGTCATGACAAAGAATTTACTAATGTCCTTTTATATGTCTATATTTTTTCAATAGATTTCAAAGATAATAGCTGTACAGTCGATTTACTTAATCTTGTCAATCGTACTATTATTCACGAAATGGCTGATTATGCAAAATTGGTCGTGGATAAGAACACTTCTATTAAAAAAAGATTATAATATCCAAGCCATATATATATATATATATATATATATATATAACAAAGCTTCTCCCGTAGACTCTCACTTAATAGTAATGATAATAGTAATAATAAAAAAGATACACGTACAACGCAGCCCTATTTTGTGTAGACTATTTGTGACACTAGTGGTAGACGCACAAGCCATACTTGGCTTCTTGCCTTGTTTAGCTAGTTACAATAGAGAACAACAATAGAAACAGCAATAAAATAAAATAAAATTATATGACATGATATTATATCTACTGTGTATTTTACTCTCTCTTTTTTTGAAGTCTTGTTTTGAAAATAGTTAAACACGTCTTCCAAAAGATACTATAGCTTCAAGTATATCTAAAGTCTAAAATTTCAACTTCTTGGTTACCATAACAGCAACAAAAGAAGACTTTGTCAGCTAAACAAAATTCTCCACAAAACTTTTGATCTTTTTTTTTGTCCTACCATCCACTGACAGCCAAATTTGACACAATCCGATATCCCCCTCCCTCCTGGCTTTTAAGTATTAGACTTTCTTTCTTTATTTTGGACACCTGAATAGTATCAACTGCACTGGGACTTGTTCCATTTTACACACACACACACACAGATAGATAGAGAGATGCACGCACACTGACTGTGTCAGACTCACACGGTTACCAAGTTTGAACTCCAATAATAGTAGCAATAATCTTGAGATTCATACTCGTACCTTACCTCAGACTCCTAGGATCTCGAACCTTTCAAGTTTCTCGAATTATCTTCACAGATATTTTTGATAACTTAGACATACTTCTTCAGCTTTGTAATAAATAACAGCGAAAGTTATATATATATTCAATACACAAGATAGCTTTGAGTTTGTTTGTTTGTTGGTTTTATTTGCTGATTTTTTTTATTATACAATGTGTTTTTGTGATTTTATTATCAATATATGTATAAAGAGTATTTGTCTCTTATCAAATCATGAAAGAAAAAGAAAGAAAAATAATGGAAAATAAATAGAGGTAACACTACATAGAGACTCCAGAGGTGACTGCACCGATAGCAATACACAAACCAGACACAATAAAGCCAAGAACAATTACAAGGGCCTCCTGAGCAAACTCGACCTTGTACCAGTTGATGCGGCTAGAATCAGGCTCGGATACAACAAAGTAAGCGTAAAGAGGGAAGGTAATGGCGTAGGAGAATTGGAAGATAACCCAGCTATTTTTTTTTTGGTGAGTAAACTTGTTAATTCCCACCCTTCTTTATATATATATACACTAATACTTACAGGCTAAAAGTGTTGCTGAATGTAACAAGAGTGTTTCCGAGCAAATGAACAACAGCAGCAACTACCAAGAGGTAGATGTTCTCGTGAACAGGTGGCAAAAAGTTGACGACTTTCTTGTCCTTGGAATCCTTGGGCTCGGGGAGGATACCATTCTCAGCACCAGTTTCCTGGATATTGGCGGGTGTGCGAATGTTGGTCTTCTCAGCAATGGCACGGTTGTGCTTGTAGAGACGGATCATGGTAACCGAGAGAACAACATCAATCACAAGACCTGAACGAAGCATAGTGTTAGAAAACATCCTTTCCCCTTGTTAATTCCACATTCACAAAACAAAACGTACCCTGGAACTTGAAGTAGACAGCATCAAAAGGCCATGGGAGAACCAAGACAATGCCAAAGGTAGTCATGAGGTATGCAAAGCCTGCAAGGGTAAAGAAACGCTTTCTGTTGGTACAAATTATAGCAAAAAGTTAAGTTAATACATAAGAATACAGCTAGATCTCAATTCACTAAAGTTATATATATATATACTACTTACGAAATACCAGCCTGGCGCAAAAGGATATGAGCAAGCAAGAGAAACTCAAATAGATTGTGGAAAACGCCAAAGGAAACCCAGATCTTTCCAACACTGAGAAGCAAGAAAGAAAAGGTAGTGAAGAAGGTAGCAACAAGGTAGCATAGGATGTCAGTGTTGAGATCGCCTATATTGCGCTTTCCCTCAGGGGCCGATGGAAGGTAGACACGGAGGATATAGAAGTTGGCGTAAATGGCAGACAGAGTAACCAGGGCAACACTAAAGACAGTAACAGCCAAGAATGTGTTCTCGTTGTAATCTAGGTGGTTTTTGTTAATAATAATATATAGATAATAAGGAATTAGGTATAAATGCTAGTATCTGAAATGTTGTATTTGATGTTGAAGCAACTTTACCTTTGATTGGCATAACCCAGGTAGGGATCTCATAGACCTTGTTGTACCAGCGAGCAGGTGTATCCTGAGGATCTGTCATCCACCAGTCGGCGTTAGCGCCACTGATACCAAAGCATGCGGCCAGAAGATAGGTAGCTCCAATGAGGTGTTGAAGAGACAGGCCAGACATGTCAATGTATTTTGTCAGATGAAGAAGAAGAAGAAAAAAAATCCACCTCTCGAAGGACCTGTCTTTTATAAGCAATTCATTTGTTATTTATTTATTTATTTTATTTTTTGGATAATCACTTTAAGTGATACTTGTATCTCTTGTGTGTGTACAAAAGTGTACATAATTGTACATACGCGTACATAAGCGTACATAAGCGTACTGTATATGCGAGTGCTTTGTTGTACGACAATTGTATGCTTTCAGCATATTACATCCTGGGTTCAAACACTAAGAATTCCAAAATTATCTGTGGACGCATGTATAAACAGAAAAAGAAACGCCCTATTTTTTTTTCGTTCAGAAGAAGAAGAAGAAGAAGAAATGTATATTAAGGGCAGTGTAAGACGTACTGTGGTAGTACAAAAGATCATAATATGTGTGCTTATACAAAATTGCATATAATCTATATCCATATTTGTATATATATCGAATAGCTGGTACTATATATTGCCAGAATTCTCGATTCGTACATTGATTTGTATGGTTATTGCGTAACATGTTTTATTTTTACATTATTTTTGTTGTTGTGGTAGTAGTAGCTTAATACTAATATTGTTACTATTGCTACTTCAAAAACAAAAACAAAGGTAACCTTATTGTAAAACCATTATATTTATTGAAGATATGTTATACTGACTCATCTTTAGAGCTAAGATATTGTACATGAATATTATAGCGTCTCTCTTTATTACCAATAATAATAGTACCAAGTACAGTGCTTAGAGAGGTATCCGAACCTATCAAAATCTATTCCAAAACCAAACATATATCCGCCAATGAAGTAGAATCTGCGTGGAGCTCGCGCTGGTTATTTTAAGGGTACTACAAGACAAAGTCTATTTTCATATGTATATATTTATTTGTGTGTGTGTGTGTGCGTGTGCGTGTGTAATATATTAATGGGTGGATTTTTATTCTTCTTTCTTTCTTATTATTATTTTGTCAAGATCCAATGTATCTCGCACGGTCAACGAAAAATATTCTTAAAAAGATAAATAATTACTTGCATAAGCATAATGATATTGAATCAGCTTACTGTACATAACATAAAAATACTATAATTGAATGAATTATATATATATAAAAACTAGCATTTTCTGTCAGATCTAGATCTAGACAAATATCTGTGGTCCCATTCATTTCCATAGAAAAAGTATTAAAAGAGCGGAAATGGGGGTTTTGTATATGTATACACACTATTATTAATATGGTGCTATGGGTAAGCGGGTATACTCTAGTTGAGTCAAGCCCTTCTTTATTCACTGATCAGCAAGTGCTTAGCTAACTCTAAATAACACAAATCGTAACACAGTACGCCAACTGTACTCTGTTTTTACATGTTCACTGTTGCTGTTGTTTCTGTTTCTATTTTTCGTTTACATGATTTGACTAAAGTCTTGTATCTGATCTTGTACTTATGTTTCTTTACGGCCATCACATTATCTCATTCAAATTATTCTGCTGACATTCATTGCCTATGATGCTTTAGATGTCTGATCAAAGTTAAATTAAAGAAAATAAATAAAATAAAATAAAAAAGAGTATTTTATCTTCAAGCTATTTTTACGTATAGAACTTACAAAGATGCTAGAAGAAAATGTACTTTAGTTACACATAAATCTGTAGTGTGTATGTGTGTTCCTTACACAAACATAAGAAAAAAAAACTCTATTTTCATATACATAAATTATTCAAATATATCTTTTACTGTGCTTTATGCTATAGAATGCTTTACCTTACTATACACTGCCAAACAAGAGCAGAAGAATATATAAGATTAAATAAAAATAGACAAGTTTTTAACCCTTGTAAATCAATGACTATCTTCATTTGTTGCTGCCTGCTGTTTTTTTTTCTGTTTTTTGTTTTTTTGCTATATTACCTGCAGGATACTTTAACAAATGACTCTGTTCTGCATGCATACATACATCTCTTATTTATTTCAGAGGCAGTCTACAACAACAATATTTCCACATTTTGTTTCAAATTCAAGCGAATAAATAAATAAACAAATAGATAAATACAATAATAATACTGAGGTTTAGATTTGTATCATTTACTAAAATCTCGATAGATATTTAATTAATAGGGGATATAAGGGGCCGGGGGGGCTTTCTTTTTGGTGGTGGTATTCAAGCGCACCTAAACAAAAGCAAAAGACAAGGTCGGTTCCACACACTATTATGTTTGATCGTTGCATAAAGCCGAGGAGAGAAATAATTAATCCTATATAGACCCAATTATTGTCACACAGGCATAGGCGTTGATCATAAAAATGGAATAAACTTAGGGTTTATCACTGCGACGTGGAAGCGGTGTGTACGAGGCGTTGTGCTGCAGACCACTAACCACAAAAATAAAAATAAAATCGATTTTTGGAAGAACCCGAAACCTCCAAAAATAAAGCCACAGTAAATTTTGTGTAGGTTATTACCACTTTATGTATTCATTGAAACCAAAATTAATATTAATCCCATTAAAGAAAAAAGAACCAAAGTAATAGAGACGTGTAATTAATAAAGTTCCAATAAGACCAAGGCTAATCCCAAGTATAAGACAAAAAAAAACGGTATCTAGGCTACAGTAAGAAAAGAAAAAGGGTATTAATTTGTGATACTAATGAATAGAACAAGTAGATGTATATATAAAAAAAATGGACGAGTCATGGAACTATCTTCATCCGTTTCTTTTTTATCTCTTTCCTTTTACAAATTTTCAAGCGCTATTCGCTGTTCCTTTATTAAAAAAAAATATCCGGGCATGGATGCTCATCATACACCCCTTGACCGGACAAGTAAAAGTTGATGAGCTATTTTCTTACCGCTCTTGCTAATATACCATCTTGTCTTTTGGAATTCAAAATTAACCCATTAGCCATTTAATTTCTTTATTGTATAGTGAGTTATATATTTTTAATTCTGTATTTATGATATACTTATAAGATAAACACAATTTATATATAATGTATAAAGAAAGGATAATGAATATCAGTAACTCTTAGCCGATTGGCTTGTTTATCTTTTAATATATACATTTATTTTTAAAAATAATAATAAGAATAAGAAAGGTGTCTTACGAAGCACAAGAAGAAGAAAATTTAAAGCAATGGCTTAAAATTTTAAACGTTGAATATTCTCTGACTTTGAACTCAAGCTTAAAGGAAGTATGCCAAAAACTCTTATATATATATATAGAAAGAAAAAAACGAAGGGGTAATATAAACAAACACAATTTTAAATAGTAGAAAGTAAATAGATAGAAAACAGAAAGTTATTTTCTTATTTTTAAATTCTCTATTTATGTGGCTATACTCGTTAATTTTTGTAAAGAAAATAAAAGGAAAAGTCTCGGATAACTATTGCACCCTCCTAAAGGAAAAACATTTGCTCATCCACTCATATGTTCATCTTTCATTGGTGTGAACCAAGTTCAATAAAAGAAAATTGAGACATGTTAATACTACAATTCAATTTCCTGCTTCTAACCCGAGGTATAACAGCCAAAGCTTGATATATTAGAGAGGGTATGGACTTGTAGCATTATCAGGTACTATATTTTTTTTAATCGGTACTCAAATTACTACAAAAGATCTTTAATATTTTTGATTTGTTCATCTTTATATAGAAGATATGAGACTGGAAGAGTAAGAGGAGTAATATTCTGTGAATAATTCTTATACAAAAAAGATAATAATGTATGTTGCATGTACCTCGGGCTAAAGCAGAATCTAATAAACAATATTGTAATATCTTTGGAGAGGTTCTTTCCTTATTATTTTTACAGTCAAATGAGAAAACTTTTTCGATTATATTTATATATGTTCTAGCCACACAATCAGCTTCCTGTTTTATTTTATTTTATTTTTATCCAAATATCTGTCATACTGTTCCTATTATTACTTGAGTATTCATACTAAGATTATTCGATTTATCTAAACAACACACTGTTGACATATCCCAGAAAACTATATAAACACAGTATCACCAAGCGAATAAAGGCCACCCATAAAACATATATTATTTCTTCATCTTCTTCTCATGGTATTGATCTGAAGAGTACAGATACTTGTCATGAAGGCTACAAGTGTTAGTCTGGATATGTTTTCTTTATTTTAAGACGTGCTGTATTGGCTTATATGATGAAGTGATCTAAACAGTTAAAAGAAAAAGAGAATATATATGTATATATTGATCTCCTCTAAAAGAAAAAAATCATTGACTCAGATAATAACAATTGGCAGCTTATTCTCTTGGAAAAGATAAAAAGAAAATAGAAGTAATGTGTAAGAATGGTCTTTATTACTTTTATCTTTCAATAATTAATAGTAATTAAGAGAAAGAGAGATATTAAAGTAGTTAAGCACTTTTGGGGCTCATTGTTCCAAATATTGATATTTTCAATTGATAGCTGTTTCAGCTGTAACAATCATGTTCTTCCCAAGGCTATTACTTGATTGATATAAGAAATATTTAGGAAGATATGATATGTTTGGGCCAGCCTGAATTTTGAAGACACACTCGACGTACCACTTCACACACTGCTCTTACCTCTACTCAACCTCTACTCAACCTCTACTCTACAATTAGATCAAGACTATACTAACACCTTTTGTTAAAAAACAAATAAATTATTAACGAGAGATATCTGACATGAGTGTGGTTATCCGAACAGTAAGTTGATTGTATTTTAGACCAAATCATATTCCTGAAAAATATAATAAACCCCGACGTGAAAACAGCTTGGAGATTGAGGCTCAAAGAAGAGAATAATTAATCAAGCGTGTAAAGCAGATATCTTGACATAGTGATTTACTTCTGGAAGACTTTACTAGATCCTGTAAGATAAATCAAACCGTTTTAAAAAGATCTTTCTCTTGTGTTTTGTTTTATCTTATATTGCTCACTATTAAGAAATATACACACTTTTTGGTATCATATCTAAAAATTTAGATATTATTCTTGTAATAGTCAAAACTATTACATTTCTAAGAAATCGATAAGATATTGATTGTATGTATATATACCAAATACGTTAAAGAGTTTAACAATTTTTAAACGCGTGTGCGCTTTGTTTTTTACCCTGAAATCTCTTACTTTCTATCATGAGTGTTCGTTAAACTGATGCGCGAATCAACATCGGACGTCAGGCCGAATGAGAAAAATAGAGAATTGATCTTTACTGCGCAATGTCCTGACAAACTCATTTCTGCAAGAACATGATGAGAGTTATATATAAGCTAATGAGCTATTCGCTTGAGCAGAATTGTAGTCTTTGATGGTAAATAAGGTTTCGCATCGTTGTCGCTCGTCTTTTTCTGTTTTTTGCGTCCTTTTTTGTTTACTTTTTGCTTTTTTTTTTCATAGTCTTTAGCTCTAGTAGTCACATGCATCTAAAAAGAGTCACATATTTTTCCCCTTGTTTTTTTTTGCAGGTGTATACGTCAGTGATGAAAGGATACAAGAGATGTGTAGAGTAGATGGAAGACTCCATTTACTTTGGTCCTCTTCACTGAAAAGGAGCTCGTGAAACTCGACTCCGTTAAAGTAGTTGAAATGACGATTGACGTTCTTTTAAAAAAAAAAGTGTGTGTGCGGTACCACACTCGTCTGTCCTCTTTTTTTTTTGGAATTGACTTGAATTTAACCTAAAAAGTACAACATGACTCTACTGAAGCTCTGTCAATACTTTTACAGTTAGAAAGCTCAAGAAAGAATGAGGTATTTGTAATGATTCTTAAAAGAAAGAAATAAAAGTGTAGCTGTTTCTATCAGAGAAAAACTCTAACAATTTTTTACATCAATGATACAAAAGTATAGGAATTGTATAATACAAATATACATATTTGGTACAATGAATTAATAAAAAAGAAAGGGCGGAATCCTGTGGTAGTCGCTGATTAAAGCTCCGGATCCTTAAACGCACCCATGTGTGGACATATAGGAAACAGGATCATTATTGTGTGTCAGAAATACAAAGATACCTACTATATATCTTTTTTTTTTAATACATACATACATATATAATATACCACTCTATCGTATAAATTACTCTTACTTTTTTCAGAAAAATCTACTGTTTGAAATATTAACGTTACATCTTTAATAATTCATAAATAAAACTAAAATAAAACCATACGGTACCGAAACCTCTAATCAAAGTATATGGTACCGAAACCGTAAAATTACATAAAAAATACAGAGTCATATCAATAATTATCATAGGCTCTATATTAAATGTAAGCCTCTTTCATTGTATGACTAAAGATAATGATATGACATTTTTTTGTTAAATAAAGTTTCTGAATCTACCGTGGTAAATTGATCAAAGGGCTTGCAAAGAACAAGCTGGGAAAGTGGCTGGAAAGATATGCTGTGGTACAGTGGAGGAAGGCAAAGGAAAAAGAATAAGAAAAAAAGAGAGAAAGAGCTTGTGTGTGACATCAGTATACCTTCATTGATGTAGCCCGCACCTTGACAAAGGGAAAAATAAGTCTCGAGGAAATGAGGGATCCAGAAAGGAAAGATATTAGAGATGATCTGGGCATGTTCACAATCTTTTCTTTACTCTATGATCCCTTCTCAAAGTAGAATATATGCTGAAGAGCTACAATTACACTTTATATTCACCCTATTGCCATAATCAACTTCTTTTACTGTTTGGTATATTACCAGTAATTTTATACATTATACATTATGAGTTATGTAATGTATATATAAATTAATTTTTTTTAATAGTAATAATATTGTCCCTTGGATCAACACTATTCTTAATACTGTGCTCATGATTTCTAGGTTGTAGGTACGCGATCCAGCAACACAACAATATTCTATATGGGCTACTTCCCCAAAGACAAATAAATTGTTAATAGCAAGATACTCTTTTCCAGCTTCTATTATTATTATTTTTAAAAAATAATTCATTGTGAGACTTTCATTAACGTTTTAAATAGCTTTTAGTTATGAGTATATACATTGGTATTTCATTGTCATTCTTTGATATATATATATTCCATAACGCTTATATTCTTCTTCTTATTCATTTTGGACAAAGGAAATATCATTCATTTAGACCATAAATATTCCCAAGCTAAAAGATTTTTTTTATTGGATTCTACACAATTAAAATTGAGACTTGGATCATCAAGGACCTAGTACCTCGATCCAAATGTATGAACATTGAACTCTCAATTAGGAGCATTGTATATAAAATCACTTCTTTTTAAATAATAGTAATAACAATAAAAAAAAGGAGCTCCCCTGACGGCTCTATATCTATTCATGAAGCTGGATGCCATAAACTCAAATATATATATACAAAATAATTTCAATTGAAATTCTTGTTAGTGTATCAAGACATATTCTTCATGGGAAAAATAAATGAATAAAGCAAGTTTTGATTTTTTTATATGTTTACATAAAGTGGTACCACTAGACCATGCAATGCCTGTAGAATAAGGTTCTTCTTATAAGCTAGTATATATAAAAGGGTTCGTTGTTTTCCAATTTTCTGGTTAAATTCAATTACTATTTTATTCACTTTTAAAAAAATATGTTCTGCCAATATTAGGATACTAAATGTTAAGCAAAATAAAGTCTAGTTAGTATTTTATTTACCATATACAAAAGGGTAAGCTTTGGATTATTGTGTTAAGTATTATTCCCTCTTGTTTAAGAACTTGGATAATAATGAAAAGCCACATGAAATGAGAGGTATTTATAGCTGAGGGTATTAACACAATTTATTCACGGCAAGAGCAACAATAACAATAACAGTATCAGAATGTGAGGGAATAATTTATTTATTCTTAAGGGTTAAAGTATAACGAGTATATTACACGGGAAAATGAGATGATCGTGTCTTGGTAACTAACAATGACAGGTAAGCAGGGGAAACCAAAAAAGAAACAAAGTGTTTACAATGTGTTTCTGTTTCTGTTTCTGTGTATTTTCTTTTTATTTGCTTTGTTTGTGGTCTGTCGTCTCCGAGTTCTTTTTGGACAAGTGTGTAGATGTTGACTATGGCCAGAAAGGCTATTTGTTTCTTCTACTGTCTCGGGCGTTTGTGGGAAATGGGAGATTGCACCCGGTTCTCGGGTTGATTTCTTGCGGGAAACCTTGCTGGGAGATTTAGATGCTCTTTTTCTTTTTGTTAATTCCCTAGTTTGAAAACCCCTTCATTATTCAAGTGTGTATCTGTAGTATAGAAAGAAAAGTATTATTTCAATTTGATTGATATATCTTATTATAAAGATCGATATTTGGCTTGGTAAACTTGTACAAAAATGATTCTTGAAATAGATGATGAAACAATCAGCTTTAAGGTGCTTCGGTTAGCTGTTATCAGTCCAAGTAAAGAGATAATCTTTTTGTGCTATTGTTATTTATTTATTGTTTGTGATAATGATTAAAATAATTCCTCCATTTTAGCTTGTACTCCATAATATTATTGTACTAATTTTGGATTTCTAGATGGAATATTCGTCTTCACTTTATATTTTGTTTATTAAATTTTGACTAGCTCTTCACAGACAATGGCATATGAAGTACACAAGTAAGGAGCTAGGCATGAAAGGGGAGTCAAAGCAGACAAGTCAAAAGGGGAAGGAGAAATAAAGATATAGAAGGAGGGAAGTAAGGGGTGAGATGATGTGAGTGGATAGTCACACGAGGATCTTATCGTTTGAGTGCATAGACCTCATGAGGATGTCTATATCAAAGATCTCTATTGGTTACAGTGTGTATTCTTTTTGTCTTATCAGTAAAAGTAAAAAAAAAAATATAGATAAGAACCAAAAATAAAATAGTAAAAAGGCTGGTTGTTGATTGATTGCGGACTTGAAGGGTTTTAATATTTCAATATTTTCAACTTTAATTCTCTTCTTCTTCGTTTCCACCTCAATTATATCACAAATACCAATGCCAAAAAAGAGCCCTTCGTTTGTCATATTTTCTGGAGGTTCTGCTTGCAACCACATTATCCGAGCATTTCATGAATCGCCCGGTCAAGATGTATCATATGTTTTGGGAGTGTCTGACAACGGCGGTTCCACAGTAAGCCAAAAACAATAAAAATTTCTGTATCTAGTCTTAAAGAAAACTTACTAACAGACTATATCTTCTTCATTATTAGAGCGAGCTATTGAGAGTATTAGGTGGGCCAAGTATTGGCGACCTGCGTTCTCGGCTTCTCAAGATGATGGACCTTGTAAGCGATCAACCATGCGTTGAGCGCACAGCCATCAAAGAACTCTTGTCCTACAGACTTCCTTCAAATATACCCGATCACCTCGTGAAAGATGAATGGACAAGCATTGTAGAAGGACGCCACACGCAAGTATCAACACCAATAATATAGTTTTTGAGACCTAGACTACAAAACAAGCATTCAAGCATTCAAGCATTCAAGCATTCAAGCATTCAAGCATTCAAGCATTCAATCATTCAACCAACCGATCAACCAACCAATCAATTAATTAATTAATCAATCAATCAATCAATGAAATCAAATATACAAGCCAAACCAATCCAATTCAATTCAATAGATCGATCGGCTAATATTAATTTTATATATGTATATGTATATAGACTTTGGGATAATATCCCTATAGAAAAGAAAGAAACAATTCGTGGGTTCCTCACTCTATTCAACTTTGAAATCCTCAAGCGTGCCCACAAACAATTTAACTTTTGCAACGGAAGCATCGGCAATTTCTTTCTCACGGGTGCCCGTCTCTTCCTTGGTTCCCTAGAAGCAGCAATCTTCCTCTTGTCAGCGATTACGGGAATTCAGTCTGATAGAGCCAGTATAGTTCCTGTCATCAACACCAATCACACTGTCACCATTGCAGCCTTGCTGGCAGACGGAGGCACACTTGTCGGCCAATGTGAAATATCACACCCTCCCAACAATCCTGCACCAGATACGCCCGGTGGACGACGAAAGAAGTACCGAACAAACCCAATCGATGCATTTTCCTGCCTTTCCGAGGAAGAAGAGATGTACAGGATGAATGTGGCCAACACAAACCTCGTGTTTTCAAAATTCGCAGACGAAAAATTAGAGTCTCCCATCAAACGCATCTTTTACATGAACGACTATGGACAGGAGATTTACCCCATTCCCAATCCAAAAGTCATTTCTCAGCTCTCGACAAAGGAGACCCTGGTGTACTCCATCGGCTCTCTCTACACCTCTGTCTTGCCCTGTCTAGTCCTGCGTCATGTAGGCAATGCTATTGCGCAGTCGTCCTCGTTAAAGCACAAGATATTGCTTCTCAATGGGTCCAATGACCGCGAGACAAGCGATTACAGCGCTTTGGATTTCATATCAGCAATCACAAACGGGCTTAACGAAAGTAAGAAGATAGACTGTCGACGTGCATTCTACCAATCCTGCGACGAGGAGCCTGATCTACTACTCGAGTCTCCTCTGGTTCTCCCCTCAAGCAGCTACTGTAGTGTGAGCAGCAGCAGCAGCAGCAATAGCACAACCTCAAGCTGCGGGACTATATCCCCAGGTTGTTCTCCACGCCAGGGATCTGGTTCAGGCTCTTTCGAGCAAGCCGAATACCCTCCTTTCCCTAACCACCTGTTTTATCCCAGCCCACCCTCTGCCTTTATCACTCATCTAGTCTATCTGGACAACTCGACAATACCAGTAGATAAAATTGCCATCCAAAAATTAGGTATACAGCCAATATGTATCCGCGGAACCCTTTCCGGCACAGGAGAACCTGTCTATGATGAAACCGCGGTTTCCAACATAATTCGACGCATTGTACATAGTTGAACCACATACACACACACACACACATACATACATACATACATACATACATACATAATTACATACCTACATACATACATAATAGCATATCTTATTCATTTATCTTTCGCCTTTCTCTTTATCTATATGTCTATCTTTATACTTATACTTATACCTATATCTTTATCTACATCTACCTCTTTTTCTTTATCACAAACAAATAAAAAATAGAAGCAGGTTCGCATAAAAGACACGCCCACACCTCCATTACTATTAACACTACCACTATCGTTACTCAGACTCACTCATTTTATACGTAAATATAAATATATACAAGAAAAAAGAATTCTGTTGTTGTATTTGTTGTTGTTGTTGAGAGAGAAAGACTGAGAGGAGAAGGAAGGGGAGAGGGATAGGATTTGTTCTTCTTTGTTTTTATGCTTCTGCTTCTTCTTTCTGAGCTACCTCCGTAACCTCACTACCAGTTACGGGCAAAATACCTTCTCCTTGAAGGTTTTCAATCTTGTTATCAATGAGGTTGTGGAGTGCGATAACAGAACGAATGAGACTTGAAAGGTAGATCATCAACAGCTGGTCGTTTGTCTTGACACTAAAGGCGCTGACCATACCCTGAGACTCCAGACTAGGCAAGAGATTAAAGATATCCTGAAGGTTGTAGATGATCTGGTGGTTCACGGGCAGCTTTCCGGCCACAACCTTCTGGAGGTAATCTCTGATTTCTTCAAGACGGCCCTGAAGACCAGACAGAGATCCGAGCTGAGCGTGGATTCGGGTAGACAAAGTACCGACCGCATTGTCCTTGATGTCTCTCAAAAGATGCTCCACACCAATCTCTTCTGCTTCTTCTGCCACAATTTCGGACGAAATGTGCATGAATGTCTTTGTGGTAGCAGTGCCATCATCCTTGATTTCCTCAATAGCAAAGTAGGCATCGGTGGGGATCTCGGCTGCCTTGGGCTTTACGTCTACGATAACCAAAACCGGGTTGGGTGTATAGCGCTTAAAGAGTTCATTGATCTCCAAATCCGATGCACGCAACTTTGGTCCACTATGATACCATCCAATCATCTTTTCCTTGGCTAAGTAATTTTTTTTTTTAAAAAAAAAAGCATGATTGCAATGATGAGATTATGTTTGCATAGATCACACATCCCGTGCCTGTAACTTTTTTTTATATATTTTGCTTCTGCCGCTTTTGTAATATATATATATATATATTTACTCACCATTGACCTTTTTGAACATGTCATTCATAGCCTCGACATAATTGTGATCCAAGAACCACACAGAGGGATCCTTTTCATCTTCTTCGAATGGGACTAAGAGTATAAAATGTGAGATTATTGGCTTTCTTTATATATATATATATATTGAATTACCCGCAAAACTGTTGGAGACATTCACAATCTTGCCCTTTTGCTGGCCCAAAAGAACACCGACAACTCTCTTCTTTGAGCCAGTGGCGACTCTGTTGTAATGGTCAGTTGCGGAAAGGAGCACGAGGGGATGGATGTGTGCTGTTGTTGGTAATCCGCTTGATGTTGTGGCAGGCATTCTGTATAAATATATGTGTATGTGTATTCGTGTGTGTGTTCGTGTATTATTATTATTATTTTTTTTAAAAAAAAAAGAGAATTTAAAATATATATTTAAAAAAAAGGTCAAGATAGAATAGGCTTGCGTAGGAGGGTCTCTTTGGGACGCGTCGCTTGAGTGTGACATCATTGGTACTTTCCAAAAAAGGGGAAAATGGTTTGCGGTCTTCTTCTCCCCCCTCCCCATTTCCTTTGCTTTGCTTTCATTTACTTTATTTTACTTTGCTCTCTGTGTGTCTTTCTTTGTGTCTTTCTTCTTTATTTTATAGATAAAGCACATGTCGATAGCAATTCTGTTGTTTTCTCTTTAGTAAAGATATCTGTAGTCATTACTCCATTTTTCTTTTAAGATAAAGAAATAGTAATATATGCACTCACATACAAGCTATGTAATTTACTTGTCAGAGTATATTTAATATTCTAATGCGTGAATTAGTATAAGATATTCATTATCATTATTTGATACTTAAATATATATATTGAAAATTGGCCTTTATTTTCAGGGCAGGTCATTTAAGCTGAACTCCTTTATATATCTATATGTATATTGTCTCCTTTACATCTTTGTTGATACAATGCAACATGAGATAGAAATAAATAAATATGCGCAGTATGCATATTGGTGGCGTTTATCATGCCTGATAATACCATGGCATGAATTATGGCTATAAATGAGAGCTTTATTGTTATTATCATTTGCTTGTCAATATTAGCTTAGTTATCTATTGATTGATTGAGTAAAGAAAAGAATGAGTGCATAATCATAATATACATACCTACCTACCTACATATATGATCGATCTTTTTAAATAAATAAATGAACATTATTATTGTTTCCTAGACATAGGTATATAACAGTGTCAGCCATTGATTACAAAAGCACCCATTTGAAGCAGTCAGAAAAAAAAAAGAACATTATTTGACAGTAAGTAAAACAAGACGTATGCAGGATGTGCATTACTTACTGCCCTTGACCACCCCTTTATAAATAAGATGAATACGTATACACTTATTCATAATTCACTACAAATAGATACATACAGAATAAGGATTATCTATAGTGTATGAATCTCATAATCGTTACTACTCTTTAAACCTCGAATAAATTTCTCCCAAACTGTATATTGCTTTTCTTTGGAAGCCCATCATATTCCCTCTAAACGCTCTCTTCCTATATAAGATAGCGGTGATCCAAAATATGGAAAAAGAGAGAAGGCGAGGGGGATGGGGGGAGGGGGGGAGACGTAGTGATCCCTGAAAAAAAAATCAGAAATGGCAGGTGGCCAGAGACAAATTGAAAGTGAAAGAGGAGGGGGCTTACACAAAAAAGGATGATTAACTCTTTCGTTTCAACTGTTTTTCTTCTTCTTCTTCTTCTTTTTTTCTTCTTCATTCAATCATCCATTTGCCATCTTGTAAGTAGATAAACGACAATGGCCAGCTACAGTTACAACTACATTATAAAGGTAAGTGTCTCGGTTATAATAAGTGATGGCTTCTTTTATTTTGATTCGCATTAATAAATCTGAATTACAGTACATTATCATTGGCGACACTGGTAAGCATTCCTTTCTTTCTTTCTTTCTTTATCTTTATTTCAAGCATTATACATTTTATCTTCAAATCGTTTCTCAACTCATTTATTTTTTATTTGTGTGTGTGTGTGTGTGTATGCATTACTAGGTGTTGGAAAGGTAGATAATACAGATGTCCAAGCAGTATGATTTTTTTTTGATAACAAGTCTAAAAAATATATACACAAAAAAATATCCTTCCAGTCATGTCTTTTGCTACAGTTCACTGACAAACGATTCATGCCTGCACATGACCTGACCATTGGGTAAGTCAGATTGACTGACCTTGAGAAGTTGTGTGTACATACACACACACATACACACACATATATATATATTATCCCTGACTAAATATAACTTATACAGTGTGGGTTTTGGCACACGCTTTGTGACAGTCAATGACCAACAGATTAAGTTGCAGATTTGGGATACGGTATGATATAAAGAGAGAATTACAGAGAAGATAATAGAGAGGAACAATTATAGGATTATCCCTTTTTATTTCTCTCTCTTTTAACATAAAATCTCCATAGGCTGGTCAAGAGTCTTTCAGAACCATTACGCGAAGCTATTATCGAGGAGCAGCTGGAGCACTTTTGGGTAAGGTGTATTGTCTTCTTGGTTTGGACTAACAACAAGAAGTACAGTAATACTCATTTTTCTTTTTTGGTCAAAAACACGCACACATTATATAAATATATAAATATGTATTCATTTACTTAGTATATGATATCACAAGGTAAAAATAAAGAAAAAATATATGATGAAAGTGGCCTGGTTTAATCGTCAAACTTTATATGTATATATATATATATAAAATAATAACCCCAAAAAGACGCGACACATTTGAGAACCTCTCGACTTGGCTTGAAGGTAAAATAGAATAGAATAAAATAAAATAAAATAAAAATTTGGAGCTGTTGCACGAACAATCGGGAACAACCTGGGCATGGACATGAGCTAATTTTGTTTTGTTGTTGTAACGTTCTTGCTTTGCTTTCTTTAAAATGTTGTGCCACTTTTGCTATGTGTAGATGTTCGTCAACATGCCAACCCTAACACAGTTATTATTGTGATTGGAAACAAGAGTGACCTGGATAACAAGAGACAGGTTAGCCGTGAAGAAGGCGAGAGATTCGCCCGGGAAAATGATCTGTTCTTCTTGGAAGCATCTGCAAAGTCTGCAGATAACGTTGAAGAAGCATTTGTAAAGACAGCACAATCTATTCAGAAAAAGATCCAGAGTGGTGTCATTGACCCAACAAGTGAGGTACAAAGAAAATGAATTTTAGATGAATTTTAGATGAGCTTTTTAATTTAATTTGATTTGATTTGATTTTAAATAGCAAAACGGTATCAAGTTGGCTCCCCTCTTGGGTGCCTCTTCTTTGCCTTCTGCCAACTCTTCTTCAAGCAGCGGGAAATGCTGTTAAGCAAGTGAATTGGAAACACGCAAACTCTCGAATCCCAAACTCACACACGCCCACGCGCATGCACACACCCATACAACCCACCCACACACCTATCTTGTTTACTCCATTTTTTCTCTCTCTCTATCTCTCTTTTCTTTATAATCTACTTTAGACCCTTTCACAATCTCAATCTCAGTATCTCCCCTTTCTCTTTGCCTTCCTCCCTTTCTCTTCTCCCCCTTCTCTTTTGACTTCTTTACCTTTCTATATATATCTCTATATATTCTTTTTCTGTTCTTATTTCCTTCTCTATTTGTCCTTGACATGTAAAAAAAATCACACGCAAACACACATACACACACACACAAAACAAATTAAGGAATATCCCATTCATTTTCTTGCCTATGAAACAGTCCAAATGTCAATTGTTGCACTTTTCTTTCACCTTTTTTTTGTGAGATCCAAAGAATCATTTACATCTTGGAATGCTATTCTCACGCAAATAAATATATAATAATAAAAAAAAAAGGCACACGCAAAAAGAGGGTTTAAATTTGACAGCAAAATGGGAAACATTGATAATAGAGGAATTACTAATGATCCCCCCACTTACTCTCTATTCAAGAGATATGGATAAATTAGACCCGGTATTACGAGATTCTTAAAAGAAAGAAAGAAGTAATGAAATATTGACTGGCTGACTGACTGATTGTTAAACAGAAAAACAATAATTAACAATACACTTGCTTTTGTGATATTATGCTTAATTATAACACCTTTTCTTTTTCTTTTTCTTTTTTGTATCTCAAAGCTACACACCAATTTTTGTGCTATTCAACATATATAGATAAATTAGTCTTTTGTGCACATATTGTTCTTTTTTTTATTAACAGAATCAATACTTGACAGTGGTGACTTTGTGTGGCTTTCCAAAAGCTTGAAGTCTGTTGGTACAATAGCCCATTATAATGGAGGATATAAAGTTAGCATCATACTAAAAATATATGTAAATCTAAACAAGTATTGTAAGTATCAATTGAATCCTGGTGCTTTAGCTAATTAAATATGTGTGTCATAACCTAGCCTTTGATAGCCCTCTAAAAGGCTGATACCTGTATTTCTTTTTTTCTCTATCTTAATATCAATCTTTAATATCGTTCTGTTTCAATTTCATGAAAGAAAAGAAAAAAAATCATAATATAAGCCAAAGGTAAACAAACAATGTCAGCTGTAAATCAAAACTAAAATAATGTAGTAATGGTAGTAGTTTTTGATCAGAGAAACTACATCTACTTTGGATATCTTATTTAAAATACAACACTTTTTTAATGTATTGATTGACGGGACTATTTAAGAAAGTCTGCTTTAATGGTTGAACTGTATATCACTCAAGCCGTTCAAGAAACACAATTCTGGTTTCAAGTTTAAAAGTACCGAATAGTAAAAATCTTGGTCTTTCTCTTGTATTTCTATATACGTATACTTTACCAGCTGCGAGTTCAATCTTGGCTGTATAGCAAGTATTCTGTTGCTGTTTTTTTTTTGCTTTAAAAGTAAAATATAATGTGATGCCATGTCATTCACTAATACTATCTGTGCACAATGAAAGTGCGTAACAAATATCAGGATAATCCCACGTTTTGAACTATATATTTATATGTCCTACAGATAGATAAAGTCTCTCTTTTTTTTTGATAATTGACAATATGTTTCATAACAAATATATATAGCAAAAGTTACAAAATATTTGCGGTTTATTATCGATTGATTATTCAAGACATTGGTGAAAGATTTCTTTGGGTTTCTAGTACTTCTTTGGATACCATACAGCACCTCTGCAGTTTCCTTTCTGGAATGCATCGGTGATCTTATATTTGTCACGCCCTTCAACATAGAAGAACATCGACACTTCGGACAGCTGGCCCTTGCGATCACAATCCATCTTGATCTTGGCTCCAACGTATTTCTCAAGAGGTTCGATCATAGTCTGTACATTATATGTCTGTCCTGGAATTACACCTGCCAAACTATATCAATATAAACATAAAACAAAAACTTTGTTTAGTTCAAGGTGTGGATATAAATGTATATTCTTTAGTTACTTGAGAGCACCAAACAAATCATAGTAGTGACGAAGTTCCAATGCTTGCTGGTAAAGGTTGTATGAATCATTAGTATATATTAAATAGCAATATAAATTTTTATTTTATTCTATTTTATCTTATTTTATATTGTTACCTTGAAATAGGCTGTGACGTCTTGGTATTTTGTATATTCTTTACCATAGCACGAGGGCCTGAGAGTACTGATACATGTACCATGTTTATTCCACTCATGCGACCAGAACCTAAATCAATCCCCGAAAGGAAATGTAAGATTATTATTATTATTATTATTATTTTCTTATTCTTCTTGTGGTCATAATCAAGTGCCTGAAAAGAAAAAGAAAAATGGCGCGTAGATGACGCACTCTCTATGTGTATATTAACATACCAATTATTATCTCCTTTGTAACTTGGCCAAAATGTTGACATTTCAGAGTGTAGACTAGGATCCATGTCACGCACAATGTTTCCTATGTTGTTGGCCACTCGACTGCGATCACATCCATTACCTGGTGCTCTTCCACCAGAGCTAAAGAAAGACTTGTTATTACGGCTGTTATTATTAACTGAGAGCTTACCATGTATCTGGCCACAAGCCTATCAAGAACACATAAATGTACATCAATACATGAATATCCAGAGAAAGTAGAATCTCTCTCAAAGATAGACCGAATTTTCTTTTTACGTCTTTAGCCTTTAGTCTTACCATGAATAGTGAATTCTTTATCTGGACCAAAGCCAGGAACCCATTGTAATGTGAGAACTACCAGCCCATATTTTGGAGTACAGCAAGAATCGACTCTTCCATTCCAATGGCACGACAGCAGTGTATCTAAACGCAGATAAGTAAAATAAGATGCAGTTAATAGCAGGCCTTACTTACTATTGCAAGACGGGGCTTCGTATAAATTCTGCTCAAAGTAGTCTTCTTCCTGGAAGACTTGTTGAGATGCCTGGAAAGCAGTTGCTGTCAGTGCGGATGTGAGTATGAGTCCGAGAATTGAACGGAGCATGGTTCTTATGTGAAGTAAATATAATTCAGAAAGATAATGAAAATTCAAATTTATATAAATATAAATATAAATATATATATATATATATATATATATATATGTAAGATAGGTAACTGTCACGAGTCCAATTATTTTATTTTAGGCTTTATCTTTATATATATATGCATATAATATAATATAAAAAAATCAAGGGGGGAGAGAGACAGAAAAAAAAAAGATACAAAAAAGAAAGGATTCAGATAAGTTACTTGAGCGGATAAGTTTAGGTCGCCATTTGAACAGATCTATCACCCCTTGTTTCCATATAACCAGGAGAAATTGATATATATATAACATATATATATATATATATATCTTTGTCTATGTAGATAGTCATCGAGACCATTTTGAGTGAATTGAATGCCAATAGGATCCTTTCAAAATATGTGCCTATATGTTTATGTAATATTCTAGCTCTCTGGCTTTCTAGCATTAACGTCTGTTTTAACCACACAAAAAATTAAGCCATTTGTTTGGTCCACAATGTACCACACGTACAAAATCAAAATGCGCCAATTGGACAAACATATACACTACTGTAACCTAAAATTAGGCACTAATTATATTTCTTCTAAGCACCTATAAGATACTACACTGTAGATAGATAATTCAGTAGCTAATACAATTTTTGAAATGGTATTGGTAATGCCGTATACATACATATAGGTATATGCATATCTCACCCTTTAGAATTAGACAGCAAACCTCTTACAAGAGATTTGAACAAAGTAAATCTTGCTATAGAGAAATGTACACACACACACACACACAACGCATATTTATATTATTATTTTTTATCATAAATAAAATCTTGTTGTTGTTGTTGTCCTGTAATTGATTTTATGGTATAAACCTTCTCATTATATTTCTTATGTATGCGTGGCTGCATTGTTAATCTCAGTAATATGTGGGTAAATTAACCTTTTCTCTCTTTTCTTTTTTTCTTTTTGTTCTGGGATACTTTATTTAACTATTCTAATATTCAAACCACCATAGCTTAGGGTTTAAAGTGAACAAGTTAAATACAGAGTTTGGCATTAAAAATATCCAAAAAAAAAAAAGACTGTCTGTATCATGTGCAGGCTATGACAATTCATTATAACTATTTGCCTCGTCATTGACAGCTTTAGCAGTTAAGAAATCTAAACACTGTAGTCAATCAAATGTAGGAAATGGCATATTTTAATGCTCCGAGCACTTGACTACACTTGGTGCAGAAAGACTAAAAAGTGCAAAATTAGTTCAAATGCATATTAGATAAAAAGTGTTCATAAAACCATATCTTCCATTAGGCAAACTTATTTTATCGCAGATTTTTTAGCTCTTGGACTCTGTGACCCATCTCGCCCCCCAAGAGCACGATCTTCTCAATTTAATTGACAGTGAAAGAAGACTAACCAGTCAGACCCGTTTGAATATATATATATATATATATTGGAACTTTTTAGTCTGTCCACACAAACTATGGAAAAAAATCTACAGGTAGAATTCGAAGGACTTGCAGCTTTTACCCAAAACTCTTACCTTTGACAGATCCGATATTTGTTTACTAAATTGTGGATCCTCTAAACTTATTTTAGTATCTCGAGGCAATTCTTCTTTAGATTCTTCACCTTTATAACGTTGCTTCTAATAAACAATACTGAAAAGAAAAGGGATCCTTAAACTGGCACTTCAATACAAGATACTTGTATTGAGATGATTTTAGGAATGACTTTTATTCAATAGTTCATATATGACAAGATGTACAAGTGTTTTTTTTATCAAATCAAATTAATGGTTTGTCGTTTTATGATATCAAATATCTTTCTCAGTCTCTTTAAAGGTTAAGTGGTTTCTTTGGTATTAAGTTAAAGAAAAATTACTATATTGTAATGGCAAAAGCACAGTATCTTTTAAGCACTTGTGCCTAAAAACAAAACAAAACAAAAACCGACATACAAATTAATCATGTCAATGAATTGGCTGTAAGAACGAAATATGAAAATATGTCTTTTTTATGATATTCAGGTCTTGTTTACTCAATATACCATATGTCTGGCAGCTCACTTTTAAGGACTGTAATATAAAGACTGTCTGCACATCTTTGTCGAATTATCTTTATACAGAATATCGAAGGATGTATTTTGTAATGTATCAATTCTTGGTAATTCTTATTTAAATTCGAATCACATTTTGCACTGTGAATATAATTGTACACATGTGTATGAAATAACGAATAGAGGATACCAATTATTAATTAATATTCAAAATACAAAATCGTCTGTAAATAATTATACTTGTTTCATAAATCCATCCAAATTGAGCTTTTTTTGGGGTACAGTCTGTGTAAATACAATGAAAACCTTACTTGTGTTTTCAACCTATACCACAACTTTTCTGCCTATCTTTCTAACACGCATTTCTTTATTCCTCATCTCTCATTTCTTTTCATTTTCTTGCATTTCCTTTCTTTTTCTCATTCCAATACATTCTCTTTACAATTTCCATGGGATTAGCCAAATTCAATAATATACAATTCACGACATCGGCATTTTCAAAGACTATTACGACCTACTCAATATATACTTTATAGAAAGTAACAGCCTCTAAAGTTAACTATGGTTATCGATACTACGTCAAAATATACAAATATTATTTTATTTATTTTCAGATTTATTTGACTAGATTATTTTTTTTCCTATAAACGAGGGTTCCTAATTACAACATTAACCTCTTCAATCAAGTAAAAAGAAATATTTAAAGGCTTGTTTTTTTTATTGGAGACGATACTAGTTAAAAAGGACTTTATTTATCTATTTAAAGATATACATATATACATACATAAAGAAACTATTTTATTCTATTTGATTGAATTTCACTTAATGTTCTTTTACATGAGTAAAGGAATAAAAAGCATGACACCAAGTTCTTTGTCCCCGCATTACGCGGCTCAATCTCCTTCAGGACGTAAACCTGACTTGGTAGCGAAGGAGGTGCTGGAATGGTGGCAAACCAACGGAAAGCACCCGTTCATCCAGCCCCACATCTCGTCACCGAGTAATGTGGGTGCGAACTCGCCAGAGAACTTACCACTAGGTGATAAGGTCCAGCTCATTCGACTACCAGTAGCTTCACCGTCAGCCGTTAAAGAGTTCAGTCAGGTTAGCAGTGAAGAGCCAGCACATCTCACCACAGGTTAGACCTCCCTCCCCCCAGCATCATGATTCCACATTGGCGATGCGATGTACACAGTAGTCCTTCCAAAAATGAAAAGAGACCATGCCCCACGACTTCTCAGAATTAACTGAGCTGGCGAGTAACAACTTTCACTTTCCGATGCTTGTAGCATGGAAGAATCTCCCTGCAACGGTCGCAAGAGACGCCTCACTATGAAACCGGGACTGTTGTTGCTCAAGGAGAAAATAAACGACGCGCGTTGGAGGAGGTCTATAAGTAACAGAAATTTTTTTCATCTGCGATTAAAGTTTACGACTGCGCTTTTTGTCAGTCTTAGATGTCCACGTCAGAGCAAACGTGATATGGCTATATATTCTTTTTATTGGGTTTGTGTAACTGTTCTAAGGTAGAGTAGACAGCTAATAATATTGAATTAGATTACTAGAGAAGATGGCTTTTTCAAAGTAAAGCAAAGTAAAGCAAAAAAGCAAAGAAGTAAGGAAAGGTTCGGTTTTGATCGGTGTAGCAATAACTTTCAAAGTGGAGTACACGTTTCTATAACAGCGATATGTAGGTTACTCTAAAGTGGTCTGTGCGCTTCTTGTGCGAGAACGCAAGAAAAAGCTTTTATTTATTTCGCTTGTATAAAAAGACACAAAAAGAACCCAACAGTTGCTAGAAAATAAACCCACATATATTTCAAAGCAACATTAAGTAATAACGTCGATATAAAAAAAGAAAGCAGAAAGTATATATATAGCTGACATCTTCAATAGGAAAAAAAAAGATAAGATCCCAGAGCTTCTGCTAAGAATTTGACTGGAAAAGTTTCTAACTACACCTTCAGATTAGTCAAAATTAATGTCAATTTGGTTGCGAGCAAGATTGAGTAATTGACAAAAGTAATACTGATTTTACGACAATAAAGTCTTAGTGCTTCATTGAGATATACAGTCAAGGTTATATTGGTAATTCTACCTACATATAAATAAGGTAGTTACTCCAGCAAAAAATATAATTTACAAAGAAATAATACTATAAAATGATGGTATTACTTTTAAAGGAGAAAAACATTACTTGGTATCAATATATCTCTTTCTATTTAAGCTTGCTCTTTTTGTTTTGCTTTTAATACTTAAAAGCTACAGAGTTTTGAATGTAAAGATTGAAATTATTTTAAAAAGAATATAATTAGTTTGCATTGTAATTTATAATAATTTTTACTTGATTTTAAGAGCTTAGATTTTGAAAAGAAGAAGAAGAACGAAGCACTTGTATACTTTTGACAAGATATTTGAAACATCAGTACAAATACATCAGGATTAATCTCACAAAGTTTGAAGAAATATGTGTGATTATATATTAAAGTTTTTAGCCTTTTAACCAAACAGATCATAATGTTGACAGACACTTTTCTGTGAATCAAAGCTTTCTTTTCCACTTTGTTTGTAGAACGTTGGCTTTTGTAAAAAGCAAACTGGATCGCTCTTTTTGGTATTACAGATTAATTTCACGACCAGGCATTTAAATATGAGATAAAGAGGTGTAACCAGCACTCGATAGAATCTCATGCTTGGAAATCATTTAAGTTATATTCTATAACTTTAAGATATATACCAATACACTATTCTGGTGGTTTCTGCTGCTGATAATTTTGTTGTTGTTGCGGTTACGTAAAATGAGAAGATGGGACTGGCTACGCAATAGAAGCACAGGGTCACAGAACTTCTTTTTATATGTTTTAAGCTCGTCTTTAATAGGCCCTTAAACTTGCTGGTACCTGGGTACTACCTTTAAAGTTCCCTTTTGGGCTCTTCTTTACTAACAGAAAGCTTCACTACTTTATTGTTCTTCTTCATGCATAAAGCTTGCTTCTCAAAGGATTGACGCATAGAATGAGTGTATATATAATAAGCCACATAGATATCACACACCAATAGGTGGAGTTATTCTATTGGACAATTAGTGTTTATGTCATATCTTGCGTATTCACTCATACGTGTATAGAAAAATGGGTCTTCAGTGTGAGGGAGAGAAGCTTAGTCTTTCTCACAAACACAACACAGATAAATGGTCATGTAAGTAGCAGACTCCTTAAATAAAGTACATTTCACACATGTGATGCTAACTATGATGAATATATTAATGTAATTTGTAGTAATGTTGCTTTGGCATTTACCCAAACGTCTGTGGCCAAGCAAAAAATGAAGGCTATCACAGAATAATACTGATGTAAGTAAAAATCTCCTGAAATATAGTGCTTCCTTCACCGATTTACCAATTTTTTCAAAAGTCTGATCATATGTTAGAAAGATTTTGGGCGCATTTTTGAGATTAAATTGACCAGAAAAATAAATTCTATTTGGTCAACTATTTGAAGCTAATTTAACCTATTTTTTTTTTTACTAATACTTTAACCACTTATTCAATATATTTTAACCAGAATTTTGAGCCTATAATTTTTCTTTAACTATGGATATCTTTTGCAAAGACGGTAGAGGTAAAATCGTTGATGAGTCGAGAGAAGATGCGCCTTCTTTTGTTGTTGATCCCTCATTCCATTTGACTAATTTGAGCAATTTGCGCAAGTACATAGAAAATAAAAAGGTCATTACTGAAGTTGAGACACCCATAGATACAGAAATGAGGACAGACAGAGATATCTCTACTATACCCAACAAAAGTTAATGAAGCCCACAGAAGCAGCAAACGTTGCCAACGTTAATCCTGAGACTGGACGTAAATGGAAAACTGCTTACAATAAAGATCCAGACAAGCAAACTCCAGTTAAAAAAACGAACCGTGCATCAAACTGTCCAAAAAGTCAGTTAGGGGAAGAACACAAGACCTATCTGACCAACTTTTACGACGATAATCCAACTGCTACAATCCAAGATGCTGTAGAAAATTTGGTCAAAAGCTTTGAAGGATTTACAATCAAAAAAATCCAAAGTTGTAGAGATTATGAAGGTATAATGCAATCTTACTCTCAAGGTTGTCACACGCCACCCGAAAGCTAGAAACTTTGATAAAATTAGTATCACTTAACCAGCAATCTTACGGGGATGACGTTTCCTGATGAGGCGCGATGTTTCCATTTAATCGGACTCATTAATTGCGACTACCTGTCCGGGACCCGGTATCTTTAATCCTTGAGGGTAAAATAGTGTGTCCTGAAAATGTGCCTTTCGTTCCTGCCAATGTAGTTGTTTCTGTGAACACATTGCTTCAATTTCTCTTTTAATCATCCAATCTCCTAGACTAGCTCTTTAACTCTTATGCTTTTTCTACTTTCTGCTTTCTGCTTTCTGCTTTCTGCTTTCTGCTTTCTACTTTCTCATGTGTAATTCCTTCTCTTTGTTTCTTCTTTTAATTCTGTTTTTTCCTCCTTTCTCTGTACGTATTAGCTTACTACCTTGCCCCCACACTTTGTGTGTTTATCTATCTCTCCCCAGCCATCTAACTCTCATTATTGTAAGATTCATAGCCTGTATTTGGGCAACTTCATAATAAAGTACTGTCTCATGCAAAAATCAGATCCTGTATAATCAATCAGTAGTTCTGAATTTAGTTTTGACAATAAAGAAATAATGATTGGTCACAAATACACTGTATCAATAACCATTGATGTATGGTGTATTTTCTTAATAATCGTGTTGTAAATGAGTATTGACTACTGCTGTAATTGAGAATAAGTCTGAAGGAAATAATATAAGGCCTCAGCTATTCCAGTCAAAGGTGTCTACCGATTACTTTATTATTTAACACACAGGTTTAGCATGCATGATAGTGATTATATTTCATATGATGATATCACCATAATATGGGATACATCAGTGGATTATTATAAGCATAATTATAACTCATAAACACATTTACTTTCGATGTTAATACTTCATTGGGACTACACACATTTATATAATTAATCATACATTAATTATCCCAAGATCACGTTGCTCTGATTAAGGCTCAGATAGGATCGATTACCTGACCCCAGTCATATAATTTTCCCAATCCAAAACAATATAAATAGCAGTAGTAGTTCAGTGTAGGAACCTGGTCAAACTTTGATACAAAATCTTTCTCAATAAACAAAACCTACACAAGTTCTCACGAATCTTCGTTCCTAATTTCAAATCTTGAATTCTTCCTCTTAAAAACTTCTTCAACTTCAACCACCACAACATTTTTTTTCGTGAACTACCATGAACCCCTCTGCTGAGAACTACCCCGCCGCCATCATCCCTGCTCATGATGAGGATGCCATGTCCGTCATGACTGAGGAGGACCTCATCGCCAGTCTGAGTGACAACATCTCCTTTGCCAGCTCCACCCCTGGACAATTTGTGGCTCCCTCTCCCCTTCGTCCCTTGGTAGCGAATGCTGCTACAACAGTCTTGTCTTTGTCAGAGAAACTTAGACTAGAACTTCAACAGCATGTAGAGGCTGTCAGCGCTGCTCACGCTATGAACGATGAGCAAGCAGCTGAATTAGCCCTTAATAAGGTCAGACGCGTCAAAGAAATGATAGATATAGAAATAGCATGCAGTCAGTACCTTTCGCCTTCTGTGAAAGTTGTAGAGAAGAGCAGTCGCACTGGAGGGTTGACTCTTAATAGAAGAGATCTTCCTAAGTTCCAGTTGGCAGACGATGTGATTAGGTCCTTCCCGAATGAAGAGGTCTTTCACTCAGTAGACCACTTCCTTCGCACCTTCCAAAAGGTTATTGAGTCGTCCCTTCAGGACATTGAACTAGTTTGGAAGAGATTTTTACCGCTCTGCTTGCCTCATAGTGACGATGGATGGGTAGAGATGGATTTGAAGAAGTGTGTAGATTGGAATGCGGCCAAGATCTGCTTTACAGCAAGACATGGATCGCGCTTGGTGACATCCCGTTCGGTAAAAGAGGTATTTACCATGGTAATGCTTCCTTCTGAGTCGATTGGAGATTACTCCAAGAAGTTCCTTCAGGCTGTGTATGATGCCGGCCTCCCCAAAAACGATGCTCGTGTTGCCGACCGCTTCCTCGCTTCCTTGACTAGGCAAGTACAGACACTCTTGCGGCTCACCATGACCAGATTGGACTTCAATGGCGAGACCAAAAGAGATTGGACTGTGGAGCAGTTGACGCAGATTGGCAGAGACATCCTTGGCGACGACAATCGCATGTATGCCGAAGCTACCCAGCTCATTCCTGGTGCCAACATGCACACTGAGAAGAGAATGGAGAAGAAGAGAATGGAGGCGTACCCTCGCAAGAAGGTGCACTCCAGCAACAACCAGCAGCACCGAATCAGTAAGCCGGAGCGTTCCTTCTTCTGCTCGCACCATGGTAAGAATACTACACATGAGTCGAGCAAATGCTTCACCCTGGCCAACAACAAGGCCAAAGTAGCTGCCCCCACCAAGCGCAACCCCTGCAGGCGGTGTGGAGAAAACTACTTCCGTGGCCACGTCTGTAAGGACAGTGAGCCAGTCCTGATGGTCTCGCAGGTCCCTGCCAAGGAGAAGTCTGAGCAAGTGCTCAAGGCGATCCAAGACAGTGTCGACTTGGAACTCGAAGACATGTCTTTCGACTGTAAGTACCTACTTGACAAAATTGAGAGAAGGGTTAAAGCCAATGATGCATTTAATCTAACCACTCCTATTATTGTAGAGAACCACAAACTACTTGGAATGATTGACACTGGCAGTGCACGCACTTTCATTAGTTTACAATGTTTGAATGAAAATTTAAATATAAATAAAATAAATTCATCAAATGGTTCCTTCACTTTCTTGTCAAAGAATAGTGGTACTAAGCGATTGGGAAAAACTGATCCTTTAAATTTTAAATATGTGAATGGAATTACGTTTAAGCATGCACCCGAGGTGTTAGAGTTTAATACAGGATTTAATTTTGATATTCTTCTTGGAAGAGATATCTTAACAAAAATGAACATCGGATTGATTAATGTTGCATACGATATCGAAGGAGAATATATTCATTCAGATAACGCTAAAGACTATGCCGCTGTGTATGAGAATCTAAATATCGATAAAGAGAAAAAGTTTGAACCGGATAATTCGCCAGCTGGTACGGAAATACAGCGAGCAGAATTTATTCAGTCAATTCAGGCCTCACTGGATGAAAATAAGAAAATCCCAGTCGAGTCCTCTTGTCCTTTATCAGAATCTCTAATTAGATTACCCACAAAAGAAGGCGCCACAGCTTATAGACGTCAATATCCTATTCCCCATGCTCTACGACCAACACTTGATAAACAAGTAAAAGAATGGCTTGAGACAGGCACGATTGTCAAGTCCAAGACCAATACTTCCTTCAACAGTCCTATGTTGCTTGTGCCTAAAAGAAACAAAGCTGGAGAGATTGTGAGTCACCGAGTTTGTCTAGATGTGCGATTATTGAATCAGATCCTACCTCCCACATTCAACTATCCAATTCCTAAAATCCAAACGATATTCCAGAATTTGAGTGGAAAGAAATTTTTCACCACATTGGATTTATCGAATGCCTACCATCGTTTCAAAGTTGCACCTGAAGATGTTCATAAATTAACATTCACTCATTTAGATGGGCAACAATATAGCTTCATTAAAGACTGCTTTGGCTTGAAGATGCTTACATCACAATTTCAACATGTCATGGCAACTTTGTTTGATAAAATTGACTGTGTGCAGAATTTTGTTGATGATTGTATTGTGGCTAGCGAAACATTTGAGCAGCATGTTAAGGATGTAAAAATAGTGATTGATAGATTGACATCGGCGAAGTTGATTCTAAACTCTGATAAATGTGTCTGGTTTCAACATTCAGTGCGATTGCTTGGTTTTGTCGTCAATGAGACAGGCACCAAGGTTGATAAGCGAAAGTTGACAAACGTTGATAAATGGCCTATTCCTAAAACTGCGAAACAAATTCAGCAATTTATGGGTTTGATTAATTACTTCAGAGACTATATTCCCATGATCTCGAAGGTGGCTGAACCTATTTCACGATTAAGTCATGCCAACAATGTAGCTGAGCTATGGACAGATGAGCAGACAAGAAGCTTTAAAGCATTAAAGGACATACTGCATCAGGATTTAATTCTTCATTACGCAGATATGTCACGTGAAATGTATGTGGCCACAGATGCTTCCCTTTATGGAGTAGCCTGCCTGCTTTTTCAGCGCGACGATCAAGGGCGTGATAAGTATATTAGTTTTGTGTCAACTTCCCTGAGCCCATCCCAACGGCGATGGAGCACCACCAAAAGAGAATTGTATGCAGTCGTTTTGGCGCTTGATAAATTCCGTCCATTTCTATGGGGCCGACAGTTCACCATTTTTACTGATCATAAAGCACTCACTTATCTTCACACACAAAAAATTGCTAATCCCATGATAATTGGCTGGATTGAGACACTTCTTGACTTTGATTTTAAGGTGGTCCATATTCCTGGTTTGTTGAATAAACTACCAGACTTGTTGAGTCGCTTGTATCCTCCAGAGGATAGTTACAAGCTGGTGGAGGATGATGGATTGAGAAAAATCAGAACAAAACACTTGCAATCTAAAGATAAAGTTATTATTCGTAAGAAAAAGTACAGTAAGGACAAAGTGCTAAATGTACTTGCTACACAACTCATCGAAAATGTATCAGAGACTTCCGACTATATGTCGCCTCCTGAAGAAAAGCGAAATGGCTTGTTAAAAGAAGCACATTCGTTTGGTCACTTTGGTAGTCAAGCTATGGTGAATGATCTTCACTCTCAAGGATTACATTGGACTAATATATATGAAGAAGCAAAGGAGATTATTCGTTCTTGCTCTGAATGTCAGAAGCACAACATCAGCAAAAGAGGATATCACCCATTGACCAATGTTGTAGCTTTCCGACCATTTGATCATGTTGCAATTGACTTATGCGGTGAATTCCCAGTATCAGAGGATGGTCACACGTATATGCTAGTGTTAGTTGATGTTTGTTCCAGGTATATCATCTTGAGACCATTACCAAACAAAAACTCGACAACAATAGCTAAGGCATTGATAAAAATATTTGGAGATTATGGTTTTCCCAAAGTAATGCAAAGTGACAATGGGTTGGAATTTAGAAATTCTTTAATGGCAAGCCTATCGAAAGAGCTTGGTATTGATCGAAGATATTCAACGGCATATCATCCACAAGGAAATGGTATTGCTGAAGCCAGTGTGAAAGTTGCAGAGAATACTGTACGGAAAATGATGAGAGCGAACAGCAATGACTGGTGTCACTATTTACCAATTGTTCAGCTATGCATAAACAGACATATTCCTCAAAAGACACTGAGTGCACCCTTTTCACTAATGTATGCTCGCAGAGTTAATGTACCTGATGAGTATGGTGATAAAGCAAAATTCTCTCTTCCCAAAAACACGGTAACAATTGATGAATTGGAGAAGCAGATTGAATATATGGATAAAATAATATTCCCTGCCATAAACGAAAGAGTCTTGCGGATCAACGAAGAGTTAAAAAAGAAATACGATCACAAGAACATCTTAATAGACATCCCCAAAGGAACACACGTAATGGTCAGATTACCACATCGTCCAAATAAATTGGCACCAATCTATGAAGGTCCTTATACAGTGGTTCGAAGAAATAAAGGAGGATCGTATGAACTAAAGGATGAGCAAGGAGAATTGTTGCACCGAAATTACACACCCTCAGAACTCAAGATGGTTACCATCGATGAATCTACAATTGAGAATGAGCTCTATGAAGTTGAAGACATTCGCGATCATCGTGGTGCTGCTGGTGAAAGAGAATATCTGGTAAAATGGGTTGGTTATGGTGAACGGGCAAACACATGGCAAATGGCTAACGATTTTACCAATCCCACAATAATACAAAAGTATTGGAAGAAGGTCAGAGAAATCGAACGTTTAGAGAATGAGAGAGCCACGGAATTAGTGAATAAGAGTGCAGCCTCATTAAAGAAAACAGTTCAAATTCCAAGACATGATGGTAAAATAAAAAGGAATCGCATCGAAGAGCACAATGGAAGTAAGCTTCCTACCGCACTGAGTAGAGAAGAAAGAATGTCCAAAAGAAGAGCAACAAAAAATTTGATAAAATAAACACGTAATCCACGGAGCTGAGTTTACAGTGCAGATCTCTTGAAGTATAAAAAAAAAAAAAAATTATGAGCGTAATTGACCCAAATGAAATTGAGCAATTCGACAAATTAATAAATAGTTAAGATGAGATGTTTTGCCGAATCAACAAAAGGTATTGTTGAATCTGGTGGAGGATAATGTTGTAAATGAGTATTGACTACTGCTGTAATTGAGAATAAGTCTGAAGGAAATAATATAAGGCCTCAGCTATTCCAGTCAAAGGTGTCTACCGATTACTTTATTATTTAACACACAGGTTTAGCATGCATGATAGTGATTATATTTCATATGATGATATCACCATAATATGGGATACATCAGTGGATTATTATAAGCATAATTATAACTCATAAACACATTTACTTTCGATGTTAATACTTCATTGGGACTACACACATTTATATAATTAATCATACATTAATTATCCCAAGATCACGTTGCTCTGATTAAGGCTCAGATAGGATCGATTACCTGACCCCAGTCATATAATTTTCCCAATCCAAAACAATATAAATAGCAGTAGTAGTTCAGTGTAGGAACCTGGTCAAACTTTGATACAAAATCTTTCTCAATAAACAAAACCTACACAAGTTCTCACGAATCTTCGTTCCTAATTTCAAATCTTGAATTCTTCCTCTTAAAAACTTCTTCAACTTCAACCACCACAACAAATCGCAAATTTCAAGATTTGTGTCAATTTTTTTATTTCAAATGCCGATATATGAAAATGGCATTAAATGTCCGCCAGTTTTTTAAAAAATCCTAAATATTGAACTTTATGCAGTCACAACTTCGTATATTCACGACAAAAGATCTTTTAAACACTGAGTGATACATAGTATTACTATTTTAAGGGATCGATTCTCGTCATCTGCCATTATAAATGGAAAATCTAGTGTCAATATTTCTCTTTCTCTGCTATTAAATTCAAATACCGCGTTTTTTCAAGACCTAAAAAGTGCTGTCGCAAATGACAAAACTAAACATGTTTTCTGTTTACTTTGTAGAGAAGCTGTTTCTTAACAAAGTAAACAGAAAAGATATTTAGTTTTGTCATTTCCGACAGCACTTTTTAGGTCTTGAAAAAAAATGATTGGAGTACAATTTTTTTTTTGTCGATTATAAGAAAAATACACTATAGAAGATAATAAGGAGTTGTTGTCATTAAAGTGTGACGCAATCTCGCTTGATATTTTACTAAGTATTAGCCCTCTTATGCATATAATGTCTTTCTTCTTCTTTCACTTAATTATATTCCCAGAGTATGACAGCACCAAGTGGTAAGCAATCCCTATTCACTCTTTTTTCAAAGCACAAAAAATGTCTTTATACGAATATTCTGTATCCTTAGGAACCAGATAGAGGTATTTCATGCCGGCAAAAATGTCACAGTTTGTAGCCCAGTAGAATCAAAATGTCGTCCCCCTAAAATCAGCGATTACATATTTAAGAGGATGCTTTTACACTTAGCCGAAGCTATTATCCTGCCTTATATTAAAGTATTCTTATTATGACAAGTATGAATCCTTAGAGATCAGATACGAGTATTTGATACCGAACAGCAATTCACGATTTGTGGTCCAGTAAAAGCAAAACATTTTTTTATATGAGACAAAGTTTTATTATTAAATTGCCCAAAAACAGGTCGTACTTCCTAAAGAAGGAGAGGTAGATGCCTGGGGAGAAATTGATGAACACACAAAGTGTGGGGACGTAAAAGCAAAAAATTGTTTCCTGTCAGAAAAGGTAGTGTCCAATAAGAAAATGCCCCCCCCCCCCCCCCCCTAATATTAGCGCTCCTGAATAGTAGCAAAAACCAAAAACTTGTTTTCAACAGGTTCTTTATTGTCGATTTACCATCACTGTTGCCTCGACTACTCAAAAACCAACTCATTTCCTAGATACGTTCTATGCTGAGGCATATGAAAAACTCTTTTTCCCAGGTAAATGTCCCAAGCGTCGTATTAGTGATCAACAAGCTTATTTTTCTTTATAGAATTTTTTATTACCGAGCAGCCACGTAACTGGAATGCAATCGCTTATCTCCTGCAGTTTGTACAAAAAAATCCTACGATTCCCACTCGAAGCGGAAACAAAGCTCTCGCACAAGATACCAAAATAATGCAAGCTTATGTTATTTCTGGTACAATAGCAGATACAATGCTGCGCCAAATGGATAATGCTTTAAAAGTAAGGCTAGATATTAAGAAAAGGTGTGGAGAAGAGTTAGTAATAAGTTTTTTATAGTCCGCAAAAGGAAAATCAGCTATCAAGGAGTTTTGGAAAAACTCTGCTTCTATTGCTTCAACTTCTATTAGCTATGAAACATCCAAGGTAACTTGTATTATTGTTTTAGTTCGCGATTAAAAACTTAACTTACAACGCCTGTATAGTATCGATTACATGGACAAATGGCCGAAGAGATTGTCAGTAAATGCGGAAAAAGAAATAAAAAGAGACTACGAGCACAGGATAGGGAGTTGATGGAAGGCACGAAACGGAGGCCACACAAGATAATGATGACACTGAAAACACTCCTAACAGTGGTGAAGAAAAAGAAGACGAAAAAGAAGACAACAAAGAAATCGACGATATCTGGGAATCCTGGAAAATGCTATTGAAAACAATAAGGAGATCCACTGTTTTGTCGGCTTTAAGGTAACGTAGTAATTTTGTGTTATTTATTCATGTATTTAATGAAGAAAAAAACATGATTTGATATATAGTCTTGAACCACACAATGTGATTTAGTGTAGTAAACAAGTTCTTCGCAGACCCGTACTCCCTGTAATTTTTTTCCGAGAACTAAACAATCAAGTTCTAAATATCACAATGCAACTAGTTGATTGTGCTCTCAAACCGGTGTTATATGACGCACTCAATACAGTAAGTTGAGGGGAAGCTTACGGACAGCCTGAGAGTATATTACGTCACCTAGTCACGTGCTTGGGCAATAGCCATTTTGGCAGGACAGCCTGGACAGCCTGGAAATATTTTACGACACTTTAGTCACGAGTTTAGACAGATGGTATTTTTTTTGGGGGTAGGGGAGGACTAAATAATTTTTTTTGTTTGTATGGGGCTGTGACAGACTCAGATTTATGAGGACTAAATAAAGTGTTCTAGTCAAATTATTAGCAGAAACTCTGGGATCTTATCTTTTTTCCTATTGAAGATGTCAGCTATATATATACTTTCTGCTTTCTTTTTTTACATCGACGTTATTACTTAATGTTGCTTTGAAATATATGTGGGTTTATTTTCTAGCAACTGTTGGGTTCTTTTTGTGTCTTTTTATACAAGCGAAATAAATAAAAGCTTTTTCTTGCGTTCTCGCACAAGAAGCGCACAGACCACTTTAGAGTAACCTACATATCGCTGTTATAGAAACGTGTACTCCACTTTGAAAGTTATTGCTACACCGATCAAAACCGAACCTTTCCTTACTTCTTTGCTTTTTTGCTTTACTTTGCTTTACTTTGAAAAAGCCATCTTCTCTAGTAATCTAATTCAATATTATTAGCTGTCTACTCTACCTTAGAACAGTTACACAAACCCAATAAAAAGAATATATAGCCATATCACGTTTGCTCTGACGTGGACATCTAAGACTGACAAAAAGCGCAGTCGTAAACTTTAATCGCAGATGAAAAAAATTTCTGTTACTTATAGACCTCCTCCAACGCGCGTCGTTTATTTTCTCCTTGAGCAACAACAGTCCCGGTTTCATAGTGAGGCGTCTCTTGCGACCGTTGCAGGGAGATTCTTCCATGCTACAAGCATCGGAAAGTGAAAGTTGTTACTCGCCAGCTCAGTTAATTCTGAGAAGTCGTGGGGCATGGTCTCTTTTCATTTTTGGAAGGACTACTGTGTACATCGCATCGCCAATGTGGAATCATGATGCTGGGGGGAGGGAGGTCTAACCTGTGGTGAGATGTGCTGGCTCTTCACTGCTAACCTGACTGAACTCTTTAACGGCTGACGGTGAAGCTACTGGTAGTCGAATGAGCTGGACCTTATCACCTAGTGGTAAGTTCTCTGGCGAGTTCGCACCCACATTACTCGGTGACGAGATGTGGGGCTGGATGAACGGGTGCTTTCCGTTGGTTTGCCACCATTCCAGCACCTCCTTCGCTACCAAGTCAGGTTTACGTCCCTGAAGGAGATTGAGCCGCGTAATGCGGGGACAAAGAACTTGGTGTCATGCTTTTTATTCCTTTACTCATGTAAAAGAACATTAAGTGAAATTCAATCAAATAGAATAAAATAGTTTCTTTATGTATGTATATATGTATATCTTTAAATAGATAAATAAAGTCCTTTTTAACTAGTATCGTCTCCAATAAAAAAAACAAGCCTTTAAATATTTCTTTTTACTTGATTGAAGAGGTTAATGTTGTAATTAGGAACCCTCGTTTATAGGAAAAAAAATAATCTAGTCAAATAAATCTGAAAATAAATAAAATAATATTTGTATATTTTGACGTAGTATCGATAACCATAGTTAACTTTAGAGGCTGTTACTTTCTATAAAGTATATATTGAGTAGGTCGTAATAGTCTTTGAAAATGCCGATGTCGTGAATTGTATATTATTGAATTTGGCTAATCCCATGGAAATTGTAAAGAGAATGTATTGGAATGAGAAAAAGAAAGGAAATGCAAGAAAATGAAAAGAAATGAGAGATGAGGAATAAAGAAATGCGTGTTAGAAAGATAGGCAGAAAAGTTGTGGTATAGGTTGAAAACACAAGTAAGGTTTTCATTGTATTTACACAGACTGTACCCCAAAAAAAGCTCAATTTGGATGGATTTATGAAACAATCATCATTATCTACAAATCTTTTTATATTAAAGTTTTTAAAGATAAGTTGACAGGCAAAAGTTAAATTGAGTTATCAGGGAATATATGTCATAAAAGAGGCATATCTTCAAATTGAATTGAATTGAACAAAGTGAAATATTGACTGATGTTTGTTATTACAATTGATTCATTGATATACTTAATTTGTATGTCGATATTTTGTTTTGTTTTGTTTTGTCTAGGTACAAGTGCTCGCAAGGTACTATGATTTTGACATTTCAATACAGTTAGTGTTTCTTTAAACTACTACTAAAATACATTCTTTCAACCTGCTTAAATATAATCTTAACTTAGTAACACTTACTGAAAATTACACTGTATATGATTAAAGTTAATACTATATATTCTATTATAGAGAAGTATGAGCTTTGTGGCCCATTTTATTTTTATATTTTTTAACATAAGAAAAATATATATCTGCTTAAAATTTTGCCAGCATCACAAATGTATTTTTGATAGTATTCTTCACTGTACTATAATCTTCTTCTCCTTTAGATAAGTTAGTAATAATGTTGGCATTACCCTTTCTTGATTTTTTTTATTGTTGAATTTTGCATTAATTAGCCAGGTTCACAGCCCGCCATGAATAGAGTGGCTTGTCAGAAAGGAGTCTTGCCATAAAAAAAAACCCCTTATGGATTCCAGAATAATCTATTGATCATGACAGCAGTTCCTAACCATGCTGGAGCCTGGAGCTCATTAGCATCTCACCTTAGTGATGAAATGTAAGCTCACGATTAATGACACCTGTTGCTGATGCTAATCGATTGACCTGGATCTAACAATACTGCATTCCACGCTCTTCTTCAAAACACATATTAGTCTCGACACTTTAAATACTATGGGCTTTGACCAAATGACACCAGTCCAAGCAGGTGCAATTCCTTTGTTTATGAAGAATAAGGATGTAGTTGTCGAGGTAATATTACTTATATTTATTTTATTTTATTTTATTTTTTTAAAAAAAGAATGGTATTCAAGTGCATATACCAATATATACATCATTGTGTCAACTTAGGCTGTGACAGGTTCAGGAAAAACTCTGGCATTTGTGATCCCAATCATTGAGAAGCTACTGAGAAGAGAAGAACCTTTAAAGAATCATGAGATTGGCGCTGTAGTAATTACTCCTACTCGGTAAGATTATTTAAACTATACTTCGAGCGGGTGTGGATAACTGATGAAGAAAATGAAACATCAGTGAATTGGCTCGACAGATCCACAGCGTGTTTGAGCTGTTTGTAAAAGACCATCCCCGTCAAGACCAGATTGCCCTTGGACTTTTTATTGGTGGGTCTGGAACACTTCCTCAGGATACCGTTACATTCAAACGCGACCAACCTCGGATATTGATTGGCACACCTGGACGCCTGGATGAGCTTTTGTCAAAGTCATCAAAATTGGTCAACACCAAGGAATTAGAAGTACTGGTTATGGATGAAGCCGATCGTTTGTTGGATATGGGTTTCACCCAGCAATTGAATAGTATTATTGCTCAACTACCTAAGCAGCGTCGTACTGGTCTTTTCTCAGCTACAATGACCGATGGTCTTTCTGAACTTGTTCGTGCTGGTCTGCGTAATCCTGTTCGTATTGTTGTCAAGGTTGAGGATCTGAACAACAAGGGTAGTGTCCAACGTACACCAGCAAGTCTTGAAATTGACTATGTTGTTTGTGAACCCGAACAAAAGTTGACTCAGATGATTCGCATTCTCGAGGCTGAACTGGCAGACCCCGAAGGTGCACGTAAATTTATTGTGTACTTTGCTACCTGTGCATGTGTCGATTACTTTTTTAAGCTTCTCTCGCGTATTCCCCAGCTCAAGCCTTTCTCACTTCATTCACTCCATGGACAAATGGACCCTAAAAAACGAACAGCTACTTACACCGCTTATACTCAGCTCCCATCAGCCGTACCAGCCATTCTATTTTGTACAGATGTAGCCTCTCGAGGTCTCGATATTCCCGAGGTAGATTATGTTATTCAGGTGGATCCTCCTCAAGATCCCAAGGCATTTACTCACAGAGCTGGACGTGCAGCCCGTGCAGGTCGCAAGGGTAAGGCTACTGTCCTCTTGGTTCGTGGTAGAGAAGAAGTGTATGTCGACTTTTTGAGACTTCGCAAGGTTCCATTGGAAAGAGCACCATACCGTCTTGCGGATGGCACACTTGTTGACAACAGTTCAAAGGCGGATTCTGAAAAGGAGCCAAGCGTGGCAGTAGACGATCCTTCAGTAACCGAAATTATTCGCACAATGCGAGAGGTTGCAAAGACAGACAGAGATATTTATGATCGTGCTATGAAGGCATTTGTGTCGTGGGCACGCGCTTACTCAAAGCATGAAGCAAGCTATATCTTCAGAATTAAGGATGCAGAGCTTGCTCGTGTTGCCACTGGGTATGCACTCTTAAAGCTTCCCAAGATGCCTGAGCTGAGAGATAAAAAAGACCTTCAATTTGAATACCAAGATATCGACGTAAGCGAAATTATTAAAACCTCGATGCAAGAAAGAACGAAAGAAAAAGCTTATATGTATTTAATATTTACAGTGGGATAACTACAAGTATCTTGACAAGCAAAAGGAAGAGAAGCGTGTACGCGAGATGCTTGAATACAAAGCAACTGCCCAAGCACGTGCTGAAGCACAAGCAAAGGCTCAAAAGCCTAAAAAGTAAGTACATTGCGTTTTAGATTGAAAATAACTACGTTTATTAAACATTTTTTTATGTATTTAGATCTTCTGCTTGGTCTGAAAAACAGGATGCCAAGGATCGTAAGCTTGATCGTAAGGCCAAGAAGGAGCGTAAGCGTGAATTTTTGAAGCGTTCTTTGGAAGAGGCCAAGATAAAGAAGGAAGAATCTGAAGACGATTGGGATGAATTGGCCAATGAAGAACGTCTTGCTAAGAAGGTTAAACGTGGCCGTATGGATAGAAACGAGTTTGATAAGATGGTTATGGGTGATGATGAAGATTTTGATTTGGGGATGGATCTTCCGGAATAAGCATATTCAATATGTTTGTGTGCATTATTTTCCTCCTTGCTTGCTTGTTTGTTTGTTTGTGTTTTGTATGTGTATTATTTATAAACTATTTGTATTTCTCTTCTTATTTACCACACAGGATTGGCCATGACATGATCAATAATTTGATTAAATACTTCTTTTTGCTCCTTCATACTTTCAGCAGACTTGAGGGCAATACCCAACATTATATGACGCTTTTCGTGGGGGTTCATAGCCGCCACGGCCTGAGTGATCGAAGCTGCATACAGACAGTAAAGCTCACACTGCGGGCCTGTCGACTCTCCCAAGAGAACATGACTTGTTGTAGGCACAGCAGCAGGATTGCTGGCCAAATGAGGGGGGATGTCAAATGTAGTTTGAATCTATCATCAACATATATTAGTACTCATTGTCATTCCTACGATTTTCTTTTGGACTAACCAAAGTGCCAATCTTGCCATACTGCGAAATGACAATAAAAATCTTGTCTTGATAACCTGTTAACATAATTTCAGTGTGATGGCCATTGATTGTGCAGGCTGATTGCCGGTTCTGTAAAGGAAACTTTTCGTCTGGAGTTGACATGATAGATATAAGTTAAAGTCTTTCTGTCGCGTCCTCCATTCCCGGCGTATTGCACTTCTTCTTCCTTTTTGTTAGAAACAAGTCACACACTCCCGTGCCCTTTCAAATGGTTTATATTTCATCTTCAACTCTTTTTTATATATAGATATATATATTATTGTTAAAACCTTAACTTCTTCTCTCTCGTATATTATAATTTTATACACAAAATATTTACAATGACTCGGTTAACACAAGCACTTGGAATTTCATTTGGTGCATTAACTGGAGGAGCAGTTGCTCTTTATGTCTTGGAAATGTACAAAATCAAAGCCAAGGTCTGTTCTACAGTCAAGCATTAGAGTCGTTTTATACGAATTTTATTTTTGTTTCACTAAAATTATCTCGACTTTTATTGTTCTCTCCAAACTCATCCAGGAACAAAGACTGGCCCATTTACTTGATTCGGCTGTAGAATTTCAAGATTAGACAAGAATGGATGCCGAGACCTTGAAGAGTATACACACATGTGTATTCGCTCTAGCTCATTCCTCATCGTACAACATTTTTCTATGCTTTATTGGCCTTGATTGTCTCTCAACAACATGCTTCCTCCCCTCTGTAGTTTACAGTTGCTCTTTTTCTTTTACCAGCATAGTTGCTCTTTCTCTTTTCTTTTAAAAAAATTCGGCCCATTATTCCCTAACAGATAAATCTGTAAACATGGCCCTGTCCTTGAAAGATTCGGTAACCCAAAGCACCAGCCAACATCAATTCAGTTAAAACTCAGACACATTTGTTTGACTGACTTGTCCCAACCCCCTTTTCTTTCTTTTTTCTATTATTAAATCAAATTTTCTTTTAATAAATCTAATGGCACGTACTTGTTTTTCTTTACTGTCAAGCTTAAAGAGTGTGTTAATTTGTGGAACGTTACTTACTTAACTTATTGTTTTAGGCTACCTTGAAAACCCTGAAAGTTTGTGAGGATCCAAATTTCTTGCTACGAATTGAGATTGACAGTATGCATAATATTCACTGAAATATCATATGGACTACTAGCTAGAGATTGATTTTTGTAAACCAAGATATTGTGTTATAATATTCATTCCCTAAGTATATCTTCTGCACTACTGTTTATCTCGTAATAAAAATTTAGATTACATCATATTTACTTTCAAGTCAATCCCATCAATAGACACAAATATATTTAGATATATAGAGACACTTCTTTCTCATTTACATTTGCATAAATAATAAGGCTTTATATAAAAGCCAGTAAAAAAAAGAATATTATTTACCCTTTCAGGACAAAGATAAAGAGACAAAAACAAAGATATGCCATTTCCAAATAATCCTGAACCTAATCTCGAAAATAAAATTCAAATCAATAAACAATTTGCTGAATCTGCTGTGTCGGTGTGTTTTTGTAGTCAAAGTTGACGAAAATATTCAAGTTAATAGATACTATAAAGAATATGGGCAAATATATAATGGTCTTGAACGATAATGGAATAAAATATTGACCCTTTTCACTCTACAAAATCTTCAAATAAAATTAAATCAGCATTTATATTACCCACAAATAAATTCAGTTCTTTCTTTCCCTCCCCTCCCCCTTTTTTTTTGTTGCCATAGTGACTGAGTATTTTTTTTTTTAGTTTTTAAAACCAGACAGAAAACCAAAAAATTGTGTGCACAAACGCAGAAATTCTTTGAGCTGTCAACGTTAAATTGATAATGTACAGAGCCAGTTGTCATTTAGGACGCACAGTGCAATGGCACCCACAGCGACATTTAAGCAACTGTTTACGAACAATGGCCTCAAAGTAAATGCTATTCTTTTCTTACTCTTCATTTATCGACCAAAATATTGTACATTCGAATTTACTTTTACCTTGTTTATTTTTTCATTCTATTTACAGGTCAGGGTTAAGAGAAGAAAAAACCAAACAATTAATGAGTGAGATCCGTCAATTGGAATACAAAGTTGAACGAAGCATTCAAATGGTAACATGCATCCAATTAATATTTCTTTTATTGTGAACTACAGATTTAGTTAGATTTGGTCAAATTAGATCTAGTATTTTGCGTTTGTGATGTTTTGATCCCGGCAACACATGTATAACACCTCTTATTTTTTTTAAAAAAAATAATTGCTTATATATATATATACAGGAAAAGGCACCGAATAAAAATATTGACGAGAACGATGTATTGGCTTTGTGCGAAGAAATGTCTGCAAAAAAGAAGATTCAACCAAAAATCCGCCCAGATTATCTCCAAAATTTGCGAATCAAGTTCCTTGACACTCGTCCATTAAAGCAAAAATCTATTGCTGCCATTACACCAGCAATAGAAGAGCCATTGGATAAAACATCTAATACCAAAGACACTGAACCAGTACCAACACCTGTAGCAGGATCAGCTTCAGAAGAAGAGATAAATCTTGTTGCGCAGCCAAAAAATCAAGCCCTGGAGAATGTTCAGATTAATGATTTCCAAGATCTTATGTATGCCAATGTATGTATACCAACAAGCGCAATATTAATTCAAGACTGTTTGGTGATAATATTTATTTTATTCTATTAGGCACTTGCTGGACGACCTGATGAAGCAGAACAAGCATTGCAATTAATGGAGGTAAGTTTAAAGATACATTTATTTTTACTTTTTAAAAAAAAGATGATATATCTTGTATTGAAACAATTGTAATTTGTAGAAATATCAACTGAAACCTAATGTACAATGTTATACCCATATTATGGATGCATATGCCAATGTCCGGGATCTGGATAATGTGGTTGCAACTTTCAAACGGATGCAAAAAAATAATCTTGAGCCAGATATATATTCTTACTCAACTCTTATCAAAGCATTCGCCCAGGACTTAAGATTAGACGATGCACTGGTAGTATTTGAGAAACTGAAGAAGTCTGATATAATTCCAACCCAGGTATGTATGATCTTATTAATTTCTATAGTGAAACTTTCTTATATACTTACTTATGTATTACTTATATATGCGGGTTCCATAGCCCGTATTTTCCAGTTTGATCAGTGGATTTATAAAGGCAAATAAAATTGAAAGAGCATGGGATTTGTTTGATGAGATGAGACTATCATACCATCAAGCAGACGAAGTTTCCTTTACAATGATGTTACATGCTTGTGCAAAGGTATTTATTTGATAAAGTCACATATATATATATATGTTTATTTGTTTGTTTATATGTACGTATATAATATCAGCACTATTGACACTGCATTTACAGAGAGGAGAAGTTGAGCGCGCATTGAACCTTTTTGAGGATATGGCAAACTATAATCTTTATCCTACAGACGTCACTTTTAACGTATTGATCCACGCATGCGCCAAAAGACCCGATTACTTCGATGAGGCATTCAGTATGTTCCACCAAATGCAAGATGTCTATGGATTCCAGCCCGATCGAATTACGTACAACACTTTGATAACTGCCTGTGCTCGTAAGAGAAATCTTGCTAGAGCACGTTCGATTTTCAAGTTGATGTTGGAGGACACCAAAACGGCTGGCACTGCTAGTATGTTAATCCCTGATCGATACACCTACACCAATTTATTCTGGTGTTATGCCAATTACACCCCACCATCCACAAAAAACAAGAACGTCGAGACCACAGATGTGTCAGCTGAGGATGGTGCTTTGGTCGAGACTTGTGTATTATTGCCAAACATGCCAGACAAACGGTCCAAGGTGGTCGAGGAAAGCAAGTTGATCTTCAATCATTTGCTGAATGAGGGCGTACCCCTAACCACCTCTCTCCTGACATCCTACATGAGTGTTCATATTGCCCAAAAACAGACGCGTGAGGTTGTGTCGATCTATGATGGTCTGTTTACTCAGCATGGAATTGAGCGAGATCTGTTTACATATCAACGCATGCTTAATTTCTGTTATGCGACAAAGGATATTGAATTGTCGTGGAAAGTGTGGGAAGACTACCAGGATTTTTTGGAGAACCGAAGACTAGCCTATCAAACGCAGGCGAATGATAATAGTTTACTCAAACAGAAGAAGCTAGAGGCGACTCGATTAGAAGACGAGCTTACTTCTGGCTGGACAGAAGAAAATCAAAAGGATATGGTACTTTTGATGGCCAATACCCTAGCAAGGTACATACATATATATATACAAAAAATAGATTAGCCTTTGAGTTACTTACTTTCTTATTTGATTAATTGGGATTTGATTAGGTCAAATGAGTTGAAGCATTCGATTGCCCTTCTTTCAAATCACTTCAAGACCCCTGCAGACAACAAGTATAAACCTAGACTCGCGGAACTTCAGACAGTTTATGTGAAATGTGTCCAACTGGAAGATGAAGAGTCTAAGAAGGAACTGGTTGATTTATGTCGTAAAAATAATCAAAGATACTAAGTAGCCCAAATGAAACTCACGACTACGGTTAAACGACACTAAGAGAAGGATACAACACGCAAGTATCTCGACCTTTTAGTATTCTAATCCTTTTTATTTTCTTTATTTCAATTGTAGTATATTATAGACAATTTATTCTCCCCACATCTCACACAAACCCAAAGAAATCAACGCCCTTTTCCTTTTCTTCTTTTTCTTTTTCTTCTTTATGTATAGAAATGAATTTGACCTTGTAAAATAATACTAAATGCTATTAAAACAAATACTTGCTTAAACAGATGGCAAAAGCCAACTCCCAACAGTCATGCACATATATATATATATGTGTGTGTGTAGTTATGAGGCGGATTTGGACGTGTGAGAATGAGTTATGCGTTGAATGTGCTGTTGATAGCCAGGGTCTTCTCTGTGTCGCTTTTGAAATAAACCGAATGTTATATTGGAAAACACCAAGGATCCTATTGTGAATATGGTAAAGAATATCTACAAATAATATATTTAAATATTTAATCAGTAATAAAAAGTAATTGTGTGTATATACCAATGCTTTGTATGAAATTGGTTCCATAAAGCTATTGATGATTTCGGCGATAGTTTCTGCAGAAACCTTTGTCCTAAATATCGTTGGTATTGGTGTTAGTAAATTTATAGTCGATGGATTTATATGCTTACCTTGCAATCTCTCTTTCATCTCTCTCCATACAAGTAAAGTCACAAAATCATTAAGGACATTATAGAATATGAAATAGTAATTATTTAACTTTCTAATCATACGAATAAAACATAATAAAGGATATGATTCCCATCGATTGCAACTGCTCTCTAGTGCAGGCACGCGTGTGGTTGGATCGCACTGGTTAATACGATAGTTCCTTTGACATGACTCTATTTCCTGTAGCAAAACTTATTTTACCAACACATCAATTAATTCAAAAATAGTGTAAGTAATGGGATAGTAATAAACAACTAAATATATATATATACATATATGTATGTTACCTCTACTGTGTTCTTTTGCTTTCAAGATAAAATCTGTTCTTATGTTTATTATCATCTGTGTAATAATGTAGATAACAAGTCCGATAATAATACAGTTGAATAGTGTCTGTACATATGTGAGAACCGTCATTGAATAATAAGCATGGCGCCAGTAATTTTCACTTGGATGTTGATTCTGCTGTTCTGATTGGTAATGTACATGTTCTTGAGTGATCTGATTAGGTGTAGCTTTTGTTTTTGTCAGCGAAAGAAAAGTTGATGTTGATTTCGCTTGGATGTGCCGGGTAGATTCATCGTCTGGTTTTGTCAATCCAAAACGGAAAATGTCTACAGTTTGTGTATTTTGTATGGTCGGCAAAGATGGAGTGAAATTAAATGAATTGCTGATGTGATTGTCTTGTCTTTTTCGTTTGCCTATATGACGACCTTGGTTGTTCATTATTTTATATATATATCTATATCTATATTATTATTATTTTTGACTGTTGGCAAGTGCAGTTTTAATGCGGGGTCACAAAAAGGATGTTGGTGAGTTTGAGGTTTCCAAATCAAGCGGATGCCTTGATTTGTGACTCTCGTTGCCTGCGAGTCAAAAGCGACAAAGGTTTAGTTTTGTGTGAATTGGGTTCCTCGTAAAATGAGTCACTTGTCTTTGTGCCAAGAAATTATTGATTCAATTGAATATATACTTCTTTCTATTTAAACAACAAGAGCAGAAACAGCATAAGACTTTGAAAGAACTTCCTTATTACAATTTTTGTTTTAGATATGCTTATTAATATTATAATTATTTTTTGTTTGGTTTAGAAAGTCAACTTTCATATTTTTGATTTTTTGATTAAACAAAATGAACAAGTACAAAAAGCTCAATGAAGAAATTCAATTTACACTACAATTCATTCTAGCTTTGTACTTGTCTTTTCTTCTTCCCTCTCTTCCTTCCTTCCTTCCTTCTATTTTTAAAGAAAAGGTGTATGTCCCTTGTACAGATAGGTATTTATGTTTGTTTTTGTATATACTATTATTATTACTATTACTTTTTAACACATTTCTTCCAGGGCACAGCAGATACAGAGACCGGCAAGACTATTATAATTTTATATTAGAAATCAATATATATATACAAAAACGCATATACATATATCCAAATCAAAATATAAGTTACTTACCATCCCCAACAACAACTGGAATCGTCCTGCTTCTGTGGCTGCTGCTGAATATAGACGGTCTGAGGAGGGGGTCTAAAGAATGACAAATGCCAATTTAGAATTGGAATGGACTTAAATGGAATGACTGTTTGACTAAATAAAATGATATTTACGCTGGCTGGTATCCGCCCTGGGGAGCACCATAGGCACCTGGAGGAGGAGCACCATAAGCGCCTGGAGGAGGAGCACCGTATTCACCGCCTTGGGGAGGAGCGTAGTATTGGCCTTGGGGAGGAGGAGGATATTGATAGTTGGAAGACATGAAAAACAAGCGAAAGAAGGCGACACCGATAGGAAAAAAGGAAAAAGCCAAAAATACATTTGATTTTATTTTAGCACACGCCAATTTTGTACCCCCTGTGTGAGCCACAGTGTAGTCACTTTAATCAGGCTTTGCATTGCCTTCCTCTCATTCCAGCGTACAACAAAACGATTCTGTCTTTCTTTTATATATATATATATGCACATTTATTTTACTTTATTTTATCTTTCAAGTGATTGATCTGATTTATAACAAAAATTGCCAATTATAGGCTTGTTACTAAAAATGATTGTGTATACAAGGCTTGTGTATACATATATATATATAATATATTTGTGCGTCGGTGTGTCTGCATGTACAAACAAGGTAACTGTGATTATAACTGATTTCTATAATTCATCTATAGGGATATCTTGGCAAACTTGATTGATATTATTTTCTCATTACAAAACTTTCGCTTGGTTGTGTTTTTGCTTTTTGCTTTCAAAATGTACCAAGATGTACACAGAGTTATTGCTATTAGTCAATATTCAGTCTACAAACAAACAACAAACCAAACTGCCCATCCACACTTACACACATAAGAAAAATTCTCCTTTATCGCCCTTATCCCTCTTTTGAACCCCCTTTAATTTTTCCTTTAATATTTTATTTTATCTTGGAGGGGAGGTGAAAGAAGGGAGGGGGCGGGACCTTGTTTGGTCGAGATTGTCCCAGCCCTCGATTGGACTCAAGGTAATTTATATAACTTACATTGGATTTGTGGCTAAAGGTAACCCCATCGATTATGACGTAGTCATTGGTTGAACACACAATATGTTTGAGCCACACCTCTGTGGCAAACCATCCTTTTTTTGGTTTCTACAAGCACAGCCATCTAGATACCAAAAGCGTAACTGAAAAACAAAATATATTTCTTATCATCTATGTATTTTTTTTTGTCTTTTTCGATTACATCTTTTTGTACCTGTAATTAAGGTGAATTATATATATATATATAGATTTGTATCTATGTATCTATGTATCTATGTATGGTATTGGCTTTCTTTCTCTTTCTTTATTTTTTTTATATAGTTATTTAAGATCAACCTTTAAATAAGGTTAACTTTAAGGCCATGGAAAATAAAAAGCCTTTTAACATTATAGACAATATATATATATTATTATTATTCTCTTTAACTAAAGTTATCTAAAGTCATGAATGGTAAACATCTGATGCACTATAGTCATGCACCAAGAGTCCTACAGTACTACATTCGTGTACCGTTTGTACCGACTTCCGGTAATGTGTTTAGCAGCGGCGTGTATTTGGTGTGTATGTCGGGTTATACGGAGAGATTTTCGGATTACAAGAAGATAATTTACAAGAAGTTTGATAAAGTATGCCGATCTTCTTAAATATAATTTTCAGAAAGAAATAAGATGTCGTGTTTCCAACTTTCATACATATACTTGATGATACAAAAGGGAGCTCAATTTGTAAAAGAATAAATAGCAAAACTTCTTGGTTGAAGCCTCTGGTGCTTTTTGATAAACATTAACTTTATTCCAATTATATATATATATATATATATATAAAACATTGACTAATAATCAAATTAACAAGATCACCAACCAAGCCTAAAAAGCCAAATAGGGTCAATAGATCCTTTTCTGTTCGATAATTCAGATATTTTAAAGGCTTATATACTTATACTTTTATAAGTATATACTTCAAGCCCTTTTTTTCTTTTTCTATAAAAGAGAAAAGCAAACAAACAGCTTGACTCACACGCACATATACACAAACATACTCACACTCACGAATTATTTACACTCAAGGTTGGTACGTTTGTTAAACGAAATCCCTTGTATAACAAATGAGGTTAAATAAATAGTCAAAAGCAGATTGAGTGACACATTTTCGGTCACTATTACTGTTCACCATATTCAAAGGACTCGGGTCTTTATCAATAATATACATATATTCAAGCTATATATGCTCAAAGAAACAAAAGTAAACGAATTAATAATCGTTGACAAAACTCTAATAATAAAAAGATAAATATATTGAAAGGATTACAAACGGTTTGCGTAGAAACCACATCAGGGCAAAAACTATTTTGCTTAAAATATACAGTTGATTTTACTGGCAAATACCGTGTGTTGTCATGGCAATATGATTATGACATTACTTTATTGCAGTATTTGTAAAACGGAAAAGAAAGAGAAAAGGGTTTGATGTTGGCAAGTTTATTATCTAATTATACTTGCTTATTTGTTGATAGCCGAAAGGTTTATTTTATTAGGCTGGCAGCTCCTATCGACCATGGCTTCTATTAAGAGATACTTACATATAATATGCTTATATTGAAGTTAGATAGTTTATAGAACTAGATATTTTTCAACTAAAGACAAATATTGAACTCATCATAACCCAGTTCTCAAGAATAAATAGAGTGCACCCCCACAAAACCCTTTCATATTTTTGCTTCCACAAAGAAACACTGGTCTCACAAATAAAACTTGATTTGGAAAGCCGTTGATTTGCAGAAAAATGCGAGACCAATAATAAACCAATAATTATATATAGAATTTTTGTTTTCAAAAGTGATTGTAAGACAATGATCATTAATGGTGTATCATAAAGAGTCTCATGTACTGTATTTTCACTATTATTGCCATTATTATTTTTGGTCTGTATGGATCTTGCCATGAGTTTAAATTTATTAAAAGACTATGAAAATATAGGATACAAGAGAAATTAAAGTAGAAAAACTGATGATATCCTCAAATGACAAGCGTTGTTAAACCAAATACTGAAAGTATCTGCAAAAGTTATGTTTCTCACTGATGTTTAATAAATGTAGTTAAGCTATATCGACAACTGAATAAAGTAAATAAAAATAAAAATAAAGGCCCATATTTTAGTTATATTTGATAAGAACATTTATATAACCATACAGTTTAACATAGTCTTCTTCACTGGTAATTTTATTAAACATTTGTATTTTATCTATAATAAAACAAAAATGCAAGGTATATATTTCCAAGATTGTCAGCATCATAGTGAGCATAAATTTTGGGAGACTTATCTCATAATCTTTACATTCGATCATTCGATTAAAAGAGAAACATCACAGATATATATAAACAAGTAAAACGCAATGTTTATTTTAATTAGTGCAGTTGCTCTTAAAGAAGTGTGAAATGCAAAGAGAGAAATAGCGATAGACTAATTTTATAGCTAAAGATAAAATTCAATAAATGAATTTTTTCTTCTTTAGACATACAAGTTCACTGGCAAGATTATACTGCATTCTTAAATTGACAATCTTTTTAGTCTGTTCATATTTTGCCTTCTCTATAATTTTAAAAAGGTAATTGGCTCAAATCCCAAAATTCCTGATTTTAAATAGAATGCACTATATGCCTTTATATTAAAGGATAGCAATAATCTTGGCAACCATCTTAAGACGGTACTGCAAAAGAGATATAGAAAGCAAAAATTAGAATATATATATATTCTTCTTTTTTGTTACAAAATTTAAACTTGTATCATCCAAATCTACCAAAGTATAGAGATATGTAAGTGACCTTGTTTTAATTTATCTTCTAAAGTAATATGACAGTAAAATGGGCTTTTCATTGAAATTCATTAATATTTACTTGGGACCAATGTAAACTAACAACTGAGCACAGTAATGAGAGAAAGGTATATTTTATTCCAATACACACTCACATACGTCCGTACGTACATACGCGCATACGTACATACATGCATGCATACAAAAAGAGAAGATGCGTATTGTTTTCTTTTTCTTTAGGTATTCTGGTGCTTTAAATATAACCTATATTTATCTAAGGACACACCAAGCTGTACTCGCTGAGCCTCCATACATTGTGCAGCTAGTTCGTACGAGATATCTTCTTGTTCTGCTTTTGATTTTATGGCATCGTATATTTCTTTTCTTCTGCTAAAGTATCTGGATTCTTTTCTGTCCTGCCTCCACCTTGTACCATATTTTGCTTCTAAAGATTGTATTGATGGACTGTCGTTGAAACCAGATGCGTATTCTCTCCAAAGGTCAGTGACAGTGACAATTATTCTATTCATTTTATATTGAGGAAATGATGATTTCATAGCGACACTGGATGGTATATTTGCTGTCGATGGAATATCGACAGCCGCACTCTGTTGAAGATGTACGGCTGATGGTGGGGTTTGTGTTGATGGGTTTGGTGTTTGTGGGTTTGCTGAAGAGGGATTGAAAAGGGCGTTTCCAAGAGAAAAGAAATCGGTAAAATATCTGTTGAGCTTCTGGAGCTCTGTCGTTTGACGGGATTGTGTAGCCTGAAGCAAACGTATTGAGGCATGCACGGACTCAAAGCCTGCGTTCATGGTGGTCATCACCTCCTGTAACATCATTTCTATCCTTTTGTTTGAAGTCAAAATGTCTTCACGACTTATGTCACAAGGTCTGGATATATTTTGTGCCTGATTAACCGTATTTCGTATAAAATCTAGTCGTTCGCTATTCTGAATCGAGGAACTATTGTCAGTGACTGGTTGAGGTTCTTGGGAGCTTATAGCTGTGTTGTTGGTTTGGTTATTCATGTCCTTGATTTGTTAAGGTGGGAAAACAAGAGCTAGATTAGAATAACCAGCATACTTTAGTAAGAAGTCTAAAATAAATTGTTTGGTGTCAAGAAATTTTGTAGACCACAAATCAACTTACAATTATTTACGAGAAGTTTTGGTTTGTTACAAAGAGGGGATTTTTGTTTTTTTGGAGTTTGTATACATTTATATATGTATACATGTATAGGCTGAGATTTCCTTCTAATAAGTATATATATATATAATTTTTTTATATAATTAGATACTTCACCGCTTGTATGGCTTAATATATACAGCAATTATTATAAGCCATTGAGGTGAACTAATCATATTTTGAATAGAATGGACTGTGTGGAACAACTATAGAAACTTGTAGGTATACAACAAAATAGCCTTAATATTTTATACCATAAATATAAGTTAACTCTCACTGTTAATTGGGTCAATCTGGGTCTCGCGATCGATTGAGTCTGGGAAGCGAAATTATGAGGCTAATTCTCTATCTATCCTTTATTTTCTTTCTTTCTATTGGGATTTAAATACATTATCCACAAAATCACTGCCAAAATATTTAAATACCAGCAATAAAATTTACCATATTTTGTAATGAGTCTCGGAGGTTCTGAAAAAATATATAATACATTTAAAGGATGAAATCCGGTATTTAACCTTTTGCCGTGTACAAATTGTAGATGAGTTTATAACCATTTTTCTTTTTTCCTTTTTCCCTCTGTTTTCCTTCTTCTTTCCTTCTTCTTATTAGCACTAGCGTTACTATTCTCTCACCTTCTCCTTCGTATTCTGGAGTATATCTACTACCATGGGCCTTGTAGAAAAAATGCGACATAAACTTGACCTCCACAAACTGGACCAATACACGAAACGTCGACGATCACAGTCCCAGTTTGAGTCGCACGATAGAAGCTATTATGAGGCAGCCTACCACGATGGCGATTATCTCGACCCTACAGACTCCAATAGTCCTACTTCCAACCGAAATCACCCTTCACTTTCTTATAAATCGAATGGGTGGTCTATTACAGATGTTTTCAAGAAGAACAAGAGTACGGCTGGTCCAAATATTCACTTGAAAACATCCGAAACATATACCTATGGCAGACCTTCCTGATTACAATATATATATATATAACTTGTGCTGTATAAATACCAACAGACAAATATCTTGCTTTTGAATAGAGAGATACACATTTATAAAACGATAATAAAAAATCCCTTGTTGACGTCGTTTCTATCCATCATATTCTAGCCTTGTTTCAACCAAGTACTAAAATGAGAATAAGAAAGTACATAAAAGGAAATTTGACCTGAAGTGTGTAGATAAACAACAAGAAAACAGTTAAACCAATAAACAAGTGGGATGACCCATTGAATTTAACCATGGGTAGCATAAGCTTATTTTGTGCTCTCAAGTTTTTTATTTAAAAAAAAATTGGTTTTATTATTATTATAAAAAAAGGGGGGGTTCATTAAAAACAATAATATTTTCACTGGTCTGGTTTACTTTGATCAAATCATTGTCACTGTTGTTTCCATGGCGTGCAATCGTTGTCGCATCTGGTCAGTGCCAAAGTTTTCAACCTATATCGGGTGATAATATTATTAATTGCACGACAGATGATGAAAGAAAGCAAAAAAAAGGCACAATTTCAGAGATCACCATAAATCTGTTTGTAAGTACTTACGTTGCGACGAATCAAAGGGTACAGATCCCAGTCAAATTGCTGTTCAACTACAGGGGCAGGCTGGAAAGGAGGGACATATGGATGAGGTTGTCGATTTTGCTCATATCCAAATGTCTCGTTTGTCATAACGTTCATTGCTGCGAAATCCATCTGAGCCTCTCTACGAGGTGGTTTGGTAGGTTGATGAGTGTGTCCATTACCCAGACGTCTGGATAGACTCGGATAAAGATCGTAGTTTGGTGCAGCAATGCTGTAGTGCTCATAATATGCATGAGGCGTCGTCTCAAAATGGACATTAGACCGACGGCCAGCTTGAAAGTATGACATGAGAGAATATAATATAATATAATATAATATAATATAATATATATTTTAATTGATTATATATTATATTATAATATACTTTATACTTTTAGTATATTATACTAGATCTTGACGATGAAAAAAGGTTGAACTTTTTCAAAGAAGCAGACTCCACAAAAAGGAAGAAAGGCAAAAGGAAGAGGTAAAGAGAAATCGATGGATAAAAAAATAAATCAAACCCCTATAAAAAGGGTCCCCAACTCCCCCCTTCTTTTTATTTTTATAGACGATTAAGAATCAAAATCCTAAATATTCAGTCTTCCTGGTTGACGTCGGTTGACTTTACAAGTGGCAGCGGGTGACGCATCAGCGTTGTAGAAATAAACTATTAAAAGAGCCAAGAAGGATTCATCATGAGTCTAACCGCACAACCATTAAAGATGGATAAGATAAACCAAGTTTCCTTATTAATATAAAGTATATTCATTTAATAAAATGTAAGATCAAGAGCAACACACAAGGCGTTAAAAAATTAGGACAAAAACATTATGCCTTTTGCGAAATTAAGTCATACGTATCTAGTCATTTCAGAAAGTAAAAAAAGAAAAGAAAAAAAAGTCGTGGCTTCAGAATTTGATGTCATGCAAAAATGTTTCTGTCCAGAAATGAAGTCGGGATCACATGATATGGGCTTCGTTTCTTTCTGCTTGTCCAATAAATATTTCTCGGCATTTTATTTTTATAAAAAAGGGAAAGCTATACTGTATTTTTCGGCCCGTTAATCTTTCTTGATTACAGTTTATTCTACAGACATTCGAAATGAACATACAATTTCTTTAAGAAGATGGACATATTGATGAGAAGCTATTCGCTATCCAAACAATAACTTCTCATACCCAATTCCTGATCATTAAACCTCCGGAAAGATATTCTAATCACGTAATGCATCCTGTTTTGGATGAAACGAACAATAAAGTTGATATGGAGTTATGTAACAAGACGCTATACATTTTACTCTGACGATGAGAAAACGTGATTTCTTTTTTCATTTATTTTTTAGCAAATGCCTAAGTGCTTCTGCTGCTGTAAGACAACTAGATATTCATATTCGCACAGTTCAGAAATGGGTCAAATGCTATTATGAAGATCCTGAAAGCATTTTTGAAAAAAAAAGAAAAAGAAAATCAGGACGACGTCGTATTCTTGGAGATAAGCATAAGGATTCTCTTTTGCGTTACATCGATAAGTATCTTTCAGCTGCTTTAACTAAAGTAGTTGAGTGTTTATTACAAAAATTTGGAGATCTCAATGTTTCTCGTAATACTGTTTATAACTTCACGACAATTCAATACAAACTATCTATTAAACAGGCAGAGCTCCAACCTGTAAAAAGAAACAGCAAAAAAAAAGATTCAGGAAATGTACGACTGGGTCCAAAAGTGGCAACAGACTGGCCTAGACTTCACAACAGACTGCATCTTTCTTGATGAGTCCACCTTTCACATCAATTTGAAACGAGGCATAGCTTGGACAAAAAAGAGAATTCCTGCAATAGTTACAATGCCTACGACTAAATTTAACGCAACGTCAATTTTAGGTGCAATATCTACTACTGGCTTGATTAATGCTAGTTTAAGAGCTCCAAAGTATATAAAAAATTAGACGTGAAATTGGTGGTTATAGCACAGAAACAGTGACAGGTCATTATCTGAGCTTCTTAAAGGCTACTCTTGATGAAAGGGACAAGTACCCAGAAATGAAGGGAAATTACCTTGCCATGGATAATGCTCTTATCCATAGCTCAGCTGATATAAGAAAGTCCATCCAATCAAGAGGATATTGATATGTGTATCTTCCTCCGTATTTTCCTGAATTGAAGCCAATTGAGCAGTCTTGGTCTATTGTCAAGAGAAAAGTGAAGCGACATCAGTTTCTGAAAAAAGAAAACCTAATGACTAGAATCAGTGAGGCATGTGATAACTTATATATAAGCGATTTCAAAGGGTTTTTTTCTTTCTCATTCTGCCAAATGTTTTGGTAAGTTTCTCAACAAGGAGAGACTGTAAAATCTAAAATAAAATAAAAAAACCCCCGGAAATCTTCCTAAGAACCCACAGCCATTTCCTTTAGAACCTTCATCGCCTGATTTTAAAGCCATATACGGCACCGTTTCTCTTATCAAAGAAGGGTAATACTTGGCAAATACATATGCCGATCATTCATATTGTTCGAACAATGCTGTAGACCTATGTCCAACTTAGGTAAAAAAAAAGTTTATTTGGCTTTGTTTCTTTATTTTTGAATGCAGCAATTGAGGTTTCGTTTATGTTAGTAAATCTCTACCATTTCACTACTGTTACAGGAATCAAATTGGCCATCTTATGAAAATAATTTTGACTCAAGGAAAGAAATTGCGTTCACAATAGTCGCTTTCTTCATTCCGCAATTTTACTAAAGCTTTATGGGACAAACGCTGGATTCTTGCATGGATTCATTTGATGAATTATGACATATTGGTATGAAGACGTTGAGTGAATCAATTAATACATGCAGGGAGGAAAAGATTGTGAGATGGTAAATCAGATAAATCAGCTTGATGAGTAGTAAGACAAATCAAAACCTATAAGAGGAATAAACAATAATCTAAATCATGCTGTCTGAAGGCTATCCAGGATGACAGGTATGACTGTTTTCTTATTATGCTTTGGAAGATCAAAAGACAATATACCAACCAAGTTTGCTGCACTACTGCCCAAGTCGTTATTTTCTATGCTTTGAATGTTGGCATTACATTTCGGGTAAAGTTTTAGAATGCATTTCAATCCATCTTTGACCTCGTAGTTTGGAATGGCGTCATATAGTCGTTTGACTTTTCTATTCAACATAGCTTGATCTTTGTGTTTGATCACTTGTAAAGCCATAATCTACAGCAGAGAAGAAGCTGCTTTTCCAGCGGTCAGTCTACTATTGTCATTGTGCGCTTGAAACGTAAACACTGTGAATGGGTTGTAAGCAAGAAGCGATGCCCTTGAAGCTGAATATGCGAGAAGCGTACCAAATTTGGTCCTAATCTGTCGCTGCTGTCCAATTTTATCGTAAGGGTGAATACTTTTGACTTTAGGTTTGTTAGTAAATCGCGACGCCTCCTTGAATGCTTTTTTATCCAAAAAAAAATTGGGCAGTTGCGGCTGTGGTATACGCACCACAATTGAGTGAAGAACAGAATCCGCAACCAAACACTGATTCCTTCTTGCTAATGAATCTGACAACTTAACAATCTCCGGAACTGTTATACACCGGGCGCACGTACACTACACACTAATACAGTGTAAACCAACCATTGCACAACAGGGATTTTAATAATAACAGATATAACTCTTTATTATGAGTGATGTTGCATACTTTCAGGCTGTCTGTGAGGTTTCCCATAAACAACGAGTATATTCCAATTACCACCTTCAAATCAAAGCATGATTATAGTTTGACGATTGATATGGTCGGTAAGAGTGCGGATAATCATCTCTATCAAAACGCCAGTAGGACTGGCTTTTAGTATTATTACTTTTTCCTTGCACCATACAATTGCTGATAGTTGTTGCTACCATTAAGTGCATCATAGGCGCGAGGTCCAATTTTGTAACAATAGTGTCTCATGCACAGACGCAGATTTACTCGGCGTAACTTTCACAGTATTAACCCCAAAAATCTCTTTAATACAGACAGGATATTTACCGCCAACTTTGTACCCACAAACCGAAGCTCAATCAAGTACGGTATATCTGTTGGCAATTTAATGGTCCTTGAGTATATGTCCACATGTCGCTGCCATCGGTCTATCTTTTGTTCAGTGTATTGTATTTAGCTGCTTGTGCATTAACTTTAGATAGCTATCATACAATTTTCCACTAGGCAATTCTAACAACTGTTTTTTGAATGCAGGAAATAAGAATGAATAAATTTCAAATATCACTGTAGGAAATGGCAAAATCGCCTTTTTTCTCTATAGGGTAGTACCAAAACGTATTTATTTTTTCACCTTACTTTGAATAGAGCTAAAGAAAAATCTATTAAAAGACAAGCTTCTTGTGAATCTTGCCATATGTGAATTGTTTAAGAAAAGTGCTTTTTGAAAAGGAATAATAATTAGTAGAAAACGCGCTAAAAAGTTATAGAAGCAAAATCACTGTATTGAGCTTTGACTGTACCCACTCCAGAAATTTGATTGGACTTTCTTATAGGTAACGGCTTGTAGTCTAGTGTTTCTTGTTACAAGATATTTAAAGGCTTTATAGACTTTAGACCCTAGATAACTTTCAGCACACTACTATTAACATTCGTTTCTTGTTTTGTTTTCAAGAATATACGCATATTTACTCGGATTATGTATAGTAGGATAAATTTGATGTCACAAATTTGTACTTTTCTAACCGTATGCACATGAATGTAACTATGTTTCTCTTCATATCTTATCTCTATAACATGACAACAATCTCTTCTTTTTTTTTTAAAAAAAAAAAAGAACAGCGTAGTATATCTTCCATGAACCATTTAAACATTTTATTTGAAATGTACAAAAAAATGAAATAAAATTGTAACAATTCTTATTTATATCTTTTCTTCTAACTAGATTATTAAAGTTTGTACCATCACCCAGCCTAGTGAACCACAAGATTTATTTATTCAAAATCAAAATCTAGACACACGTACAAAGCAATGGCTTTGACATCAAAGTATAGCATAATATTTTATATGTTTATGTGTTTATTAATTTATATATATATATATGTATATTTTTTATTGGGTGTTAAGCTATTGGCATATTAATAAAAGAAAGTTCATGTATAAGACCTTCTAGGAAGCCATCGTCTGTACATTTCAAGTCAATAGTCATTGTCGCCGTCTGGACATCCTCTTCTGTCGCTAAGATATATTTCAAGAGTCCGGCCACTTGCACGTTCTGCACACTTTGACCATAGAGCGAAGCTGCACCAGGTACTACTTCCACAACTTGAAGTCCAGTTGTATTTGTTACTGTCTCAAGAGCATGAATAAGTGATTGCTCCACTGATAAATCGGGTGTAATAGGAATTCCTATTGTGACATTTCCATGATAATCGAATTCATCTCCATGCTCAGCCAACAGAGCAGAGAACTGGGTAGGATCTATAGTTGGTTCATCTTTGATAAAGAGACTGACAGGAAGAGAAATCTCGAGTGGGTGTTGATGAAGAACAGAGGATCCCTATACAAAAGGAGTCCATGTTTAGCAGAATAGCTTTAAGATTATGCGTATAATTTACCTCGACATCATAGTTAATATCACCTCTCAAACAAAGTCCTCTTCTAGCATTTCCTTGAATTGCAAAAACTCCAACGCAATCAACCTTTTCCCCAATTTGGAGTTCAAATGTTTCTGATACAGATGCTACACCAGACTCCTGTTCACCTTCCAGAAGCTTCATATCAAAGGACTGGATAAACTCCATGTGCAATTTAGGAAGTATAAGTCCGGCTGCCTTATTTTCTATACTAAATTTGATAGCCACAATCGGTTCTCCATCAACCTTCTTATCCTCTAAATGCAATGTATATTTCTAATATGTACTAATCGGTTAGAATAGTAGTCCAAATAAGCACATTGTAACTTACCACCTCAACATGCTCATTTTTGAGCAATTCATGTTGGACAGCCACTCTATTTTCTTTTCGTTCTACGAGTGCATACCGCATGTCATCTGCTAATGTTGCATAGGGCACTTCCTCTACCTTGTTTGAAGAATTCTGGAATGTAGATATTTAATTATTCAATACACTTATATTTTTGTCTTTTCGAAATCTCTTACATCTTGTGGAGGAGGCTGAACCTTTTCTGATTTCTTTGATTTCTTTGATTTCTTTTCAGAAGTTTTCTTTGCCTTTTTGGTGCCTTCTTTTGAGCTCTTTTTTGTAGATTTGTGGGTATCACCCTGTCAATAATAATAATAATATATATAAGCTCATATACGCAATTCACTATTTGTTTTTTTTTTTTTAAAAAAAAAAACTCACGTTTGCCTTGCTCTCTGCCAGAGAACGCTGCTCTTTTCGTGCTGCCTTTACCCTTGCCTCTTCACGGCGTCTGGCTTCTTCAGGACTTCCGTAAGTTTTGATTTGAGGGAACTTCTCGTCATCACCCAAAGGAGTAGACAGATCAACATTGTTCAATCCACTATCATCAGAGGCAAAAATATCTCTTGCACTCTTTTTAGTATAGGTAGCCCGGTTTTTCTTCTTTGATTCTTCCTCGCTACCAGACTCGGCCGCATTTTCAGGCATTTCCTCTTCAGCATAGACTGGCATTGGAGGAGGAGTAAGTGCACGTGAATTCTTCTTCTTTCCACTCTTTTTCTTTCCCTTCGCAGCTAAAAACAACAAATATTAAAAAAAATGCATTTTTTTTTAAAAAAAAAAACTTACAAAAATCAAAGTTGTCTAGGGAAAGCTCTACAATAGGGATCGATTCAACATCGTCATCAACCTCAAGAAGAGCAGGTCTTTTCTTTTCAGAATTTCCACCCAAGATATAATATGGATCATTGCGATGTGCTTCGAGACGAGCATTACGACGCTTCAATTATGATAGATGAGCCAACGGGATTATATTTTTTGCTCTTTTCTTTTTTTTTTAGCCTTACCTTGCTCACAGCTTCATCATTGTCACTTTCATATTCTTTGGATTTCTTTGATTTCTTCTTTGATCTAGATTTGTGTGTGTTATCAAAGTTGGTATCTGCCGAAACACTATCAGAGTCGTGGTCTGCAACAAGATCTGGCAAGGGCTCATAAATCCAGGCATCCAAATCTAAGCCTTCAGGAACAGGAACCTTCTTTTGTGCCTTTGGTGCAACAGGGTTAAGTTCATAAATAAAAAACAACTCTGGTAATCCTTGTAATACGAGAGGTGGGTATATAGAGTCGGTGTTAGCAGCACTGACAGTATCGAGAATAAGGGTGAAAATGACCTTCGCATTTCCCGACTAAGTAAATCAGAGATATCAGTAAACATGGAGTCAGCTTTATACCAATTTAACTTACTCTCTCTTGAACCTCCAAATCCAAACTTTGTGCAAACATATCAATTTTATCTCTCAAGACCCTTGTAACCTTCAGAAACTCGGTCTGAACTTCATCATTCCATTGACTAATAAGTTCAGTAACCCAGAATGCATAGATTTTCATGATGTTGTGAACGTAAATCGATTGGACCTTTACAGGGAGCTTAGATGCAGTAGGTGTAAGCAAACATTCCAGTGTAGAGGGTACATCGTCAAGGAAACTATACGAATATGTTAATAATGTTTATGTATATAACTTAAAATTTAAAAATAAGCTTTTGCATTATTATCTTTACCTGCAATACTCTCCACAAATCCAGGCTGCTGCTGAAAGCACCTCAATATTGGACTCTCTCTTCTTTACTGTTTCCAAAAACTCTTTATCAGACAATAAACGGCACTAAAGAAAATCTATTAATTACTGATATTATCTTTCTCACAAGAGAAAAAGATCACAGCGTATTAAACTCACCATTTGCTTCACAGAGAAAGGACGGACACTCTTGACACGTACGCTAACATCCATCAACTGACTGGTCAAAGACTCGCCAACATTTACACCTGAAGCATAAGTAATTCCGACCAATATATTGATATACCACTCAAAATTGGTGATGTTGTGGTATTGATTTTGGCTACAGACGAACAGGATTCGGTTTATAATATCAGTGCGATAGACAGGATCTAAAACTGCTGAGGATTCGGTAGATCCTAGCATCGAAGCGCTTGGAGGGACAAGATGCGACACAAGGCGCTTAACAATATCCATCACATTCTTTCTGTTCACCTATATAAACGCATACGTTACCATTTTGTTAACCCTAGTGTTTTGCTTCCTGTATATAATTTGACTTACCATCCCAACCACAAGATCCAACGCACGCAAGCGAATACTGAGATCGTCATCGTCAATGCATTCCAAAATAATATCCTTATGTTCAGCTACTAATTTGGGGTGGGTAGAAAGCATCTTTCCCATAGCCAATAGGCCAACATATTTTACTGTGGAAAATCAATATCGCTGTGTATACAATACTATATCCAGTTTTATAAGGCAAACTTACAGTTTTGATCTGGATCCTCAAGGAACCTGCGTAATTTATTGGTACAAGTGGCAGCAAGAGCATGGCTTGATTCGCCTGCTGCTTCCAAAAAACCGCCTGAGATAACAGTATAAATGCATTCGTACAGTAGTGACGTGGCAGGGGTCGTTTGAATGAGTGAAGTTAAAGGATGTAGAAGTTTCTTGATCAAACGTGGCTCCAAAGGAGTCAACGAAGCAAACTAAACAAATATTGCCACCATTCAATTTCCATGCCCATGTTTTTCTCCAAATATACTTTTGTTCTTATATATATATATATATATTTACCAGTTTAATGATTTTGATCAACATCCAGTTGTTGTTCGAGGTTGTCAATAGTTTGTAAAGCTGAGGCGCCAAAGACAAGTAATTTCTGGGGTTCTTTCTGGCCAACTCACAAATTACACTTACAACAGCAGATACAACAGCTAAGATATATAGTAATGTCAATTCACGTAATCTTTCTCGTTAAAGCTTTTTTCTCTTTTTTTACCCTTCGCCCATTTTTCTTCTTCTTTAAGAATAATGAAAAAGAAAAAACTTGATGAAAGCAAGTAAACGTATCCTTATTTACTTACATGGATCAGGGTCTTCTAGCTTTTCTTTTACTCTCGGGAAACTTAAACGAAGTGCCTCAGGGAACTTCAAAAATACTTTGTAGAGAACCAAAACAACCTTTTTCCGGATATATGGTCGGGAATGGTTGAGCATAGCCACGAGATCTTGACAGAGATCTCTTGCCAAGTCGGGTGTAACAATTTGAGATAAACCATTGATAGCAATGCCGATCTCGAGAGCAGTAGGTGATGCGAGGTCCTATTGCGAGAGTAAGCAAGAAGGATGGTGTTGGTGTGGCTGGAAGGCTACCTTTTTGATGAGATTGGTGGTGAGCATGAGAACATCTGTGTCTTGTTGGAAAGACTGTGCAGCTGCAAGATAACCTGCGCGCTTTTGAAGTATTTTTGAGCTAGACATCACTTCGACAATGTGGAAGGAGGCCCATGACATGTCGTATCCAAGCATTTGAAGCTATATTCAACTTATGAGTCATGACATTGAAGTGTAACAAATAAGGAAAGTTGCACGTACATATGTCAGCTTGGCAATAGCCATGGCCTTAATATCTGGGTCATTGGCCTTGACTTCATTGCGAATCTCTTGTAGGCAGACGGCAATGTACTTTTGTTCATTCTTCTTATTTGCTCTGATGCCTCGGATGAGGTCAGTAAGCGATTTCTCAAACATATCAGGCTAAGCAAGCAGGCAACCTTGTGAACCTGTGGGCCGGCTGGAAGAAGAGAGAGGATCGTGATATACCAACTCCGCTATCCGGGCGGCCGCGCGTCGGTCACTCGATAAGTCACGTGGAGTATGGTGGCCTTTGCATTGAGCATAAACCAGGAATGTTCCTCATCGTCGTTCCTCATGGATTCAGCAAATCACAACGTTCTTCAATTTGTATCCGCAGCAGCACAAGCGGTAATTACTTTAGTCTCAAAACTCATTTTCACTTATCATTTTGTTAGCTAGAGTCTCCAGACAGAGGCGATTTCGCACAAGGTAAACTAGATAGATTCCACAAGATACCGTTCACTTTTATCAGTATTAACTGCGATTCATAGCATACTCGAATGGTATGTTTCTTTTACTATGTACAGCCTTAAGTAGAAATATTTAACTAGATCTTGTGCGGGAAATTTAGTGCTAGGTTACTCGATTGATGCTATAAAATCTGAAAATGATTGCCTTGAAGATGACAAGCCCATTCCTTCAAAACAAGGCCCGAGCCATATACAAGAGCTACTGGCAGATGCCACAGGAGTATCTGTAGAACTCGAGGAGCCATTGGATACCAACCAATACTTTTCTACTGAAGACCTAGGGAAAGATACCAAACATAGCATTGCGGAGAAAGTACACATGATCTTTAAGTTGCCGACAGTTGAGGAACTTCATGGCGGTAACTTTCTCTAATTTAATTTTGTTTCTTATTTTGTTCTTTTCCTGTGGATTTTATTTTGGTATCTAGTGATTTAGAATTCCTTAGCATTTAAACTTATGTTTGCATTCGTTTCTTCAGAGTGGCCATGTTATATAATTCGCTCTGCTATTGTTCCTGGATTTATATATCTGACCGACAAACATATATGTTTCTATGCCTCACTGGTTCACAGTCAGGTAAAGAAAAACAGCAAATATAATAATGCAATCAAAGTAGAAGAATATCAAATTGAATTCAAGTATTCAGATTTCAATGGTTAATACTGATACGATAACTTTATTCAGGAAGGATATTCAAAAAATGGTTACCTACTTGTCAAGACTACAGGAAAGATGAGCACCAGTTACCAGCGCTGTTATTTTGATCTAAAGAATGATGTTTTGGCATGGTACGAGAATGCCATTGACAATTACTCTCCTCTTGGGAAGATTGATCTCAAGTATGCTCAATATGTCCATCGGTCTAAGAAGAGAGATTATGGGTTCAGAATAAACACAATGACCAAAACATGGCATTTCCAGGCAGACACAGAAGCAGCAGTTATAGAATGGTAATACTATTGGGATAAAGGATGTACACGAGAAAAGAACACATATATATAGAGCTTTAGCAATATATTTATTTATTGATTCTTCAGGATCAACGTGTTCCAAAAGGCCATCTTTAAGGCCAAAAATACTGGATCAAGCCTAAAGGTTGTAATACCCATGGAAAATATCCTGGATATTGAACAACCTGTTCCCATCGAATTCCAACAGTTCCTTAAAATCAGAACTGTAGGAATTGACGATAGTTTGGTCATGGATGAGGTACACATACATAAATATACAAACTATTATAAAATATAAAATACTGACAATATTGGATCTATTTATGTATGTGGATAAATTGCAGTATTATTTTGCATACTTTCCTGATATCAAGAAAACCTATGATACCCTTATACAAATATGGGAAAGCTTCCAAGTTAGCACCGATGGAACAAACCCTTCTCCACAGTCCCAGGAGACATCTCCATCTATGTCAATATCAGATATATTTTCTGATGATGTACAGCCTGTTTTGTCCCATACAGGAAAACATCAGCTAGCTTCGTATCCTTCATCTTCCATGAGCTCTGCTGTTGTTCAAGCATTGTTTGTGCCAGGTGCACTTGCAGGTTTATTAAAAGGAAAACCCCAAGAAAAAATACCGGAACCCGTCCACAGAGAAGATCCAGTGATTGAAGAAATGAATGACTCGTCAAGTTCTGGGGAAGAGGACCAAGCGATGGTAGGCTGGCTAGGCGAGAAACGACGATCGGGAATGAAACTTGTGTATGGGCTTTTGGGTGGAAATACAGGTAGTGCTGCCACCGCAATCGATAATTACTATGATGACGACGACGATGACGATGAAGATGAAGAAAGAAAAGAAGGAACATCAAGGCAAGGAGAACCTCTGGATGAGAGAACAAGAGCCAATTTCCGAAAATATTTTGTATTACCAGAATCAGAGAAGCTTTATGCAGGTAACTTGTAGAATAGAATAGGATGATTAGAATAAGGGGTTAAACTATTTGTTAGTATATCGATGTTATTTGATGAAGACTTTGCCATGTTATGGAAAGTTGTATATTTCATCAAATCATCTTTCGTTTAATTCAAAGGGGTTTGCTACCAAAGCAAAGGTGAGCCAATTAAAAAAAAAGTTATTTAGATCAAGTTGATTTAAATAGGTACTTCAGATTATCATTCCATTTCAAGATGTGCTTCGAATCCAAAAGATTCACAGTAGGGGTTATATTTTTCATGCTCTCAGTATCCTCACACAGAAAAAGAAAGAGGCGAGTATGAAGACATCAATATAGATAAACATGCATAAACTAATTAAAGAACTTGATGATGTGGGTGTATACTATATAGATATTCTTGGAGTTCTCCCTTCTATCCAACAGAAACAACTGTTTCGCAAAATTATTCTTACAACACAAGTGGGTGCTCGAAAATCGTACAAGTGTAGGAGACGAAGAACAGTAAGTGTAGTATTTTTTTCTCACTTCCGTATGCTAAGCCTTTACATAGAAACATGAAAGACTGGGAAGCAAGTCTTCTGGATATTGATCAAGAGGAAACTGCAGGACATATGGAACCTCTGGAACAAGGTAATGTTACAGCTCTAAAATTGTTTAATATATTCCTTTCTCTCACACTTGTTTCTTTTCTTTTCTTTTCTTTAGCTGGATTACCAATATTGTCTCATAAAGCAGTGACGCTTGTTCCACATAGAGAGCCTGAGAAACCACTCCACATCACTTGTATTACTATTGGCACACGTGGCGATGTTCAGCCTTATATTGCCTTGTGTAAAGGCCTAATGAAACAAGGACATACTTGTAGGATTGCTACTCACGACGAATTTAAAGATTGGATCGAAGAGCATGGTATTGAGTTTCGCTCAATTGGAGGAGATCCCGGAGAGCTTATGGTGAGTAGTATGCTCAAATAGATCGTGGACTAACAGAAATTTTCAAGAGAATTTGCGTTGAAAACAGCTTCTTTAGTGTTAACTTTGTCAGAGAAGGATTGAGACTGGTAAGTGATAACTTCCAATAAGTTTCTTTGTTTATATCTAAGAATGGCTATAATAGTTCAAAGTGTGGATTAATGAGCTGCTTGAGCTCACTTGGAAAGCTTGTCAAGGAACAGAAATGATTATTGAGAGCCCAAGTGCAATGGTGGGTGTACATATGGCTGAGAAGCTCCGTAAGTAAAGTTGGTTATGAAACATTTGGGTTGCTTATTACAGTCTTTCAGGTGTCCCTTACTTCCGAGCATTTCCTATGCCAATGACTCGTACTAGATCCTTTCCTCATCCATTCGCAACTCCAAATAGCCCAAAAGGAAGGTTGTATAATGATATGACATATGTGCTATTTGATCATGCCGTATGGAGAGCCATTGCAAAGAGAACAAATGATTTCAGACAGCAGGTACTATCTCTGCCTGCAACGAGCTATGAGAAACTTGAGGTTTGGAAGATTCCGTATCTTTATTGTTTCAGTCAAAGTATCGTACCAAGTCCACTAGACTGGATGGATTGGATCCATTGTACTGGCTATTGGTTCCTTGACAACGCACAGGCAAGTAACATTTATTATATTTTGCGGATCTAGTGACAAGTGAATTAAAGTTATTTAATATATATATATTAAAAAAAATAGGCTGGTTGGAAACCAAGTGATAAATTACAGGCGTTTTTGGATGCACCTGATAAGAGACCCATAGTTTATATTGGGTTTGGTTCTATTATTGTGGCCAATCCTCAAGAAATCACACGAGTAATTGTTGAGGCTACACTATTGTCAAATGTGAGGGCTATTGTATCCCAAGGATGGTCTGCTCGTCTTCAAGATAAATCAGAAGGGCGAACAACCACTGACACTTCGCTCAATCTCAATGCCCAAGATACCGGAGATTCTCTTTTGCATAAATATCCAGATACCATAATGAGTCTCAAATCCGTTCCACACGATTGGCTTTTTCCTCAAATCAGGGCTGTTGTTCATCACGGAGGAGCGGGAACAACAGCGGCTGGTTTGCGAGCTGGTGTACCAACAATAGTTAAGCCTTTCTTTGCTGACCAATTTTTCTGGGGCGAACGTGTCGAAGAGATGGGAATAGGTCTCTGCATTAAACAATTGACAGTCGAGAGTTTATCTGCCGCTCTTCGCGTAGTATCTACAGATGACAGAATGCTCAAGAATGCAAAACTTGTTGGGGAGAAGATTCGGAGAGTGAGTTTAATATTTTAAGTATGTATCCAAACTAAACAATGTACATGTTCTTAGGAAAACGGCGTAGAAACAGCTATTCAATGTATCTATAGAGATATGGATCTTGCCAAAGAGCGTACTTTATCTTCTGCTCAAGCTTCATCTTCCCAATCCCAAGAAGAACTAACCACAAGTACTCTGGATGAAGACCAAGAATGGACTCTTGTGGATTCAACTTCTGGACCAATACCCCCTGATACATGGCAACCCGCAACATCTTAGTTTATATTTCGAAAAGACTTGATCTCTTATTATTACCATTGCCTAGTAGCATTTATTTACAAAGAAAACAGAGGAAAATTTGGATAGCATTTTATCCCATGTGTGTTCTTTCACTAGCTTCCGCTGTAATAGCCTCAATTACATCTAACTGGAGAAGCTCCTTAACAGTGTATGACAATGAAGCTATTGCATAAAATAAGGAATATGTGAATATAGATTATTACGCTATTTTTTCATATATTTATTACCTTCATATGTATATATAATGGCGGTGTCATTAATGTACATATACTGTTTTGCGAGAGCATTAATACAGTTTGCAACACGGGCAATGTTTTCACGTTCTTCACTTGTGATGGGCTATAGAAGAAAAGAAAAATGTCCTTCAATATATTGTCGTTGCGTATGAATTATAAATATCGTAGAAATACATACGTCATTTTTACTAGAGTAGACAACGGTAGTATCTGTCTCATCTGTACCAACAAAGCCCTCAAGCTTCTTGTTAATCCAGATAGAGCCATTTAAACCTAAAACAAGATCAACACCACAAGGCAATGTGTGGAATTGGGACTTGCAACGCTGTACCAAAACAGGAGGCACGCATACAAAAGATCCATTTCGCAGCTTACAGAACTTGAATCCTCTTGTATGAAGACCCATTGCACCATCTGCATAGAAACTTTGCACCTCAGCCTAGCAAACAGTTCCATAAATCGCTTTGTTCGATTTATCCTCATGTCTCTCCCAATCTTACCACCAAAACATCTCCCTCTGCAAAGAATTGTCTCATCTGAAGTTCATCTGACTCGTTCTTACGTCTCTAAAAAAAACATAAAGAAATACTAGGATCAATTGACAGTTTGTGTTTTTTTTTTAAAAAAAAAGTTGGTATGTACCTGTACACCACCTGGTAAACTAACAGAACTCAGCATGAGTATAGCATCCTGACGTGCGTTTACATCAACTTTCCAGCGTTTTGTAGCAACCTGTAAAAAACAAGGTTAAGAATCTCTTGTATGTATATATCTAGTCCATGTCTAAGATTACCTCTGTGATCCGGCCCACTACAATGTCACCAATCTCAGGTGTATAGCGTGCTTTCAAAGCTCGGACCGAAAGCAACTTGTTGACACGCTCTACAGCACCGGATACCGATGAAATAACAGTACCATCGCCACTGGTATATGTACCATGACCTCTATTGAATTTATCCGAGTAAGTCTCGTGTTGATCCTATTCTTGTCACATTATCTATACCTCATAAACTGCTGATCAGTGGTGACTGTTTCACCAGGATTAACCAGATGGTTATCCTCACCATCAAGATCCATTCGACTGTGCTTGGATTTGGTGGTGAGGCCAGCCTGAGCGGTTGAAATTGGAGCTGAAATGCTTAAACTCATCGTTAACTGCAGTAATTAGCTTGTCAGTAAGAACCTGGATTCAAGCAAACAAAGATTTTTGGTATGAATTTGTGACTGTGTGTAACCCGCTTAAACAAACTGGTGGGTACAAGTTGACAAGCGTTTGCACCGAGAGAAAGAAAAGAACGTCTTTTTTTTGATCTATCGAAAAGATTTTGGTTTCAACTTCATACTCAAGTCAAAAAAAATTCCATCGATGCTTTCAATAAGGCTATAGATCAAAATATTCGTTTTTATATATATATATGTAATATGCATAAAGAGATAAACAGCTAATTTTATATAACTTTTGGTACATTTCTTCTAAATGTATTGTATGATATGATGTTTCGAGGATAAATAATAAAAAGGGGAAAAAAAGGAAAGAGATTAGCAGAGATATTGGTAAAAACAGAAAGCGAGAGCGAGTGAAAGTGAAAGTGAGATATTGAGGGATTAGGCGGTTTGGTTTGATGCGGGGCTAGAGAACCACTGGGCCCATTTCTCTTTTGCAGCTTCTTTAATACGGAAGAAAGCAGCCTCAGGGCTATCAATAGCTGGGCGAATATCTAAATGGAAAACAGGGACGCCTGGTACTTCTTCGGGAGCTTCGTAGTAATCAATTACATAACGTCTCTCTTCGCCACATCTGTTCACAAACCAGTCGTGACGATCAAAGGGCTTGGGACCACTACATTGAAAGAATCCTATAAGATATATATATCTTTTTTTTAAAAAAAATGGCTGTAAAACTTACCCAAAGAAAGAATGCCATCTAGCCTTAGGTGATAATTCCTGGGGTCTGCCCTGGAAGCGAGACAAATAGGGATCTTCTTTGCACTCACTATAAAAAAATAAACACAGTTAAGAAGTATTTTTCTTCATTGACCCAATACAATATAATACTCTACCATCCAAACTTAGACTCCCACTTCAAAACTTCGTTCCATGCTTCTTCGTTCAAGAAATTGTGGATATCTACCATAGTCTCAACATGTTCCTCAGGTGTTTCCCAGCCTTTACGTCTAAGAGCATTGTAAAATTGTTGGGGACTAGGATATTCCCACTTTGAGTCGGCATCCTTTGCTTTCGGAATAGAGGAAATTGTACGCTCAGTGGGCAATTCCATGCTCTGGTCGGCATATTGGTCCTGGGTGAGATTAGGCATCATGTTGAGCTCATTGAGCTTATCAGTGACTGGTGTGTCCGACTTGTGCATAGGACATCCAGGAGGAGGAGTCTCCTTCTTGGGCTCATGCATAGGGCAACCCGGAGGTGGAGTCATTGGAGAGGGGGTCATAATGTAAGTATAAAGGGACAATGAAAAACAAAAAAAAATAGTTTGATGCTAAGGTTGCCAGACAGACACACAGTCACAAGAAAAAAGTGTAAGAATCGGCATGGGGCATGGGGTATAGATTTTATTTTTTGTCATTTTTTTTTAAAGAAATGTATTTAATAATGAATCGCTTGGTTTGTCGTTATGCTTATATAGTAAATTATCATTAGAAGTTTGGGAGCAATCGTCTGAAAAATGAAGATATGTTTTTGTAACGTCTTCCTCCAAGTTGATAACAAGCGGCCCTGATTGCGGCTCAGTAAAAGTTACGCTCTCTATGTGAGTTTGTAGTTCCAAGAGGCATTCTCTGATCTTCGCATCGTTCTCCATGATATCAGCAGGGCTAGGCGTAGATTCCATAGAAAGAGAATTGCTCCACTGGGATGGCTGACCTAAAAATTGGTCAGAAACGGCCGGACTGTCTAAGCAGAAATCCCAGAGTGATGCATCATATAAATCCAGTGGCAATAAAAGAGCCTCAGAGAAAGGATCTGGCTGCCAAAGTGGGATATCGCTCTCTAGAATGTCTTGCCATGAGAACACTTGAGAATCTGAGCTAGTTTCTGTGGTTGCAGGTTCTGTTTTGATTTTCTTGCTTTTTGGTTTAGATGGACTTGAGATGTACTCGCTGCATACATCAACACCACTATCATACTCCGACTCTGAAGATTCTGATCTGCCTACGGATCTTCGTCTCTTGCGCTGTTGCTTGGATCTTCTTGACGAACGTTCCAATGGTTTTGGGCGTGTGGCTGAAGTCATGTCTACCATTCTAAATGTATTGTAGAAAGACAAGGTACTCGAAGAAGGGATGTCTTTTGTTGCAAAATCTACAGATATTGCTGATGGGGAATATATAGGAATAGTTGTGCTGCTGTTACTTGAGTTAATACCGCAATCTGATAGATCGGTCGGTAGCTCCTGGCAGATTTCGGCAGGAGATGACCTTGAGCCGTAGGAATTGCGACGGTGTGTCAGGGAGAGTTCAGTTGTCAGATTAATATCATGATATTGGTGTGTGTGGCTGCTTGATTGGGTCAGACTATAGATGAACATTTCTTCTGTGCCATTTACTAGTGTCCAGTAACACCCTTTTCCTGGGTTGGCTTGGGTTGGTCGTCTGTTAAGTTTGGTAAACCACTTTTTGTTTAAAGACAAATTGTGGCGAATAGAGTTCTATGTAATGAAGAAAAAAATATTATTTAGCTATTGTTCGGGATCCATTCCAATAAAGCAATTGTTATTATTTTTACCTGCCACCCTCCTTCACCAAGTGAGTAATAGGGGTAATTTATGGAGATCCAGAGATAAATGGCGCTCAATGTAAGACGCCCTTCTGGACTAGAAAGAATTGCAAGGCCAATGAGAGTGGCATATGAAAATGGAGGTTTCTCTGTTGGGTAGCAAGGCGTCCACCATGGCATAATCTGAGAAGGCCATGATTTGCGAGTACGCGCTGGGCAAATGTCTAAGTCGTCTTCAACAATAGTTTGGTCTCCAATTGTTGCCATCTTGAAGGTGAGTTCCGTTAAGGGGTTGACCGGAGCCTTTTTTAGGGAAGTGGGATGTGATTTGTGCGACATTTCTACAGGGCGTCTTCTTGGTAAACGTTTTGTATGCTGGGGTGTTTCTTGGATTATTGAAAATGAAGACACAAGACCCATAAATGTAGGAGCCTTGGATTTATTTTTACATATTTCAGCCATAGTTGTATTTAAATAAGAGAAAAGACAAGATAGTGAGAGGTATTATGTGGAGTAGGGGTAGAAAGTATATTGAAATTTTGAAATTTTGAAATATTAAAATAAAATAAAAAATGAAAAAAAAGCTTTGTATATATATATAAAATTTTAATTCTTAAGTTTTGTACAAGTGAGCAGAAAGCATTTGTAACTATATATATATATATGTATGTCTTTATTTATTGTGCAGTGTGCTTCAATGAGCGACTTGTGTCTTGCAATCGCTACATAACTGTAATATTATTTTTGGGGTTTTGCTTGGTACGACTTTATTTTACTTTTTCGAATTATCCAGATTGATTTCTTTAAACCTTGTTGCTCATTTTGCATTGTCTCCTTGTCAGAATGATATCATTTCATGCCCACAAGGTGGACGAACCTCTTCAAAGCAAAACTATCGCGTGTATACTTTTTTTTAACTTTGGGAATATCATTAAAAATACAACCACAACAGTAAAGTTCTGTTCTCGGTTCTAGCAATTTGTCCTGAAAATAGTAAATATGATATACAACAATGAAATTTGACTCGAATACTTTTGGTTTCTAATTCCTTGATATCGTTACCTCTTTTACCTTCTTTTTTCTCTGCCCTTTTTTTTTACTTTGAAGCATTACCTATGACTAGATAAGGTCACGAGAGCTATTATGTATATATTGTGTATTATATCTCCTCATAAGCTAACGTACTGACAGAGAACAATTGAAGTCAAGGTTCAGTAGCATGTGGTTTATCATGACCTGAGCAAAATATTCTAGCCAGTTATTTAAAGCAACTTCTTTTTTACTTCAGGTACCCATTTATTCATACTTCTATAAATGGTAGGCGTAACAATGAGCAAATATTGTACAATGGTTGCACATTGCGTATTAAAGAGACCCTTGTTGGATTCATCTTATAAAATATACATATAAAAATATGAAGTAGATCCCAGCAGTATACTCAGGTTCAAGCATTATTTAAATCCCGATATAATTAATTGAGTATTTTGTGCTGCACTTTCTAATATCAGATATCCTTAAATGGTATAATAATACTAAACTTAGGGAAGTTTTATTTTATACACCTCAGTTACAGAATTAAGGGAAGTATTATACTTATTTCAATAATGTATTTCCTGTTATTTTTGTCTATGTTGATACTATTGGTATTCTGCTCAAACAATCTTAAATGGCTAATATATTAAACCTTGATACTCAAAACACTATTCTACCTATACACATTGTCTTCTTTTATTGGTACGGATTTTGTGTATTAGATTTGAGACTTGGCGGTATTTTAACATTGTCAATGTATCAAAAAACCTGGTTAATTATACCTACTGAGCACCCAAGCAAATCTTGGTTTATATTTCTCAAGTGTTTCGTAGTAAAGTCAAAGAAAGCTTTTTTTTAATCTAAAACAAATCATAAGCTGATTGTGTATCTGTATATATAAAATGAAATTATATATATATATATAGTAGGATGATGAATAGCAAGGGTAAAGAAGAAGGAAAAAATAACACCTGTTGCCATTTGTCTGTTATTGTCACCGTCATAGTCTTTGTCAATGGTCTATGTTACATCTACAACCTATTTTTCTCTTACTTTTCTTAATTACGTTTTGGATCATTAGGTTTTAATCTAGACCCAGGATTTGGTTACACATCACATCACATTGTAGCGTGGAAACAACCAAGCATTTTATTTACATTGCCATGCCTTGGTATTGTTTAGGGCCCTCTTTTATTTTTATTTCTGGCATATCATCAGCCACAATGAACAAATATATGCAATACCACTCTATTTATGTGGTTGCTTAGTATTTTAGGTAGAATATACATGATACTGCAGAATAGCAATTGATTCAACACAAGTGATACACTAATTGCTTACAATAGATGGGCACTATATGTAGATGCAGAGGAAGGTTCTAGTCCTTCATTGTAAGTCGATAGGACATTTCCGGGAGACATAGAAACAGACAAAAAAATTACTTGACAATTTCGTATAATTCTACATTAGAACGACTTGTTGCGTTTCTTTCTTTTATTCTCCAAGATATGAAACACTAACAATGTGAGTTTCAAAGAATGCACTGTTAAAAATATTAAGATAAACAAAATAAGTTGCTCTATAAATGCTTAACTTTGAATACCGGACTGTAGTTGGGTTCATTAAACAAATTCAAATCTATCATTAAATTGAAAGGATTCAATGTGCGTTCATGTACAACAGCTTACATTTCTCTTTGTTCATCACCTCTTTATTGTTTCGATTATGCACAATGATGCTTAGCAAATGCAGATTTCTTGGCCTTTTTCCAATACTGAGACCAATGAAAGCAATTACAAGTTTTATTTAGACAAGTAAATACATGTCGTTCAGATTCTGGAGTATTTGAGGATCTCGTATATAAAAGTCCGGTACTTTATTTCAGCAACTATTTTTGTCACTATTCTCATCTTCATTGTTCACAGTACAAGTAAATTATATTATATCCTAAATTTGTCTATAATAATGACATTTTCGCAGTAAGAGAGCAAGTACTGTATGAATGGAACAAGTTTCCAAGTAAATAAATAAATGAAGTATATTCCGAAAATCGTTTTTTTTTCAAATATGTAATGGTATTTTATTGGTCGTCTTTAACTGGGCAGATATTTATATAGCCATATACCATATATTGGGGTTATTGATATAAAATGCAGATAGATTAGATGAATTTATGATCAGTAATACGTTGAGAGGAGCAAAGAGATATGATTATTAAAACGCTCAAGTGTTCTTGATACAGTAGTAGCAATACAACAGTGGCACTATAAGCAACATACCTATCGAACGTTAAAATATAACGATAGAACTTATTTTAGAATGAGGCTACTAGCTGTTTACTAAAGTATTATGAAATTATAAGCTCAAACGAATAATTACCCGGTATTAAAATACTTATAAGGCTATGAAGTATGTATTAGCTTTATACCTTATTACCTTTATTCCAGCAAAAAATGGTTGCTATATCTGCCAAGGGTTTTAGCCAAATAGTTTTGTATTTATAATATGCAGGGTAATGTGAGGAAATATGATGCATATGCTCTCAGTTTCCCCCAGGTTTCCCTAAACCTAATTACACGACACCATTTCGAACGATAAAATATCTCAGATAGACAGATTAGCTATTGTGCTGCAACTCAATCTAAAGTATGTTTGTGATATAAAGAATAGGGTTGGACCAAGTATGAGGATATAAATGCTAAGGTTGTCATGGAATATACCATGTATATCTACAAGTCTATGCGAGGATTGGGATTTGATCATCTGTTACCCAAATAATGTGTTTTAAAAGATATTTTCGCAGTAAGAGTGCATTTGTCTTCAAACCTTCTATTATTATCATTTTTCGGTCATATTGAAGAGAGATAAGGGAGAAATAATCACGGCTTTAACTAGAGTAATATACTACTAGTAAACCAATGAGTCTAAAAGCTATAGAAACACACTCTAAATGTAGAAAAAACTTTTTCTCTTTAAAAAAAAAAGGCTTAGAAGATACTATATGCCTTTACATATACATATACATACACGTACACATACATAAAACTAAAAATGCTTGTCTTTTTCGTTGCTATAAAACATATAAATCATATTGGTATGACTGTACGAAGGTGGGTAGATTAAAACTAGGGGATCTGTTTCAAATATCATACAAATCAAAGTATAAAACATTAACGAGGAATAAATAATATCTTAGGAAGTCTATCAAAAAACACGTGTATATAGCTGGGCTATGATAGTAGCCTATTATTATATGACCTTTAAAAATCAGCACGCAAAATATATTTATCTATAGATATATAAGCAATAATGGATAAACTTTAAGAGACACCCAAAGAAATGGTTAGAAGATACTATTGAATGTGTGTAGAAGCATAATTCTCCCTATAAAAATATATGCTAAAGATACAATAAATATTGTCTAGTAAGTATGCCCTATTTTTAATGTGATCATAAAAAGGGATATAGTAAATCAGAAAAGAGAATCTTTAAATGCATACATATATATATATACACTATGAATCTGTCCTATATTAAAAATGCTTTTTTAGATATCAATCTTAGATATGCTTAATGTAAGCTATTGAATTACTGTTCTTCTTGTTTTTGGTTGCCATGAGATTTATTAACATTTGTCTCCCTTTACTAGTATCTTGTTTTATTTTATTAAAAATATGACGTGTGAATCTCCTGGACCTGGCTACTTATTTATTCTGACTAGGAGATCTATTCACCAGGCATTCTATAGAGTATTGCTGCTAAATGAGAGAATATATATGTATATATATATATATTATATAATATATACACCCCTTGTATTCTCCCCTTTACAGACATACTTATATACATACTTTTTTGTATGTATGTATATATATTACACTTTTTTTGCTGCTGCAGTGTATTAGCAAAAGCTGGTAATGCTACTCTCCTATTATCAAGTCGATTATTTTGAATTTAACAAACGTGCCTGCTTTCCTCAACAATATCTTGACCCAAGAAAGTTCTTTAGTCAGGAAAGGTAGCACAAAATATTGTAGTGGGAAGATAAGATCCCGAAGTCTTTTCTTTCTCTTTTTTGCTCTAATATGTCTACCCTTTTTTTTGCTGCCTATTCTTGATAGAGGGCATTTGATGATCTGTATGTATACTGCGTTGTAAGCTTAAGGGAATAATGGGCGATTAATTCAATACATTATATAAATATATAAGTATTTGTTTAAAAACAACCCAAAGAATATGTAGACAGCAAGGAGAAAGAGAAGGAAGAGGAAGCTGTATATATTCTAGCCTCTATAATCTATTATACGGTATGTTTGTATCGATTAGGTTTTTCATGAGAGTGACGAGCCAAAAATAAAGATAATAAGAAGGAAAAAAAAAGTAGTCGTACAGAATATATTCGATTTGAAATGGACTTTTATATATATATATACACTTATTCGTTTGATATATACAATAAGTTGGTCTTGCTAGAATGAAATTGTATACAGGTAAAAGAAAATACAAAGTAGATGTAGGATTGTGGAGGTATCTTGATCTAGTTAAAAGTAAAATGTATTTAAACGAGAAGAGCAAAAGAGCAGACCATCTAATCGGCTCAAGACAACACGAGAAATCTCCAGTCCTCTTTTAACAATTTTTCTCTTTCACATTCATATATACATATGAATACACACAGACGCGTGTGAGAACACACAGATACATAAAGAAGCTTTAAATACACTTATTTAAATGATTCTATAGGTTAAAGGTAGATATTTAATATCAACATTTAGGTATATGTTTTAAGTCAAAGTGAACAGAGAAAAGTGAGGGAGCCAAATGTTCATTATCAATCGATCACTTCCTTATATTTGTCTTGCTCACCGTGTCATGTCCGAGGTAACGCAAGCAAAAAATCCATTCAAAAAATAAAACGAAAAGAGCCCAATGCAAATAAAATGAACCAAATTGGTCCATAGTACCGCTCAATCTCATCTTCTGCTCTCTTGGAGGGCTCACGACATATTCTAGAAGCATATACGGTCTTCCAGCGCGTTATCTGGGTCCTTTGGTTACTAGTTTTTCGCACCAACTCTCGGGCTCAATTGGTGTAGGGCAACGTCACTTAAACGGCATCACTTGTGCAGCCACATCCGCCGCCGCCGCCACCTTTCCTCACCCCTTCTTTCACCAACCTCGTATTATTTTTTCAAAAAAAAACCATCTCTGCTAATCATGGGTAGCGAAACCAAGTCTAAGCCTGAACATCCCAAGGTAAGTCTGGGTTCATCTCACTCAGTCTCTCTATGCCTAACATCATGTATCGGCGCCATTTTTCTGCCGTTCAAAATAATGGCTTTTTTTTTTATAAAAAAAAAGTATGAGGAGATGATCAAAGGTACGATTGCCATCCTGGCACTTTTTTTTTTCAGGATTCACCTGTATGGCTTAAACACAGTATATTTAATAACCTTTTCTTTTTATTTATTTTCTTAGCTGCCATCATCAATCTTAAGGAGCGTACTGGCTCCAGTCGCCAGGCTATCAAGAAATATATTACCTCGAATTATTTAATTAGTCCCTCTTCCCACTTTGATTCTCAAATCAGTGCTGCTATTAAGCGAGGGTAAGTCCTAATACTTTTAGAAAGCTGATAGGAAAGAAGTCCAATATTAACGTGTATCCTAGTGCCGAGAAGAAGCTGTTTGCTCTTCCCAAGGGTGTGTAACAAATATTTCTTCCCACCACAAAAAAATAGTTCATGGTCTGATTTACGTGCCTATTTTTTTTTTCTGTTTTACAAAACGATAATAATCTAGGTCCTGCTGGTTCAGTAAAATTGGTAAAACCCGAAAAGGGCGAGTCAACTGCAGCTGATGCAAAGAAGAAGGATGCTGCCAAGAAGGATGCTGCCAAGAAGGATGCTGCCAAGAAGGATGCCGCCAAGAAGGACGCTGCCAAGAAGGAAGTAACCAAGAAGGATGCCACCAAGAAGGATACACCCAAGAAAGACTCACCTAAGAAGGATGCCGCCAAGAAGGAAACCACCAAGAAGGCAGCTACCAAGAAGGAGGCTCCTAAGAAGAGAGATATTCTCAAGAAGAAGAAGGAAACCACCTCCCCTATCAAGAAGGCTATCTCTTCCACTGTAAGCAAGCAAAAGACTGCCTCTGAGTCTAAGCAACCAAGCGTTGCAGTTAAAAAGGTAATGTATATATATATATATGTGTGTGTCTGATGAACATAAACTTATTTTAATTTGTTCAAATCTTCTTTTTAGACCGCTGCCAAGCCTAAGGCAGTCTCAGCAGCACAGAAGAAGAAATCTGCTACTTTGAAGAAAGCTAACTCCAAGAAGTAGAATATCTAATTTTCTATTTTTTCTTATATTTCTCTTTTCTTTTTATCCATATTTTCACGAAAAAATCATATTTTCACACACACACACATACAATTACATATTGATTCAAATATGTTCTTTTTCTTAACCTGTTAAGCAAAAACAAGCAAAAAGCAAAGCAATTAGTATTATTAAGCTTAAGAGAAAGTTGGGTACGTTTTACTCGTTATTTCTTTTTGGAAGGATTTAGTGTGCCTGTATGTTTTGTATATATATATATATGTGTGTGTGTGTGTCTTCAATGATTTCAATAAATAAACATTTAGCTTTCAATACAAGACCAAAATTTCTATCTAGAAGAATAGAGGACGCGTATATTTATCACCTCGGTTTTATTCAATTCGACTCAACAAAACTTTTTTACATTTTTATCGCCATCTATCGTATTACTTCGGGACAAAACTAAAGAGTCATTATGAGCCATCAATAAGATAAGCAAGCCCGATCCGTTTCTACCAAGCTTGACTGAGAACTTTCACCTACAAATTGCACCCAAAAAAAGTCTGTGGTTAAATGTGCGTGACTCATCCAAGCCACGTGGATTTATCCTATAACCTGTTCACAAGCTATCATTTTGCAAGCTCATTTCAGGACTTTGTTTTACTCTTTACTCTTTGAATTTTATACACCCAGTCATCACTTATAATGTCTGGTCTTTACATGCTCGATTATGGAGCCGGCAATGTCCGCAGTTTGGTTAATGCCGTCAATCGCCTTGGTTACGATATCAAGTTTGTTAACCAGCCCTCTGACATTCTCAAGGCAGAGGTAATATATCACTATAACCAGACAACACATAATATATAGCTCATCAAGCTGTACCTCAGAAACTTATTTTCCCTGGTGTCGGTGCATTCGGTCATGCAATGACAGCATTGAAGCAAAAAGGCTACACCGAACCACTCAAGGCTTATATTGCCTCTGGTAGACCATTTATGGGAATTTGTGTTGGTATGCAGACACTATTTGAAGGGTCCGACGAAAGCGATGAACCTGGACTGGGTGTTGTTCCAGGAAAGGTTACTTTGTTCGACAAGAAGACCAAAGCTGTACCCCACATGGGCTGGAATGGCGCACAATTGGTCAAGGAACAGACACAGATCGACGGCCAATCGGTAGACTACAGTATTAAGGATGAGTCCGTATACTATTTCGTTCATTCATTTGCAGTACCTTACAATGAGAAGCTCAAGGACTGGGCATTGACTACAACAAAGTACGGAGACGAGATGTTTGTGAGCGCAATCCAAAAAGGAAACGTGTTAGCCACACAATTCCACCCAGAGAAGAGTGGTTATGCTGGTCTTCGCGTCCTCCAGTCATTTTTGAAGGGCACCGGTATCGTAGACGATAGCAAGATCCTCACAAAGAATCCTTTTGGTCTCACCAAAGACCGATTCACCAAGCGAATTATTGCGTGCCTGGATGTCCGTGCTAACGATACTGGTGATCTGGTTGTAACCAAGGGCGATCAGTATGATGTTCGTGAGAAAGAAGGCGACAACGAGGTCCGCAACCTTGGTAAACCCGTTGAATTGGCCAAGCGATACTTTGAGGAGGGTGCCGATGAAATCACTTTCCTGAACATCACCAGTTTCCGTAACTGTCCCTTGGGTGATCTGCCTATGTTGGAGGTTTTGAAACGTACATCAGAAACTGTGTTTGTGCCTCTGACGATCGGTGGTGGTATTCGGGATGTGACCGATCCGGATGGCACAGTTCACCCCGCATTCGAGGTTGCGGGTGAATATTTCCGATCCGGAGCAGACAAGGTATCCATTGGAAGCGATGCAGTCTATGCCGCAGAAAAGTACTGGAAGCAAGGCAAGGACGGATCGAGTGCAATTGAGACCATTGCACAGGCATATGGCGCACAGGCAGTGGTTATCTCTGTAGACCCGCGCCGAGTATATGTTCAGGACCCCAGCCAGACAACCCATCACGTGGTTAAGACCAATCAGCGTGGACCTCAGGGTGAAGAGTACTGTTGGTATCAGTGCACGGTCATGGGCGGACGTGAAGGCCGTGATCTGGATGTTCGTCAACTAGTAGTTGCTTGTGAGGCCCTTGGCGCAGGCGAAGTTTTATTGAACTGCATGGATAGAGATGGAACAAACTCAGGCTTCGAGTTGGATTTGATTAGAGATGTCAAGGCAGCAGTTAGCATTCCTGTTATTGCATCGAGTGGAGCAGGTTGTGTAGAACATTTTGAGGAGGTGTTTGCCAAGACCAATGTAGAGGCTGCCCTGGCTGCAGGTATCTTCCACCGCAAAGAAGTGCCTATCCAGGCTGTAAAGGACCATGTTCTGTCGTGTGGCGTATCAGTACGTCCTATCGACAATGTGATTTAGACTTGCGTAGATAAAATATATATAATAAAAATCATCAGTCAAACACGACTCTTTGTCTCCACAAAGACAAGTAGACATGGAGAGGAGGTTGCCAGATGGGAGGCGATCACCAGGCAGCTTGCTATTTTAAGTCTGCGCGCAAGTGCTGAGTGTGACGTTGGGCTGGCTTCACGTTGTCACTGTTACACTCACAAATCAAATCCCTTATGCCCATTACTCTTCCTTGTCTTTGTCTTCTTACGCTCCTTTCCCCAATCCTCCATCGGATCTCATCATGAATGTCACCCCAGGCCAGGCTCACACGCCTGCTTTCAGGAGAGGCACCGAGAAGATAGACAACCAAAGGATCTCCTTCCTCGGCATGACTGTACAACAAGTCAAAGCTGAACTTATTACACAGGCAGACGAACACGACCGCACCTTGGCTACTAATAATCTGCAGGGGATCAGCAAAAGTGCATTGCTCAAACAATCATCCGAAATTCGACAAAGCATCCTTGAACTTGATAAGTTATCAGATCACACAGAACTCCCTCCCGCCACCCTCAAACGACTCGAGGCAACAGTCAACGAGTCTTACAACATGAAAGGAGGATTGCGAGTGAGTGAAAAGGGGTTAATAGAAAATACGTTGTATGAATAAAAATGTGGTATGTAACTCAAACTGACACATTCTTCCTTTGTGTAGCCATCACCCTTTGACACAGACGTTACCCGACTTTTGCCTTCTGCACCAGCACACACCAGTCCTAGTAAACAACGAAGCAAGACAATTGCGCAAGGGAGAAAACATGCAGATATTGAGTTTGCCACTGAGATTGGTCAGGGTCTGCTTAATGAGGTCCGCAAACTGCAGTCTGCACTTCAGGAACGAGATGAAACAATTAAACAGCTCGAAATCGCAAAGAGTGAGACAGAACGAGACCACGAGCTAATCACAAAAAGACTCAAACAGCATGATAACGCCAAAGGTAATAGATTGCGTGCACTCTAATATCATACCATGACATTTTATTTGAACAATCGCCTCACCCCACTTTATTATTAAGAGCGATTAAAAGAATCAAATTGGAATCTGGAGATGGCCAACCAGGAACTGCAGGCCCACCTCAGGGAAGCCAACCAGACCAGTACCCGGGTCAATGCAGAATATTCCCGTCTGGTCAAACAATGCACTGCCTCTGCAGAACAAGTAGAACACCTCAAGGCGCAGGAAGAAAAAGCACGCACATCCATCGATACACTCCGATCTCGTCATGAACAAGATATTCTCTCATTTCGTCGTAATGCGAGTGCAAATCAGAGAGAACAGGTTGCTCTAAAAAAGCAGCTCGAAGCAGTCAAGACTGAACTAAAGATTTGTGAAGCTAAACTCGCAATAAAGATTTCAGCTAGTAGTCGCACACCTATTCAAGAAGAGCCATTTGTGGAACCATTTCCGATCACCCCAGTAGATCCACAACAGAATGAATTAAAGTCAATTGGATCACCTAGTCCTCCTACACACCACCAGGCTCTTGAATCGGAGACGATGAAACAATCACTATCCCATGCCCATCGCATCATTTCTAACCTCCGTAGTACCCTACACAAGGAGAAGCTCGAGAAGTTTGAACTTAAAAAGATGCTCGCTGACAGCCAAGAGAATATCGAGCAGATGCACAAAGATATGAATGATATTGCTGCTACAACGACCACAACAACTCGTCAGCCCAGAAAGGTAGCAGTACGTCGACGGGGTGCCCGTCAGCCAAAGGGAACCATCTCATCTAGCAGCGCCAATCGCAGTGAAGATGAAGCATCACCACTAACATCAGCACCCGCAGCCACTGCAGGATCCCTAACAGAAGAAGAGGAGGATGAGGAGGAGGATGAGGAGGAGGATGAGGAGGAAGAAGAAAACCGCTTTGGGGAATTTGAAGGGCTGGTAGGATCTATGCAGCCCTTGTCTTTCGAATTGGAGAATAAGAAGCCATTGGTAGAAACGAGGGATGCTGCCGTCAACACGGATCGTGCATTTGCAGCCCCTTTACCCCAATCAAAAGCACCTATTTCTGCCGATTCAGCTGCCAAAGAAACGATCGACGTTTATTCATCAACTCAACAGCCAAGTATTCCTGTGCTGCACTCAGCATTATTGCAGGAAATTGAAAATAACAACATACATGCCAACCAAGTTTTAGAATCCAATCCCCCTAGCCAGTCTGTCCTGCCCACGGCTAACCTAGACACATATAATAATCAAGTAGAACAACATAAAGCACAGCAACACAACCACTACACACAACATCAATCTCATCAATATAATAATGAACAACATCAAAAAGAACAAGATATTTCTTCTGATAATGAAGACCAGCGTACAAGAGAATTTTCTGAATCTACACCGCCATCACTGGCAGATGAACTTTCAGCATTTGCAATGAAACCGCTTGTAAGAGAATCTTTGGCAGACGAGCTGATGTCTGCTCACAGCCAGGCATATATTGGAAGGACATCATTAGCAGATGAGTTGATGTCTACCCATAGCCAGGCACCTATCGGAAGAACGTCACCAGTCGATGATTTTATGTCTAGCCACAGCCAGGAACCAGCTGAAAAAACTTCACTAGCCGACGAATTGATCTCTACTCACAACAAGACACTAGTTGAAAGAGGGTCCCTGGCAGACGAATTGATGTCTGCCCACAACCAGGCACCAATTGAAAAAGCGTCACTAGCAGATGAGTTGATGTCCGCCAACAGCCAGGTACCTGTTGAAAGAGGATCTCTGGCAGATGAATTGATGTCTGCTCATAGCCAGGCACCTGTCGAAAGAGAGACTTTAGAAGATGAATTGATGTCTGCTCATAGCCAACCGCCTGTCGAGACCGGAATTTCGGCCAATAAGTTGGAACCCACTGAAACAGTTCAGTCAACCGGCATAGTACCAGTATATATTGCAGAAAAATTCGGTACATCCACTTCTATGCAGACCACAGTAGCTTATTTGTCTGAAAAATGCTTGGTCCCCGAATCAATTGAGCCAGTGGCGCAGATAGTAACCTCATCAACTGAACCAAAGGAAGTATCAAACATGTCAATGGAAAAGGCTAAGACATCTGTTGAGATAACAGCTCTGGGCTCACCGTCAAAATCTGAAAAAGTCGATAAGGATTTGGGAACTACCGAAAATATTATGACTGAAACACCCCTTGTACATATTCAGCAAACAACATTAGTACCAGCGCAAGCATCATTTATAAATGTACCAACTCCAGTAATTCCATCGTTGAGTGAACACAGCATTGCTTCTCATTATGCTGAGCCTATTGTTGAAGAAGTAATCGCTCATCCTCACCAAGACCATCTTTCATTTGTTGAACAACCTATTTTATCATACTCTATTGAACCCGAGTCGGACATTGTCAGGCACAACATTATTGTCGAACCAAAGAATACAGTACATCTTGAAGAATACTCGGCGTCACCTTACTTTGCTGAGCCTGTTTCTGCCATAGCATCATCCACTAAAAACACACTGAATAATTTCTCTGTTGAAGCTGTCGGCGACCTGTCACACGAGACTGCTGCAGTAGATGAAACATCTGCACAGTCAATACTAGCCGACGATGAATCTGATAAAGAAATTATAGTAGAAACAAAGCGTGATGTACATGTAGTATCAGCACATGCTGTCGAAAACAACTCCGAAGATAATGATGAAATTCATGTTCGTGCGGAAGATGCTGCTGTACATAAATCACTCACAAACATCACCGAAATCGTGCCTGAAGAGCAAAAAGACAATAAGAATTACAAGGATGAGAAAGAGCCGTCAGTTATTTTAAGCCCTGTTATTGAAGCAAAAGAAGTAGTCTTGCCCATTCCCGCCGCCGTTGTAACCGCTGCACCCATTGTGAATGTGAAGGATTCTTCTGCCGAATCCCCTGTTCTTATTGATGATGTTGATATTGACTCTCCTGTTATTGTTGAATCTGTCAATTCTGATGGTTTACCAGTGGTTATCGTCAAATCAACCGCTGATCCAATTGCTTCTCTTGTTGCAGTCGAATCTCCTGAAAATCTCCAAATTGATACCGAGATGGCTGAATTTGATCTTTCCGAAATAGAGACAGCTGAAGCTGATGTTGAAAATGAAGCAGAGCTAGAAATGGAGAAAGATGCTGATTTAGAGCTTGATACAGAATTAGAGAACCCTATTTTGCCCTTCAGACATCCCCATCGTTCGGCCGATTACCCGTCTTCGCCTACCGCCCTATTGTCTCCTTCAGAGAAAGCAGCATTGAAACAAGGTCATCGCTCATATGTTGTGTCATTTGATAAGCCTGTTATTCAACGAGAGGAAAGCCCATCTGATTTTGAATTTGTGGAAAAGGTCGATACTTCCGAGAAGCAGCAGTTAGTCCAGAATTTGTTTAATACGTTGGTGACCACATTGCCTACTCTTCCCCCCAAGGAAGTCACAGCTTTGTCTAATTTGATTGTATCTTGGACACCCGAGCAGCAGGATATTATGATCTATAGCCTTCGTCAGGCAACAGCTGTTGGTGATAATATAAAAGAGAACGCAGAAGAGGAGGCAGAAGAAGATAATATAGAGAAAGAGAAAGAAGAGTACAAAGAGGAAGAAGAGGAAGAGGAAGAAGTATCAATGCCTCACAGAACAGTATCATACTTGACGTCTACTTCCCCATTGACACGCCAGTCTTCTTTAAGCACAGTATCTCCATCCGTTGTCCGCCATCGTGTTTCTCCCTTTAAAAAGCAAAACTTTGTACCTGATGTAGTCGTCTCGCCCGTTGCAACACCCATTGATACCCCTGCTCCTACGCCTGCGTTTGAATCAAATAGTCCTCTTGATGAACCCGATATTTTATCCGGTCCTCCCGGGACTGTCGATATTATCACACACACACACACAGACAATACTCACGATGATAATCATAGTATGGACTTTGGTACATTTGATCTCCCAAGCATCGGCGGGTTTCCTATCAATACTAGACAAAGATCCTCGTCGTCAGGAACAGCCACAAGAGTATCACCACCAACAAGAACAACAACAGCACCAACTGGCTCGGATTCATCAGAAGTCACTACAGAAATTATTAGATCAACAGAATTGGTATCTAGCGAGCGATCTAATTCTGAGGAAGGTATAGAGATGATTTCACGAGCCGAAGCCGATTTGTTAGCCAACCGTCGTGTGGTAGAAGCTCTTGCTCATGAGCGCGCCGAGGTTGCCCGTCAACATGCTGATGAGATAAACGCATATGCAGGTAGATTGTCACCTCTTCAGCCATCTCGTCAGACACCAATAGATCAACCTACTGTCGAAAGATCCATGTCTACTTCGCGTCTGGCACGCTTATCTGGCCTGGTACGTCCACAGCCTAGTACATCTATGCCTGCTCACCAACATGGTCGTACTCTTAAGTCTTCTACTTCTATGATCTCTCTGCGTTCTGAATCGTCTCGCAAAGATAGTATTTCCAAGAGACACCCTGATTCTATCGAGTCAAAATCTGGATCTTCTTCCTATGGCAGCGTTAGAATTATGGAGCATCGAAAGTACCAGCCTAACCATTATTTGGCATCCTCTACATCTATTGGAGATCATTCTCGCCCGTCAAAACAGATACAAAAAACTCGCTCAACTGCTTCTCTCTCCACAATGTCTTCTGATGATGTAGTTGAGCGCATGGTTCATAAACCCATGTCTGATGCTACAAATTCTAACGATCCTGGTACTGATATTGATGTTATTTCAGCTATTACTCGCACCATGATCGGTGAATGGATGTGGAAGCACACTCGCCGTCATGTAGGCGGTGGTATATCAGAGAATAAGCACAAGCGATTTTTCTGGGTTCACCCATATACTCGTACTCTTTATTGGAGTGCCACTGAGCCTGGTGTTGATAACAATGAAGCCAAGGCTAAGAGCGGTAAATATCAATATACTAATAATACTTCCAGACTAACATACATATAAATACATATACATATACCTATATAAATCTACTTATTATATTTAGCTTTTATCGAGGCTGTAACTTCTGTACCAAGCCGTGATCAAGCGAATTGCTCTCCTATGAGTTTATTGATCAAAACTACTAAGCGTGATCTCAAATTAACGGCACCTACAATTGATCTTCATGATTTGTGGTTAATGGTTAGTTGAAGCATTGTTTATTATAGGTTTGTATATTAATTTACTGGCTTATTTTTTTATAGTCACTCTCCTATTTACTCGTCCGTCCAGGCAGTCAAGAAGACAGTGGGGCAAGTATGATGGAAGAATCAAGTATGGACGATGGTCATCGCTCACAACATTCATTGGCTGGTGAAGACTCAGACGATTCAGAAGACCTGGTCAATATCCGCTCTTGTTGCGATGGCAAGCACGATCTTTCCACCCTTAGGCGCGACTCCCACAACCATCATCACCAGTAAATAACGTTGACACGAATTTTTAATACTTACCCTCTATTTTTTCCTCTCTTTTTTTTAAACACTCCATCTCGCATTCATTCCCATTTCTGTTCCGCGAAGCATTCCTTACTTATCCATAAAGATCATTGTTTCTTTAATCCAAAGAAATAAAACATACACACTCTTATAATATTGGCAAAACAAGTCATATATGTATATGTATATGTATATGTATATGTATATATATATGTATATATATATATATATATATATATCGATATCAATGTTTTTATTGTTTATTAGCATTTATTTGTGCGCAATCATTTGCTGTTAGCAGCAGAGGTAGATGATGGTTTAATGACCATATTCTTGGCTGTCAAATAAGCCTTGGTAACTTGAGGAGGAACCTTGGGATGGGCAGTAGGAGGCACAAGTTGCTTATCTACCTGGACGGCTGCTTCTTGAATAACTGAGCGAGTGTAAGTTGACATGAAATAGCGCATACGCAAAAAGTGTCCATAAAAGATTACAGCAAACAAAGATACTCTGAAGCTGTGTATAAAAATGATATGAGGATGTTTTTTTAAGATCGGTAAGTTCTTAGCTGCCATCATCCCAAAAATATATATAGATGTATGTTAATTGACTTTTTGGCTTTAACTTACGTCAAGAGTCCCAAGATAAGGCGTCCCATAACGCCAAACACTTCCAATTGCGCGATCAGATGCATAGCCTGACTATAATGCGTTGTTGTCAAAGTCTTAATCTGATCTTGCAATTCGGGTTTGTGAGGTGCCAATACAGGTAAAAGGTTGGTACGAGCATACTGGAGAACATGAAATACAGAGTAAAGAGCAAATGGAAGAAGAGAAACTACACGCACAAGCGCACGCACACGCACAAATCAAATCAATAAGCTTCTTCAAGAATACACAACGTTAAATTTAATCAATCATTACTCGAGACGCGTCGGGTAAAAAGCAAATAAACAGCTAATCCCCAGTATTGAGTATTTTCATCAAGTAGGAGACTCTTGAAGAAAGGATCACCAGAGTGAGTGGGCTAAAAGGGTAATTTTTTTAAAAGAAAAGATTAAATATAATGATATGGCGTGGTTTATATCACAGCTCCCATCTTTACCCACAACATATGTGAGCTACTTAGTGATATTATTCATTTTATATTTTACCTTGTGGGAATTAAAAAGAACAATTGAATACGATACAATAGCACTTAATAGAGAGAAGCGGTATGCAATCCAGCTTGGGTGGAACAGTAAGAATGAGAAGAGGTAGATGGCGGTACTGAAGAGTAAAGTAGCATGGCCAACAAACCACACAAAATGAAGGTTCTACATTACAAACTTGGTAAAAAAAACGGCAATCTAACAAGTGTTTGTTCTATTTCTCGGGTTTATCTCTCTTCTTTCAAGCAGAAATTACCATGATGTCTAGTTTGACACCAGATTTAGCAGATGAGGGTGACATTGAATGAATCAAAAAGGTTAACCCAACTTGATCTTGGGAGGGGTTCTTTTGCCCCGCCCAGCTTTAATCGAGAATCTGGGTTAAGGTGATCGTGGTTAATTAAACTCCGTCTCGGGAGAGGGGGTTGTCATAGCAACAAACGTCGAACTTTCCCAGAAAAGGATTGACTTGTCATGACGCCATGCGAATCTTCTGATATGACTATTTTGGAATTATAAATTATGTACTATACAGTGATTACAGCCAAGTCTATCAAGACGGCTTGGCAGTTTTTGGTCACATATATCTTGATAAAAAATATACCAAACCATCAATTGATAAAGAATTCCAAAGATTCTGCTTATATATATATATATATATTATTTTAGCCAAGAAGTGTTCATTGGCAGACTCTCCAGTCGTCCTCCATTCACCGTGCGCTCATGCTTGATTTGCAATCCAGTCACATTCAACCGCAACTCCCGATTCACCATTCTCCCTGTTGCGTACACGAGTTTGTTTTTTCTCGGCTCGGCAAAAAGCTCAGCTTTTTAGTTCATTTATTTATTTTTATTAGTGTTTTAACACTCACCTTCTTTCTTTTACTTTCACTCCAAAAATAAAAATAAAATAAAGAAATTTATAAATTACAATGGACAATGGCCTTCTAGCGCAGATCCAGAAGGGCAAACAGCTCAAGAAGGCGACCACAAACGATCGATCGGCACCTATTGTATCAGGCAAGCTACCTTTTGCTATATATCCATATACATATAGATGAAGTTGCTTAATGCTATATTTACACAAACCTTTACTCTTTGCCTGCAATATTTGTTGTTTCCTTTTTAGCTTCCAAGGCCAATGGACCTCCTGCAGGAGGAATGGCAAGACCACCTGTGCCAAGCTTTGGCAACAGCAGTGCCAGTGCACCAACCAATACTGCACCAATGGCAACTCCACCATTAGCGGGATTATTTGCTAATGGAATGCCATCCTTAAGAAAAGCTAAAGGAACAGCTATTAATACAGGCCGAGAATCATCACCAGGTAAAAATAAAATAAAATATAACAAAGAAATGATTAGGTGCCCCTTTATTGGTTTACTAGAGAGGGTTGGCCGCTTTTTCTTTCTTTATTTGTCTGTACCAAGTACTTACATGTGTATATGCTTTTGTTTGCTATCTCTACAACTTTACAGCCACAACTAATACGAGCGCTGCACCAGTTCCTCGCCCACCTCCTACTTTCAACAGACCACCCGTACCGCAAGCAAACAGCAATACGCTACCAAGATCTTTTACTTCACGCCCTTTTACAGCTCGCAACACATTCACGCCACCTAGTAATGCTCCGCCACCTCCACCACCTCCACCACCATCAGCTGGAAATAACAATACTCCAGCAACCGGTGGTCCTCCACCACCTCCACCTCCACCACCTGGAGCAGGAGGAATCCCACCATCTTTCAAGTCTTCGTTTGTACCATCCTTACCAGGCCGAGCACGATCGAACAGCTCTCCACAACGTCCTGTTCCTCCTACACCTCCACGCGCTGTACCAGCTCCACCTGCTAGTCCTACCCGGACACAGCCTATGATGGCTCCTCCTGTTAGACCAAGCCCGATGCGTCCTCACGCCAAGACATCCTTGGCAGTCCCCCCTCCTCTCCCACCAGGAAGACCTCGCTCAGCCTCGACTAATGTTACGCCTGCTGCTCCACCACCTCCACCACCACAGCTATCTGCAGCTCAGACAGTTGGTGGAGGTAATATTGGAAATGGTGCTCCCCCTCCACCTCCTCCACCTCCTCCACCACCTTCGATGGCTACAAATTCTAGGGTAGAGATTCCTCGTCCTCCAGTTGGTCGGGCTTCTGCAACACCATCAATCCCAGCACCATCTTTCCGACTTCCTACTCCAACTGCTCCTAATTTTCAGTCAAACAACAATTATTCTACACCTCCTCCTCCACCCCCACCCCCACCAGGACCTTCTAATGCCTATATTCCTCCAGCACCGGCTGCTCGCCTTCCATCTCCTCCGTCAATTGGTATTCCTCCTCCTCCACCTCCGCCATCCGGAGTGGGAATTCAGAGAGGTGCTCCTGGCATGGCCACACCACCTCGTTCCCCACTGCCTCCACCCCCCTCGCGACGTGTACAAAGTTTCAAACCATCGGCTCCATCCACACCGCGTGGAATCGTCTCCGATAATACGAGCTCTCCTGAACCACCTTTGACACAAGGTCGATATACATTTAGACCAAGTTCGGCTCTCCCTCAACCACGATCCTGTTCACATCGACATCATGTCTATCCGAGTGGAGCAATTAGAGGAAATGGCAAGTTTTTAAATTTTGTACAACAAAAAAAAATACATACATACATCTTACTTACCAATGTTTTATTTTTATAGCCTATTAAAACTAATACATGTCGCCAACGCAACCAAGAACCACAAATATAAACACAACCCATCCACTCATTTTACACACCTTCACCATCATATATATATATACTTTCACGCCAATTCTTTCACGCCCAAAAAAAATCATTGTTTTATAGCAACACAATAAAATTCACAGAACGTATGATGTTTATTTTTTTTGAGTCATGGAACTTTTGAGTTGCCCGCATGCAGCCATTATATCTATGATTGTAATCATTATTATAATTAGGGGGGGGGGGGGGGGGGCGAAGAAAGGGAGAAAGTTAATATTAGATAATTCTAAAGTGATAACGAAGTGTTTATTTTCATCATCTCTTTACCTTGGCCGCGTGGACGACGAACGGTACAATGCAAGCCGCCTCGGAGTACAACCTGAGCAAAATCTTCAATTTGCTGTGGTTTTGAGGTCAAATAGTTGCTTCCCGGCCATGGGTTGAAAGGACTTGATAAACAAATAAGAGAAAGAAAGAAAATAAGCCAAAATACAATTATTTCCTTCTCAACTTACATGAGATTTACATGGGCTGGTAATTGCTTTAATAACTTAACCAAGGTCCTTGCCTCGGCTATAGAATCATTCACACCGTCCAGCATCACGTATTCAAAGGTGATCCGCCTACCGTTATTACCCATCAGATTCGCATAGCTTTTGCAAGCGTCTAGTACCATTTCTAGTGGGAATGTTTTGTTGAGGGGTACAAGTACATCACGAAGTTCATTATTAGTAGCATGAAGAGATATGGCTAATGATACACCCAATTCAGAAGCAATTCTATAATTGATAAGAAACATTATATCAATTGCCACCCGTTATTTTTAAATATTATATTAGCTCTGCCGGTGATGGATCTTACTTTGGAATTAGCGGCACAACACCAGAAGTGGAGACAGTTATTTTTGATTTAGACCAGCCTAGTCCTTGTGGGTCTGTCAGGATACGGATAGCTTTGCTGACATGCCTGATAATTAAGAATGTTATAAATTGTCACAAGTTTATTGTAGGTTATATTATATTATTATTATTTTACTAAAGAAATATCTATATATACCTCCAATTGTAAAGTGGTTCACCTTGACCCATAAACACCATGTTAGACACTGTTCGCTTAGTATCCTGGCGCAATGGAAAGTCCCCCGAACGATGGGCAGCAACCATGTACTGACCAACAACTAATAGGTCGATATGAGCCAAAAGAGATCTTTAAAATATGATCCGGTTTCCTTTTTGGTCTTAATAATTTTTACTTTTACTCTTATTGTATTGTGCTGTATTTACCTTCGCTTGCTGTCAGACTTCTCAAAAGCTTCTGGGTACCTGTATGGCAGAAACTGCATTTTAATGAGCAACCAATCTGTGACGATACACACAAGGTCGCTCTTCTGCTCTCTGGGATCAACACAGTCTCTACGATTGCACCAGGTTCTCGTCGAGTATTGAAGCCAATAAGGAATTTTCGGGTTTTGTCTTCTGCCAGTTTGTCCAACTATAAATAACAAAGAAAGTTTTTTCTGTCAAAATTTGTACTCTTGATTCATTTCTTCTTCTTCTTCTTCTTCTTCTTCTTCTTCTTCTTCTTTTGGTCTTGATATTTTATAATTATAATAATAATATATTTTTAAAGAAAGAAAACTATACATAATTTTACCTCTACATCGCCATAATGAATAGTGTATTTGCTTTCTAATTCGGCTCGAAGGTCTTTGGACATATTTGAAAATTCACTAAAGGAGCTTGATCCTGATAGTTTAACAGACATTTTTATTTTTAATGTTTTAATTCTTATCATTAATATTAATATTATTAATATTATTGTTGTTTGTTTTATTATATTCATAATACTTACTACACATACTAAATGCTATAGACTACAGACTACAGACTACATATTTTATCACATGTGTATGGATGTATATATCTCTATCTTTCTATTAAAAGGAAATATGGTATACATTGCTTTTGTGTATTTATTAAAAATTATGCATAACTTTATTACCTTGTCTGTACATGTGATGCCACAGTTGAGCAGCTGTATATTTCTTGGAATTCTTGACATTCACTGTCAATTCCTTCTGGAGATCTTCTAATGACAGGCCGATCAAGTTTTTCTTGTTCAAGGGTTCAATAGACGGAGAAACAAAATTTGCAATCTCGGGTGCAATTGCTGAATAGTGTCGTTGGCCTAGACTAGGAATTCGGAAAACATGTTTTAACATTTCAAGAGATCCTTGTAATTTATAAGGTATTCTAAGTAAAGAATCCAAAAAAAAAGAATGAATATTTTAGAAAAAAAAGGTACAAAATGAGAAAATGTGACAGCGATTACTACAAAAGGAAAATGTTTAGAACACTTATTTTTTTATTTTTATTTTATTTTTTTTACTTTGTATTCCACATTTGCTTTACCTTCTTATCTTTCTCTAATGTCTTGATGTATTCATGTTCCTACGCCTCTCTTTATCTATCTCTATGTATTTGAGCTCCCAAAATTAAAGATAATTTCTGTACCTAGCTTAATTTATATATTTACGGAAAGAGACCATTTGGCCCAGGGTATATGTGTAAAAGAAGTCTATGATCATTGAAATAGTTTATTTTCTTTACTGTGAATTTGCATTTTAATTTAATTTAATTTAATTATTATTATTCTTGTATAATTTGACAGTCGGAACAACCATTTTTCCTAATTTATAAAGTACAATAATAATTTATACATTGCCAAGAGTACTCTGTATTAAAATATTATTATTAAAAAAAATTAAGACAATAAAAGGAAAGAGACTCGATTATTCAAAAAGAAACGATCAAATTCAAAATAAAACAAACATTTGACATGACCTTAAGGAGAGATTCGAAACGAAAGAGCACGACTGATAGGGATTCATTGAGACAAAAGCTAATGACAACAAATGAGGAAGACAAGGCATGTAGAACTAAGAAAAAATAAAAAAATAAAATAAACAAAAATAAAATCTTCCCCTTCATTTCTCTCCCACCTACCCCCTTCCTTCCTTTCCCTCCTCTTCTCTTTGCTTGTTTGATCGTCTGGTTTTTGGGTTTGGGTTTGGATTTGGAGATCGATCGATTGATGACATGCAAAAGTGCATTTAGGCCTGGACCCCAGCGTCTGTCCTACAAGCCAAAGTACAGTACAGGACAACACTAAGCGACGACTGTCTAGAGATTATATTCTCTTATTTCACCGACTGTCAAGAACTGTGTCAAATAGCATCCGTGTCTAGGCACTGGAGAGCAATCGTTACAGATACCAGAAGACAAGTCGTAAGTGGAACATATTGATATATTAAATCCTGTAGAGACTAGGATATATCCAAAGCAAAACAGAGCAAAAGAATAGTTGTGTGTTGATGTGTACATAAAAAAAACAAAATCAAGAATATGTTCTTTTATTATATGTATATATGTATATATGTATATTAGTGGCACCGTATACGTATGAGCAGGAGCTTCTTTATCAGCAAGATAAGATTTATTACTCGGAATCCATACGCTGTGACACATCTTGGTCAGACAAGAGTTCTTGAACTATACCACAACCTAGAAGACGAGGATGATGAAGTCAAAGACGCTAGCAACATGATGCGAGGACTACCACGTTTCCATAATCCGTTCGAAAATCTAAAACAGCTTTGGTTGGACGGAATGTATATTCAAGATATCATTTGCCTTCTACGATGGACCTCTGAGCTGTCCGTGATATGGTGTACCAAGATACCCTTCCATCAAGATTTTCTACAGTTCACCTTCTTTGAACGGCATCAGACCCTCGAACAGCTATGCATTGACTTTAGGTTTGAAACTATTTTTGACGGGGAGTTATTTTCCTTGTCCAGTACAGAAACACTTGTCAACCGGTTCCGTGAACGATCTAATGGGCTTCCGCCGAGCTTAAGAACGCTCAGGATAAGAAATATTGTGGATGATGTACTGGGCGATGATGTACTGGGTGATGAAATGATGCTTCTGGGGAAATATCTACCTTTCCAATTTATGCACAGTCTTCGGTCTCTTTCGATTGGGAGATGTGATGGCTGGATGGCTCGTGTCTGGCGAGAATGCTTTATACCCTGCAGTACAAACCTTGAGAACGTTGAATTGCTGGGGTTCGTAAAGTGTGATGATGAAGATGTTGAGGCAGCAAAGGCGGATTTTATCGCAAACATGAAGAGGCTTCGACGGTTTGAATTGATGGACTCTGAAGTAACACAAGCTGTGATGGATGGGCTTGGACGATTAAAGAAGGACCATCAGATTGGAATACAGACTTTTTCCAGGAATGGCCAGACACACTCCCGTGAAGGACATGAAGTGCCCTTGACCGACCTGCATCTCGGCTATGCTAATCACCTCACCCTTTGGCTCAGAGTCTTTTAATAAACATGCTGCATGTTTCTATTACTATTGCTATCTGTATTGGTTTCTTTTTTTGTACATAATATTCTACAAACGTCTTTTCTCTCTCTCTCTCTTTCTTTACCATTAAATAGATGTGTGATGTATGTGTATATTTAACAAGGGCGTCGTTCCATTTGTCAATGACTTGTTTATTAACTTTGTTGGATAAAAGGAGTTGGTTTTCTTTTTTGTTTGATAGGCTTTAATGATCCAGAATAGATAAAAAAGAGCGTGCAAATATAAAAATAAAACACACATAGACACAGAGCATACCAGTTGCGCGTGTCAGGGGTGTCAGGGTTCAAAGCACTTTATACACACAACATGGCTAAATAACAAAAAAGCCAAATGACAAGAGGAGGAATAATGTAGACAAGGTCAATGTAGACACATAAATGAAGAAATTGAAGAAATTGAAGAAGTTGAAGAGGTGAAATATAAAGAAGAAGAAGAAGAAGAAGAAAGGGAGAAATGATGCGGTAACGCTTAACATTAACATACATACAAAGATATAGATATACCTGTGTATGTGTGTATGTGTGCGATTGAATGCTTGTATGTAATATGTGTGGTGTAGTATGTTTCTTGAGTGTGTATGTTTCTTTTTTTTTTATATGTTCGACTTTTGTTGTATATGTGTTCAAGGTGTATTGAATAAGCTCATTATATGTAGTTTGGGACAAAGTTTGTAAAGGTGTGCCCACGTTCTACATTTGAACTGTTTTGTCCCATAGTATTATTAGATGCTGATGAACTCTTGTCTTTTCCGTGCATAACTTGACTTGTACTGTGGCGATGGATACGAATGTGCTGATTCAGATTGTCTGACCGAGAGAATCGCTTGTTGCAGTTTTGATAAGGACATTCGAAAGCTAAAGATACATATCCATTAAAAGACTGTCGACTTTTTTTTAATTTTTTTTCTTTTCTTTTTAATACTTACGTTTCTCAAGTGTGTGGATTGATCTGATGTGGCGCTTAAGATGCTCTGATCTCTTAAACACCTTGCCGCATCCAACAAATTTACAGGTGAACATACGAGTTCCATTGCTAGGGATGTTTGATACGCGTCTACCGCGTGACTGTGGAGTCTTCTTTTTGTCCTCGACCTTGACACTGGTTTCAGCGGTTGTTGAGGATGACCGAGGGGCAGTGTGTGGACGAGGGAGTTGTTGGAAGGGGCGCGAGCAAGACGACTCGGACATTGGAAAGACAGAGGAGAAGCAGAGCTCATTGATTGCACAGCTCTCGTTCTTGGATCCATGCGTAGACCCAGGTGAGAGTGGGATCAAAGGAGATACAGGGGTGACTGGCCGAGAAGTACAGAGATCCGCAAAACTTTGGATCATGGCTGTAGCAGGACTTGATTTGAGGCGCGTGGCTGGATCAGAGGAAGGATCGAATAGAGCATCTGTGGCGTGGATAGCCTGGTAATGGGCTTGTGAGCCAGGATCGCAGTAGGTTGCATTGAGGTGCATTGAATGGCGACTCAAGTAGTCGGAATCTACTCCAGAAGACATTGAGTGCATGGAAGAGGAGATAAGCCCTGGAGTAGGTAGGGTAGACAACATATGGGGTGCGGTCATTGGGCCAGACGAGTTCGCATGCATCTGGACGGTGTTCATAAACGACGCCTGACCGAGAGAGACCGTGCCAGACGCATTGAGAAACATGGCATCGGCCTGGCTCACACTAACCACTGATCCATCGCTTCTGTCGCTGTGGATGTTTTGGTAATCGTCGCTGTCATCGGACGGAGAGGAGGATGAGAGAGGGAGGTAGCATGTGTTGTTGGTGGTGTTGCTATTGTTTGTGGTGTTGCTGTTGCTGCTGCTGTGGTAGATTTGGGAAGAGTGATCAGAAAGCATTCCGGAAAATGTGAATTTTTGTCGGTTTTCTTCGTCTTCTCTCTTTATTTCCGCGTTCATGTAAGCCATTCTGTAGTCGTAAGATGGACTTGAGCTGAGAGTATTATCGGAATGAAAGATTGGCGATGGCTGGTGGCTAAGAGAATTTGGATTGACGAATCGCAAGATGTTGTTGTGGGAGTCGTGAGTGAGAGGATCCGGGAAAGATTGAACACAGGGGGAAGACATGGTGTGAAAAAGAATGGTGGTAATGGAAATGACAGTGAATGGGGTTCAAGGAAAAGGCTAGAAAGAGTGGATAAATACAAAGAAACGACAGAGCAAAAAAAAGGCTGTATTTAAGGGAGACGGGTTCAAAACTGTCATTGACTACAAAAAACCTATTGGCCAAAGGTACTATGAAAATGAGCCAGCAAATGAGAGTTATCTTAAAGTCTGATCGACCTTTTCTGAGCACACCGGGATAAGGAGAATCGTTCAATTTAGAATGAAAGTTTATGCAAACCAAAATGGGATTTTAAAATCGAGTCCAAATGTCAATTCGAGAACAACGATCGATAGACGGGTTTCTTGCTCTTCTTACTCTCGCTAGGTATTCTTGCCTATTACCGACTATTAAAATATATAAATATATAATAAAAATACAATAAAATCTAATTCAATACCATATAATATTTAGCCGTATACTGGACATCTTGTAAGTTCAATGGGAAGAAGGAAATTATGGTATGAATTCAGGGCAGAACACGAGGAATTGACAAAGATTCATCTTTTTCTCTATCTTTTTCTTTTCTCTCTCTATTACTTTCTTTCTTTATTTTATATATAAAGTATTTATATAAATTTGATCTCACTATTGCTCTCTAACACTATACAGGCTTTTGGGCTTTATTTCCCCTTTCTCTAACCCCCAACACGTTCCATCCTTCACTTGTTTTCTTCTCTCCTTGCGACGATCCTTCTCTATCGGTAAAGACCTTCTACCTCTACCTTTCTTATTTTACCTTGCTTTGATTTGATTTGATTTGATTTGCTTTGCTTTGCTTTACTTAACTTCTTTCACCTTTTTTTTTATATATTTTCTTTTTAATATCAATTCACAATTGGCTCAACTCGTGTTGACTTAAATAGATATATATGTATATGTATATGTATATGTATATGTATATGTATATGTATATGTATATGTATATGTATATGTACATGAACATGAACATGAACATGAACTTGAACTTGAACATATATATATATATGTGTGTGTGTGTGTGTGTGTCTGTATAAAATAAATTTTGTGGCCTAGTTTCCATTGATTGGTATTTAGCTTATGGATCTTCTAACCTAACAAATTGATTCTCTCAAAGTCCACATGGGCTATATATATATAATAATGATAATAAAGGATTAATATACCTTATATAACAAAATGAAAAAAAAATTAAGGCAAAAAATAAAAAATAAAAAATAAAAGAAGCCTGTCTACTATTTACACTTCGGAAAGGTAAGGATCGGAACGAGGTCAGGTTGCATGTGTCTTATCCGTGCGATCGTCTTACTGCCTCACATATTGTATACGCCGTGTTATTTCTCTGGATCCACCAAGAGCTACCTACGATATTGATCTTAAGAGAAATTATTTTTCTTTAAAACGATTATTCTTATTCTACTTGTAAATATAATTCTTATATTGCAATGTATGTAAGGACCTGTACAAATGCACCTCTTTAGAGGGCACAGTACTTGTGCCAATATATATTATATAATAGTCTTTTTTTTTCTTGCATATTATCCTGCCCTCTGTTCCGGCACTCCGTCTCATTAACCAAGCTAAAAGTCGCATGCATAGAACCAAGACTATATATATATATATATATAGCTATTATCCCGAGCGTTGTCTTTGGGAGTGCATACAAGTTGCAACAAAAAGTCAGTTTGAAATCTTTAATTGATTCGATTGTCCAATGTTTCCCTTTGGAACAATATTTTTATACACATTATAGTTTTACAATTCACAATATTACTGTCAAATCTAGAAATAATATCGTAATTATATTATATTATAGTATAGTATAATATAATATATTCCATTGCATTGTATTGTACTGTATTGTACTGTATTGGGTTGGGTTGGGTTGGGTTGGGTTGGGTTGAATTGAATTGAATTAAGTTGTGTATCAGGCTTATTTTGTAATAGACCACAAAAGCTTTAAATATCTTTCAAGAGGTCTGATTATTCAATACATACATACATAAAAATATACCAATAAAATAAAGACTATAATTGAATATAATGATGTAGGGACCAACGCTTGTCATACTATAACTGTGACTTGCTCGTCCATTTAACCGCCCTTTGACAGACAAAGGATAACCTTCAATCAGAACAAATACACAAACACATATAAATTCTATTTTCTTAACAGGCTTACACATCATATATACACATCGACTTTTAACCAAGTCCTCTTGTTCATAAACCAGAGAAAAAGAATCAATAAGAATCATACATATATACAAAGATATATAAATATAAATATAAATATACCCTATCTCTACCCTGCTTTGTACTGCATAATTTAATAACACTCATGAGTCAGCAGCCCAGAAGGTTTAATGACCAACAGATGGTCAAGGCTTTTTTGTCTGACAATTGCCTTTCTCAGTACTGTGAACGCATGATTGACGAAGGCTTCGATCAACTTCGATCGGTAAGGGAGTCAAATGAGAGTAGATTGAATACTAGACACTTTCATTCTTAGGTCTATGATGTCACAGAGTCTGATCTTGCAAGCATGGGTGTAAAGCGTGGACACCGAAGAGTAAGAAGAAATAGTATATATATATATATATATATATACATATATTTATATTTATGTATATGTATATGTGTTAAATAATTAAATAATTATTATCAGATGCTTCAAAAAGCTATTGCTGATGCAAAAGGAACTTCTCCTTCTTTGTCTGTTGATACCGACAAAAATGGGCCCGGAAAATATATGGGCGAGCATTCCATGTTGATTCGCTGGTTACAGTCAACTCAATATTGAGTCTTGTTTTTCTTTTCTTTTATATTATCCCCCTCAAAAAAAAAACAAAAAAAAAACAAAAAAAAAACTCATTTCAATATTGAAAAGAGTAGACAAATGAAAGTACAAGAAGTATATCAAATTAATAAAGAGAAATAATTGCCAACACACACTATCCACTTATTCATTGATTCATTCATTGACACGAACAACTTGACTGTGTATGCTATATATGTATATGTAATGTATATGTATATTAAAAATATATATTTGATAATTAGATAACCAATACTTTTTCCCACAAGTATTCGGGGCCCTTTAATTATTATTGTTATTCTTTATTCTTTATTACCATTTTCTTTTTTGCTTAAAGAGGTCAAAACATGTCCTTTACAATTCACATGGTATATTGTCTATGATCCTCTTCTTCTTGTTGCTGCTGATAATTATGATGATGATGATGGTGATGATGATATATCTTTATTTTCTTTTATTAGACTTTATTCTTACCCCCCCTTTTTTTGTTCTCCCTATTTCTATCTATTTATTTCATTCAATACAAGGAGGTAGAAATATATGAAGAGACGAGTATGGTTAAATATACTCATGTCCTGTACCTTGGTTGTAAAAACAAGTGAACAGGTACAAGCTAAACTCATAAAGAGAATAAACTAAACAAAGAAAAGTGAGTCCTTCCAACTCTTACCAAAATACAATGTCAGTTTTATTGTTCTTTTCTGTGGAATAAATCCGTATCTTTATACACATAGTAGTTTATATTTAGTAAAGTGATAATTATATCATAATATTGAGACAAATATTGACCTTTGACTATTGTTAAAACATTGTTTGTCTGTTTAAATATATATATATATGCGTGTGTGTGTGTGTGTGTGTATCGCAGTGCAGTGCAGTACGGTGCAGTATAATATTATGCTTTGGAACCTAAAGCCAAAAACAGATAGGTACATGATCAATTAACTTACACTAAGGGTGCTCAATCAGACTCTACGTAGAAATCCAAATTTTGTTCATTGGCCAAGTATATTACTATGGATAAGGACACTAAAATTCAAAAGAGAAGAAAAAGTATAAATCTTGTGCTAGTTTGTTATAGCCTTAGTGTACCGAGCCTTTAAGCTATGTTTATAAGATATTGAAGTCTCACTAACAAATCAAAACCTTCAACTCCTTGCAAATAACAACGTAAAGGTCGTATAAGAAAGGATTTATGACATACATATAACAAAGTAAAAAAAAAAACAATCAGAGCAATGTATATTTCCATATTTGTAAACTTTATGTCGCTATAAGAATATTAGTCCAATAATATTTTTGCGTCATTTAAATATGCTATATAAAATCTGGTTTCTTGCCCCTCCTAAATTAACAAAACTGTCAAGCTTAAAATGATAGATTTTGCTTAAAGTAATCCTACCAATTATTGTTCGTTTGTGTAGTAAGCATCACAGATACGGAAATATACATTGCTCTGATTGATCTAGTTTTTACTTTGCTATAGTTATATACAGAAATCCTATCTTATACGACCTTTATGTTGTTTGCAAGGAGTTGAAGGTTTTGATTTGTTAGTGAGACTTCAATATCTTATAAACATAGCTTAAAGGCTCGGTACACTAAGGCTATAACAAACTAGCACAAGATTTATACTTTTTCTTCTCTTTTGAATTTTAGTGTCCTTATCCATAGTAATATACTTGGCCAATGAACAAAATTTGGATTTCTACGTAGAGTCTGATTGAGCACCCTTATGGTATATGAAGAAAATATTAATTATTAGAGAGTGGAGATGTATTAATATTCTTTAAAATTAAGGGTGGGAAGAATGAAGATGTTTCTTTTTTTTTTATGAATCGTATTGTAAATCTTGCCAGTAAAATAGCCATAAGTCCGCCTTTTTTTTTCATAGTAGGTAGTCATGAAAACGATCACAGGTACTTTTTTTTTATCACTTTGTGTCACAAGAACTAGTTATATATGGATAGTTATATCCAGGGTTTGAAAAAGAATGTAACCATGACCACAGACCACAGACCACGGACCACGGACTAGAAAGATCAAGTAGATAACCTATACTCAATAGCTTGTAGTCAGCCCATGACTTTTAGGTGTATAAATACATATACACAATAGGGAAATATTGTTCATGATCATATGTGTGAGTGTGTGTGAGTGTGTATATCTTCAAAAATAAAATAAAGAATAATACAGGCAAGATCTAGAGTCATCAGGTGATTAGCACTGTAAAAGGATCAAAGAATTTCTATTTTATTTTTAATAATATTAATTATGAAAATAGTAATAACATCAGTAAGGTGTACAGGGTACTGGAGTATGCCATTGGTTTTGCTGCTCAGAAAAACCATCACTCCAGGTGTCGGTTGATATGGTGCTACTTAAGAGGGGAGTGAGAGGAGATAGAGATGCTAGAGGAGATGATATAGTATGTGGTGTGTGTTGAAGAGTTGAGCTAGTAAAGGCCGTGTGATCAGACCTATCCCCCCAGACATCGGGCTGCATCACACGAGAGAGACGGTATTTGACCCCAAGATAGCTGAGGTAGTTTGATTTTGGAAACACTCTCACCCTTCGTACGCTCGGGAAATTCGAGTCGTTAATGTCGATAAATGTGCCTCCTACACTCAGGGTCTGCTCTAACTTGTGCTGATTGCTCGGATCAAACGGGACCCACTTGGCCTTCATGAAAACAAGCCATGTAAAATAATTGTTGGAAGAATGATAAGAATTGCTGGTTGTGGTTGGAGTAGTGCGGTCTCCTGATTTTTGTAGTGTGAGTTCAAAATGATAAGGATGATTGCGAATAGTGGCCGTCATAGTAAGTTCATCGCAAGTCTAAAAATGATAATATATATACACGCACATATATATATATATGAGAATAGATATATCTATATATATATATACACACAGTATAATGTATATTTAAATATGTATATTGAAAAATCAAATCAAATCAAATAAAAAGAAAAGAAAGGAAAGCGAAAGAGAAAGAGAAAACTGATTCTTACTTTTTATATATGTAATATATTCTCAAGCATGTCCAACTAAATGAAAGAAAGAAAAACATGGTTCCACACACACACAGATATATATATATATACACGCGCATACACTCACACACATAAGAGCGCCATTTTTGTGCTAGTTGACTGACAAGGTAAACCAACCATGGTGTGTGGTCTCAATGGGATATTCGTCGTACAATATCAACACTCACTGGGCAAAATCATAAAAGAGTTAAAAAGATGATGGAGAAATGATACCATTATGGACGTTATAACTATTACAGAAACTTTGCTTAATTCAATTATTCTCTTTGAGACACAGTGTAAATCAAACAACTGCTATAAACACACACACACAGAGAGAGATAGAGAGATAGAGATAAAGAAACAAAAGGGCATTGATACAAGAATATACTTTATCAAAACAATTTTTTTTCTGTTTACAAGTTTTATAAGTTTTAGATTTCTGGACCCTTTCTTAAAGCAAACAAAAAAAAATAAGAACATGTGAATTCAGTTGCTTCTTGATCACTGATGATCTCCAGACTAAAATAAGCCTGAAACCAAAAAGGCAACCCTAGGTTGTGATCTAATGTATTGTACAGTATGAGAGTGAACCAGAACCTCGACACAATTATTCACAATTGGGTGGCTGTTTAAGAATACACTTTTTTTTTCAAATGTGCGCACAATGTTACATAATATATATTATATATATATAGGTGGGTGTATTCAACTTTAAAACAGCAAACATAATCCAAACAGGATTAATAAGATTGGTAAATTGGCACAAAAAAATTGCTCTTTTTTCATTTTTATTTTCAAAAATAAAAGGAAGAGCCTTGAATTGGCGTATTTGTTCTATTAAATGATCTTGACTATGATTATTATATCAAGGCAAGACTGAAACAGTTGACATAAGAAACAAAGTACCCAAGACGGTACGTTCCGAAATGAGTCACTAAAAACACAAGCACAATATTCGACAAAACCGTCTTTCTTTATTAAGTAGTGTTATTTGTTTACTGGCTTAAAACAAAAAGGAGTCAGAGTCAGAGATAGAGATAATGTATGGCCTAATATCACTCATGTGTTTTCTGTAGCTGTAAATAGAAAAATCGATATTTGCCCTTTCAAACCAACGTCAAACTCAGGTGTTTGGCCGCGGCATTTAAACATTATGTGAAGACAGAAAGATACTTCTTTCAAAAAAATATATAGGCTATGAATTATGGCTACTGGAATCCGGCGTGCTTTTCATAAAATTGTGTGCAATTTGGCCTACAAAGATTTGTATTTTTCTTCTTGGTATTTCTCACGCACCTACTGCCACATTACGCGAGAAAAAGAAATGCTGTTTTATGGCTGATTCTTACCAAAAATCCACTTTCCCACCCCCGAGTTTAAACTCTTTTTACTTTTTTTTTCCTACAATGTAAATGATCAATATGTGTATGTGGTTAATTATATACTATATTTTCACCTATCAAAGTCATATATGATAACTACTTATACGAAAAAGTCTATAAAAAGACAACCCGATTGACAGGCAAGAAGTTCAAACCTTACGCACATTTGTCTTTTTCTCTTGTAAGTACTCCATTGACTGACCTACAGTATATACACTCACCCAATATCTTAGTATATTATTCCTACCAATTTGAGCTTTTAAAAGCACCATCCGAAGCCTCAAATATCTACTCCTTTGTGGATTAAAAGACATTGAACGAGGATACTCCATTTCAAGTCCTTGCTGTCAAGGCAAAAAGGCAAGCAACCGGATGGAGTCCAGAGTTATTTAAACCCTTAAAAGACCTGGTCACTAAAGTCTATACAATTTCCATACCAACCTATGCACTTAGCAAGTATATATTCCTTGCCGACCTGGCACGCGACCCATCCTTCGACATTAACGGATAGATTAAGAAAGATGTTTTTGTTGGTGCCTTTTTGCTGTTGATCTTTCTCAACACTGCCTCCTGCTATATAACATATTGAACAAAGTGGAATTGGGAGTTCGTTTATCAACACGGTTATGACTATGCTGCTACAAGTTCTTTCATCCTCGATTCCGTTTAAGCAAAACAAAAGTCAAACCAGCAGCCAATATTTCTTTCGCAAGCTTCACCTCTCCTCCTATATTAACCAATCCAATGTCAGTGAGCATATAGCAAGCAATATTAGCGTTGAATTTGGTTGGTCTTCTGTATTGATGGTGAAAAACTGGTCTGTACCTCACAGCTAATACCATAAACCAATTAAGGGTGTAGCAATGAGATTTGATGTTTGTTTGATTGATAAATTTAGTACTTTCAAGTACTGTTTTTGTGGACTCAGCCTTATCTTTCAACCTTCAAGCAAGTCGAGAACTCTTAGTAATATCACCATACTCAAATGCCAACTGTAGCCTGCCACAGTCTTCTAAGGTAATATTATAACCATCATTATTTTTGTTAAAATTTTGCAATATTTTTTATAAAGAGTTCTAAATACACTGATTCAATTTTTTTTCAGACATAGCTTTGTTAGGCTTTGAGAATCGTTTATGTAATAGAGACCTTGTTGCTGTCTTGAGCTCCAAGAACATCCTTAACCAATTGCGATATTGTGGGACGATTCCTGATAGGTTGGACCATGTTCACCAGATTAAAAGTACCATGAGACCAAGAGAGAATGTTCCAGACGGTCATCGTGTGGGGCAAAGGCTGCTAGGCTCCAAAAGTATACCAATAACAAGAAGAATAATATGGATTTTCTGACCTGGTTATCGCTTCATTCACAAGGTGACTTGTGGTGAGTCATTGCATTATTTGAATAATTTAGAATATTATTACTGTACTACATGGGGGAAGGGGAAAGGGGAAGGTAAGGGTGAAAGGAAAGGGAAAAATACTTTGCATTAATTACAAAAAAAAACATTGTTAGGCAAAAGTGGGGTATTGAAAAGGTGCCTCTACTTTTGAGCTACAAAAGTAAAGAAATGTGAAAAATTGAAATTGAAACATATAGAAAAAATGCTTACAAACGACTGCTTAATTTTGATACCCAATACTTAATTATGAAAATTTAGATCAAGATATATTGTTGTGTATTGGAACTAGGAACGCATTAAATATTATTATAAGATCCTTGAAAATCCTTGCATATCAGTCTAGCAATAGAAAATGTACCTTCTATAAGAAAAAACTTATATTATGCTAATATTATGTGCTATTGATTTTATAATAAAGATACCTGGATCACTAGCTTGGAATTGTTAAAAAAAAACGTTATTTTTCCGAATCAATAATTAAATTGTACTAATGAAGCACTAAACTCAAGAATATAAGAGAGGATTGTTAGAAGGTATAATTATTTTAATTACTATTCTCATTCAAAAGCTTGTATATATAGAAACAGAAATAGAAACGGTATCGCCAAGGTACTTTCGTCTTGCAGAAATATTGAATATTCAATGTACATGTTTGGTAAAAAAAAATGGGGGGGGGGGGTTTATTTTCAATGTATTACTCATTCTTCCATAGACTGCCCGTTGTTGGTTGGCTTCACGGAGGTGGGTAAAGGTGGAACTCCATTGTCACCTTCCTCTTCCATATCTGTGTCATGGCGCAGTACGTTTCCCATGTTGTAGTGCATAGCTCTCTTCTTTGCGAATTCATCGTGTTGTTTTTTAGCTAAAGTTGATTTTAAGCGAAATTACTTTGAGTTAATTATCTATGTATCTTGTTTATGTTTTGCCTGTTCATTATACTCAAAATACAAAACAAAACATATTAACTTACTTTGTTCATCTTCTTCTTTGTCATCTGAATCCCAATCATCATCACTAAGGTATACACGTCGTCCCTTGCGACTACTTGAGGTACTGGATCGATCAGACTCATTTCCAGTGTCTAATGAAAACTCTTCAGGTTCCTCATTGACAGCTTTTCCCTCATAACCAACATCAGCTATTTTTTTTTTCAAATAATTTAAAATGTCAATAGGGTGCTTTTTTTTATAAAGAAAAAGTAATAATATTTTTGTACCTGGCATATTAAGTACTTCGTCTGTCTCATGGTTATAGTGAATGTATGGCGTCTTTGGTTCATCTACTTTCATGGTAGCATCCTTTTGCGCCTCTGTAAGTTCCAGATTGGCTTCATCCCATTTCAGACTGTTGATGACAAGGAGAGGAATATAATATAATGTGTTAGATGAAGATATATTTTATTAGTGATTGATATTACTGAGGATCGATGTTGTTTCGGGGTGTTTGGTTTGGCTTCTTAAGAATGCCTCTTATTGGTTTTGCCGTTGTTGGACTGTCCATGACGATAGTGAAGATAGAATAGAACAAAGAACTTCAAGGAAAGAGAAAAAAATTAGAGTCATTTACTCGCTACTGCATAATGTGACGTCAGTAAATCCTTTGCTCCACTTCTTGGTTAGTTTATTCCACTTTTTGACATGCTTACACTTGCTCTTGGTTATATATCTGTGCCAGTTGCAATCGAGGCATCTGTACGCTCTAATGTCACACCTGCAAATCCATTCCCATGGACTCTTGGTAACACCCTTTCGATCGCCTGCTTTGTGAGCAAACCGCCGACATCATATCCCACCGTAGCAAAACACATTCTTGGGATCCCTCCAGATGCCACCCGGGCTGATCAAGAGTTATTTAGTTTAATATCCTCTTCGCTTAATGCACAATCTCAACAACGTTTGTGGGCAATGATCATTCTCCAAGATGGACTAGTTGGTGTCTTGAGCTCAAGTAATGCAAGCAAGCTTGTCCTTCAGATTGTCGAACCTACTGCATGCCTCCCGTACCCACTACCAAGCTTTAGTCCTCAAGCAGCCAATTTTGGACCCAAATTGTCACAAGAACAATTGATGGGATACCCTGTATATATTCAGCAACTGTGTCAGCAGTGGCCAGATCCAGCTGCGTCTGCAAGCCTTCATGCGGTGGCCCAAGAAGTTTATCAAATCGCACTCCTGTATGGTTACTGGAACCTTTGGCGCGTAGTAGTCGGAATTTGTGAACGATTTGGGATTGATCCTCAGAAATTGATCGCCTAAAAAAAACCAAGGAAAAAATCCTCCCTTGTTTTGTCGTTATTCATTACGATATACTGACCGCATGCGTAACCTTGCCATTTTCCATTATTGATATTTAAGTTAATTCCGCATTATCTTCACTTCACTTTTATCACTTTACGAAAATCTAGCTTTATTTCTATACATACATGCACATACATATATACGTGTGTATGTGTGGTGTCATATATAATAATTGTAATGAATAAATAGAGGAATATGTATAAAGTATATACGAGTAAGGAAAGGGGATTGATTGAGTCAAGGGTAAAGGAATGTAATTCAAAGGGGATGAAGTGGAGTTTAGATGTCATAAGCCTGTCATCTTACTGTTCAATTTATCTCACGTCTTATGCTTTAATTTTTTTTTAAAAAAATAAACACAAACATAAAGCAAAGTAAAATTCTTGACTCTCTTCTTTCTTCACTTTGTCATATACACATTTACACAACTACATACACAATATCAACTTGTAATCATGGCAAACACTATTCAACAAAATGCACCTGTAGTAATAATGCCGTCTTTAACTGTCCATGACTTCCAAACACACTACACACCGCGTATACGCTCAAAAACGGAACCTGGTAAAGATATCCAAGCTCAAATAAGCAGCAAACAAGATACACTTCCGCAAGAGACTTGGGAAACAACACTAGAGAAATGTATCAAGAGCATTATATCAATAAAAGCCACTCGTGTAAGATGTCTCGATACAGAGACACCCGGTGCGTTCACTGCCACAGGATTTGTGGTCGATCCAGTTCGTGGCATCATTCTATCTAATCGTCATGTAGTTTCTGTGTCTCCTATTGTTGCTCAGGCCGTTCTATGTAATTATGAAGAGATTGAACTGGTACCTATATATCGTGATCCTGTGCATGACTTTGGGTTCCTCAAGTATGATCCTACGCACGTTCGTTTCCTTACGATTCCCGGAATACCACTCTGCCCTGAAGGTGCTAGAGTTGGGCAAGAGATCCGTGTAGTGGGGTCAGTGCTTCTAAGATGAATAAAAGTTGGATATCACTTCATTAACCAAACAGCTGCTTATAACCCCATTAGCAATGATGCAGGTGAAAAACTGAGTATTTTGGCAGGAACATTGGCTCGTCTTGATAGAGAAACACCCAACTATGGAATCGGAGAATACAATGATTTTGATACCTTTTATATGCAAGCCGCATCAAGTACCAGTGCAGGTTCAAGTGGTAGTCCTGTGCTGGATGTTTACGGACGTGCTATTGCCCTAAACGCAGGTGGTGCTACCAATTCGTCTTCAAGCTACTATCTTCCTCTCAACAGAGTTAAAAGAGCACTAGAGTGTATCCAAAATAGTCAACATGTCTCACGGGGTACAATCCAAGCAGAATTCGAGTACAGATCCTATGACGAGCTTTCTCAATTGGGCCTCAGTCTTCACATTGAAGCACGTTTACGGCTATACAACCAGGAAAGCATCCAAGGACTCTTGGTCGTCAAATCCGTCTTGCCTCTTGGTCCCGCTGACGGTCACCTTGCATCTGGTGATATTCTGCTGACAGGCAATGGCCGAATCGTGACCCATTTCTTGGATTTAGCCGACTTGTTAGATAATTCAGTCCACAATACCATTGAACTCGTGGTGTCGCGTGGCCAAGGTGTACTTCACCAAGTAAAAGTCACTGTTCAAGATCTTCACGCCATCACTCCAAACCGTTTCATTGAATTTGGTGGGGGAATATTAAATGACTTATCGTACCAAATGGCACGCTCTTACGGACTATCTCTCGACAAGCCAGGAGTTTATGTGGCTGCAGCGGGGTACATACTGGGTACTGCTTTGGCTCTAAGAAAATCGGTTATAATTGGACTTAACAACCAAGTAGTCCGGAATCTCGATGACTTTATAAAGATTTCAAAGGAAATTCCACAAGGAGAACGGGTTCCTATCCGGTACTATTCGCTCTCTAGAGCCCTCAAAGACAAGGTGATGATTTTGCATGTGGACCATACCTGGCACAAGTTTAGGATGGCTATTCGTAATGGTAAGTTGATGGTTTTTTTATTGGCTTTCGTTTAGTCTGTTATGGGTTTAAGCATCTCAATGTTTATTAACAGAGTTATTGATTTGATGTTTATTAGATACTACTGGCTTGTGGGACTATAAAAACCTTGGGGAGCCTCCCATAATCACACCGCTTTTAAAAGTACCAAGACGATTATTTTCTGTAAAAACAGATCCATTCCAACGCTTAGCTAAGAGTCTAGTGGCAGTTGATGCACACCCTCCTTATATTATTGATGGACTCAAGAACTCACATTCTTACGGCGCAGGTTTGATTGTTTCTATGGATCCTCCATTGGTTGTGTGTGATCGTGATACTATTCCAGTTGGTATTTCAGCTATATCTCTCACGTTTGGTAATGCTATCACTATGTCAGCTCGCTTGCTCTTCCTTCATCCATTTTATAACTATGCGGTCCTCACATTTGATTGGGATCGTCTGGAGAGTTCAGGAATTGAAGTCCATGTAGCAATGTTTAGTGACAAAGTCCTTAAACCCGGAGATCGTGTCAATTATGTTGGTCTTGGTGGTAAATTTCCAACTTCAGTATAATGAACTTTAAGCATATTAATTTTATTCATAGGCGATAATCTTCCTGTCATCAAAAAGGCCACCGTGTCAATGCTTAAACCTATCCGCACCAAGGAAACCTCTCCTCCACGATGGAGAGCAATGAATGTTGAGGCATACAAGACTAGTGAGGGCAGTCTAAATGGTCAGGGTGGAGTTTTGGCGGACGAAGACGGAAAAGTCCAGGCTAGTTGGATGAGCTTCTCTAATGAAGATGAACGCGGTAACCAAGGGGGTGAGATGGGAGGACTGTCAGCCCACCTGATATTACCTATTCTGGATGCTATACGGGCAGGGGAAGTGCCGGGTGTGCGTGGACTGGATGCCGAATTGTGGACAATGCAACTGGCCAATGCGCGACTTCTGGGGTTACCTGAACATTGGTTGGATCGTTACCAGGAGACTGAAAACCAGTCCCATGTGTTATATATTACTGGTATTACAGATGCTAGTAGCCCATGCGCAGGTCTCTTGAGTGCGGGAGATATCGTTCTCTTGATAAATGGTGTGATGATGATGAATGTATCAGACCTAGCCCGGTTCTCTCAAGAAGAAGAGTTAAAAATGGTAAACTGACAATAGTATGCCGTGTCTTATAATATTTATTCTGTGTAATTAGACGATATTCAGGAATGGCCATGAGCTTGAGATTGTGGTTCCTACTACATACTTTAATGGTCAAGAAACTACTCGTGTTATTGGATGGCAGGGAATGCTGGTCCAGGACGCATACATGGCCGCTAAAGAGCAGATGCAAAAAGAAGTTCCCAAAGGACTTTATGTTTCATGCTGCTTATTTGGCTCCCCTGCCCAGATGTCGCTCCGGCCAGGGATATGGATTACAGAAATTAATCAACGACCAGTTCACACACTTGACGAATTTTTTGACGCCGTCAAACTTGGAAACCGTTCTAAAAAGATCGAATCTGCTCCTATTGAGCTCACTTCAGACTCTCTCACAAAAGATGCTTCCTGGCTGTTGTCTTCTCCGGATGCTTCCCAAAAAAGCGTGACAGAAAAGGCGGAGAGCCATGTTCATGTCAAATACGTGTCCCGAAACAATGGGACCCATTTAGTTGCGCTCCGGTTAGACCATCATTATTGGCCCACATGGCAAATACAAAAAGACACAAACAGTCCCTTTGGTTGGGTGTACCAACACTCACTTTAGACCTAGAAATAAATTATATTATCTATACAGTTCTTCTGCTCTTGACTTACCAAACTTTTGAAAACGCCATCAACTTTTTTGTAAATGATTTTGGACATTGTGTGAGGTTAAATTACCAAGAAAAATCACACCAATTAGACTCAATATTTGAAGCTAATTCATCGACTGTTTTGCAAAGTATCTAACCAGCTTCTAGTCAAAAATGACTATAAAGCCAGACTAGATGTGACTCTACATGTAAAGCTTAGGCACAAATTGAACATAGGGGACTTAACCTCACAATACTAAGTGTTTTATAAACGTTAGATAAATTATAGCATTCTATGTGCTTTTTAATTCGGGACCAATGTTGTTAAAGATATTTAAATGTGCGCTTTTCACTTATTAGATGTTAGTGTATTCTTCTCTTACCAGGTACACGAATAATAATGTATATAATTAGTTAAATCAAAAGTACGTTTTTTTTATCATAAAATAGTAATAACGTATTTGATTCTCCAGAGAGTAACATAAAGCTACTAGTTATTTTCAATATAAGATAACTAAATAGATAAAGAAACATTTCATAGTAAGATAAAGCTTACTTCTTTATAAGCTTATTTCAAAATATATATTTATTTCTATAGACTTCTCATTTCTCATAAGAGCCATAATTATAGGCAGAACATCTTTATATAAGGCTACAAAATTGGATCTTCATGCCTGTATTCCGCCACCCATGCATACCGAATCTTCCTCGAAAAACGTGAATTCAATCTTGAAAGTTTAGAATTCCTCGCGAAAGTCGTACTGTCTTGTGGGAGGCTCCATAGAGACACCTGCTTACCGGATCCTTTATCTTTCAAAAAACCGAAAACCTCATAAACGATGAGAAATGCTCTATATCCTGTTTGGAAGACATCCCCAAACAGCCTCTAGTAAAATTCACTTAAAGTTGTCTAGGGTGGAGTATAGTCCTATCTTAGTTGTCTTTGTGTTAGCCGCTGTCGAAGACGAACACTATCCTGACCATTTTGAAATATGTTGACATGTTTATTTCAAAACACACACAATAACGTATCGTGAGTTTCACTATATATGTCATTTGAAGAGTATATTGGGTCTGCGTTATGGATGAACAACCTTTTCTTCCTAGCGTGATAATGGTAAAGGTATTAATGGTGATACAACATTTCGTAGAATAGACCATTCAGTTTTTTTTAAAAAAAAACTTTTCTCTTTCCAATTTTTTAATGTAACATCAACAAAATTCTCTTTCAGTTATATAAATCCAATCGTTTAGTGCTTTACAGTAAAGTCAACAGATAAATGCAATATATACATATATATGTATATCATCCCATATTTCAAGCCTTATAGCTTAGCCAGTTTATAAAATTAAGAGTATAAGAAATTATGGGCTAATCAAGTCTTATATGATACTTTATATTATAAATATTCGCGGTTTGGAAGCTCATTTTCATTTTCGAAAAACCAATATAAAAAAATCAAGAGCAAAATCTTCGCCTGAATCCATCTTAAATGGTGTGACAAAAGTCATTATCTTTATTTTCATATTTGATAAACCAAGTATACGGCTTCTCACACATTACACTCCTTGATTGTGACCAACTCAACTATGGCAAAGAATATTGTAAAAGCATTTGATTCTTTAATCGGGTACACATCCCAATATTTGCTCCATTAATAGCCAGGTCCAATAGAGCACTAATGACCTTTACATGTGGCCATGGTCATCCTATTTATCAAAATGACTCAAAGTCAACTCTTTGCAATAGCTTTTTAAGTCTTACATTTTTCCAAAATGTCTTAACAAAGAGAAAAATTGTTAATGGTAACCATCTATCAGTCATCTGTTGTCCTTCGTTTTTTTTAAATATAATTATAGTCTTTCTTTATCGAGACATTTGCCAAAATACTTAGTAGAATGAGAAGCAAGCCCTCTGGGATCGCTTAAAGATATACCGCATCTCTCACTGATTCTACAGATCAGGGATTATATTTCTAGAGACTTATTTTTCTTAGCTTTACTTTTGACAACTAACCACTATTGCTCAATTGGATCCAGTTCCGGAGAATATAGAGAAAGATAAACATATTGATAGCATTGAGAGTGAATATATCTCCTTATATCCGTTGAGCGATGGGTAGGAGCATTATCTATAACAAGATAATGGCCCTTCATCCCATGATACTTATTTATTTTATCTATAATATTCTTTAAAAAACTCAAATATTGCCCCGCTACTGTTTCTGTTCCTGTGCTATGGCCATCAGTTGCACGCCTATGCTTCCTCTTGTTGCTACATTTTGAAACTCTTAAACTAACATTTATTAATGCAATGACCGATATTGAGCCTAGAATCGATGTTGCATTCGTCTTAGCTGTATGCCCTGTAAACACTACATTAATTTTCTCCTTTGACCAAAATATGTCTCGTTTCAAGCGATTATGGAAGGCTAGTTCACCAAGAAACACACGCTCTGCTGTAAAATCCATGTCGATCAGCTGCCACTTTTGGACCCAATCGCACTGTTGTTTATTTTTCTTCTTATAATTCCTTTCCACAGGTTGAAATTGTGCGTGTTTGATGGACATATTTTATGGAGTTATAATGAACTTGTAAATAATACGATGAGAAACTTCAAGAATCACAAGTATATAATAATTTTCTGAGAATTCAATTAAAGCAGCAGTAGAGTTCTCATTAATGTTATTAAAAGAGATTGATAATCTTTTTCTTTTAGAATACAATATTTGTCTAATATATATATTGAGAATGCTCTCGGGATCTAGATAACAAAGTTTGACACATCTCTGAACAGCTCAGATATAAGCACCTAACTGTTTTGCAGCAACAGAAGCGCTTGAACACTTGTTAAAAAATAATTAAATAAATCTACTTTTCATGTCAGAATAAAATGTATATCGGTTTATTATATAAAAATATATTCATATTTTCATTATTCCATTCATATGCAGCTGGATCCATTACACGAGTAGGCCATTATGGATGCTTATTCATTAGAAAATAAGCACAAGAACTTATTGTTTCGGATGGAAATAAGTCTTCATAAATAGTAAGATTCATTGGAACCAATTCATATTCATAAATAAATAAAAAATGGATAGTCATTTTGAATGTCTGTAAAAGAAAACTGTAGATTGGTAAGGGTAACAAATAACTCTCTCTAGCTTATAGAAAACAAATTGCCAAGATTTTAATTATGGGCTATGGGCTATGAGGTAAAAATAAACAAATGTGAACATGACTTTATATTAGGGTCAAGTGACATCATTGCTGGATACGACATTTTTTGCACAACATGAAATTAAAAAACCGTAATTTTACTTCCTGAAATGACTGAATTTCTTGCATTCCATCGTATATTTTAATACTCAGTAATATCGGGGTTATGTGAATATAATTATCCCGTCAACCACAGGCTAGAAAAAGAAAAAGAACGAACGAAGGAACGAAAGAAAGAAAAAGGCAAGCTCTTGTTCCCTCTTGATTCCCGAGAAGAATGTCAACAAGTAAGCCTTTTATATTCAAACTTCCTTCTTTAAATCAATTCAACTCTAAACAGTACAAATTTATATTTCAAAGAAAAACGCACGATTATTATGATTAGTTGCTCATTTCATACATTACAGATTTAAGAATCGCATGTGTGGTAAGCCTACGGAACAAAGCTATTCCAATGTCTGAGACAGACTTCCCCGAAAAACTCTTTAAATCAAAAAGAGTGAAAGCACTTATTGCTGAAATCTAATGTGAGATTAGATGGTTGGTTTGCCTGCACGCGGCAAAACATATATTGCTCAAAAAGGTACCAATCATAACTATAAAACCGAAAAACATTATGCGGGATCGACCATTAACACTTTCACTCCCTAAATTATGTATGTATGAATACATAGTCTGTAGATATTTGACCTGGCTCGGTATAAAGACAGAGTCATTCAGCGTAGCAAACTATAGACGAAAGTTGGTTGGTTCTGGTCAACCGGCCTCTTTCTTTGACATACACAACAGTACCGGACTCAAACAACGCCGCGAGGCTGCCACAGCAGCACTTGAGGCCATGCTTAGCTGGTTTGATCGAGAAAAAGGAACCGTGGCTATTTTTGATGCTACCAATAGTACAAAAGAAACAAGGGCATGGCTTAATGAACAACTTACACGCAACAATATTCAGCCCCTTTTTATTGAATCAATTTGTGAGGTTGAGGATATGATTGGCGCCAATATGCTGGATGTCCAGACGCATTCACCAGATTATAAAAATATGGATCCAATCAAAGCAAGCAAGGACTATGAGACGCGTATCAAGAATTATGTTGGATCCTACGAGACTATTACCGAGGATAATTATTCTTATGTAAAGTTGGTGAATTCAGGAAGCCAATACATTATCAATCTGGTCCAGGACTATCTCGAGAGTCGGATAGTATATTATCTAATTAATCTTCAGACTCGTCCAAAGCGTATATGGTTCAGTCGGGTAAAAGACAATTCCTTCATAATGACTCATTAATGAATGACGACTAAACGTGTCAATTGTGTAGCACGGAGAGTCTCAATTCAATATACAAGACCGCATTGGTGGAGATGCCGAATTATCTGAGAGAGGACGACAGTATGCAAAAGAGTTACCTGACTTGGTTGCAAGGAATATTGGAGACCGCCCACTTGTTGTGTGGACATCGACCCTGAAACGTACGATCCAAACTGCAGCTGGGCTACCTTACCCCAAGAAACAATGGAAGGCGCTCGATGAATTAGACACGGGTGTATGCGATGGAATGACATACGATGAAATTGCAGTAGGTTTAGGACCAGTGTAGATAGTAGTTGTACGGAATGTGTGTGTGTAATGAAGTCTAATGGATGTGTTGCTCAGGAAAAATATCCAGAAGATTATGCCCGACGGGATGAAGACAAATTCAATTACCGCTACCGTGGAGGAGAAGTAAGCTTAAAGAATAATTGAAAGTCTGGACTAAGGTTGTATTATAGAGTTATCGTGATGTGGTATTAAGACTAGAGCCGGTAATCATGGAATTGGAACAGCATGAGAATATTCTTATTATCGCTCATCAGGCAACTATTCGATGCATGTATGCTTTCTTTATGAATATCAGTCATGAGAAATTGCCCTATGCACGCATACCCCTTCACACAATTATTGAGCTCAAAACAAATGCGTATTCTTGTGAAGAGAAGCAATACAAAGGTACTTTAAAATCAAATTCAGTAGAGGAATATCTAACTTATTTTAATCGTTTTGCTATTGAAGTGGGCGTTGAGGCAGTGGATACATACAGACCAAAACCATCCGTACCTTTAATAAAGAAGTTAAAAGAACAGGGCGAAGCTGTCCGCAGAAATGAAGGTGCGAGTGGCGAAATTGCCGATGCTTCTGAACCAATTCTCCCATTGTCCCCTGTATTACCAGCCAACAAAAAACCGTCTGTTTCTCGAATCCAAAAGTCTGCACCCATTAAGCCAGATCTAATGTCTGCTTGATTTTTAAAAAAAAATTATTTAGTATTATTGTTACCATTGATCATCCACAGACTCCCAGTATATACGCACATATACAAACTCTTCATACTCTTCACTCCAACATTCTTAACCATTTCTCCTTGGCCATATATACAGACATTATTTGTGCTTTTGTTACATTAATCCTTTAATATTCTTGATAAATACATCTTTACCTTGAATCAATATTATAAAAGCATGTTCTTTTAAAATAAATTAAAAACCATCATTGAATGCTCATAATTTTTTATACTTTTATTACTCAAAGAACACTCGTATGAATTACAGTAATTCTAGTTATGGATTAATATAATTTTCCCAGGTACAAAACATTAAAGGATTCCAATACTTTACTTTACTTCACCACCACAAAGGTGGAAGTTAATTATGTATTTATGTAAATTTATACAGTGAAGTGATCCTTAAAGCATTGGGTTATCCTCCATGGATGGTAATTTTCCTCATATAAAAACTTTTTGTGGATTTGGTCATATGTCCTGTTCTCCAGGAACTCGCGCATGTACGAAAAGTCTGGACCACAATGTTTAAGAATCTGTTAAATGAATTTTGGTTATACCAAACATAGACTATACAACAGCTTTCTTTTTGTTAAATAAAAAAGTGACAACTTACTATATAAAACATCTCGGTTTCAACGAAAGACCAATGTTTTACGGCTTTATGTTCTCGTAATTTTGGCTGTCGTTTTCTAGTATATGGCGGCGGAATGGATTCTTCAGAGTCTTTGCTATCATCTCCCGACTCTTTTTCTGATTCAGAGTCATACAAAGAGTGTTGAGTTTCGAGGGGAAGTATCACAATCTCCTCATCAACGACAGCTGTCTGATGTATCCGACTTTATAGAAATATACTTTAGATCATAATCCGATAATAATTATAAGATTTACCTAGGGTGGGTTGGAGATAGTTTAGAGTAAAATGATTCCCTACTGCACTTGGCCTTCTTTCTTTCAAACAGTTCTTTCGCATTTTCAAGTTGTTTTTCTATACTATCTTTTAACCTTTGGGGAACGGCTTTTTCGTAAGCATTTCTTTCAATATTATCGATGATGTGTCTTTCGTTGCCCTTTAGTACTGGGCTTTTACATGTATGTGTTGAGTATGTTTGTAAAGGTGTTAGTGTTGGTGTTGGTGGTGTGATGATTATTGTAGGTACTCTTGTTTCTATTGGCGACCGAGCTAAAGGCGGCAACTGTGACCGAGAATTGTTTTGGTATTTCGATTTAATTGAATTATTAACAGGACGATCTGGGTATACCATGCTATACATGTTTGTAGTAGACGTCATATAGGATTCGAATGCTAGTGTCGCTAGAGCCTTTCCACGCTTGTTCCCAAGCAAGTCATTAGACACGTCTGAGAGTGGTAAATGTTCTGATGTATTATTTATTTCCATTTGAGTGATCTTGGTAGGTACTTCAATGACATTTCCAGCAGATCTTTTTTTTGTCTTTTCTTGCGAGCGTGGCCTTTTTGTGAATTTTTGGTTTCTATTTTGGGCAAAATTTTGTGTATTCGATGATGTACTATTAGATGATTCTAATGATTCATCATCTTCCTCATTTGGAGACATTTTAGTAGATTCGGATGAATCAATAGTAAGATTATGTCGTTGTGGCCGTGCTCTTAATATCGGTTTGAATCTCTTATTGCCTTTTCCTGCTCATAATGTTAAATTACGGTTAAATATCACTTAATATGCTACTTACGAACGCCTATGGAAAACATTGGGGATTCTAAAGAAGTATCTTGTTAGAAAAGAAAGATCGTCTAATTTTGAAGCTCAAACCTTTTTCTCTGCTTCAATAAATGTCATATTTGACTTTCATAACAAGCTGTCTCTGATCAAATACTAAAAGCATCCAAATATAATGTCAATATATAATTTTCGAAATCAAATCTTTTCGACACGCATAATATTTAAAAGACTTATAAACTACACGATCAGTCAAGACATAAATCAAATATAAAGTTACGTCCTCCAAAAAAATATATATTGTATTTCAGTAATGTAAACTAGTCTGTGTAGCCAAACCTTGGCTTATGTATGTATGTAAAGTATCTGGATCATTTAACACATTATAGAATTAAGCAAGACACAAGTCAAATAGGTTATATTATACTTTGCATTCAATGTGCAGATAATTTTAGTAGAAGCAGAATCTTGTTTTCATTTATACCAAGTGTTTTTTTATACCTATGGTGCATTATTTCTATACTCCCGAAAACTAATTGAATTTCGATTGTTTTTATTTACGAGTAAAAAAAACTTTGCCGAAAATATAAAACCAAATAACTGCTCGGTTTACTTTGTACAGAAACTGTTTCTCTACAAAGTGATCCAACAAGATATTCAGTTTTGGCATTTCCAATAGCATATTTTTTCTTTAAAAGAAAATGCGGTGTTTAAATTAATAGCATAGGAAGAGGTATCACTAATTATTCTGACCCGACACTTTTCCTCTCGAGTACGACACTTCTCTGGAGTACTACGTTTATTGAATTTCCGTATTTAACCATTTGCCAGTCTCATAAAAAGTGACTTGTGGTCCGCCATCCAGCACTAATATCTGGTCCTTAACCACCCAAAGTACTTTTTGTAAGTGAAATCTATTTCTTAAAAGATGAATAATTTAATTAATGAATAAAATGTTTTATTATTTAATATATATTTGAATCTATAGCTACATTTAAGTAGCAAATATATAAGTTTTATTTTTTTCTATATGCGATATATATAGATTATGTAGTTTGTAAAAGTCGTGCGCAAGACGCAAAACGTCGTACGCCTTGGGTCGCTGGTCTAAATGGACACACTTGAATCGCCCACTTCTGGAAGGTGATGTGCATGAAATTGTCACACATTTATTCAAGATCTGCCAGAAAATAAAAATCCGGATTTTAAAGCAAATATTTTATACTTCAAAAACTAAAAATTACGCACGCATACTATACATTGGTCCACCTAAGCTGCGATGGAAATGTAACATGAAGATTGAATAAGAGAGGGTAATATATGGGTTTGTTTTGAATAGAAGGACAAGCTTATAATATAACATGCTTTATAACTTTTCTTACAATCGAAAATCCTGGCATGAGTTGCAGATTCCTGCCGAGAATCTACCAAAGCTTGCCATAGGTCAAAATTGATTGGAGTGTTACAAAAGACTTTGGATAATAGCAGTACTTGTCCAATAAAAAATGTTGGACTTGTTTAAAAAGAAGTTCTGGTGTGCATATTATATAATTCTATCGGTCTGGTCTTTTTTAATACTTGAAAATAAAATAGTATTCCTATACTATGTTTAAGAATAGCTTCAATTTCGTTTAAGTAAATACAGTACAAGTGAAATACTTGGCTTAGAAAACAACGAAATATACTTGTGCTCCCAAAATATGTAACCCACTGGCCCATAATAACTATCTGTGACCAAAAGAACAGACCGCTTCTTGCGTAATATGACTTGAGTCTATTGTATCATAGCCTACGGATAAACTAAACGTTCATATGACCGTACACAAACTACAGCTGTACAGGGCACCAATTGAAAGAGTGATCAGATTCAGAGATCAACTGTGATTTACATGTACAAAACAGCACGTGATCTCGTGATTTTATGATAACACAACCCCAACTGCCAATCTTACATAGCTTTAGTAGACTGTATTGTGGTTGAAACCATTATTCAGAATGGTTTTTTCTTAGTGGAAACATCACGTATAATTAAATTAATAATTTTTTAAAAGTTTAATGGGGATTATTGATGAGGCTTTTGAATCTGTACCATGGGCTGATTACATGTTGCTGAGATCATGCTCATTCTTTTCTTAGAAACATAATCTAACAATTGAATTAGTCAGGTGGAATAACGTTTATTTGCTGCTTCATCAGGGCTTACGAGCTAATAATGGTCTGATGTACTAAAAGTCTGTTGGATCTGGAAATAGCCTTGGATGGGAATCTATGTTTATTTATAAAGTGAATTTGAAACATGTTTATTAAAAGGAGTTTTCTCTTTTTGGTGAATTTAAGTTTCAAAATAAATGTCAAATACAGAAAAATCATACTCTAAAAAAATGAAGCAAACAAAAGGAAAAGTTAAACATTTGAATAAACAAATTTGCTCCTCTTCTAAAGATAGCTTTATCTCTTTAATAGTCTGGACATGTGTATAATGTGTATACATACTGAGAAATTAAAGCGTTCATGTTAATGTTATAGCAACCAGTTGTAAGGTCAATGGTTTGTCATCTAGGAGGCTTTGCATATTTAGTTATTTTTTTTTTAAAAAAAAAAGAGGTAAAAAACTAGTTTATATGAATAGAAGCATATTCACTTTTGTCATAGATAATTTTAGAATGATAATAGTAATAGTAATAATAATAATAATAGTATAAAAAGCTAAAAAAGGGCCAAGTTGGTTAAAATATCTTTAAAAGGATAAAACTTTTTCTGCACTCTATTTGTAGTATTAAATTTCTAAAAAAGGATGTTTTTTGAAGTGAAGGTTAAGTAAGATAAACAAATAACAAGACAAGACAATCTGCCACGGAATAAACCTTTGGCAAAACAAAACAAAGAATAAAGAAGCCTTCCAAAAGCATTCTTTTTAAGGTTAATACACTCAGCCACTGTTTATATTTACGTAAGAGTAATGTTTTTGAAAAATACTAATCTCAAAGGTATAAATACCGGTTCAATTGTCAACTGGAGAATAATAACAACAGCTTCTTAAATATAATAATATGCGCTCTTACACATCTGCAATTATCATTGTGTTCTGCCTTTTGGCTGCCTCAATTGTCCAAGCTATTCCAGTCCGTCTATCCAAGCGCGGAACAGGAGCTGCCATCCACGTCAACTCTGCCTCTGCCTTCTGCTCTTACCTGCCTCCCAACCCAGGAGAGAACATCTCTGACACAGAAAATGATGCAGTCCCATTTTGCACAAGCACTTCCCTAGCCTCAGGATCAAAGGTCTTCCCAACCGGATTCATCAAATCTGCTCATTATGTGTCGACAGGAACTTATTCTCAAGTCACTGGCAAGATCGACCGTACTAAGTACAAGCTGTCTGCTTCTGACGGTGGAGGACAATACGACAACAAGGTAATATAATTGATAATAAATTCTATTAAAAAAACGCGTTTACTGATAATATTTATTTAGGATCTACCAAAGGGAACATGTAATGGCTACAAGTACTTTGTTAATCTTATTGAGCCTGATGCCAATGTCTTCTGTATTCGATGCTGCTCTAAGTCAGCTGATTGCAACCTTGGAGTTTCCACATATGGATGTCAAAGAGTTGTTCCCGGAAACTATAGTTAATTCCATAGCTTTCGTACATGCTTATAAACAACACATGTATTTTTCCAAAGTTTTGTGCTCTATATGTACTTTTTTTTTGTTAAAGCCGTTAATAACTAGTTTTCTTTTCAATAAATCTTTATAAATTCAAATAAGAATCCCAAAGTCTTGTTATAAGCCAGTTTTACAAGAAAAAAATATTATTCAATTTTATTATATAAGCTTTGTCTTTTTTAGTGACCAGGTCTACGGACATTGTTGTACTTAAGTACTGCTTCTTCGATCTTTCTAAATAGCAGCTCCCGAGTCTTCTTATCTGGGATTACAAGGAAAGGTTCCCATTTATCATTAACCAATTTAATGGCAATACCTGTAGATTGACATTTAATTGTATCAATTTCAGTAAATGGTTCCTGCCATTCAACCATAAGTCGGCGTGTTCTCAGCAGCATCACACGATTCGAAGTTAGCATTGCAACTCGTTCATCGCTCTGGACGTGACAATGGTAGATATAACTATCTTGAAAATATTTTCCATTGTCTACTTCTCTTAGCCAATGTTGACCTTGAGCTTCTTTCGTAGAATAGGGCTAATAAAGGCATATAATTATATCCAGAATGTTAGGTACGGAGGAGCTAACTGATAAAATATACTTTCATATCAAGATTACCTTTAGAATGCCATCGTTTCCTATATAGCGGGGGTACCGAATACGTTCAATGTCATTGACATCCGTTGGTGTAGCCGAGTTACGAATCCCTTCAGTCACATTGCTTGCCAAATCAAAGGCACCAACAACTGGTTTTGTCACAGCACTATATTGCTATGAGTAAGCACAAGAAGTAGTATTTACTCTTTTGTCCCTCTACATGCTAGTTACTTACCCAACAAGTCCTTTTCCAAACCCAGTAAAAAATCCGCTGACACCTTCTTTACTAGCCCCCTCGATAGGACGTGTCTACACATTTTTTATTAGATTTAGTTCTTCTATGGTAGTACAAACGTGTTTAAGACTTACCACAAGTCCAGTCATTCCACTTGCTATACTGTTGGCAAAATAATTGGCTCCCTGGGCTACACCTACTAAAGCATGTCGAGGCTTGTTTCTCGCCATATTCTGACGACGCTTATCCTGATACTGGCGATCCATAGTTGCTACGGACAGTCCTTTACCGATACTTCCAGTAAATTTAGTAAAACTATCCGTTACTCCAAATACACTCTTGCGCACAAATCCACTAAAACCCTGTTCTCAATTTCATTAGTAACACAATTCAATCACGAACGCTCCAACAAAACGTACTCTTGCAATACCAAGTCCAAGATCTTGAGGACGGTCACTCATAATAAATCCTTGCCAAGGTTCATAAAATAGCTCAGCGACACCCGAACTCAAATTGTTGAAAAGACCAACTATGTTTAGTGTGAGTAGCTGCCATTAGCTTTATCAAAACCATAGCATGCTTAAATTAGCACATACCAGGATTTCCAAGGAAGTCAGCTGACCCAAGGACATTGTGAATTTGATAAATGAACTGATCGCTGTAATGAATAAAAATACGATTGCTAAGATCCGACCCGCTAGCTCGTAAATTCTCAACAGCCAAAGCGTTGAATTTCATAGGAGCGGCCTGCGTTCAAAAATATTAGCACAGAATTTAAAGTATAAGCTTAATAATATGCAACTCACATTAATATTTCCAATTGCCATAGTCAAGATGTTTACAAAGAACATTAGAGGAGAGTTTCCTTGTGGTCTAAAATAAAGGTAATATTAGTTCCCTGCTTCAAAAAGAGCTCAAACTTTGTAGTCTTTATCCTTTATACCTCTCATCAACAATATTTAATTGATCCGTTCGTAAGAATGAGAGGTCAAAGCGAATAGGCTGAATACTGAGCATTTCAAAATATAATTGTGCTACTCCATCTTCTAAATTAACATCCGGAATCTCATTGGTGTATTCCCACAGTTTCCTATTTATCAAGTCAAATAAATTATATTAGATATCTGAAGTAAAAAGCGACCTTTGCTTTTAAAAAATGTAAGCATCATACCCATCATCCACGACAGAGTTCCATCCTTCCACATTGATATGTGAAAAGTCCAAGATAGAATAAACGAAAGCTTCGTCCATTTCAACACTCATTTTCTGTAAAAGAACAGAGAAATATTTGATGTAAAGAACACCATGAGCTAGAAAAGGATATTTACTCAGTCAGTAAAAGAAAAATTTGAACAAAATAATGGTAACGGCGACTCACAATCATCCTTGACTCTATCGACAGCAAGTTGTAATGTGGGAAGAATCTCATGATTGCCTTCCCTGGTTACATTTGTAGGGTAAAGTAAGATAGGAAAGGCTGATCCTGGTAGTTGATTATCGATCTAATGGGTTGATTGTGTAAAAATTGATGCCATATTAATTCAAAATCGTGTAGCTTACCTGAATCCACTTTATACTCCACCGAAGGGATTGATAAACATTTGAATCCTTAAAGCTAACATTGAGCCCTCGCAATGTTATGTATGCAATTTCCTGGTGTAAGATATATATTTATTAGCGATGCGCTTATATATAATAGCTCAAATATACGAGAAGTAAGATACTTACATCAAGACGCCTGTTAATAAACGAAAGACCGATTTGCTTGATCTCGATCTTGAATATCAAGTTCAAAATAAGATTCATTTCTACAGCTTCAAACCCTTCTCGGACATTTGTATCTTTGAAGGACGTCGATGTAGACGTAGAAGGAGAAAGAGATGTAACAGAGGAGTTAGACCCTTGTGAGGTAGGTCTGAACAGACTTTCTGATTGAACAAACGGCTTCAGGTAGACATATTGGACCATATCAGATATCTTGATATCTATTGATGCAATAGCTGGTTTTCCTTCCCGTGTCTAGAAAGAAAATTAAGAAGAGAAATCACCGGGTTGATATATATATATACTACTGTTACTTACAGTATATCTGAAAGGTAACTGACTACCAATCTCTTGCAAATTAATGCTTCTTTCGCGGCCGTAAATGTTTAAAATAATCTTTTTATCCTTATTTGCAGGCATATCCCAAGAATATGGAACAGACTGATGAGGAGGAAGTCGATACCGTCTTGCGCTTTGTTGATGCATTCTGTTATCACTGAAATCATCCCGCATAATGCTCAATTCTTCTTGATAGAATGTCATGGTATCATCTGTCTCATTCACAATCCTGAAGGGCCAATTTTTACTGTCTTCTTTGGATAAAACAATAAATACAGTGGCGTCTTGAAGGATAGTAGTGACTCGCATGAGCATTGCAGTAGAGCCATCAGCACTATCTAGTCGAACATGCATTTTGCCAATGTCTTGGATATTAAATGGAGCTGACCTAATAAAGTGATATAGAAAGCAAAGATAGTGTTATTTTGTACTTTGTTTCCGGTAATATTGGACTATATAAAACATACCATCGATTATTTATTCCAGGAAGCTTAATACTCAACTGCTTCTCCGCGTTCCGACGCAAATTGTATAATGGTATTCTTTGATTTGGTTCTAGATCTTGATCGACTCTCGATTCTGGCTCTCGGTAACGAATGAATTCATCCATTTGGTTACTCAGAATAAACCGAGGGGTAAAAGTAATTACTTTTGATATCTTGTACTAATGTATAGGAAGTCAATATGTAAGAATATTATTTTAACTTAAGTAATACGACTCTTACCTTTCCTTGTCCCTCCTGGACACTGACACCGACATGAATTTCTTCCGTCTTTGAAGGACTTGGAACTGTAACATCATACATAGTACCAACAGCTTCAAAACTTATAGGCTACATATAGTCACAAAACATAATTTATCAATAAAAAAATTCTTTCTAAACTATTTTAATCATTTCACACATACTATACTCCACTCGGAACCAGATATTTGAATAAGACATCTATTTCTATTGTCAATCTTGGGATAAGAGAACATAAATGGCTCTGGCTAAAATACAGTTATAATGTAAGTATATTATAAAATATTTTGTTTTGTTTTTATAAAAAGAACCTTTACTCCAGGACGGCACACTGCAGTGTTTTGAGCGCCAGAAAACATCGAACTTTGCCATGCAAGCTTTGGCTTGAACCCAATTGGACATCCAGTTTTGTTGATCACGATATATGGACAGTATATACTGTATTTGCGAGCACCTCCAGAATCAGGAATATCCCTAAGGTTTTTATATAAGCAATATATGTCAGACATGCAGGCAAATAAATATATTGACTTTAGAAAAACTTACATAGTATTGATTTTGAGCGTGAGAAGTACATTATCCTTGCTTTTAAGCTGGAGTGTATCCTCTATATTCAAATCTTCTGTGCCTCTCGTGCTAATAATAGCAAAATCACTTGGGTTGTAATCTAAACACAAAAAGACAGCTCAATACCCAATAATTAAACGTGTCCCTATTATCTACTTACTTGAGTCCAATATCGCAATATTTAGTATGAGCAAGTGCTTATTTTTAATCACATGAAGTGGTGCCACACCTCCTTTTCGTAAGAAAGAACCAAAGTCTTGCTTAGCAGTTTTGTCAATAATTCTAAAGTTAAAGTCGAAAGGCAACAAATTCTCAATCTCTACAGGAGCGCTGAGACGAATGGACATAACAGGATAGTGACTTGAAAAAGAGTAAAACATTGTTAAAAAAACACCCTTTCTTTTTCAATTCACACAGGGTGTTTTAATTTAAGAGAAGCTTACCCGAATAGCTGATTATTCTTATCAAAACGTGAATGGATCTGGAACATAAATGGTGGCATATCTTCTCCTTCTCCTAAGCATTGTATTGTGCTAGGTTTTTCTCCAGGGCGAACAAAGTCTGTCCAGTGCAGCATTTTGTCTGCCCATTTATATCCAAATCCAGCTAATAAAGATATTTTAGTTTTTATCCATACACATTATTATACTTACCATCAGGTCGGACACAAAAACGATCATTATAGGCAGCTTCAATAGGAATGGCATAATCTTGGCCAGGGGCTACATGATTATAATGTTTAATATCCTTTTTTACAAAAAAATAAAACAAAAATAAGGTCAAAAGATAACTTACCGATTTTCTTTATATGCGAACAGGGATTCCCGCTCTTATCAAGCAAAACAAAGTCAACAGGCAAGAGTGTTTTATTCTCAATAACCATGGTTGATCGAATAGTAACAACCTTGACATTGTTTACAAGTTTGATATCAAACATTATATGATGTTCAACATCATTTATCATAGGCTGGAGAGGTTGCATTTTTTCGCCTTCTGTGTCCACTGAAATATCTCGAAGACTTTCCCACAAGGCACCTTCTAATTGGACATTCAATAAATTCTTGTTTCCAGATGAAGTGGTCTATAAAAATATGATATTAGTACAAGTATATACTAGTATTTTAAACAGGTAATATAATTCAAAGTATCATTTTCTTTAGCATGCTTTTTTATACTATCTAATATTTACCTCACGTCGCTTTCTCCAATCTTCAAACCACCATTCCATCTCTTGTCCATTTTCAAGACTCTTGATTACTGTATCTTTTTTGTCTCCTACTTTCGTACTCCAAACGTGCACCTTATAACCAGTGTGGTTTGCAATCCGATATGGCGCAACCGCACCACGTTCACCATGGTAACCATTGTATGATCTTTTATCCCAGAGATGCATCGTAGCCATTGCACTCTCAAGGAAAGTGTGAGTCACATTAAGATTAAGAATGTTATCAGACAGCAGCTCTACGTGAAGTGGGTCGTTAGGAAGCATATTGTTCCGTGATATAGCCAATTGAACATTCCATGGCTCTACTAAAGGCTCCCAATGGGAGTTCTTGATATTAAAGTAGTTTATATAAGTTGCAAGCTCCACTGTCGCAGAAAGCTAAAAGTAAAAGAGAGGACGTTAATAAAGCATAAAGAACACATAATATTTTCTTACTGAACGAGACCAGTTGGCAACATCAACACTAAATGGCTTTAGAGTCATGTCTACCATAGGCATTTCGTGAATCTCATCAATTAAGATGACTTGCATGCCTTGGAAAGAAGCTCGAAGCTACAGTAAAATATTAATGGCTTAATACATTGTATAAAAATACAAATTTTAAGCTAAACAAACCGATTCTTTTGCTTCCATAAACCTAGGTAGTTCATGCGCATGTGGTGTGTTGTTTGTTGACACAGTTGTTTGAGCAGGACTAGTTCCAGATAAAGCCGGTGGTTGACTACCAACACTTTTCTCGTAAAGGGCATACGCCTTGTTAAAAATATCTGTGATGAGCATTGCGTCTCGATAAGATAGACGTAGTACAAGTGCATCCACATCAACTTGCAAGTCTGTCTTGGGTTGTCCTTCAGGACCTTTGGTATCAATATTCATTGAAATAGACACGTCAAATGTTTGGATAAACTTGAGTGTCGATACATTACGCTTATCCATTCGACAAAGGAACATTCCCATCTGTCGTACAACAAGTGCTGTAACAGCCTGCCGAGATATCATGACTTGTTCAGCAGAAAGAACAACCGCTTCAGATTCTATGGTATCTGGATTGGCCAAAAGCACGAATTCCGCGCGGACTACGTTTAGACTATAAGACAGCTCAATGCCTTGCTCTACTACGGGTTCAGCAGCGAGATTCTCAGCCAAACCAGACAAGAACTCTTCTGTGTGCTTAGCGGAAGATTGATGGGAGGACGCGGGGTTATGGTTTTGGGTAAATGGTAACATGGCAAAATTCTGTAGCACAAAGGCATGATCAAGGGAAATAATAACTTTTGGATCATTAATAGTCATAATAGCTACACCACGGCGTACTGGATCAGCTGGTGAAAGGTCGAGCAGCATCTCAAATTGATAACCGTTTTCAATAGCTGGCATAATTTCTTTGTACTTGCTATTGATATTGGGACGAGAGTCATTGACAACCAGAGATTTAACCTTGAGGTCTGTCTTGATGCATCCCGTCTTAAGCATTTCTACCTGAACTCTACTGCCGTTCATAGCAACCTTCAGTAAACTATCGGGTGGTTGTGTCCAATTGTTGACGTCTTTGTTCGTAAAAAGCTCAAGTGCAATAGTCTGTGCATCGAGGTCCATACGGATCCGCGGTGGTTCTTCATGGTTCTCTTCATCCACATCGGAGCTCACATTTGTTCGAGAGTTAATATTAGTGTTTTCATCAGTTGTTGCTTGAAGCTGATCCTCTTGAGTCAGTAAATTCGACTGATTTGGATGAGTTTTAGACGAAGAATCGGGCTCTTCAGTCCCAGAGAATATTCTTGAAATCATATTAACCGCATCCATCAGAAATATATACTGGACTTCAGTCAAGCGCATCGAGAGATCAGAAAGCTTTCCACTAATATCCATATCAGGTCGTAAAGTGTTAATCTGCTGAGGGCTCTTGATATCCAATGTAAGGTTTGTGTTTTCAACAATTGGCAGCTCTTGTACTTGTATTTTCTTGGTGCTTGGATGGATGGCATGGAATGTAGACGTAACGTTAATGGCACGCAAGCCAGCGCGAATGGCATTAATACACCCGTCCTCTTCATCCACAAACGTATTAGATGCCCAAATCTCACCGAGATGTGCTACTACAACATCCATAGGATGATTATGCATTTCGGGGAAAAATACAACTGGCGTCTTGATAACAACGTCAAAATGCATTTTTGTAACAGCTTGTTGAAGGTGCTGAGCGGATTCATAGGCAGCCTGGCGAGCACGATCAAACATAAGCTTCATTTCAGCAAATTTACTAAAATAGCTCATAAAGCGAGTAATTGGCTGTTCAAGGAAGGTGAACTGAGCAGATCCCATACGAAGGTAGAGAAGTTGGTCATAGCCTGGATATATTTGTGGCCCGTTTTCTATAAAGCTTTCGAATCGTAAATCAATCAACTCTTCTCCCTGAATTGTCAAAAGGTCGGTCTGATGAGTATTTTTTGATCCCTCGCTCGTATCGTTGAGATCATCTGTTAAAGTGAAATTATCAAACTTGGCAGAGAGCTTGACAGTATTCTGTATCATAAGTACAGACATGTCACCGTGCGAGAGTCGACCTGTTGCAAGACGTACACCGTCATCATTAAGAATAAAGTTCACACTATCCAATAAAAGGTGCACATATATATTGCTAGGTTGTGGTGGTGTTGAATCTTTGGGTGGCACGGCAGAAGACCGTCGACGTTGATCAGCGTCTTTGGAGACTGATAATCTTTTGTCTTGTTGCCTGGAAACCCGTCTATCCTGTGCTTTGGGGTATGAAGCAACAAATGGGTCAATGGAACTTCTAGTAGGCGACTCATCCTCAACAAATGTATCCAATACAAAGCTATAGAGGGTCAAGACTGAGCTCTGGGTGACAATGAAGTTCAGGGTTGAGAGGGTTACATTGGCCGTCTGCTCAATTCCTTTATACTTATTTCGGTACTCGGGGCTTTCTTTGTCTACACGAATATATTCCACATGAACGAGTTCTGTTGGTTCAGATTTAGACTTTGAATCTGAAGACGGGACAACCATATTGTCGGAAGTAACAAGGTATTTGAACTCGTTTCCATGAGCCATACGATCGACCACGTTAAGAGATTCAAGCGAAAGTCCAATCGACATATCAAATGGGCGCATACAGTATTCAACTGAAAGATGTTCTAGAGTTACTTCACACAAAAGATCCTCAAATGTAGAACCTTCTTCTCTTTGTCGTCTTGCCATGAGCACATTTGCAGAAACCTTGTCTACCTTAAAATCAAGTTCAAAAATTTTCTGATTTACATGGGTCTCTTTCGATGTTTTTTGCTTCAATTGGGTAGCTTCAGTTTCTGCAGTTTCTGCCACAGACCACAGTTCATCCGAATCCTTTTGGCTAAGATCGCTATCGCTATCACTGTCGATATAAAGGTCACCATCGGATTGTTCCCATAGTCGGGTGTTCATAAAGCTCATACGACGTTGAGCATCCAAAGCTGCTTGTTGATCCACCTCTTCGTCACTTTCAAGATGATCCGGCTTATCATTGCCCAAAATACCAGAAGCTTCAATCAATCGGGGAAGTTGCATTAATATACGATACTTTGTGTCCGAGAAATTGACTGACAATAGTGGAAGATGACCAGACATCTTGAAACGTGTCAAGTCGTTCGACTTTGCAACAATACACATTTCCAACAAGAAAGTCATATCTATGCGATCAACAAGATGAAGGTGATTGTATTCCTTGGTAGGCTCTCGTACTTGAGCGAGACAAGTGTCAACTGAATCGCCAACAAGAATCTTCGTTTGCGTGAGCTGAATGGTAAACTTGTCGTACATAAATGATCTAAGTTGAACATAGTCTTCCGTGGTATATTCGGCACTTTTCTTGGACTTCATCTCATTGAATGCACCAGCAGGTGCCAAATTGCTCTCAATATTGATATGACCAGCGTCAACAACAATACCTCGACAATTCTTCAAGGAACAACTAATATTTTTTGTGTATAACAGTTAAAACCAACTTCCCTGATTCTGTACTGGAAACTATAGTGGATATAATTTTACTTACTTTTCTGGAATGATAATTACAGGAGCATCCATGTCCACTCGAAGATCTAAAGTGGTATGTCTTTCGAGAGCAAATGCTAAACTAGCGCGTGTCTGGTTTTTGATATCCTCCAATGTATCACCAGCAACCTCAATTAATGCATTAACACTATCAGCACTCGTTTCAGGAGGTCTAAAGAATTCAATGACGGCACTGATAGTAATAGGGTTGTACACAATATCAATATTTCGCATTACTAAAGCCATTGCGTTATCAGCGCGCCCATCTAGAGGTTTATGCTCGATTGCAAGCGAAAAGAAAGGATTCTTCATATTTTCAAACTTGATTAAGTGCTTGTCCAATTGAGATTTTCGTCGATCTTTAGGTTCCTTTTGCTTTACACCGATTAGTTTTTTATACTGGGTATTCTTTGTGGCACCATCGTAAAGGATCAAGTCACCAAGAGCAGCTGTAATTTTGAAAGAATCCACATATTGAATAGCGCCTAGCATCACTGTATCAAAAACAAGTGACACCAGCTCGAGAGGATTGTTCGCATGAGGCTCTCGTTTCAAAGTAAAAGAACCCTTGTTTAAAGTCGTACGGAGACAAAGGAGCATAGTCTAGATAATTAAGTTGGTTAGTACATGTATTCTTTTATGTAGTTACTCAAGACAAAATTTATATACATACATCCTTCGGAAACTCGATGGATTCTACAACAGCTGCCATATCTTCATCATATTCGATTGCATCATAGAATTCTTGCTTTTGTTCTTCAGTAATAACCAAGTCCTCGTCTTCTTCTTGCTGATTGGCTGTATTGGGTGTTGACCACCATGAACCAAGCCAGCCTTTAGAATTTGCAGCTTGAGCTGCAGCTGCCTTACGCTTTCGCTCTTCTTCGGCAGCTATACATATTGTTAGTACCTTACACCAGATAAATTATATATGCGTATGTATAGCTAGATATAATATTGCTTTACCTAATCGTTCTTTTTCGCGCCGAAGATGTGCCTTGGACCGACCTCTATAAAGCCTAATATCCTCATAGCTCAGCTTATGTTCAAGCTCACCAAGTTTCTGTTTTTGCTCTGGGGTAGGTTGACCAAGTTTATCTGCAACATAACAGTCAATATAATCCAGTCTATCTTGGCGTCTTTGTTTTATATGAGCCCATGTCCAGCGTTGGTTTCTTTCATGAATTTCCGACAGGACAGCATTTGCAGCAAACTGAAAGTAAGCACGCGGATCTGTGCGTGGTGTTACTGTACTAGGCGGATGTAGTTTCTGGTACTATTGTAACACACACATATACATTCGAATGTTCCAAAAAAAAGGGGGGGTATGAGTACAATAGGATGATGTATGACAAGTAGAACAAAATATAGTTTTACTGCTTCTATTGTTTTGTTTTGTTTTTGTTTTTGTTTTGACTGAATAATACCTTTTGCTTCTTAAGATAAGAGTGGAAGAGGTCTATCATGAGAATTGCATCTCTGTATTGTTCATCGTCAATAACAAATGAAAGTTCGTCGAACAGAAGAGTAGAATCGACCTTTGGTGTTTCACCACCAAACTTCTTGTTCAGTTTTACCTATAATTATTTATTTATATAGTGAGTTTTTTTTTTCGTTGGACAAAACACGTATAGTGTGATACCTACCCTTCCTGTGCCACAAACCGGCTTTAGAATATACTGGTGTTCTGGGGGGACATGCGTCTTGGTAGCAATCTATCAAAACGTTCCTTTTAATATATATATTAGGATTAGACTATTTATTTATTTTTTAGTCTTACTAGGCTTCTGAACCTCGTAAAACTTTCGTCATCTTTAAGATGAGACAGCGAGTATGTGTCCGTATTCCAATAGACTGACAAGGACTCCAATGTTGCCAACTAATAAAAAAAAACATTTAATGAATAAAGTCTTTTTTTTAACGTTTAACTAACAGCCAACTTTAACAGCTTACTTTGTGAATAGTATTAACAGCATCACCAATAGTTTGTGGGATCCAGTTTTCATCTGTGGAAATTGCCGATAGTTCGTTAAGAGTGATTCCGGCCGCAAACCGGTGACCAGGTGCTGATACTTCATCTTCATATCGAATATGAATATTTGTAATTGAGAACTGAAGATTATTGAGGATCTTTTGCATAAGTTGGTTGGCAAAGGTTTCATTCTTAGCATCTTCGGCTGCATTTGTGTGTTCTACTGGTTGATGTATCATTTCAGCGTCAGCCAATTTTCGCATCTTAGCTTCGTGTTGGCGCGCTTTTATTTCATCTGCCGTCATCTTGTATTAAAAGTAAGGGGTGAAGCCATAGAGTTGAGTTTGCATAAGGTTGGATTGAAAATTTGATTATGTAAAGTAAATACATCCAAGGACTTACGGTTGACTCATTCCGGGGTACAGCAAGCACATAAACATCGTTGATATTGATCATCACCGGTTTCCCTTTTAAGTTGGACCATGGAATGGTCAGGGTAAGCTCCCCAAGATAGCCTAACAATACAAAGTGTTTCTAGGTTAGCAAGATAGATATATTATAAGAATAGATGTATATATATATTTATATGTATATACCATGAAGGACGTCTACAGGCAAGTTGAGTTTATCGAGCGCTTCGCGTTTGAGTCGTAAGTTTCGGAGAACAACCTCGCCTACAATGAAATGTGAGCAAATGACTATGGCTAATGAGACGATTTACCTGACCAGATGCCGATCTGGAGTTGGTTGTAATTGAGGTTAGAGACATAGGCTCCTAGAACCTTGTTGAGTAGGGTCGAGACGACAGATTCCAACATGAGGAAAGAGATTAAAGAGGACTGGTATTCCGCCTGGCATCTTCTTTTAGGGCAGATAATGACATCATGGTTGGACAAAGAGTTTAGAGGGAATGCGGCTTATGAGTTATATTTATTTGGTAGATGTATTTGTATCTAGTTGTATATGTATAGGGATATTTGCTGTGGAATTAATTCCAAAATTATGAGGATAACCAGATCTCTCTCTCTCTCTCTCTCTTTCTTTCTCTCTCCTTCATTTTAATATCTACACTAAATAATTGGTTTCATAAAAATACAAAAAGATGGATATGTTCAGGGAGCGTGGTGAATGTGTGTGCCAATGGCAGAAGTTAAAGAGTTAGTGGCAGAGGCGCCGAGCGATTGTTGGTCAAGATACAGGTCCCAATCAGCCCAGTTAAGACTTGAGGGTGGAAGGGTTGGGTTTTCGATAGTAAATGCAGTAAATGCAGAAGGTGCCTGGGGTACATAGTTAGGGTCAATAGGACGATTATAAAGTGGGAAGCCGTATGGGTCTGTTGGCAACATAGCCGTAGCAACATCATGGTGAATATCTGGTGTAATTCCGCCTACAATGCTAGTGTTTATCATCCTCTGGAACCAGTGGGCTTTTGGCATCTCATTTACTTGAGAAAAACCAGCTGGAGGATGAGACTGTTGGCTTTGTGAAATAATGCGATTTTCAGTTTCTTCAATTTTTACGGTGCCTCCAGGGGCAAGATCATGTAAGGTTATTAGCATAGTAAGGATATCTAACGCACGGGATGCTGGTCCGATATGTTTGTGTTCTCTGACAAGATCAACCGCCTGATGGAGACGAAACAGCCGATCAGGTTGGGTGCGGTCGTGCCGTGCATTAGAGAGGTGTACAAGTGAAGATTGGAAGAGTGCATAGACAAAAAATGTGGGTAGACACATTGAGGAAAAGGATTCTGGATCGTCGACTAGTAAAGCCTTTTGACGAACAAGTTTAGATAGATTAGTGGCTGCTTCAGTGCACGTATGCCGAGATTCCTCGACGATGGACTGCATATCAGGAAATAATTCCTGAGTTACTACAAATGGACGATGGAGTAGCATGACCACAGTGTAGTAAAATACTTGGAGATTAGTCTTCTGAGATTGAGTCATATACACGCCCCCGACCGCATCCTCGAGTGATTCTTTCCAGAGTCTTAGTCGACGGTCGAATACAACACGGATGGTGGGGTCATCAAGACCAGCGTTGCGATTGGAGTTTTTAGAGTTTGGTGCGTATAAAGCTTTGAGGACTCTGCCCAATATTTCGGATAACTTGATCAATAAAATGAAGGGCTGATATATGGGACCTTGGTCGCCTTCGTATGCAGAGGGCATAGCTGTATCAAAGTCACGGTCAAGAATCGTCAATGGTTTGCCTGCACGTGCACCCATCCAACGGTCAAGGATATAGCAGGCATAAAAGATTCGATGTCGGGTCTCTATTTCGGCCGGTGGTAATTTCCAATGAGTAGCCGAGCGATGAAGACCGAGGTCTTGGGCCATTCGGATAGCACTACCTAGAGTGCACCATTGAATACTCTCTACGTCTCCGTCATCCAGATCTAGATAGAGAGTCATTAAGATGGCGGCCTGGACATGGCACAATCTAGAGCGAGCAGTGTCTCTTAGACGGTGCATTACTTTTCGAAAGTATGTGCCGGCATGTTCTTGAGAATTTTCAGTGAGATTGGGGAAATATAGGGAGGCGAAACGGAAGGAGAGGGCTAGGATTGCGTTTGTGAGAATTGCGGGTTGGTGGGCATGTGTGAGAAAACGGGTACGATTTATGATTGGCAGAAAAGGATGGAGGTGGCTAAAATAGCTTTTTTGGTTGTTGTTGGTATAAATATATAAATATGTATATATATGTATATTTATACATATCAAAAGGTAGAAAATGGAATCAGGATTGGCTTCTTTTTGGAATTGTGTTGTTGCACAAGATTCTAATCACTTACAAGGACACCATTCGGGAAGCAACTGATGCAGAAACTTTGCTGTGTGTGATTGGAATGTCTTTACGGGTTGGATTGTCAAATATTGAGGATCTCATAGACAAGCCAACGTCAAGGGTTTCTTGACTGCCGTTTGTATCTTTTCTTACAACCATCAGCTCGTTGTGGGCCATCATCTGTAGCACGAGGTCATCGCGACCGGGCCAGCGTACATAAGGTTTGGCCTTGAATAGTTCTTGATCAAGTAGCTGCAATCCAGCGGACTGACCAGTGTACTTTATCGAATCATATTCCATCTCCTCTTCTTCTGAGGATGAATCCGATGGACCTGGTGAGGGTGATTTTGTCTCGACTTGAACGGTTTTCAGCCTAAAGTCCATTTGTTCTAGTTCCTTGATAGAGGAGCGGGTCAGGGACACCAACAGGGACTCCATCTTTTTACAGCGTTTTTCAAGATTATCAACGTATCTGGAATATACAAAATTTAAATTATTGTTTTCTGATAAACAAAATAGTAATAGTAATAATCATTATATAAATTCTGTATCTTTTTTTATTTTTTTATTTTTTTTTTGAAAATCTTACACACTCGGTGGACCTCTCTTTTTACGAGCAGTTTGGAATTCACAGGTATATCCCCACTAATGAAGGAAAAGATATATAAATATGAGAATGAAAATAATTGCTTGCTTGCTTGTTTGCTTGCTTGTTTGTTTGTTTTTTGATGATCTCAAAATCTACCTTGAGATCATCGTTTTCTTTTTATCTTTTTCTTTATGATGCGCTTACAGCTTTGCAATTCGAGCATGGTGTTGAATGGTCTGCATCACATCGAGATTTACGTTTTCTGCAAAAATCACAGCTACGCTTAGCGCGCGTTCGTTTGAGTGGTTGTGACAAGAGTGAAGGTGTAGGTGTAGGAGGGCTCATTTGCTCATGTGGTGTATATTGTTGGAAGCTGTTCATTTACATGGAGACACAGCGGACACTATAGCAGAAAATAGAAAGAGGAGAAAAAGGGAAAAGCCAGAAAGGGCAATTAAAATGAAAATATTTAAAAAGATTCTATTTTTGGTGAAAATATTGTGGTCCAGGGAAATGTTACACACAATTTTTTGTTATATAAAAATAAAATATAATAATAATAATAAAATAAAAAAGGACTACCTCTGTCATCAAAAGTCAAATGATATTTATATGTACAGAAATATATATATATATATATAGTCTTATTGAAGCACCTGTACCTCCTACAAATCTACACACACAAAGAGAAAGAAGAGAGGGATAGATAAAGAAACAAAGACTATCAGACTCATATTAAAGACGCTTTTGATAGCAAGAGGACAAAAAGGAAATTATGTTAAAGCATGTCAAGCTCAATGTAACTTTTACTGAAAGCTTAGTCACCAATTAAAGAAAAGGGAAATAATCATTATATAATCATATTGTGTATATATAAAGAAGAAGGGTGTCTAATGAGGTATTTTATAATAACCTTCAATTTCCTTCCTTGTTTAAAGAACAAATATGGAGAATCTGTAGATATTGTTATATTTTAATTTGTAAATAAAAAAAAAGCCTGTTTATTTTCGTGTTCCTTAGTCTACGGGTTAACATGCTTATATTATCAAACAGCTATTTACAGGAAGCCTTTTTAAAAAATTAAAGATCAAAATAATAACAATTCAAATAATTTCTGTATTATAATTATATTATAATTATAATAATATTTAAAAAGAACTCCAAAATTACAGTATCATTTTGGGAATAACTTTCAATCTAAAATATTCAATCCAGACTGTGCTTTATGAAGCAGTAAGCAGTAAGCAGTATAGATGAACGATTTTTATATATTAGGCAATATAATAAACAATAACACGCGCTGAATACAGAATCAAGCCTCAATGGGCAGTTTTATTTATTTATTTATTTATTTATTTATTAGATATATGTATTTATACTTGCTGGCGCATCTCCAACTGCAAACGATCGAGTAAACTAGTCCAGGAAATCACATTAGCTCGCAGAAATTTATACCAAATAATTCAAAAAATCTTACCTCAAAATATGTTCGTTTTCTTGTCGCAATCGCTCGACCTGGAGCTGTAGCTGATCATTATCACTCTCTAGTGCATGAACCTTGTTGTCCTGCTCCTTCAGTTTTGTCTATAGGGTAATTATACACTCCAAGTTAGTCCCTCAACTAGTCCAATAATACAATAATCTTAATTATCATTACCTCATAACCTTCAACGTCCGTCTCCATCCAGCGCAATTCCATCGCCTTTGATTTCAACTCTTCTTCTCTCTTTTGGCCTTCATCTTCAAGTGCAGAAACCTTTAATCTATGGGCCTGGTGGAGCTTCTCAAGATCCTTTTGCTGTGCACTTGTTACTGTCTTAAGGCGGTAAGAAAAGTCCTCCAGCTCCTTGTCTTTTAGATCTAGAAGGTGCTGGAATTGATTCTGAAGAACATTGAGTTCCTTTTGGTGTTGTCCCACCATCGTTTGAAGTTTTTTTTCTGTCTCGATCTAAGCCAAACATCATTTTGAGTGTGGGATGTGGATTCTGGTGTTAAATTTCTTACAGTTGCACAACTTACTCTCAGCTGTTCTTCATGGTGGCTACCATTCTCTGTCTGGGCTGACAACACCTGCTCAAGACGCTCTTCAACTCGTCCAATCTCCTCATTTTTATCCGCAATCATTTTTTCATAAGAATCCCGCATTGTCTTAAGAGCCTCATCTTCCTTGGCCTTTGGTAAATCGCTATAAGCCATTCTTTCTACTCTTTCAGTCGACGTAGCCAATGAACTCTGTAATCGCTCAACCTCGGCAGTCAATCGCTCCAACTCAAGTTCTTTACGTCTCAAAGCCTCATTGTGCTCACGTACAACCTGTTGCTGTTGCTGTTGTTGCTGTTGTTGCTGTTGCTGCTGTTGCTGCTTCTTTTGCTGTTCTTGCTGTTCAAGCCGTCCGACAACATCGGCATGCGAAGTCCTCAATTGAAGTAACGTCTCTTCATACGTTCCCTTTTCGCGCTACACAAATCTTGAGTGAGTACAAAGTACAACAATAAAAGAAAACATTCGTTCTTCGCTAACTTGAAAAAGAAAGTCTAAGCAACTTACTTCAGACTGTCTTTTCTGTCTTTCTGCTTCTTGGGATGCTGCATTAAGGCGTGCTTCAAGTGCTTCAAGTGCCTCAGTGTGCTCCTTTCTCAGGCTAGCTAATTCTAAACCGTGGCGTTCTTGGAGCTCTTTAGTTTTTTCAGCATGTTCGGCATTAAGACGGGTCCATGCCGCGTCGACATCAGCCTGAAATGAATGTTCGATATCTTCTCTCATCTTCTCGTCGATTCGTGCCTGGCGAGCCTCATTGGCTGCCCATCGTTCCTTCTCAGCGTTTTCCTTATCAATCAGGACGTGAGCATGCTCAGCCTTCAAAGTCTCCTTCTCCTTCTCCTTAACTTCAATCTCTGCTTTCAAAGCACTTATTGCTCGACTGTGCTCAGCTTCCAGTTGCTCCAATTGGATCGCATACTCTTTTCTCAAAAAAACCTAAAAAAGAAATTATCTGTTATTTTCGTTTTATTTTGCCCTCATTTGCGCACCCGAGGGTTACTTGCCTCTCTTTCTGCACTAGCACTTTCTGCATTTGACTGACTCTCTTTCTCAAGCAATTTCAGTGCTTCAGTGTGCTTCAATTCTACTTCTGATAATGCTTGTCTATGCTCAGTGTCAAGTGTCTCCTTTCTGGACTCAAACTCTACTCGGAGGGTAGCCTGAGAATAGAAAACCAAAATTCATTATCAATGATGAACGTGATAGCGGTTGTGTCACCAGTCAATTGTTACCTCTAACTGAGCTTTAACCTGTTTAGCATCGCCACCCAATCTCGATTCAGCTTCTAACAGGGCTGCCGTGTGGCTTGCCTTGAGTGTAGCCAAAGCAATGGCGTGGGTATCTTCCAAATTACGCAAAGACTCAATCTGTTTACTCTGGTGTTCTTGTACTTCTCGCATAACCTCCATCTCGCTATCATGGTCCTGCTGGAGCTCTTGAATGTCATTAGCATGTTGCAAGGCCAGTCCTGCCAAGTCTTTTTCGTAGCGTTCTTTCAAAGATTTCTATATTGTAAATCCAGATCAGATATCCGATTTTTTTTTCTTATTTCATATTTATTTATTTTTATTTCATTATTACTCACCTCGAATTCAAGACGTGATTTTTCTTGTTGGGTATCTTGGGTTGTATTAGTAGAGGCCAGTGCAAGTGCGTGTTTGGCTTCCAGTGCTTCAATAGCCTCTTGGTGAGATGCTTTGAGCTTAAGGGTATCTTGTTCACGCTGGGCAGCGTGTTGTTGGAGAACTTCATTCAATTTTGCCTCATGGTCTGCTGTTAAGCGAGCCAGTTCTGCACTGTGAACATTCTTCAAAGCCAACTGTACCACCCAACAGGATTAGTATAACGATCACATAAACGTGTATAAATTTATATATCTATATATCTATATATCTATATATCTCACTTCTACTTCAGCTTTGATTTCTTGGAGGTCGCCCTGTTTCTCACTTGAGAGACGGTCCATTTCAGCTTTGTGTTTATCAGCAAGCTCAGCTTGACGCTTGATTTCCTCCGTAAGTTCTTGTTCGAGCTTCTCAAGGCGATCACGGTGGTGAGTCTGGAGCTGCTCCATGGCCTGTTCATGACCTGAACTGAGTTGTTCCATAGCCAACTCAAATTCTGCCCGCAGTTGACGTTCGGTTTCTGCACGAGTCTGGTTAGCACTTGCACCCCGGGTGCTCTTGATAGCTGTCTCATGAGCCTGTTTAAGGGTTTCGATAGCTGTAACATGGTCTTTTTGGGTCTGCTCAATCAATGACTTGGCTTCTTGTTGAGCCAATGCAGTCTGTTGGTTAACATACTCTGCGTGTCTAGCCTCCAGAAGCGTCACTTGCTCAGCGTGCTGTAAGGCCAAAAGGTTCTATTGTAACACATCCTCAAAATTTGAGTAAACAATTTATTTTTTAAATGTTTATACACCGAGAAATATACCTTGACACCTTGACATTCTTCAACCATCTTAAGCTCATATCGAGCCTTCATCTCTTGCTGCTCTTTTTCGTTGGAAGCTTTGAGTTCAGAAATCTGTTGTTCAGCCAAAGCATGCTGTTCTTTCAATTTGTTCAACAGAATATCATGTTTATCCTGTATTTCCTTGATCTCCTTGTCAAAACGTTCTTGACAAGCGGCCTGTCGATTAATAGTCAAATATCAATAAAATAATCTAAAAAGGTCATATAAAGCCCGTTTACCTCTACTTCCGCTCTACTTTTTTCGACAGCTGCTTCATGTGTTGCTTTTTTAACTTCTTCGAGTTTAATTTCATGTGCTGCAATTAGCGACCGAACCTTGTTATCATGTGTTTGCTGAAGGGTTACGATTTCCTCCTAGATTGTATCCAAAAAAGAAAATAAGAATATCATTCATTTTGAAGTATATAAATTGTTTTTTTTCTTTTGTTTATTTATGACAGTGTCATATCCTTCCACTTGCCTTAAGAGATACAGTAACCTGTTCAAGAGCTTGTCTATGATCTTCTTCAAGTTTTGCCTTCTCTGTCTCCCATCTTTCCTTCAAGGAAGCTAGTGCCAACTCATGGGCCTGCTTGATATCGGATGTTTCTGCCACAAGCCTCTACACCAATATAACATATTTCCAAAATTATTTCTTATTAGAATATTTTCGTATTTGTTTTCCAATGATTTCTTTACATCGATTTCAAGTAAAAGTCCAGCCTTGATTTCTTCGGCTTCTTTTTCAGTTCCACTGTCAGGTTCGATGGCCTTTTGATAGGCATCTTGAAGCTCTTTGATTTGTCGTTCATAATCAAATTTGATAGACTCCATCTGATCTGCATGTTGCTTATTCATTTGCTGGGTGAGACTGGTGAGACGACTCTGATGCGACTGATGCATGTCCTGAATATTATCTCTGATTTCATCCATGTCTTTCTTGAGTTTTCGGATTTCATCTTCTTTATCTTGAATTCTCTCTACTAATTGGTCTTTTTCGTTTTCCAGCTTCTCACGAAGTCTCTCCATATTTTCCCGCATTTTCTCTTCTGTCTCCTCCTGCCGACGTAGCAGCAATACCTTCTCCTCTTCATACGCAGCCTTGGCCTCTTTAAGATTCTCTTCATTCTTGGACTTGGTTGACTCTGTATTTTTTATTTTATCATTCAAGTCGGCAATTTCTTTTTGAAGAGCAGTGATCTCATCCGCCTTTTCTCGAAGACTAGACTCATGTTCAGCTACTACGTTCTCAAGTAGTTCCATTTGCTCGAGAGCTTCTAGTGTTTCATCTGTAGTGTCTTTGATTAAAATTTTTCCATCTTCTGTCTCTTCTGGGATTGTATCTTTGGCTTTTTCCAGGGTCTCGAGCTGCGTTTTGAGTGCTACAAGGTCGGCCTCCTTTACAGTCAGCTCTGCTTCCTTTGTTTCCAAAGCCAATTGAATCTCTTCATTCTATTGTTATAAAAACAAATAAATTTATGGCTTTTTATAACAAGTCAAACGACAGTGGGTGTATATATATTTGTGTGTATACCTTTTCCTTGAGCAATTTTATTTCAGCAGCAAGTTCGGCGGATTGAGTGTTTTGGACAGTTGGGCTAGTCCCGGTGGCCCCTGGGCGCGAGACTATGGAAGGCTTCCGGGCAGGGGCACTGGTGGGAGCAATAGAGCCACGTCGGACAGACGATGAAGTGGGAGAAGCGGCTGTAGAAGACGATGAAACAGAAGATGCAGTAGACGCTGTAGCCCGACGGGTACCCGCGGGACTAGCAGCTCCGGCTGTCTTTCCAGGAACTGCACTTGCACGGCTATTGAGAGTAGTGTTACGAGCAGCAGAATGAGTAGCAGATGCAACAGGTGTTTTTGTGGGGCGAGTGGTAGTAGCGGTAGCTGTAGCAGTGGTAGTAGCGGGAGTTTTTGTAGCTCTCGAGGTAGTGGTAGGTTTTGCAGCTGCTGGGGTTGCTGCTTTTGGGGCAGTCGTAGGTTTTGCAGTAGCCGTAGGTTTTGCAGTAGCCGTAGGTTTTGCAGTAGTGGGGGGTGTCTTGGTAGCTCTCGATGTTGCAGTTGGTCTTGCGGCTGAAGTCGTAGTTCCAGCGCGTGTCAGAGCAGGTGAGCGTCCCCCGGTTACCGGAGGAGTGTTTGTGGTATTGGCACGACTCAAAGGTGTCTTGGTAGGTCGAGTAGTCGAAGTAGGATTGACACCTACACCTGCCAGGGACGACACTCTCTGCTTGACAGTGGTAGTCGTTCCTTCGGTCATAACTATAGAAAAGTGAGCATGAGATGTCAGGGGAGCAGTGATGAACAAACCAGGTCAGGTAGGATGCAGAAAAGGAATAAGCTAAAGAAGCACAAGTCCACTTTCTTGTCTGGAATGCAAATATAAAATATCACTCAGTTGCGAGCTGGACTGTTGCCTGGTGTTTTTTACCCAATTAGATTATGTGTTCTTGTAGACAAGCACCCAACCAACCAAAACAAAATACACGCTTTAACTTCATCGCCCTGATCTTTATATACAATTTATAATAACCCCCTAAAATAAAGAGAGAAAGGATCTTCATCCGCTTAACCTTTTGCCCTTCCCCCTTATCTCCTTGTCACCTATCCCCTGAACCTGCCCCTCTTTATCACATAAAGTCAAAAGAAAAAAAAACAAAAAAAAACAAAAGAGATACAGCTTCTTTAATACAACGCGTCCATTATTGAACTCAACACCCCTTGTTTATATATATAATACAATATGGCTAAGAAGCAAGTGTCAGAACCCCTCATTAACCGAATCCCACATCACCCTCAGAACGATAATGTTCCTGAAGCTGAGAAGATGCGCTTGTTTGAATCCACTGGCCTTCTCCAAAAAGTTAAGCAGAGGGAAGCAGAACTAGCCAAACAGCATACGACATCAACCGAGTATTTGTGGCAAGCAATCTTTATGAGTATTCCTTTTGCCTTCCTTCTCGGAACCTTTGACATCACCGTCAAGGTTCAATTCTCTGAACCCTGGACTTACTCTGGTCTCCTTATAAAATCATTGAAATCAATTCCAGGTAACATGAAGATAATTTTAAACGGCCTACTATTTGTAATGACTAAAACATGCTCTCAGCTCTCATTCCATTTATCTACTTGACCAATCGTTACAAGTCGTCTAATATCACCCAGACTATCATGGCTACAAGTTCTGTAGTAGTTGGATCTTTCCTTCTTTATACTATGCACCATTCGCCATCACTGGGGCAGATGATGCGTGCACCGGGATTAGCTACCATTTGGGTATATTTTGTTGTCCAACTTAATCTCCTACCGGCAGTTATTTCCCTACTGATTTCCGCTACCTACTGGTATTTTGGTCTGAGAAAGCCATAATAATATAATCAGAGAATAAAGAACAAAGTATGGTGGATTATATTATGCCTTTTTGATAATTAGCCCCTTGAGCATATCGAAACTATTGCCGTCTGGTTGAAGTGTGAACTTTTTACGGCTGTCTTCCAGACTCACTGCCTCAAGCATGCCATAATCACTTGTGATCCCAGTAATTCGAGCGCGTACATCGTCGTGGGTTGTCAAAGTAACAAGCTTGTTACTAAAAACAAATCAAATCAAATTACAAGATCGACAGGGGAGGGGAGGATAAGAATAATTGTCGGTTATCGTACGTAAAAGAACAAAAGGGGTGTTCTCTTTTTTTCTCTGTATTCATTATACACCTATCTTACCTGTGCAACCAACGTTGGTAGTACTTATCAAGGAACCAGCTTCCCATACCCTTTTCACAAAACTCAAGATACATTTTTTCGAAATGAACCATAATCCCCGAAAGTGTATCCTCTGGCGATAATCGGCGCAAAGAAGGATTATGGTTCTGGATGACATCGTTGATAGACACAGTTGGATGGGGATTGGCAAGGTTTATACCACATCCTAAGAGCAAGGAGAGTCTTTGAGTCAATCTACTTTTGTACTGGTCTTTAAGTACAATACTTACCGATCACTAGGAGAAACTCGTCCTTAACAAAACTGGAGTTGACCAACAACCCACCCACCTTCTTAAGACCTCCTTCGGGTCCGGGGAGGTCTACGTATATATCATTGGGCCATTTGAGACGAAGGGGAACACCTTCATAGCCGTCACGAGTCCTGATACTCTCTACAACAGCGAGAGCAATGATATATTGTATAAATACCACAGGAGCTTTTGTCAAACCAAGATTGTGCCGAACAACCAGACTAAACTGTAAAGCTCCTTCTTGAGACACCCATGCGTTCCGACCACGACCTACAATGAAACAAGTTAACAAAGTTGCAAGCCAAAAAAAATCACTCAATGTAAAGTTAAACATGCCTCTTCCAGCAATTTGATTAGCTGCCAAACAGACTAGACCTGTAGGTAGAGACTGGGAGAAAGTATAATTTCTATTCAAGGTAACAGAAATAGTAGGATACAAGAATAAGAATCAAACAAATAATTAAGCCAATAAAGTACCTATCCAGCACAGTTTGAGTACTGGTAATAACTTGTGAGTACAACATGGAGTTTCCAAATCTATACCAGCCTCCTCCTCCCCATTCATGACTTCTTTTCTCGCTCAAAGAAGCAAAATATTCTTGTATATTAAACGAAGGGGTAAGAGAACGTGATGGAAATACTGGTGCCTTTGGATCACTGTCTGTGTTTGTAGAGTAGACTATCTGTGTCAATGGCTTTTCCTCGTCCGTATTATTGGCGTTGTTTTGAAGTGTAAGAGAGGACATTTGTGCAGAAAGAGACGATTCTTCCATAGGCAAAAGCTGAAATCTATCGTTGACATCAGCCAGTATATGGGTGGTAGTGTCTGCTTTTTCAAGAAGCGAACATGCTATAGACTTGGTGACTTCAGCGCGAAGAGTAGCCAAGTATATAGGTGTCAATGCTGGTACTGTATTTTCTTTGATTTCGAGTGTGGTGCCTTTGGTTTCATACCCTGCTGTCTTCAGTCCCATCTTGGAAAATACGGCGCACAAAAATGTTTTTCTTGCTTGATCTGATATGACCAACTGCTGAATAAAGCTTGTGTCTTTTCCAGCTTCGGATAAGTCCATAGTACTGACATCGTACTCTGGGTGGATACCCATCAATGCTGCACTTCCTTGGCCAATGTGACACAAAACTGCTGCTGCAGTTTTTTCTTCTTGACTGTGGCCCTTTTCACTATACCAGGCCAAAACTTCCACATCCTCTTTCTCCACGGCATTAACAAAGTATCCACCTCCATTGTAATAGACCTTGAGTCCCTCAGGTAGTCCAGAGTAATCTTTGACGGACAACGAATTTGTATTCAAGTCAATCGGTACAACGCGTGCACCCTTTTCACTGTTGTATACAAATCCAGGATACATGGTACCTCTCGAGATTCCAGGGTAGAATCCAAGTTCTCTTGGGCCTGTAATTTCCATTGGTGTTCCTTTTTCAAATTCAATCGATTGAGAAGCATAATATGCACCTGCACACAGTCCAAGATAGCGCCCGCCACCGGCAACATAACGTCGCATGCGAGCGTTGACTTCGCCATCAAGATCTTCACAGTAGGGTAGATCTCTACCGCCAGGAATAACTATCATTGAGCAGCCTTCTTCCCATGGCTCATTTTGTAAGGTCTTAGCATCCACCTTAATCACATCATAGGCATGACCAAGTAAGAGCTTGAGAGTTCGATGTGTTTGGTGAACAGCATTTGGTGATGTTCCATTACCACTATAAATGACAATGTTCATGGCGTTCAAGTGTGATGCTAGAGTATTGTATGATAGAAATTGTTGTGTCTTATGCGGACACCGGGAAAATATTCTTCGTAAGAACACTAAAATATTCAGTTTAGCTTATAATTGACGTGTTTATTATATAAAAATGCGATTAAAACCACATACACTTTAAATTTAAAATAAACAAAAGTCTGGTTTTCCCTACCCTGACAAACGTAGAGTAAAATATGAAATCTTGGTCTGGTCGGACTATCGATGGTTGTACATTTATGAATGAGACCTAATAAGTCACGGGCCAAGGGACTTGTTGGTCACTTATTTGGCTTGATTTGACGAGAGAGCAGTATGCAGTTCACTGTGTCAAAAGAATAGTATATCTATACTTTAGTGGTCTCTAACAACGGATCTTTACGACCTTAAACCATATATATTAATAAAATTTAAAATTATATACCGAAAAAAGAATAATTTTACTTTATATAAACTATTGTACATCTTTATATACAAATAAGATCATATTTGGCTCTTCCTGCACAAAAGACAAAGAAGTTTAATACGTCTTTTACCCCTGAATACTCTGCATATTTACTTTTCCTCCAATTTTTACCATGGCGGAGTTCTGGTTACCATGACAAAAAAATAAAGATCCACAGGCGGTGGGCGAAACGTTGTTAGGATTAAAAACAGCACATGGCAAGCTGACAGTTAGCTTCATTCACTAAATGGTTAGTACCAAAGGATGCATTTAAGGTGAAAGTATAGAGATTTCAGTCAAGATTTTTTAATAAATTGCTTTTATCTACAAGTGGTCTTGGTATCCACAAGGTAAAAGTCTAAACAAGCCAATTTTAAGCCCAAAGAGGCTGAAATTGGCGCCAGTTGTTTAATATTTAGAGTACTTAGCTAATTCAACAGTAAATTGATGAATTCAGGAAAATCCTGATATAATTTATACTGATACTCATGTATAATCATTTTACTGGATGCACAACCGTGCACCCAGATAGAAACTACAGTAAGGAAGACTACTCTGACAAACTCAGTTCATATTTGTTGGTGTAACCGCGAACACTTTTTCAACTTTGAGGATTTGTATGTTACCTTGACCAAACTCCAAACCGTTCCTTTCTCTCTTTCGCTACTTCTCCTCAAGTACTCTGTTGTCATTAACGTTTTTTCTTCGTCGGTAATATACTCTTAGAAGACTTCGCGAATAATTTTTCCGACTAAATCGCCTTTTGTTCTCATCATTAACATTTCAGATCCCTTCCTTCCTTTCATCTCGATCGTACGACAACTTCATTCCTGTCTCCTACACGTCCAGTACCCGAGAAAGTGAATTATACATAAATATCACTGGCTGTGGAAAATGAGCATTGTACACTTTGTGGCGTGGCTAGGGTGTGCTTGGATTCTTTTCCAATCCTGTCAGGCTTCTCTGGTTACTCACCCGAATCTCAATTTTACACAACCGGGATATCTTGGAATTGCAGGATCTTATCAGGGAATTTCTTTTTACACCGACACTCTCCAATTGACAACAATTCCAACCTCAACTGCTTCGATCTTATCCTTTTCTAGTCAGACATTTAAGCTATTAGCCTCTTCTTCAACTAACGGATCAGTGTATGCAACATGTGTTCTCTCTTCAAATTCATCGAACACGCTTTATATTGGTGGGGAATTTACACAATTTGGATCTGCCCTGGTATCAAATATTGCCCAAGTAGATTTAGCCACCAACACTATCACATCACTATCCAAAGGACTCGACGGTCCTGTATATAGCCTTCTGTGCGATCAAACAACAAATAGCGTATACGTTGGTGGCGAATTTCTTGCTCCACTTTCAGACGCTCCTCTTTATTCGGCCTCTCTTTCAAAATATGGTGGAAGTGTAGCTGTGTGGAGTAATAATTCTTGGGAAGCATTGCCCTGGAAAGGTCTAAACGGTCCTGTGTATACAATTGCAAAGAATCCAAAGACCAATTCAATAATGTTTGGTGGTCAATTTGATATGACAAAGGACGGCCAGGCTGAATTTGAACCTGATAGCCAGCCTATCAACTTGGCTGCTTTCTCTGTAAGTCTTGCTTATAGAAGTTCAGGCCACTGGGTATTTAATATTAATTGCTTGCATATTTTTAATCCCATAGACCGTATCAGCGACAAATACAGACTCAGTGTACAATGATCCCAAAAGTGTCTTGTGTCCCAGCGAAAAAAGTGCTCCATGGCATTTGAAGACAGGCGAGACTGGGTCATGGGAAGCTTATTTTTCTCTTTCTGTTTCGCCGTCGTTGATTCGTCTAGCCAACACTTTTGCAAAGGATAGCGGTGTAAAGAACTTCTCGTAAGTTTATCTATCCCATGTCAATATATTAAATATAAAGATAAAGGTTTACTAAATTAATATCTGTATTTATTAAATTTAGGGTTCTCTCACTTGCTACAAACACATATTTCAATCTATCGTACATTGATCCTTTGACGCTTCGTACCAAAACATGCTCGACTCAATGTCAGCTTACACAATCCACCAAACTTGAATTCCAGGACTTCATAATACTTGATTCAAGCATTACTTACGGTGTAAGAATTGAGATCGCATCCTGGTATGGTTCGGGGGGAGGTCTTGCAGGTGTTCAGATCTATCAATCAGGTACAACCCTAACGTGAGACAGAGAGGGTACAGAACATCAAAAATACTAATTAATTTTGGGTACAGAGATATTTGTGCATGCTGTCCAAGACCTCAACTTTCCAACATGTACAGCTTCTAGTCCAGCCTTCGAAGCTAAAGTTGCTACTGTTGGATCATGGGAAGCATCTGTTCCTACTGGATCTTACCAACATATTCTTTCAACAACAATATCTGCGGATAAACTCGGTGATACGTCTGCATCAGTCGACTTCATACCCAACTTACCTGAGCCGGGCTTCTATGAAGTAATGTTATATACTCCCGGATGTGGAAATAATACCGCATGTCAACAACGCACACAAGTTGATCTTACAATTTATACAGCACCAAATAAGACAACTGTGTTCACTTTAAATCAGAATAATACAGCAGATGCTTCAGTCCCAATTTACAGTGGCTACTTTGTTGCAACGTCTCTCCAGTTTTCACCTCACATAACTTTAAATGTTGCAAAATCAGCAATAACATCATCTGCAAAAACTATAACTTTGGTCGCTAATGCTGCTCAGTGGATAAAATCTGCTTCCATGTCAAGCATTTCAAGTATATTAGAATACAAGCCTAACCAAGGATTAGATGGTACCACTGCACAGACACTATCATGGGCACCATTGACTGGTAAGTTGAACGATGATATCTACTCTTAGAACCTGTGTACACTATCCAAATTACTATTATTATTATTATTATTATTATTATTATTATTAACTTGTAGCTTTATAGAAACTCTCCCTACAAAATCTATTGTTCGTGCCCTAGATGCCACAGACGGAGACTTGTACATTGGTGGCACATTTACAACCATAATCGGGACTGGTACTGGGTATCAGAACATGGTTCGCTTTGGACAAATTTCAAAAAAGCTAGAGCCTCTTCAGTCTAATGGACTAAACGGGCCTGTTAACGCTCTTCTTCGCTCTGGATCAGGTACAATATATATATATTATCTCGCAACAATTATTGACATGAATATATAGATCTTTACATTGGAGGAAACTTTACTTCTTTGCAAGGCAGCCCAAATACTCCTCTTTCTTATACTGCTATCTACAATACAAATGCAAACACATGGTCTGCACTAGGTGGAGTAAGTACATAGCATGCGTTGGTCTTATGCTATTTTAGATCTTTAGTCTAATCATTCTTATCCTTTGTATAAAAAATAGGGAGTGAACGGACCAGTTTTTTCTTTACAATCAACTGATAACGAAAAATCAATACTTGTTTCTGGAGCATTCACATCTATGATTGGTAGCACAAGTTCTTTGGCTCGACAATCTACTGGAAATGCATGGTGGAACCTGAGTATATCAGACTGGTCAGCCAATACACCTCTTCTTTCTGGCACAATCTATGGTGCATTCCAAATCGACAACAATTTGCCTACAAGTTATTATATTGGTTCTATCAATAATGCCCAGCAATTTCAGTCCCAAGGACTAACTTTTATTGACGGTAGCTCAACGCTTTCAACACTTCCATTCTACCCTGATGCGTCAAAACCAGTTGAAATTAATGCTGGTGCATTATGGAAGAATCCTCTGAATAATGGGACTTGGAGTACCGTAGTTGCGGGTAATTTTGAGTTGAACAATGGAATCTATAACACAGCAATTTACGACAATGGAGTCTGGAGTGGTCTCGGTTCCAATTGGAAGGGCAACGTTACCTCCATGGCGGTTCATGATAATTTCCTGTACATGAGCGGTGAATTTGATGCGAACGATTTTACTGCAAGCAACTTTGCGGTATATAATCTCGTCGACAAATCATTTGTTTTATATCCTGAGCTGCATAGTAGGTTATTCATTATATTGAATTTTGGGAAAAGTGTCCAAAGGAAGCTAATTTATTTTGATCAAAACAGCTTTGGATGGTACGATGGCGAAAGTAAATGTGATACGTCCAAATTCGATTGCCTCTGGTATTGTTGTTGGCGGAGATTTCAGTGTTGCCGGCAATGTAACCTGCAAAGGTGTCTGTGCTCTGAATCCATTGAATCATCTGTGGACTAGTTTTGGGGATGGTATTTCCGGTACAGTGCAAGACATGACATTCACTGAGGTATATATATATAAAAGTAACAATATTAAAAAATAACAAGGGAATAAAGAAAAATAGAAGATTATTTATTAAAAACAAATTGCTGTAGAAAACACTTGTTGTTACCGGAGACCTCAAGATATCTGATGCTGTAGTTTCTATGGCAGAATACAATTACCAAACCAGTGGTTGGAGTTCTCCTGTTGTTTTACCCGGACCTTGTAGTGCTATCTCCTATGATGACGGCACCAAAAATACGTATATTGCGGGAAAGTAAGTATGATTTACTTAAAGATAATAGTAAGGCTTATTTACAATTATCCGCAGAGATTCTTCGACAGCTTATTTGGGAATCTGGGACGGAAGCCTCTTTACAATTCCTAGTAAGTG